CGTTCTACCGCTCCTATCCTTCACATCGATATCAGCCTTTCCCGTGGCGAGCAGCAGCCTGACAATGGCCTCATGGCGATTCCTAGCAGCCCATAATAGCGGCGTCCAGCCATTTATTTCCTTCGCGTCGATATCAGCCTTCCCAGTAGCAAGCAGCATGCTAGTAACGGCCTCATGGCCATTGCAAGCAGCCCACGATAACGGCGTCAGGCCAAATATATCGTCCTTCACGTCAATATCGACCTTGCCTGTAGCAAGCAGCAACCTGACAATGGCCTCATGGCGATTCCTAGCAGCCCATAATAGCGGCGTCTGGCCATTGTCATCCTTCACGTTAATATCGACCTTGCCCGTAGCGAGCAGCCGCTCAACAATCTCGAAATGGCCGCCCTCGGAAGCTTTCTGGAGAGCCACGGCTGTGGTATGAAGCGAGTAGTTACCTTCGAGAAGAACATCGAGCAATTCGATATCACCTTGACCTGCGAAACTCCACACAGTGTCACACGTGTTTAGTTCGGATATCCCGCCGCAACCCTCAATGAGACGTATGAGAGCGTAGTGGCGAGATTGTAAGCTCCAAGCTAGGAGGTCTGGGTCTAGGGCGTCGAACTCTTGCTGCTCCGGCCAGGGTCTCTTCGCCAGGTCGTGCCCACAAGTGATCATCCGATGCCACAAGTACCATGTCGCGGAATCCTTCCGAAACCTACTAGTATGTGAAATCCAGTATGTCGAGGCGTACTCAAGGAAAGGGTGAGACCGCTCCAGCCTTCTTCTGCTCCCCTCTCCATCCTCCCTGTTGTAGCTCGACAGAACTCTAACGACATCGACTTCTGCTTTGCTTTTCTGGTGTCTTGAGCTGAGGCTAAATCCTGGGATGGTACTTGGCACCTTGAAGTGGGGGGACAATGCCAATCTTGCCATTGCAACCGGATCCACCGGCTTTATTGGCTGTGGTCGTCGAGTTAGAGTCGTCTTGAATTCGTTGAAGTTGAGATACGTTACGCAGATCTCGCCGGCATGGTGATCAGCGTCTTGTAGGTTGAAGCGAAAGTCCCCGAATTGCGGTCCCGTTGGCCTCTCGATGATAAATTTGTGAACGGCCTGGTGGGCGAACTGTACCGTCTTCAGCTCTTCGTCAACATGGACCAGATTTTCACACCACGACGGCAGTTGATCAATGCCGTTGATGAGTCGCTCGGGCATTGAGTATAGTTGACCAATCTCGATGGATATGGCTTCTCGGATCTCATCTAGTGTTAGATATCGTTTCGCAATGGCGACCCAAGAAAAGACTTTTGCTGCGACCGAAGCATTCCGCCGAGATATTATCCTCAATAGGGCTCGACTAAATGTCTCTGTGAGGGTGCTTGGGAGGCAGCCGATGGCGTTGCGGATGTCGGCGTCACAATGCTGGGCACAGAGTTCGTTGATCAGGAAAGTGACCCAAAGAAACCTTCCCGCGTGATTAGTAAATCTGAAAGACTTGGGGAGGAGGTACCTGGCTGCCAACTCACATCCCGTCCGCATGATTCGTCAACGCTTCCTCGATGTCCGAAATGAGGGATTGGTCTCCAACAACAAGGTCTCGGTTGTCCACCCTTTCTTGAAGTGTCTCCTTGACGTAAGCAGCAATGTCGGTCTTTGCCTCCGCCGACGCCATAGATATACGCTCGATGCCCGGAAGCTTGTCTTGAAGTTCCCCGCTTAGGCTATCACGCCCTGCGAGGAATACCTTGGGGCCAAGTCCGGCCGCTGGTCCGAGGGATACGATGAAGTCGAGAAGGGAGCGTCGTTCTCTAGGTTCAAATTCATCCAAAGCGTCGATAAAGATGAAGAATCTTTCGGATTGGGCGAGTCTTTGCTGGAGAAGAACCGTTAATGCATCAATTCCGGCGGTCGGGTTCTGACGGATTTCCACCAGTTTAGCTTCCATTTCCTCGGACAGGGTCACTGGGTCGAGTGACTGCCTGATGATGGATCGTATGACGGTTTCCGCGCATAATGATTGTGGGTCATTGAATTGAGGAAAAAAGAACGTGACAATTTCATTAGAGTTGCCCTTGCATGCAAAAAGTTGCGTGATGGCGCTGGCACTAGAAGTTGGTATTTCTGTCAGTGTCAGTTCACGGTGGCTTGGAGTGCAATACTAGTACTTGCGCGAGAACCGTCTTGCCAGATCCAACTACGGGGTATCGTCAGAGGCAACCTCCATAAGTCAGTGGAAAGGGGGTTTGGTAGAACGCACTTTTCCCAGAACACCAGATCCAGCGACTTGGGCCGTTCTGCCATCGGGAAAACTCAGTTGTATGAAATATCCATTGTGCCGTACCACAGTGACGCTCCTTGCAAGCGCGCTTGAACGGAGGAAGATGGTCGTAGGAAGACAAGAAATCGAGCAGCTGGCGCCTCCGTTCTAGATCGCTCAATGTTAGGTGCAATGAGTCACGGACTGAGAGAAATGGAGGAACATCTATACCTGACCGACGCTTGTCTTCCTGTTGCAGCTGCCATCCTTTGATGGTTTCCAGGTCGTGTCCCGTCCGAGACAGTAAATCTCTGAGCTTGAGTCTGTGCCCAGACGCGGCCTCCCTTTCCTTCTTCTGGAGCTCTTGGTCTTGGAAATCGGCCTGGGCCTTAGCAAGGCCAATTTCTTCCCTGACCTCATCACCGCACCTCTGAATCATACCAATATCCGACTTGAATTCCTGCTCGAATGATTGCCAGAGAGCGTTCAGGAGCTGTGTTTTCCCTTGAACCGGTTAGCAATGGCAAGTTGTTGTGGAGGAACCTTCTTGAGACAGTGATCGGAAGTGACAAACAAGGTCGTTGGGCAGCCTCGACTATATGCTTGCAAAATTGGATGAGAGAGGCGTGGAAATTGCACAAGGCTGCCTGAAGCCGGACTGAGTTCGGGTACAGGACCTGGTATTCGGCGAACCGTGGACAATGCAACGCGAGACCCAGGAAGAGGTTCGAGCAGGCTTCATAGTAGGAAGTGAAATTGAGGACAATCTATCAAATCCCACTCAACTTAGCGGCAGCTCGTAACGGTTGGGCAGTTTCGACCATCTCTGCACAGCGTACCTGGATCGTAAGCTTGACGCTTCCCCATACTAGCGCGGCGATCTCTGGGTGTGACGAGACGAACGTGTCGATGACTGCAGAGAATTCTCGCACAGACTGAAGGACGGAATGCAGCCGGGTAGCGATGCTACGCCCGCGCCTGCGTTGACTTGAGTCAAGCTGCGCGGTGAACACGAGCACAGCATCGGCGTCGGGGATGGATTTGATGTTTTTAAGCTCCGTGCGTTGGTCCTCCGTCAGAATTCTCTGGAAATCATCAACCGCCTGATTGAGCTGCTTTGCGGGCGACAGTGAGACCCTAGAGGATTGAGATGCTACAGTCGAAACCATTGCGGTTATTGAGTTGTATAGATGTGAAAACAATGGCGAACAATATGTGCGTGCATTGAGGTCGTTTAGGTATTGGCGAGCCTTGTCAAGAAGCCGCTTATCATCAATCGAACACTCTCAAACTGCGTCTCGTGACCAAAGTTGGGCTCGTCCACGAGGGGCTCATCGGAGCGGGGTCGGGTGCCTGAGGCTGCGCCCAATCGCAGTAGTTACTCGTCCTGTGGCATAGCCGCCTTCGCCATTTTCTTGAAACGGACAGCATTAACACAGGAAAAGAGGCGCCCGTTTTTGGGTCATGAAATCCCCTGTTTTTTGGCCCGTATTCCCTGAAAATATAAGCTTGTGACCGCCAGATTAGTAGGTACTCAGGTCGGTGACGACTGGGGAATCCCCGGTGTTGTATGGTTTTGCCCTGTCCTCCTTTGAAAGACTAAAAGTCTTATCTTCCCGGGCTTATGTATGCTGGGGTAGTCTACACTCCAACAGACCTATCTTGTATTAATTAGTAGGTGCCTAGCTTGGCAATGTTGGGGGGCCGGTGAAGAGGCGGTCGGTGGCGCGGTCGTAGAAGCTGCCGCTGGTGTCGTGGTGGATGAAGAACTCGAGGAAGTGGTCGGAGCAGGGCGCGGCAGATCCATTTTATCTCGACCTGGTGGTAGCGTGACTAAGGACAACTAAGGTACGGAGTACATACATATGACCTTTTTCCGGGCCTGGGGTTTCCGGATCTCATGACATCCCGTCCCCAGTGAACCTGGCCCAAGGCCTTGGGTCCATGCCTGTAAATAGGCCTGCTCCTTCTGTTACTAGGTACCCAAGCCCAAAATTAAAAATGAGTTCACCCGCCCCTTAGTCGGTCCTTTCCTTCCTGAAACGGCACACCTTACCTTATCAAGTCGACATTCAATTACACATGTACATCATATCATACACACAAGGAAGGGGCGGGGGCGGGGGCGTGCGCAGATTCCTACAACCCCCCCCCCACCCTTTTGTTTTTCTTCTTCTCATCCCTTCTACCAATCTCTTGCCCTCCAGGGATGAACTCTAATAATCCCTACATTCAACCGTCCCAAGAGGAGGGTGGAAATGCCGAAACCAAGGTCGCGCGAAGAGAACACCCCGTCAATATTCTAGTTGAGGGCCAAGGGGGTTGAGAAGCAGAGCACGAAGAAAATACGAGGATGTATCTCGCTAGCTAATTTACCTGATGGATCTCATAACATATCTCTTGCGGTCTCCTGTGGAAACTTCGATCGAGTTAAGGGGGCTGGGAATGAAAGTGGCCCACAGGGAACAGGATACGACAGAGGCGCCAAGGTGGGATATTTATCTCGCCAGCTCCATGTTTCCCCCATTACACCATCACAGCAGGTCGCGTACAGAATCGAAACTACCGTCTCGTTTTGGTCGCAAACGTCACACTTGTTAACGACACAACACAATTCATGACAAATCCACCCTAGTCTCGTAGTGGCTTGCTTTCTGACGCCCCTCCTTGAAGGTCAGTGATGAGAGGAATTGCTTGCTCACGGGGGCTTCAAGGTTCGAAACACACGTGATATGCCCGCGCTAACATCTAGCGCTGGGCTGGCATGGATGACTTTCTATATTGTACAAGTAGTAATTAGTAGTCGCCGGAAAGGGGTTCTCTAGCTCGGCAACCTGTGCATGTCGACGCTTTTCGGTTGTGGTTAGGGGTTATCTTTCTGTTTTCATCTCCTTTTAATCTTTACACGGTGCCATTCCACTATATTCTCCCGGGGTTGTATCGTTGTACGTTTATGCCTGCTAGCTGTACAGCCTTTCGCCGTTACTCGAGGCGTCCAGCTAATTGTTTTGTGAATAGACAAGGACCCCGATGATGTTAAGCTCCGATCCTTACCCATTTCTCTGGGCATTTCTGGAAAGATTCAACAATGCACATTACTAACGCAAACACGGTCTTACGACGTCAACTATAGTACAGGCTACAGTCCACACGAACATAGCGCCAAGACTGCCAGATCGCCAAGTTCCGTATGGCGAACCTGGATAAACAGAGCTGGCTCTGCAAGGGTTCCAACGAACGCACTCATCGGCGGTTTGAGGGTCGGTCAAGCTAAAATATTTACCTCAAATGTTTAAGCAAGTGTTTCGGGTATCTGGTGAGAATGTGGGTGAATTGCTGACTGGAGAGGTTCCTGAGTCCTCCAGAACAAGTGACTAACTACCCCTTATATACTATTCTGATTCCTTTGTCCTGATTTCCCCTTTTTCTTGATGACCACATGATTATTCCCCTGATCCCGCGACCACTCCCTCGTGCCTGTCCCCCCTGGGACAGCGCTCCTCTGAGTCTGGGTCACCCTAACCCTAACCCTAACCCTAACCCCAAGCGGGGCTGCAGCGCTGGGCAGTTCTGCGCCCCTTATGCATATCATTCCCTTTGTGGAAAGACAAGGGGGGCTCCCATGTCATTCCACACATGGTTAGCACTACTTAGGGGGCTTGACATGACCACCCTCTTCACCATCACAAGGGACTTTTCATGAGGCTAGCAGGGAGAAAACAGTGATGGATCTCAAGTAACTGGCAAATGGCTTACATCCCAGATTAACTACTTGTCATGGCACACAAATCAGGCGTCTAATATCTCAAAGGCGGTTATGGGCCAAATCCATGATTCCATTCCATGATGCTCGTCCTAATGACTGATAATTATTCAAGACGCTGCAGCTCGCAGGACATCGGAACCAATCCCAGACCTCTCATGACATGACTAATGAGGACGAACAGAGCTATTGACGGAGGTCAAGCTCAGCGATAGCGCTTGGCGGGTTGGTGACGACACTGTAATATTAATCCACCGATCAAGTCAGCAAGTGTTTTGGGTTGGGGGTGGGGTCGGTGAGAGAAGGAAACCGCCGCTGGAGGCAGGAAGGCTCAACTTACGTTTCATCCGAGAATTGCGAGCCAGTTCCACATACGTCGTGGACTTTGGTCTTGTTCATGTCCTGGGTATTGGGTGTCATAACCGAGTTGCTGACAACAGAGTTGTGATGAGAAGGCACGCAAGTGAGAGGACACATGCGCGGCTTGGGAGAGCCACTCCTTGCGTGGGTGCTCCAATTATCGGGGTTGCTTCTACTCAGTGGCTTAGACTTAGAGAAGGTCCATATGGGAGTGACATAAGCCGTATGTCCATTGTGGAGGTTTGTAAAGGGGAACTCCTGCAACCAGAGGAGAATAGGAATGGGAAAAAAACCCGACGCCAGCACGAGTATGCATGCTTCCAAGCATAATGGTCAGGAACTGGTAGCGGAAAGGAAGGGGATAGGTACGGCATACAGAAAGGGCAGGATGGGAGGACGGGCACCGACGAGATTAGGGCGTAAGTATCATAAGGAACAATATCACCTACCCACTGGGCATGACGGAGGTGCGTTAGGCGGGTTGAGAGACAGGGTTTGAGTCGTAAGGAATATTCGGACAATGGAAATGATGAAGGAGATTGGGGCAAGAAACGGACAAAAAGCTCAGGTAATTGCATGATGAGTCGATGACTTTATAGCAGAAGACTGTCACGGCCACTGGGACAAAAGCTGGTTGCTGGCGATGCGAGCGGCGAGCTGGCTGACCCGATGGCCAAATCACCGCGACGGCGTGGCCAGGTCGGCACGTCCAGTCTACTTCCGGGAAGAGTACCCTGACATGGTATACGGTGCTGAAATTACGGCTTGCTACCTAGATGTTGGTCCTTGTTACATACCTGTGCTGTCCAATGTACCCGGGGGGGAGAGGCTCAGGAGGCGCCGAGGCGGGGCGTGGGTGACCCCTTCTAGCACTGCTCGATACCTTCTCTCCTACTGTGGTAGGGGTTCTTGGCTGTGGTTGCGAATCTGCTTTTCTGGCGGAGTAGGATACACTTTTTATCGACAGTCAATTGGCTACCTGCGTTTTGTCAACCGGGGTGTCAAAAAGGAGGTGCGCATCCTCCACTGCGGCTCGATCTGGCCCCGCAAGTGGGAGACAGAAGAAACCAGACAGCGAAGGTTACCCACTTGCCCCGGTGAGGAAGCATCTTGCATGATGAATTCAGTTAATTGGCTACCTGCGTTTTGTCAACCAGCGCCAAGAAGGAGAGAGACATGCACAATGCGGCATGATGCAAGTTCGAGAATAAGGATGCGGACATCCCAACACAAAACGCAGCGAGCCAATCAAATGCAATCCGGCACGCCAAACTTGGGAGAAAAAGGCCCAAATGGGAAGCGATCCCCAGGCGTTACAGGAACACAAGTACGAATAGTTAGTCAGAACGCAAGTCTTCGCGAAGTAGGCGTCTGAAGTGCCTCAGCCTTTGAGTGCCTTGTCTTGCTTGTCCCAGCAACGCTCCGCCAAGCCCCGCCGCAGGTGACAGGTTGTCCGCGCCCCATTGTGTAACTGTGCTCGCCTTACTGCCGGCCTGTTGCTATAAAACATGTCAGGTACGTGTTCAATCCAGCTCTCTGGAGTCTCTTGAGCAGGCTGCCTTGCATCCGTGTCCTACCCGCCCTCCCCCCCAACATGTCTTCCATCATGAGCATCAACGATTTGTTTCCTCGTTCTCCCGATGACAAATTCCTCAACGTCCCGTACAACGAGAGGTGGGAGCATCTCAAACCCATCATTGTCAAGCTGTACATGGGCAAATACGAGCCCAATGGGAAGCCGATGACGATGGGCAAGGTCGCTGTCTTCATGAGGGACCATTACTCCTTCCACGCTGCGTATGTGTCACTCAAATCCACCGATATGGCTGCGACCCTGCGAGAGAGCGCAAAGGCCGAACTTGACTGGACTCGCTGACCGTGTTTCACGTCGTAGAGAGACGCAGTATCGATATCACTTGAGCAAATGGGGTGTCCGCAGACGTACCCACGGTGCTGAGAAAGAAGAGATTACGGCTGCCCTGGGCAGGAGGACTCATTCGAGCATGAGCACATCTGATGTTACCCTCGACCCGGACAAGGCAGTCGACAAGAAACAGATGAAGAGATATTTGAAGGATCAAATCCGGCATCATAAAGCAGAGGTCGGGTTGCCGGGCGTGTAAGTTTGGTCTTATTTTTCTGTGTCGGACAGGGTATATTCGTGCTGCCGTAAACTAAGTTCCCAACCAACGTCCGTCAGGCTGTCGTCGTGGAACCTCCCATATGCCGCATACTCCAAAGGCCTTGGCAAAACATCCGGCCAGCCTTCTCCATTCGGAGGAACAGCCGCCACCCCGACCTACCTGAGCATCCAGAGCCCTGAAGCCGCTACACCGGGACACGCCGCAGCCGGCCCCTCGCCGACCATGCAGCTGATCCGCCAGAAGGCTGCCCGGGACAAGGCGAACCTTTTTTTGCAGGGACGCCACTTCGATCTTCTGGCGAGCTGTGGGAAAGAAGACCGCATGTAAGGGAGCACACCGTATTGTGGGTGCGATGGGCTGTTCGCTGACTCCCTTCTAGCACGGTGACAAGTTATCTCCACGACTTCTATATGCATTCCTTTGTCGTCGCAAAGTACTGGGGACGAGGACCTCGAATAGACCAGTGGACTCCGGGTCTGGTGGCCGCCCTGACACTTAGCTCGTTTGATGATGCTAGTCCATCGAGCCTCGCGTCTGCCATGTCCCCAGGTGTGGCTCCGGGTGGACCAGACTGGCTCAACGGCCCCACGCAGCTCTGTCGATGGTCAATTCATGTCCGCTCGGTTGGCTACGACCCGATTCCGGAAAAAGACATCGATGCCCCGGATAACGTCTTTATAGAGAATCCTCGTTCGTGGACGGAATGGTCGACGGAGGAGCTAGCACACCCCTCCGCCTCGTTTGAAGAATCGATGCAAAAGTCCATCACCAACAACACATTTTCCCTCACACCCCCCGACAGCATACCCATCTCCACCGAGTTGATATCACAGTCATTGCAAGAGGATCCGGAGCTCCTACGGGTGGATGCCTGGAAAGTTGCAATCATGGCCGGCAACGTCGATTTGCTGTACAGCCTCTTTGACAAGGCTGGGATTCCGCATAAAATTGATGAGATCTACCCCTTACACCTGGCAGCAACCTTCCTGGATGGTGGCAATACTTGTTGCAGTATGGTCGCGGCGCTTTCTGCGATACTCGGTTATGATCATCTCTTCTTCAACGGTCGTGACGATCTAGGTCATACAGTGCTAGACAAGCTCATGATCACCGTCCTCCGTTCGCACACGAGCGTCCGTCCGGAGCTTGCCAGCGCGCGTTTCAACCCTCCACACCGCTTTCCCGGAGAAGAAAAGGACGTCTGTGGCAGGTGGGATGCCGATTCCCCGGCCGTCCGCGCCCTCTTCCGGCATGGGTACGCACGCATTCCGACCAGCTGGAAACACGCCTTTTGCCACACTGCTGCGCAGGCTGTCTGTCACAGCGTAATAGCTACTATGGCCTCGCCCGCCTCCCCCCGGATTGACAGCTTGAGCGGGTTGTTTGTTCGACGTTGTACCAACTGCGGGCTGGAGCTCAAGATGGGACCGCTTCATGCGCTCGTTGTGGTGACCTTCTATCTTGCGCACCGGGGAATGCCCGGGGAGACGCTCTTCGGCTCGCTGGCCATCCTCGTCTGTCTGTTGAGTCTCGGCGCCTCCGCTTCGCTGAAGGCGGCCATGTCAGTGGGGGATATTCTTGGGAGTCCCGAGATATCAGGGAGATGCTGTCATAAGCCCATAGACGCTTATGATCTGATGCAGGAGGTGCCGCACGAACTCGTCGCCAAATGGAGTACCGACTGCCAGACGGGATGGGCGTGCATTCAGCAAGTCCTCCTCCTAGCTAAAGATGACGGAGACCGCAATTCGCGACAAGATAGCGGTGGAGAGCATGAGTCTGCGAGTGATGACGAATCTGATCAAGATTCAGACACTGATTGGGACGAATGTTCTCACGACAGCCGTCAACGAAGCCGTGACTGTGGCCTCGGTTTCGAAGATGTTTCGGCGCATAGCGAGTGGCTAAACTTGCCGTGTGGGAATCCGAAACTCGGCCTCCTTTAGGCAACCATTCAGGTTGAGCTCCTCACCTATCGCAGGATCCACACTCTAGATCCTTGGACCTCTGACAACTTTTCGATGGCCTCGCTCAAAACTTGGTTGGAAGGGGATTCGTTGGAATTTGGCACTCCCTTAGTGGAAAACAACATGATGCGGAATCACTCGCCTTGCGGATGGTTCTACGACAATTACGACAATGACTTCCTCTGTCCCGTTGCCGAAGACGTGTGCAAGGATCATTTCATGAACATGGACGTCTATAACAGGGCTACGTTTTTGAATCGGCCGGGCTTGGCCCAATCTTGGCTAGAAATCGTCCCCCCCGACGACCCCCTAGCCATGGAATAACCCTCAAGGTGTGGGTGCAGGCGCAAATTTGTTATGGTTTTGACCCAGAATTGTATACCCTTGATGTCTGTGGATAATTTGGATAGTTGTTATACTGCCACTTCCAGGCTATAGGTAAGACATTCCGCCCCTTCTCAAGCGGTTGCAGCAGCGACGACCGTTACTGCTGCAGTGATTGTTGAGGTATGGTATGTAGCTCTCAGCATCCTCCGCGCGGCGACGGTATTGGGCCAACCAGTTGCTGTCCTCAGTATCGCAACAGCTATCTCAGAGAGTCAAAAGCGCTGGAGGGTTCGAACAATGCCGGGGCCGCTGCACTATGCGCTAGTCGCTTCTGTGTTGCCCAGTTTAGGCTGCTGTCGGTAGATATAGAGTTGGTTATTAGCGTTAGAAAAGGACGCAAATTGTTTTCTGAACTGATTCGGCTTCACTTTTAAGATATTACAGCTTCAGGTCAGCAATGTGAAGACGGTGGCTTATTACTACGACGTTCCAAGCCTAAAGGCGTACGTAATGAGTTTGGAGACTCGAGGAATGCACAGTAGAAAATTTGAAGAAGCTCTGCTGGAATTTGATGCTAAATTTGGGCCATCAAAGCCTAGGCTAACTCAACACAGCGGTCGTTGCTTAAAGAGACGACACACGTCAGTGAGCAAAAGCCCACCTTGCCATAAACACAGCCTTGAAGCCTACACTTCGTCCCCGCTAATGGTTGATCCATTCTGGGTCCAAGGCAAGAGACAACATCTCGCAAACTGCCTAAGCAATCAGCAAACCCGATGCCTAGACGATGACCTGGTTATCGTAGGATATGTTCGAGTCAGACCGAACAGTCTCGAGATGCCTTGAGCCATAGCCTCCAGCGGTACGCAGAATGCAGACTGTTTTGCCTCTGAACGTGTCATCCAGGGATTCTCATCGGACTGATTCTCCCGACAGGTTCGGTGGCCGTTGAATGCTGAGCAGCCTGAGCTGATTCGTAAGGATAAGGTAAGGCGTGTCATCTCCGGCTTCTAGCTGGGATGGTTGCCGATGTCATGGCCGAGTTAGGGGTGCCTGTTGTCTATCTAAACTTGATACTAACACTAAATAGCCTTTCCACTCTTCTTCCGACACATATTAGTAGACCGAAGCGGGCGATGATGCGGCTGTGCGGGTGGATCGGCATCTCAGTGAAGCCGATGCGACTAACGTGATCTACATTGGTCAAGGCGACTCGCGCCGCAGGTGGCAGTCAAGGACTGAAAGCGGATCGTTGTAGTCCCGACAATGATGTCGCTCGATCAATACATTCTAGGATGGTAAGATGGTTGCTTGACGATGGCTTTGTCGTCGAGAACACTTTAACCCTAACCCTAACGCTAAAGGCGGCTCGGGGTGGGACTTGACAGGACTGCTGTATCACCAACCCAGGTTTTTATGTCTCTGTGCTTCGTGACACTGGTAACAAGTGGTTCACGTTGTCCTTGATCATGACGAGAGCGATGTGTGCTCGTTGTTTCACTTCCCTTCGCTTGGCATGGATTTGACATCCGAATGCGCGCTTCTTGTAGTGCATGTACCCTCCTGGACGACAGAGCATGCCCGTATAGAGTAGTGTTAGGGTTAGGGTCAGCAAATTACAAGCAAAATTGTCGCACATGCTTGCTTTTCTCACCAGAAAACGCCTTCCAAGGCCGCCTTGCTGCGTTCGTTGCGTCGATTTTCGGGTCATCTTCCTTTCGCCGGAGCGCAGCATACGCAAACGACGGGGACAGGCAACAAGAAATGAAGTCATTCCGTCCTGCCGTCAAGTTGCCAACGCCTCATCTCTCACGCGATGGCCACACGAAGGTGTGAGATTTGGATCATCTCAGGGATCCCACCACAAAGCGACCGTGGCGTCCCCGCAACAACCGCATTTAGCGGCAGATCTGGGCTCGCTTCGCCGACAAGGCCATGCTTGCCCGACGAAAATGACGGAACTCGGATGCTGTCGTGCAGGCTCCTTGTCATGCTGACTTGCTGGCGTCAGTTGCCGAAAAAATACATACCCAGTTATTATCAGGGTCTGCGGCGAGGCAGAACAAATGCGAGAGAACGCACGTGGATCGGTCGTGGAGAGAAGGATAGCAGTGTGCGCTCATGTGCAGCCTCAAATGACACACGACCACCTGAACAGGACGAATGGGGGTTCGGTGAACTGCTTAGAAGCCCATTCAGCCTAGTGACTGCCAGGCTTCTCGTCAAGCTTGAGAGCCTGGTGAACCACTAGCCCCTGAGAGTCACCTTGTTTGGGTCACGCTGTTGCAACGTGTGCCGAGGGGCAGCCGTTGCCCAGTGTGGTTGTGGCCGCATGGCAAATGTCCATGCGATGGGATTCGCATGCGTGGTGGACAAGCTTGAACCTCTGCCCGTGCAGCCCCTGAATCAAGGGCCCGCACACCATCCCTGAACAGGTCAAGCCGCCCGTCCCCCAGGCTGGCTGTCAGGAGCACAGCGGCCCCGCAGGTCACACACCGTGGCGCTAGGAGCGATTCCGGCTGCCAGCCCGCTGGCGAACCTCCTCCAGCCATTTGATGAACATTTCGCATTTGATAAGACCATCTCCCCAAACCCACCCTCCCCCTCGAGCCCTTGCTTCTGCTCCTGCTTTCTTGCAATTCACAACTCTACTCTCACAACAACGCACCGCGCACCACTACTTCAGATCGCACCCAGCCCACAAAGCATAGCATAGCTACCCACGACGTAGTCGCCTTGCTTTCTCTCCACCTAACCCCCCAACCACCCACCGCAACCATGACCATGACCGACGAAGAGCTCGACCGCGAGTGGAAGCCCAGCGCCCGGCGCCCGCAATCGTGCGTCTTTTCGCCCTACTTGATTTTATTCATTCTTTCGGCCAACATGGGATGTTCCTACACGACACGAGAGCTGGAGCATGCTAACCTTTCATTAACTCGCGCAGCACCGTCGCCCAAATGTTCTCCCAAGAGCTGATGGACATCTTCCGCATCGACAACAGTGTCGCAGATCTCGACGAGCAGGTAGACAAGCGGTCAGTTTCCCCGCCGATGCACCGCTAACAGCCGGGTTGTCGCCGCAATAGCCAACCGCAAAGCCCCCTCGGAAAGCCACGCAAACAAAATGCTGATCTATTCCCTGGTGCCACGCTGCAGGAAGCAACAAATCAACTCACAGAACTCGGAGCTGGAGGCGCTCGAAGCCCGCATCCGCGAGATGGAGGCCCGACTCAAGGGCCAAGGCCCCAGCAACAACAACAACACCAACCCCAACTCGAGCAGCGCAGCAGCAGCAGCGAGCAGCTCTAGCGCACCAGCACCCCCTGCAAAGGCCTACCCCGCTCAGCAACAGCAAGACAAGTACGCCGGCAGCCGTCCGGGCACCGCGCGCCAGGGTCAACAGGCTGTCCCAGGGGCACTCCCGCCCACGCCCGCAGGGAGCGAAGGTGAATTTGAAGAGCTTTCCATTTCCGACACCAATCGAGCGGCCGTCGTCCCCCGACCATCAGGAGCTTCTCGATCGCATTCGCGCGCAAAAGTATCTGGCGCTGGGACCGGGGCTGAGGCCAGGACCGAATCTGTCCCCGACGTGCACCCCTCGTCCGCGCGAACCAACGAATCCCTGCTACTGATCCCGGGGGACGACGCTCGCTCGATCAAGTCCGTATCCGAGACCGCAAGTTTTGCTGACTATGTTATTGTCCCCAACCCAGACGGCGACCGCGAGCGGGACATCTAGGATCCAATTCCCTCGGCCATCTCAGACGATTAACCGCTCTTCTCGCTTGTTCTTGCCTTTCCCGCTACCTATCGGCTACAACACCGGAGGCTTGTGGGATTCTTTGTTTTACCCCTCTCGATTTCCAGCAGCATGCAGTCATACCAGCAAACAATCGCAAGATACTACGGATACAGCAGCGCGCAGCTAAACGAGCACGACACGATGACTTGACTTTCTATACCCACTTACTTTAGACCTTCTTAATTCTCGACGCCGCCAACCGCGCTACGCACAATTCGCCAGCTTCTCAAGTCGCTCGCTCACTCACCCCGATCCTCTCCTCGCTTCGGACAGTCACGCAGGATCCTTCTCTTAGAAATTCACGACATCAGTCTTCCCTTTCTGAATTTCTTTTATACGGAACCAAGAGACTTGTCTGCGTGTCTCACGACCACATGTGGGACCCATCAATCGCTTCAACCATTCAACCCTCACAACCCATCCATCAAAGAGGGCAAATCCCGGAGCCACGCTCCCCGGCCCGCTGCCCTTTTTACCACTTTATTCTCACTCTTTCACGGGTATTTCTTCAAAGTCCAAGAATAAGAATCACTCAAATCATGCATGGCGTTTTATCGAATTTAATTTTCCAGTATTCATCAGTTTCACTCATTTTATAGGCGGCGGATCATAGCGGTGGTAGGGGAGGAGGGGGGGAGGGGGGAGGCCCGTTCAGGATGGAAGAAGGGTTGGGCTGGGTCTTGAAACCCGATGCCGGGGGGTCGGTTCTCAAGAGTCGGTGTTTGTTTAGCGGCGAACGCCGAATGTACATAGCACATATAATCTCATCTGGGAGCTGGCAATGTATTTCCGATACCTGAAAGCAGTTCTTTTTCTTTTCCTGTTTGTCATGTGGTTGCAATGCATTACAGCTCTCATTTTGATCTAAGTACTTGGTGTGCAATGGGTGTGTCTCATGGAAATGAAAGGCCAACTCATGGGCCGTTGAATTATGCCGCAGAATCAGCCGCGGTAGCTTTGCTCAGATCCACCAGCCCGTGCATCAAACGCAACGCACCTCTATCCTCAGCCGTGTAAACCGTCCCAACGCAAAGCGAAATAGCCAGTCCGTCACCCATGATTCTTGCGCCCCCATAGATCCCCACAGATCAAATCCCAATCCCTCCTGCAACTCACCAAATTCCGGATTCACCCAAATCCTTTGGAGCGAACCCAACTCGGCCCTGTCCGACGTCAAAGACGGCGTACACTGTCTTGAGAAAGACGGCGCCGAAAATTCCAAAGTCGTCGCTTGGCCACTCTTGTAGGCCGCCCATGCAACTCTCAGGGTCATCCCACATGGTTGAGTAATTGAGATACGCGCCGGGGATCTTGGCTATGAAGGGGGTTGAGGTGATTTCGTTGGGTGGGAAAGTTATGATGAGGGGTGGAAGGTGGCCCCCTTTGTCGCCAGTTCCTTTCCCATGCATATCCGCCGTCATATTCCAGCCCTCACCACCGGCGTGGTGCCCACCTTCGCCGGAAGGGCTGGTGCTGTTTAGCTGGCAAGGAAATGTCCAGAGCCCGCCAAAGGCCCCCTTCTGGGCACCTGGGACGGCATCGTAATACGCCTTTACCTTATCGGGGGTTACGAGAATGAGGGTTGTGCCGGTGTCGATGATTGCACGAGGAGGATCGGGCTCGGAGTCTGAGCCGTCTTCGTCGTCTAAATCAGGGTCCGATTCTGAGGAAGAATTTGACTCCGAGGGCGACCCGGTATCCCAGCCATCGCCTCCTATCCGATGTCCCTCTTGCTGTCCGCCTACATGCATTCCAGTGTACGAAACTTCCCAGAATTTGCTCGCGTCGAATAGTGGTGTATACCAGATGTCAGTGCCCTCAAGGACCCTGCCCTTGTCAGTATACCCAAATGTATATGCCCCTTCCGCCTCAAACTCAGATGAGTAGTGCTTCAAGTCGACCGTGAACACAGGCTCTCCTAACTGGGAAAGCAAGACGGACAGGAAGGCCGGCTGCTTCGGGGAGGCATTGCTATTAAGGGAGCATGAGAGGCCGAGGATGCCGGCGAGAATTGGATCAGAAGAGAGAGAGGCCGAGGTCGAGAGGGCGGATTCAATAGTGCTGTTTAGGACGGTAAGGGAGCTGTTGGGGCCGAGAGTGACAGTGTCGTGATAGAGGGTGCCGTATGCCGAGCTCCCGTCACCTGGTGGTTGTGTCAGTTGGTGATGCATGTAAGTTAAGATGTTGTTGGATATGTCGCTTTCTTTCTTGTAGGAGGTGATCACAACAGAGAAAGTAAAATAAAGGCTTACCGTAGGCAATGGACCAGCTACCGTTCTCGATCCTCTGGGCTGTCGTCGACTCTTCAATCTTGAATACTGTTCTGTTACTGGGCGTCGCCTCGCGTGTTTCGGATGTGTACATCCATCTATCTACCCGGTTAACATCATGCCCCTGACAAGTTCACAGAACGCACAACGTTGTGAACTTATTTGTACAAGTAAGGACCAAAGGGAGATCTTACAAGTCGGCGGACCCTGTGTCCAAATCCAACCACAACCACTGTGGCGGTGTACCAACCCCAACTCTGCTTAAATACTCGCGGTCTTGAAGTACTGAGTCAACGGCGATATCTCCGGTTCCGCCTATAATTGACAATAAGTAAGCCCAAGCACGCATATGAGCCGCGCCATATCTCAGTCTCAAGCAAACCAAATGGGTCAATAATGCAAGAGCGGCATACCATGGCCTGGAGGGGTGCTCATCACCGCCAGTGCCTTTTCGAGCTCAACAGGCACAGGCGCGCCCCATTTTCGAAGCGCCTGCGCGTAGGCAGCTGGGCCATTGGGTTTGTAAGACGGGTTACGATCGACCTTGACATCGAGGGTGGGATTGATGACAGCTCCGGTCAAGGACGGGAGAGTCAGGAATAGGAGGATTGAAGAGAGAACGGAAGAGCGCGACCGCGCCATGATTAGAGGAGAGGTCAGAGGAGAAGTAGAGAGTCGGGGTGGTTTGTTTAGTTAGAAGTGGGTGAAGAAGTGTGTGAAGATGTGATTGAAAACGTGAATTTTCGCAAAGGGAAAAGGAAAAGAAAAGCCCTAGCCCTTACGAACATGGGGAATCACTTGTTTGATAACAGCAGGCACGACCTTGGGACGCAACAATGCCTAGGGAGGTGGTAAACAACTGGCAGGAACGGAACGCCTCGGATAAACTCAGCCAACGCGTTCCTTCGGAGTATTTTGATATGGACTTCACGGGATCAACAACCGTACATGGGACACCCTGAATTTCCTAGTAGGTGCTGACCTTGCGCGTCCTATCAAAGGTACAATGCCCCTTGCAATACCCAAATCCCATGAAGCTGACCAACGGGTAGCGGTCACTACTCCGGGGGAGGGGGGGGGGAGCTTTGTCCAGGATATGACAAACAGCAGTTGACTTTTTACTGGAGAAACTGCCTCTATACCGTGAAATAATGCTGTCAAATACATCCTGCAAAATATAAGCTGTCGCAATGCACTTTGTTTACCCTCTACCAGAGAATCCTGTGCCAGGATGATCGTCGAAGGAGCTCCCATCGTAATCGCACAACCCAACACACGGACCCCTCAACAACGCACACAGACCTTAATCACAGACACATAACTTCAAACAACCCATGTAATTACCTGATTATTGTAAGTTTGGTTGGCAGCCGGCCGGCTTCAAGGCTTCCCTCGCAATTGCGGCCCCTCAGGAATGAACAATTCCTTGCCCAACACCCAGCACGAGAGCTTTTTATACCACTGCAACGACACTTCCGTGCAGACCTGAGGAACAATGCCAGCGAGGACTTCAGGCACAGCGATGACTTGACGCACATATGGGGACGGTGGTTGTAGAGTTTGTGAAATATGTTCAGAACCTGCTCTTCTCAGTCACAGTTCCACTGATAGTTCGACTTGTACTGATCTAGTCTATTGTAAATATACAATACTTGTATCACACCACACACCCTACCAGACACCCAAACTATAGCTCATCATGTGTCTCCTGCTTCTCTTCCACAGCCTCACCCTTTGGCTGCTCTTGCTGTTGCTGCTGCTCCTCCGCCTGCTGCTTCTCCTCAGCCTCCTTCATAAACCCCTTCAACAACTCCTCCAGCTCCTCCTGCGTCGGCATCTTGCCATCCTCCCCAGGCTGGATCTTAACCGTCTGCCCGGGCTTGGCCGCGCTCTCTGTACCGCTCGCCTTGGCCTTCTTGCCCGCCTTCTTCTTCTCCGTCTTCTTATCGCTCTTCTTCCCCTTCTTCTCAAAGTTCTTCACTCCCTTCAGCGCCAGGTCCATGCCGACCTTGTCTAATTTCTCCCGCCGCTCCTTCAAGTCCTTGACCAGGAGGATCGGGTCGTCCGTCGCGCCCAGTTTCTCCTGGGCGGGGATCTTCTCCTCGAGCCAAGCGGTGATGGCCTCATAGGCGTCCTCGCTCGCCTTCAGGTCCTCGAGGGTGTAGAGCGGGGGCACGGGGCCGCGATCGGCGAGGACATCGTCCATGGCGGTGGAGGCTTGGGTGGTGGTGACTCCGTCGTCGTCTTCAAGACCGTCAAAGTCCCCTGAAGGGGTCGGGGGCGCGGTGGTTTCTAACGACGGCTCAGCGGTGGACGAGGAAGCGGAAGCAGACGCGGACGAGTGCCAGGCCTCGTACTCGTCAATTCTGTTCTTGATGTCGATGATGAAGTCTTTGGTCGCCTTGAGCGCATCTTGCAGTCCCTTGAGAAGCTCGGGACGTTTGGTGGCTTCCTCGAGACGCTTCTCAATAGGAGCCGCGAGGCCCTGCAGCTCCTTAAGCCTGGCCTTGAGCTCCTCCCTGGGTGCATCGGCGCCGTCATCGTAGAGCCAGTCACTGGCCTCGCTGGTCTTTTGCTGCAGCGTCTCGCGCTCGGCCTCGGTGGAGTAGGAGATGAAGTCCTCCTTGTCAAGCAGCTCGCGGACCTTGTAAGTGTAGGCCTCGAGCTGGTTGAGCGCCTCCTCGCGCAGCCTCCGGGTCTTATCCGAGGCCTCAAACGCCTTGAGGCGGTCCTTGAGGGAGGTGAGGCCCGCCTTGGTTAACTGAGGAACACCGGCTTTCTCAAGGGTGAACTGGACGGGGATGACAACAAGCTCCTTCTTGGGGGTAGCCTTGGTGTCGGCGGATTCCGAAGCAGAAGCCTCAGAGGCGGTGCCTGTCGATGTGGAAGCGGTGGCACTCTCCGTTGCGGATGAGCTCTCGGTTTCGGTCACAGTCTCGGTCTCAATCTCCTCCGCCGCCTCGTCGTCGCTAAGTGGCTGTTGCTCCTTCTTGCCAAAGCCAAACAGGTTCTTGACCCCGTCAACGAAGCCCTCCTTGGATTCGGCCTCACACTCCACGCTGACGTTGAGAACATCCACCTCACCGTTCTCGGAAGCGAGGCGGGCGCTAAGCTTGAGCTTGATCTCTTCCTTGTCGCACTTGTGCTTCTCAACCAGCTCAGCCACAGATGCGGTCAGGTTCTTGGTAGTCAACACCTTGGTTTCGGCATCAACCAAGCCGGCATCCGATGCAGACGCGGGTACGTTCTGGTAGAAAGTTACCACAAAGTCGTCGCGGTTGGTAAAGGTAATCTCCTTCGCAGCTGCGCCCAGGTGCGATGTGGCAGTCCACAGACGCTGCTGCTTCTCCTTGCCCTCGTCCGTCTTCCATTTGATGCCAGCGGGGTACGCAGCGCTCTCGCCAACACGGATCTCCTTGACCCGGAAGCTGGGGCTGAGCTCAGCAGCGCGGAAGCCGGCGCCAAACACCGCGGCCTCGTCCGAGTTGACGTTGGTGCGCAGCCTGTCAGCGCCAAACACCTTCTCGAGTTCCTTCTGTACAAACGGCGTACGGGTGGCGCCGCCGTGGAGGATGACGGAGTCAAGATCCTTGAGCTCGATACCCGAGGCGGTGAGCGCGTTCTGGACAGCCACAGCCACACGCTCGGCGTGCGTCGTGGCCATCTCCTCAAAGTCGGCACGGGTGACCTTGTACTTGAAGTCAACGTCGTCGTACAGGCCCTCGAAGCTGGCCTGGGTGTTTTGGTTGGCGCTGAGAACGTGGCGGATCCGCTCGGCCTCCTTGGTCAGCTTGGCGATGGTCCGGCCATGGGCCTTGACGGCGTCGGCCTCGACCGCAGCCGACTTGGCCTTGGGCGAGGAGGCAAACTGCGCGATCATGTCATCCACGATTAGATAGTTGAGCGCGTCGCCACCAAGGGTCCGGTCCCAGCCGCTGCCCACGACCTGCACATCCTGCACGGTCTTGTTGAACTTGCCGACGTCCTTGACCGTCCGGCTCTGGAACCGCAGCACGGTGGCCTTGGTCGAGCCAGCGCCCATATCGAAGACCATGTGGTGCTCAGGCTTCCCACCCTCGTTGATGTTGGGAAACTGACGGCTCGTAGCGTAATGCAGGCCGACAGCCACACCGTCACTGATCAGAGACAACACCTTGAGCCCAGCCAACTCGGCAGCCAATTCCACCGCGCGCTTCTCCTCAACTGTGTAGTAAACCGGAACCGTGAGCACAGCCGAACGCACAGAGCTGCCCGACCCAGCCAGTTCCTCGGCATTCGCCCGAATACTCTGCAGCTCCATAGCCAACAGCTCTTCCACCAGCCAAGCTTCCTCTTCCGCCGTAAACGCCCCAGCACTCTGGAACGCCGCCGTGCCCTTGAGCTCATGCGTCACGACCTTCAACGCCGGGTGACGGCTCGCGTATTCTTTCACCTCAGCACTGTCCGCGGGCAAGCCCAGCAGCGCCTTCAGGTTCGGGTAGACATCGCCGGGGAACCGGGGCGCCAGGGCCATGGCATCGGAGCCATAGGCGCGTTCGGGAAAGGCGCCCTGCTTGGGGCCGCCGGGGGTCGGCTTGAAGGTGACGGCGGAGATCTCCTTGCGGCGCGAGTCCTTGGTCAGGACAATCTCGAGCGGGATGCCGGGCTTGACCAGCGCTGCCTTGATGTATTCGGTGCCGAGGTCGATGCCGACAACGGCGGAGACGGCGAGGACTTGTGGGGCGAGGAAGAGGAAGAAGGCTAAGAGCCGGGCGAGGGGCGTGAGGTTTGGTTGGTGGCGCGCCATCGTGGGCGAGGGGCTGTGGTGGTGGCGCGCAGTCGCGGGCGGTTGTCGATGTCGGTGTCTAGGGTTGAGGTGTTGGCTAAACGCCCCGGTGAGCAATGTTGGGCGTGGGAGTTAATGGACGTCAATCCCCCGCCAGATCAACCGAATAACTTGGTATGTACTTCGTACCCGAGAACTTAACAAGCAGAAAGAGCAAGAAAAGGACTCCTAAATGCCCAAATAGGGGGGTAAAGGAGAAAATAAGGTTAAATCTGGCCTCGAGCAGCCATTGAACACAGCGTGGCCTCAATTGCGGATGGGGTCATGGACAAGGCCACAACTCGTGCGGTTCTTCAACTTTCTTTTGGAAGCAAGGGCCCAAGCTGCAAGCTGTTCTCTGCAAAAGGACAACTGGTGCGATGATCGGACCCCTGCTGCATCAGTGCTGCGCCAAGCCTTACAGGCGATCTAGCCAATGAATGTCGAGTATTTGCAGCGGATTCGGCGATTGATGCTCACATTCCGAGTCATGATTGGCTGGGGCTTGAGTCGGTGGGGCGTTTAGCTAAGAGCCAAGTATTTACACTTGGCGAAACGACAACAACTCGATGCCCCTCAGAGCAAGAAAAGAAGAGAAGCCGAGGGAAAAGGGCAAACGAAAAGGAAAATAGAATAAGCACGAAAGGAATAGAAGAGAGAAAAAAGTTTAAAATGATAGGAATGAAGACAGATAAAAACACAAGAGAATACAAGTGTAGGATAAATTAGAATAAAACCAACAACCTTTCTCTTGTACGTATTAAAAGTTACAGAACCGCCTACATTTGTTCTTAGAACTTTTAAGATCAGTTTAGTTAGTGAACTAGAGCACCATGGCGTGATTTCATCACTACTCTAATCTTGAGGACAAAGATCCTCAAGACCGCTAAACACACAATTAGGGCACATTAATCCACGACCATTCCCCTCATGGCCCAATCATCCGAAAGTTCAGTACCTAGGTACATTAACGTTAAGAGTCCCCATCTACCTCCTCCCCTCCCCACCAACAGCCTCTCTCCTCAGAACCTCCAACGCCCTCTCATACTCCTCCACCTTCTCCTCCCCAAAGCCTCCCTCACCCACCACATTCACCCTCTCCACCGTCCCTTCCCTCCCAATACTGGTCACCGCCCCATTCCCTTCACCAGCAAACTCCCTCCAAAACCGTCTCGCCTCAGCATGTTCCACCAATGTCCAGGCACAACCCTTCCGCCCGGCACGCGCCGTCCGCCCAACACGGTGGACATACGATGTCTCGGTGACCGGCAGGTCGTAGTTGATGACGTGCTCAAGGTTGAGCAGGTCGATGCCGCGCGAGACCAGGTCGGAGGCGACGAGGATGCGGAGTTGACTGGAGGGGGAGGCGAAGGCGCGTAGAGTACGGGCGCGGCGGGAGGTTTTGGTTGAGGAGGTGAGGGTGCCGATGAGGGGTGCGAGATCGGGAGCGAGAAGAGCGAGGAGGCGGGAAAGGCGAAGGGCAGATTCGTTGGATTTTGTGAAAATGAGGGCGGTGGTGGGGAATTTAGGGGGTCTGCTGTTAATTTTGGTCGGCGCGCTGGCCGCGGTGCGTTTGGCGTTTGATTCGTCTTCGGAGGAGGACGACGACTCGGAATCTGAGTCTGATGCTGATAGATCCGAATCGGTTTCAGATTCGGACTCTGATGAGGATGAGCCCGACTCATCTGTATCAGATTCCATGGACTCCGGCGCTTCCTGACTGACCGGTGCAATATGCTTGCTTCGTAGTAGTTCAACCAGGTACAGAGGCTTGAGACTCGGATCCCGGACCTTGACGCCGTACTCTTTGAGGAGCGGAGGCAGGTTTTGCTCGCCAGCCTTAGTGCCTTCAACCACCACTAGCTTCGGCCTGAACAATTTCAAGCCGTTCAGCAAACTCAGATCCCGAGTCATCGTCGCACTAAGGATAACTTTCCGAACGCCCGACTTGTTAGAAGTGGGAAAGTCGCGAGCCCCTGGTCTGGTGTTGCTCAGCGGCCCCATCACTGTGTCCAACCATTTCTGGAAATCTTGTGCCAGCAACTTATCCGCCTCGTCAACAACTAACCATCGGACGTAATCAAGGGAAAATCCAGGAGTTTTGGTGATGTGTTCCACCAGCCGACCAGGAGTGCAGATCAGAATGTCTACCTTAGACACGTGGGTGATGACATGGTGAGGCAGGGGCTCCGTTGGGTTCAACTCAAAGCCATCGTCCTCCTCGTCTGAATCCTCCACCATGGTAAGCCGGTCCCGTTTTTGAATGGACTTTTCGTAACCAGCGGGGTCGTAGCGTTGCTCTATGCCCATAATGGTGGACTGCTCGTCCCTAAACACCCTATTCCCGATAGCCGTGCCGACCTTGACCCTCTTGCCTCCGTTGAGAGCAAAGGCGGGCGCGCATGCCTCACAGGCAAGCTGAACTTGTTGCACCAAATCTCTCGTCGGCAGCACGATCAGGCCCCGCAGCCTCGTGATGCGGCTTTGGCTGACGTCGTGAACCATCGGGAGGACGTAGGACAGGGTTTTCCCGGAGCCAGTAGGTGCGGCGACTACCACGTCCCCTTGCCTGTCAGGAGACGGTAGTAGTAGGGGCAAGACCGCTGTCTGTACCGCGAACGCACCCCCAAATCCCTTGGATTCAAGGACTTTAGACGACTCCGCAGAGATCCCCAATTTGGTAAACGGCCGTGTGATACCCGGGCCCACGCGGACCGGGGAAGCAAGCCATGGCGGGAGTGTTTCATATGTGAGTTTCGACTCGTCGAATATCACGGGCTCGGGTTGGGGCAGAGGCTCGAGCCCGTGCTCCTCCGCAGGTTCCGACTCTTCCTCGTCGGAATCCTCGACTCCCTCCTTAACCTGCAAGGCTTTTTGCACCTTTTCAAACACTCCCTTATGCCTCTGCCGGATACTGTCGTCCTCGGCGTCAAACATTGAGGTATCGCCGTCCCTATCTATCGTCTTCTTTTTCTTCTTCTTATCGCGCTTCGGTCTTTTTTCCGCTGAGTTTGGCACGGGTTCCGCGTCGGCGTCTGGTAGTACATCACCATTGGCCGCGGGTTGAGTTTCTGGTACTGTATTCTCCTCGGCGGTCACAGTCTTCTCGCGTTGACGTGACTTAGACTCCTCCCCAGCCCCGTGTTCGGTCACATCCTTGCCCCTCTTCGACTTGGTCTTTTTGGACTTCTTGTTTTCCCCACACCCCGGCAATTCTTCGTCTAGCGTTCGAGCCCGCTTGCTGTGATCGATTGGTGGGAGATCGGCGTCGTTGAAGACAATTCGTTGTGGTTGCGGGGGCGCAGATGGGGCCGGTTCTGCTGGGGCTTGGCCAGGAATGTAGCGAGAGTAAGGTTGCGCAGCGGAGAAGTTGGCTACGGGAGCAGCTGGTTGGGTTTGTGATTGGTCGACGGTTGGCCTTCCCTTGGTGGGAGGAATATACCGGTTGTACATTCCGAAGGTTGGGACCAAGTTCCTTCAGTGGGGGCTGCGATCGTGGAAGTGAAGCTAGGTTGAATGTTCGCTCTTGCAAACGGGCATCTCGACCAAAAAAAAGTTCTGGCGATCCAGGATTCAGCACTTCTTGCCGGCAGAAAGTGGGGACTTTGTGGGTGGGGCGCGTCCCTCCTTCAGGTTTCATCCAGATTTGGCAGGCGGTGTCCCTGACTCCCATGGGCAGCATCTTGCTCGGGGCTGGGCGGTGTCTCTTTTGAACACCTACCTATCGTCATGGATCCGTACCGCTGTTGTGAATGATTGAGGAAAAGAATAGAAAAGCCCGAATCGGTCGTGACTACTTCGTAGTTACTTCGTAACGTTATCCAGTTACGACCCAAACAGTTCAGTCATACCCCAGGGGTGGTCGCATCAGAGTACCCGTCGAGTTGTCACTGCCCCGAAGTCACCCCTGCCAAGCAGACAGGGGACTGCTGGGCTCAACAACACGCAGCATTTCAATCAACTTTCACCTCGGAACACACCAATCTCGGATCTCACACCGTGATCCCACATCGCCAACCCACTACGAAACTGGCCCCCATCTCTGGGGAAAATGACACCCAAGGGTGCCAGCAATCATGGCGCCCACATACAACATCGCTATGGTTAGCGATTTTTTTTTCCCGCAACCTGGCGGCGTTGAGAGCCACATTTACCAACTGTCATCCAAACTTCGAGATCGCGGCCACAAAGTCATCATCATCACACACGCGTACAAGGGCCGCACCGGCGTACGCTATCTCACCAACGGCCTAAAAGTGTACCACGTTCCCTTCTTTGTGCTGTACCGCTCTGCCAGCTTCCCAACCGTCTTCTCTTTTTTTCCCATTTTCCGCAATATTGTCCTCAGAGAGCGCATCGACATTGTCCACGGTCATGCCTCCCTCAGCAGCCTGTGCCATGAGGCTATCCTCCACGCCAGGACCATGGGCCTGCGGACTGTGTATACGGATCATTCGCTTTTTGGCTTTGCGGATGCCGCCAGCATATTCGCCAACAAGTTACTCAAGTTCAGTCTCAGTGATGTGGATCATGTCATATGCGTGAGCCACACATGGTAAGACGATTTTCACTTTGCTTTTACCTACTTCACGGCCCGCTAATACCACTCCAGTAAAGAGAACACGGTACTTCGAGCGTCACTCGACCCATTAATGGTCTCCGCCATCCCCAATGCCGTGGTGGCGGAAAACTTCAAACCCCTCGACTACACAGAACCATCACCACGATCCTTCGCCCCTCACCATCCACCGCCAGCTCGGCCCCTTGGTCCGCATGACATGATCACCATCGTGGTGATATCCCGTCTCTTCTATAACAAGGGCACGGATCTTCTCACCGCGGCCATCCCACGAATCCTGGCCAACCACCCCCACACCCGCTTCATCATTGCCGGCGACGGGCCCAAGGCCATTGACCTGGAGCAAATGATCGAGCAAAACGTGCTCCAAGACCGCGTTGAGATGCTCGGTCCCATCCGCCACGAAGAAGTCCGCGACGTCATGGTGCGCGGCCATATCTACCTGCACCCCTCCCTCACCGAAGCCTTCGGCACTGTCATCGTCGAAGCCGCCAGCTGCGGGTTATACGTGGTCTGCACACGCGTCGGTGGCATCCCCGAAGTGCTCCCATCTCATATGACCGTCTTCGCTAAGCCCGAAGAGGACGACCTGGTCACAGCTACCGGCAAAGCCATCGCCTCGATGCGCGCCAACAAGGTGCGCACCGAGCTGTTCCACCAGCAGGTGAAGAGTATGTATTCGTGGACCAACGTTGCCATGCGGACCGAGCGCGTGTACAACGGTATATCCGGCGCGATTAGCGAGGCTGAGTTCTACGGGTACGACGCTGCCAATGGCGCTGGGAGTTGGAGCGCCACACGGGGCCGTTCCGGCGTGCAGAGTTTCGCGCTCATCGACCGGTTGAAGAGATACTACGGATGTGGTATCTGGGCCGGGAAACTGTTTTGTCTGTGTGTCATTGTGGACTATCTCATATTCTTGGCGCTGGAGTTGTGGTTCCCGCGAGAGAAAATTGACGTTTGTCCCGACTGGCCAAGGAAGGAGAGAAAGGTAGATGGGAAGGATGCAGGGTGAATTGGTGAGCGAAATGGCTGGCATGTCCTGGGAGAATTGAGAGCCTTGTCCAAAGCCTTGTCCAAACATTCGATATCAACTGCGGGGCTCAACGCCTGAGCAGCCCAATCAACTATGCATCTATCAGCTGCGGGGAGCCTTTTCCAGGCAAGTCACCATCGTCAATGTCGTAAAAACAACTACAAAATAATTCCTTGTCAATTCAACGGTTCCGTTCATCCATCATAGGGGTTTCCAAGGCAAGAAAGATATCGATTAAAGTTCAAAGATCCCGAGTCAAAAGATCCTCCCGAGTTGAGCAAATCCCCCATAATGCAGCAGTCCCGAGCCCCAGGTTCCTCGGGCCTCACAGGCGGCGAAGTACTGAATGGCGTCGTTCTCCTCGAAGACTGGCCCTCAGTTGGCCTTAACAAGAGATCGCTGTTGGGGAAGCTTTCATGAAGCTGGACGCATCCCAAGTATCGAAACTCTCACCTGACGCTCTCGGGGAGAAGTTACGCCGCCGGCCGCAGGTTTATCACGACTTGTCGGACGCGGCACGGTCCTGTCTGTTCCACGTTGTGGACCACAATACGATGCACCTACCTCCGAGAATCTCTCAAGCGATTTACGGAGAATTCTTCGATGGCTCCTACGTGTCACATCCCCCCTGTTACATCACCAAAGAGTCTACGTGCCCGTCATCTGTACCAGACGATATGTGGCACAATACCATTCGGGCGAGAGAACATCATCAAGCTTTACAGCACCTTGCTGGACGATGGCTATGACGGCGTTGCCGATAGCCCCGTCAAGGCTGCGGTTGAGGCGATTGAAAATTATCGGGATGATATACGCCGCACTGCGGAGCGTGTCCGCGAGTGGAGGGTCAAATACGAGGCGGAGAGCGGTCGGCGGGCTAAATTGGAGACGACGGTGCGGGAACTCACTGCCAAACTGGAAGGGTTAACGGCACAAATTGATCATGATGGTAAGTTTCGAAAGGACCCTGCGAACTTAGAGATCAAGTCATTGACGTAAATTCCAGGAATCAACCTAAGCCCGCTGCGCAGCCGGCCGTCCAGCCCCTTCAGCTCTTCCAACATAAATGACCTCTTCCACTCCTCCGGGCCGGCTAAAGAAGAAGAAGGACAAGGCCCCGATGACCGGACCTCCGCCGTCATCAAGAGCCTCGCTAGCCAACACACCGCTGAGCTGCAGCAGCTCATGCAGGACTACGAGACTCAACTTGCACAGCTGCGTGTTGCGCACAAGTACGACAGGCTACGGGATGAGAGACGCCACCTGGAGGAGTTGGAACGGTTTCGAGAAATTGAGGGGTTACTAGTGAAGGAGGTTGAGGTCGAAAGAGAGAGGGAAGAAAGGGAAAATCTAGAAACAAAAGTAAAGGAGGTGGCAAAGGAGGACAAAGAAAACGGTGGAGAGGAGGAGGTAATAGAAGAGGATAAAGAAAACGATATACAAGAGGAGAGGGAAGAAGAGATGGTAACGAAGGAGGGGGAAACGGAAGAAATGAAAAGAATAGTGGAGGAACAAATTAAGAGGGAAGAGATGGCAGTTATAAGTACCATGAGGGAGAAGGCGGAACGAAAGGAAAGGGAAGACGAGACGGCGACGGAGAAAGGGGGGAAGGGAGATATGGAAAGAATAGTGGAGGAACGAACTCAAAGGGAAAGGGAGAGAGAGATGGAGAGGCAGATGGAAAGGGAAATGAGGCGGAAAAGGGAGAAGGAAAAGATGAGAGAAATAGAAAGGGAAATGCGGCGGAAAATGGGCCAGTGCAGGACGAAGAAGATGATGATCGAGGTGGAAAGGGAAATGGAGCAGAAATATGGGAAGGAAACGATTAGGCAGTTGTTAAAAGAGTATTATGGTGAAAGAGAGGTATAAAGCGTTCATGGCGCTGGTTACGATTTGCAGCCGATCTTGGATCGGAGGAAGAACAGGAGAATCCATTTGGGTTAAATCTGCAGATATACTGACCCCGGTTGAGGATAGACCCAAGCGGGGAGGATTCCATTGTGGATAGGGTCAGGTCAATATGTTCCTCGAGTCATAATTAAACCCCATTACAGAGCAAGAGGACCATGGCATATGACCTGGGAAAGAGGGTGCGTTGGATGATGATGCATGGGCCGTATTGAAAAGAAATTCAATGGTAACGTCTCCAAAATTTCTCAGTTGGAATGCTCGAAGCTGTCCTACCTTGGTAACATACATTCTGGTATATAATTACGCATACCCGGTACGCAGACCATTACTTCAGCCCCCCGCTCAACAATACACTCTGCCCAGTCAAATACCCCGTCTGACAAAACATCAGCACCACATTCGCCACCTCCTCCGGCGTTCCCAACCTCCCCACCGGAATGTTCCTCACATCTCCCGGCGTGCCTTCCACAAACTTTTCATCCGGAATCATGCCCGTGTCCCCAATCATCGCCGGCGCCACGTCATTCACCGTGATTCCATCCTTGGCATGCTTCCCCGCCAAGCTCTTCATCAGCCCGTGCAACCCAGCCTTGCTGGCAGCGTAATGGCACCCGTTAATCCCGCCTCCGCGCGCGGCAAGCGAAGAAACGAAGATGATCCGACCCCATCCCCGGGCCGTCATGCCCGGGATACTGAGCTTAGAGAGGATGAAGGCTGCGCGCAGGTTGACGCTGAGCGTGTAGTCGAACTCCTCGAGACTGATGTCGGCAATGTCCGGGATGCGCTTGCCGTGCCCGGCGTTGGAGATGAGGATATCTGGGCCGTCTTGGCCGTGGGATGTGCGAATGTCGGCGAAGAGGGTTTCGATGTCGGAGGCGGAGCTGACGTCGACTTTGTGCATGGATATGCGGCCGGGGTCAGTACGGGGTGACTGTCTCGTGTGTAGGGACGCGAGCTCGTTTCCGAGATTGAGGATGCCGTCCTTGTTGCTGGAGTATGTCAGGGCGAGGTGGGCGCCCTGAAGGTAGAGCGCTTTGGCACAAGCAGCTCCGATCCTAGGTGTGTTAGGTTAAATATATTGGTTTAAAACAAGGCCTGGAATCCAGGGCAAACCGTTAATACCCTCCTGAAGCACCTGCTATTACGGCGAGTTTTCCCGCGATCTCGTTATTGGGAGCAGGCATTTTGGTCCGCAGTGCTCGCTTAAATTATGCCAATATTTGTGTGAAGTAACTCAGACATAGAAGCCTCCGTTGAGATTATCAAGAGTTGCTCTTGTCCTCTACTTGACTAATAAACTTATTGGGACCAATACTGGATGAGATGAACCTCAGAACCGTTGCGTGTGGTCAGGATAACCCCACCAAGACCCTGCAGAATACCCCGCAGCGTCAGAAACGGCGCCGATCTGACGACGGCGTTCTCGCCACGGGCAACCTCCTAAGTCAAAGAGCATGTTAGAGAGGCAAGAGGCAAGAGGGGCGCGGGAGTAAGTAGGTTGGAGTCAGATGGTTGGAGATATTATGGGTTGAAATGCCCAAATTGGGAAGGTATCGTTTCGCGCAGTGGAGACTCCATTTTGAATGTGATATTTATTTTGCCTCTCAATATTCTTCAACGGCCGTTACCGCAACCCTCACCAAAAAAAAAAGAGAAAGAAACACAAAGGAACAACTCTAAACACCCCATTTAAGTCTCAACACCGGTAAAATAACCCGTCAACATGGGCACTTCCGGCACACCCTTCATCGCCCTCCTCGAGCCCACCGCTCTCCCCTGGGAGCGCCACTCCCCTCCCGATGAGCAACCCCACGCGGCGTCGATCCCACGTACTTTTATCGACGCCATGAAGGTGCGCACGGAAGTCTTTGTGCAGGAACAGCAGATCCCTCAGGAGAACGAGTTCGACTCCGATGACGCCCGCTGCGCGCATTGGGTCATCTACGCCTCTGTCAACAAGACCGTCCAACCCGCCGTAACCGACCCGGCCACGGGCGAGATCTTGCGCCCCCGCCAAAGCGAGACGCAGTCGCTGCCTATCGGCACGCTCAGGCTGGTGCCGTTCCCGCATGCTCCGCACCCTGTCAACGGCGGGGTTTATGTTGATGAGAAGTTGGTTTCCGTGTCTTCCGAGTCTTCCACGGCTTCTACTACAGTAGCAACCTCAACAGCAGCAGCAACTGCGTCAGAAGTCACCGAGTCCAAGGAACCCGCTCCCATTCCCCCAAAACCTACCTTCGCCCCAGATCGTCCCACCGCTTTCCACGACGGCATCGAGCCCTACGTCAAGCTCGGCCGGCTCGCTGTGCTCCGCGAGTTCCGCGGCCGCGGCATCGCCGCCCAGCTCGTGCACGCAGCACTGGACTGGATACGGACGCACCCAGATTACTTTGACCCGAGCCCGACCGAGCGCGGGTTTGAGCAATTGGGGATGGAGCAGCCGGGGAGCGCGGCGGCTGGGGTGCCGGCGACGCCGCCGAAGTGGAATGGGTTGGTGTGTTGTCATGCGCAGGAGGGTGCGGTCAAGGCTTGGAAGAGGTGTGGGTTTCAGGTGGATGAGGGGATGGGGAAGTGGTTTGAGGAGGGGATTCCGCATGTGGGAATGTTTTTGAGAGTGGAGGTGGATAGGAGTGTGAAGAAGGTTTGAGAGGAAAGGATTTGCGTTGAATTGTTGCTTTATTTCATTCCTTGGGCCTCGGCTTATGTCTCGGCCTGGTCATAGTGCCGTCTTTGGGGACTGTCTTGATACAGGCTACGGGCTAGATCGCGATACCATTTTCATCGTCACTTCTTTCTGTCACGAGCATCGGGATAGAAGCCATTAAACTCCACGTTATGAGCATAGCACATGACCACACACCACAAAGCCACAAGACGCCGTTCTTGTCAAAGATCACCATTTGCCCCCATTTTTGCGAGACCCTAGTTGTGCCTGTGTGACAAGAATGCCATGCATCCCAGACCGTAACGCGCAAAAGTAGCCCCGTAATGATAGCCGTAAAACCTGTCCCGCCCCGGTCCAATATGCCTTCCACCAAAATAACCCTTTACCGGTTGCTCTTGGCCACACGCTCCAACTCGTCCTTCTTCTTGATGGCGTACGAGTTGCTGCTGCCCTTGGCAGCGTTGATCAGCTCCTCAGCAAGGCACTCGGCGATCGACTTGACGTTGCGGAACGACGCCTCGCGGGCACCGGTTGTGAGGAGAGCGATAGCCTGGTTGACACGGCGGAGGGGCGACACATCGACGGCCTGCCTCCGAACGGTACCGGCAGAACCGATACGGGTGCTGTCTTCGCGGGGGCCGCAGTTGACGATGGCGTCAACGGCAATCTGGATGGGGTTCTGGTCGGTCATAAGGTGGATCTGGAAGCATTGTTAGCAGGGTCTGTGTCTCGTGTCCCTAATTTCCCCAAAAATCTCGAGGCCGGTCCTTACGATCTCGAAAGCGTGCGCAACGATGCGGACGGCCAACAGCTTCTTGCCGTTGTTGCGGCCGTGCATCATCAGCGAGTTGGTGAGGCGCTCGATGATGGGGCAGTTGGCCTTGCGGAAGCGCTTGGCGGCATAACGGCCAGCAGAGTGAGGGAGGTAGACCGGGGACCGGATCTGAATGTAGTCGCTGCGAAATTCCCATTAGCCTCCAAGTCCCGCTGCAACGAAAATGTATCCCTCCCAAGCGATTCCGTCCTCCTCAATCGGAAAGTGGCCCTTGTTGTCGTCGCAAAATTGGAGAGTGTGGTCTTACGTCAGGGAAATGTCCCGGATCTCAACATCCTCGTAGCTCCAGCGGTCTGCAATTGGCAACAGGTTAGTGATGTCGTTCCCTAGATCGTGTTTTCGGTCGTCGACGGCATCTCGAATTGCGGTTGCGCGGGATTGACGTACTGAATAGCTTGACGCTGCCAACCTCAGCGAGGACCTCCTTGGGGAGGACCTCGTAGCTGGAGGAGGCGACCTCGACTTCACCTTCAGACATTTTTGCGGTTGTCGGTTGGCTGAAAAGCTGAGGGTGGTGATGGATTAGGAGTTTGGCGTGCAGAACGACCGACACAGAAACCCTTGAAGCGTTGGTGGTGGTCGTGAATTTTTTGGTGGCCCCGCCAAGAGTGGTCTGGGCGGGCGTGCAGCCACTCACAACGCCACAATTGGTTAGGGCTCGGTTAACCTAAGCTTTGGCATCCGCCGGCGTTCGCGCTCTCCAGCCAAAAAAATCCCCGCCTTTGCGGCTCTACCATCGACTCCAACCTTCATTCAACCACCAGAACATACATTCAAAATGGCTCCCGCAGCAGCTGGTGCGAAGAAGCAGAAGAAGAAGTGGTCCAAGGGGAAGGGTAAGCGCATCATTTTCGCAATCGGAGCCATTTAACGCATCGCGTCGAACGACCACTAACGCTGCCATCTCCAATCCAGTCAAGGACAAGGCCCAACACGCCGTCATCCTCGACAAGGCCACTTCCGACAAGCTCTACAAGGACGTCCAGTCGTACCGCCTCGTCACCATTGCCACCCTCGTCGACAGGCTTAAGATCAATGGCTCCCTCGCTCGGAGGTGCCTGAAGGACCTGGAGGAGAAGGGGCAAATCAAGCAGGTCGTGGGTCACAGCAAGATGAAGATCTACAGTACGTGGTGTTTTTGAAGTTCCAGCGAAGAGATGCATCGAATCTGGTTGCTAACGAAGAAACCGCAGCTCGCGCTGTCGGTGCGGCCGAGTAAACGTCCCATAAATCATATCGACGGGATCTGGCAGGCGTGCGAAATGCGACTTTGGTAACGGCGGTTCGCTTGGGGTTACGGTTACTCGGGCATGGTTACGTCTCTGGGATTTGGGATTCATTTGCAACTCGGTCGGTGTAGCATAGGGATCGGAAGTGCTCCAGGTTCCTTAGACTGGAATTGCATCAAGATACGAACAAACGCCGCCGCTTCGCCCTGCCAGGGCTGAGTTATGATCAAACTGTCGAGCGTACCGAGATGAATGCTGTGAGAGCCCCAGGGCGTTGACGACGTCCCGAAAAAAGGGACCGAGCGTGCTGGTGAGCATGAAGAATCAATATCCTTCAATTTTCCGCCCATGACCGGTTCCTCTCCTCATCCCTTTGTGAGACAGGCTTGTTTGGCCGTTGGACAGTGTCGACGTCCTGGAGGATGTTTGATAATCCAGGCATCTCTCACCGAGTTGCGTTTGCCTTAGAATGCAATGACGGTTGCATCTAGCCCACTAGCTATGTGACGATGCCCTAAATTCCCTAGGCAGTGCCTGAAGGATGCATTTCCAGCGCCACAGCCGCAAAACGGCTGGTTGCAAGATCAGGGCAAAATTAGAACGGGCGCTTTCCGTTGCAACCAAAATACCTCGTCGGCCTGTTGCTCGTTCGAGTTGTTGACTGCTGAATATCCTTCGTCTGGGAACCCTCAAGCCTCGAAGACGACTTCAATTCCCGAGGTATCAGCCAAGCCCTACCTGGAGATAAGAGCGGCCAGTTGTGGATCTCGCGTGGGATTGGGCTTTTTTGGGGGTTCTGGAAACAACACCAAAAAGTTTTCGAGCTGGGTCCGATTGTGGCGATGCCATTGGTCGCGATTGTTCCTCGGGAGTTTTCGCCTCGTGGAACCATTCAGCCGAGCAGGATTTCAACAACAAGAGCAAACCAACCACCAGCAACCTGGTGCGAATTTGACTTGGGTATTCATATTTATCAAGTAGACAGGTTGAGCTTTACATAGTATGTAGATTCTAGTAATTGCCGTGTCCCTTGACAACCATCACTCACCATCACTGGTTCGGTAACAAAAAATCTGATACTTGAGAGACCCATCTGTCGTGCGGTGAATGAAATTCCCGTTAGGCCGTTCAAACTTTGCTGTTGCAACAAAAAGACTGGGCCCGTCGGGCTTTGCCGGCATTGCAAATCCGTCGCGCCACTGGCAACCTCAAGTTTGGAAAGAACCAACGCTGCCCAGTCGTTACCGTGCCCCCTCCAGTGGCTGGGTCTCACTGGCCCGTGCGCGTAGCGGGACCAGGGGCCGGAAAGACTCGCACCTCAAAAGCTGATCGCTGCCGAGCTCGTTGCGAATTTTTTTCCCTCTTCCCCCCCCATCTCCCAGGCTCGCAGAATTTATTTTCGCGCGACATCCTGCAACCTCCTCGACTCTCACAGCAGAGCTTGGATTACCCTCTCCACTCCCTTCTTAATTTTCACAGTCGCTCTTGATCAAACCGTCAAGATGTCTAACAAGGAGGATATCAAGATCTTCGGCATGCCGGTAAGTCGCCGCAACCCCTCGTCTCGAAAATCGCTCGACCCCCTGGAAATCGTCGGACTCTGCCCTCGGCGAGCACCGCTATCCCAATCGCAAATGCCAATCGGTGTTGAAGAATGTGTTCGATGCTTGGTATTTGCGGTTTGCGAACGCTTCGTGAGCTTGGGCCGGCCGTCGATTGCAGGGGGATTGGGTGGCTTTGGGGCAGCAATCGATGAAACGGCATGGACAACCTGCTAATACGTATCCTTCCAGTCCTTCGTGGTCGACTTCCTGAGTATGTGAAGCCCTCGTACCTTTTTGCCGGATTGACGGCCTTCCGATCGATTGCCATCGCTGCCGCTGGGCGACTGTGCCGCAGCTGGCCCAACGATAAAACATGATGCTGACATTCCCCAACAGTGGGTGGTGTTTCCGCCGCCGTCTCGAAGACTGCCGCTGCCCCCATTGAGCGTATCAAGCTCCTCGTCCAGAACCAGGTACGTGCAAATCCAAGGATCGCCGTTTTTGTCGATGGTCTCGGAATCGAGCCTTGAGCCGCAATTTGCGACCACGGTGCCGATCACAACGATCGATGTCACGTGAAAATCGCGCTTGTGGCCCGGCAAAAAAATTGGCATCACATCGTCCGATAGTTTGGGCATCAGGCTAACCCCCACGCAGGATGAGATGATCAAGGCTGGCCGTCTTGACCGCCGCTACAATGGTATTGCCGACTGCTTCCGCCGTACCACCGCCGACGAGGGTGTCATGGCCTTGTGGCGTGGCAACACCGCCAACGTCATCCGTTACTTCCCTACCCAGGCCCTGAACTTCGCCTTCCGTGACAAGTTCAAGAAGATGTTCGGCTACAAGAAGGACGTCGATGGCTACGCCAAGTGGATGGCGGGTAACTTGGCGTCCGGTGGTGTATGTTTGGACCGTTCCCCAATTCTCGTAGGAATCATTTGCTGACATGTGCTAGGCTGCCGGTGCCACCTCGCTCCTCTTCGTCTACTCCCTTGACTACGCCCGTACCCGTCTGGCCAACGACGCCAAGTCTGCCAAGAAGGGTGGTGAGCGCCAGTTCAACGGCCTGATCGACGTCTACCGCAAGACGATGGCCACTGACGGTATCGCTGGTCTGTACCGTGGTTTCGGTCCCTCCGTCGCCGGTATCGTCGTCTACCGTGGTCTGTACTTCGGCATGTACGACTCCTTCAAGCCCGTCGTCCTGGTCGGCTCCCTCCAGAACAACTTCCTCGCCTCTTTCCTGCTCGGTTGGTGCGTCACCACCGGTGCCGGTATCGCCTCGTACCCCCTTGATACCGTCCGTCGTCGCATGATGATGACCTCTGGCGAGGCCGTCAAGTACAAGAGCTCGTTCGATGCCTTCCAGCAGATTGTTGCCAAGGAAGGTGTTAAGTCGCTCTTCAAGGGTGCCGGTGCCAACATCCTCCGTGGTGTTGCCGGTGCTGGTGTGCTGTCGATCTATGACCAGCTCCAGGTCCTGATCTTCGGCAAGGCCTTCAAGGGCGGCTCTGGTTAAATTGCCTGAATTACTGTACAAAATACCATCCATGATGGGAGCGGTTGGGCGCTAATTTCGGCTGGAGTGGTGGATTCGGCTGAGGGGATGTCAGGGCGTTCGGGGACGTCGAGCTAGGAGATGGGGATCCTTCGTGGCAGGCAGCAACAACGCTTCTGGACGTTGGGTATGCGGGGTAAAAAAAACTGGGCATATCTGGCGTTATTTGGGACGCGGATGGGCCGGTCACCCGCTGTAATTTATACTCTTTGAGCCATTCCCGGTTATTCCTTGCTACCATCTGGCGTGGGGTCTCCATTACTTCGCGTGGGTGTTTCCATTTGTTACGTGCGACTCATAGATCCCATAGTACAGGCCAATTTATGGTGATTTCTTTGCTCCTGGGCTTTTCCCATGAATCCATGAATTTGACCCCGTGATGGGTTTTATAGTTGACCCATATTGGGCCGAAGCGCGTTACGTAAGATTCGCGAACGCGTTTACCACGTTCACTAAACACACCCCTCAAACACCCACCACTTCCCACAATTGGAACTCACCAACATTCTGCGTTCACTCTCCGAGATATCACTGTAAATTCATCAAAAGCACGACCACTAAAACAAAAACATACCTTGTCCCCACCCACAACCCGACAAGAACAGCAACCCCTCCCTCTGACAATGCCACCACGCCCACCAGCAACATCAGCCGCAGCATCGGCATCCCGTGGACAAAACCAAGCCCGAGGGCGTGGACGCGCACGAGGCCGGGGTGGTGCGTCCGCTTCCGGCGCGACGAGAGGAAGAGGCGGCGGAGCTAACGGAGGTACACCCTCACGAGGCCGGGGAGGAGGTGCTGCGCGGGGGAAGAAACGGTCGCTTGCTGCTGCGGAGGAGGAGGAAGACGGGCAAGGGGAAGGAGATGGGGAAGTGGTGGAAGTGGAGGATGATGAACCGGAGGGAGTAGTGGATGATGAGGATGAGGATGATGATAGGGGACGGATTCCGCCGGAGTTGTTGACGAGGATATTACATTCGTTTTTTGAGAAAGAGGGGACGAGGATTACGAGGGATGCGAATGCTGCTGTGACGAGGTATATGGATGTGTTTGTGAGAGAGGCTATTGCGAGGGCGGCGGTGGAGAGAGAAGGGGGGTTTTTGGAGGTGAGTTTTCGCGGATATGCGTATTTCGACCTGGTTTGGGTGGGTAAAGCTAACGTGTGGTGCAGGTTGAGGATTTAGAGAAGATTGTCCCGCAGTTGTTGATGGATTTGTGAGCTGACATGGTCAGACATACTTTCTAGGGATGTCCTCGGCGATGGGCTATGGATACCAACTGTTGGGAAGGTGGCTCATCTCGGTGGTTTTCTCCCTCGCCAACCTAGAAGGGCCATAATGTGTCCTTTTGGTTAGCTCCGCGGTGGACGGGGTTCAGTCATTCGGGTTTATCCTAAGCATGGTGGTTGGCTTAGGAATGTGGGCGGTGGCCAGTGTTCCTCCAGAACCAGCAACCTCGCCACCAGGGAACGCTCCATTCTATCACGGCAGCCGTTACGACACGGCCCACCAGGATGAGCACTCGAGAAAGACCACAGCGTCCTCATTTGACCGAAATCCGCCAGCATCTCAGTTGACAGAGGGAGATCATCAAAACTTGCTCAGCTTGAACGACGCACGGGGCAGCGTAGGCCCATCGTCGGCCTGTTGTTTTGGGAGATGAGCATATTTCGAGTGGGTTGGGTGAGTTGGGGAACCCAGCGCCGAGTTACGGTTCCGGTGCCCATTGGGAGCCTCAGATTGGTAGTCATACAGAAGGTCCTTTCGAAGTCAATTTGTCCTCTGGCATCAAGGCCCATATCTTGTTGTGCCACAATTGAGGTGTAATGAAATAAGTTAAATAGAGTCAGTTCTTAACATGAAGTGATCTCAAACGCTTGAAAAACTCCAAATCACCGTTGCCGCTTGTTTTTCCCGAAACTTATTTCCCAGTCACCTTATTACTGTATTCCATGTAGCTTTCCATTTTAACTATATCCATATAATTCTTCATTCTTCACGTTAATGTAAGTATTCACCTCTTCCTTGGGCAGCGATACCATGTGCACCAACTTCTTCCAAGCAAAATGCAGTAAATCATACACATCATGTTAGCTTCTCGCCAGGCCTCATTCTTGACCCGAATAAAATATTTTCGGCGGCTCAAAAAATTCCAGGAGCCGAAGCGCTCAGTGGCGGGTTTGAAACTCCAAGATGTTTGACATGTGTCAGAGGCTCCGGCAGAAGGCCATGCACCCCTGTCGACGACCCCTTCTGGGCGGCCATGTGGGGCAGGTTAGTGGGCGGTTGAGGCGGTCCAGGCGCTTCCCCTCCAAAATGCCCCACGACAAGATGCGGCGCAGTGTGAGAAAGCGCAACCTTATTTTCGGCTTCTACTTCGTCCGGTCGAAAAAGTGCACGATCTCACCAACTAGTTGCACGCGGGGCCGCTGGCACAGTCCGGCCCGTCAACGTGGTCGAGGCGCGGCACGCATGGGCTGACCAGATGAGGGATGCTCATAACTTGCAACCAAGCCCGGCAACTTATGTTTCCGCTGTCCAGCGCTTTTTTATACTGTTGCTCAAGAAGTGACAATAGGTATCGACTCCGGAAATGCAACAGCCTGTGAGGCAATCGTTTAGCAGCAAACCATGCTTGGGCGTTTCTAGGCTGGGCATTATTCGTCCCAGCGCGGTGCTGACGGATGAGACTAAGCGTTGAAACGTACCAGGTATTGTCGGACTCGCTCGAGTTCACCTTCATCGCCGTTTTGAAGAAAGGCAACGCCTGACAGGAGGCTGCCTCTCAGTTCAGACACGCTTCACCTGAACAAATGAACCTTGTCTTGGAAGAGGAGAGCGCCCTCGAGAATTTGTTTCTTGTTTTCCCCGTCTCTGGCTCTTCTGATTCGCCACAGCATGGCATCAAGTGCGCTAGACTCGCAAACTGTCGTGGGCAAAACCGTCGTGATGTTTCAAAAACTTCAAACATGACCCCGGTCCCTGCATCAACGAGAACAAAGCCCCTTACAACTCGGCCCTCCCAAACTCACTACTGGCGCCTCCGCAACTCGAACTCGCCGCTGCCATGGCTGGGGGTTGCTGCAAGTCGCAACACATCAGACGACCCGCCGGCCTTCCCCCAGGCCCTCTCGGAAACTCTTATAATTCATGCCGTCCTGATCTTCAGGCCCGGTATTCTTGCCCCCCTCCCTCTCCTTCTGTCAGTATCTGTGGATAGTCATCAGCTCGAGGTCCCCGTTTCTTTTCCCCCGCTTCTATTCTTTTTGGTGTTCGTCACCTCTTTTTCGTGTAATCTTCATCGTGACACAGGCTAGTCCTGTCTATTTCGTTCCGTACATAATAAGCGCGAGTCGCTTTTGTTCTTCAAGTCACTCTTTTGACGACGGGAGCTGGATATTTTCTCTCCGGATAAAACACATAAACAAACACCGCAAAGATGCAGTTGACAACACTCCTCCTCGGCGCTCTCGCCAGCGTGGCGTCCGGTGAGTACTACAAGAGGAAAACAGCCAGCTAAACCGAGGACCACAAACAACTGACAGAATTTCACAGCCCAAAAAACCTGGTCCGTCGCCGTCGCCATGAACGGCAGCCTGACCTTCTCTCCCAACCGGCTAGTCGCCCAGCCCGGCGAGTTCGTGCAGTTCCAGTTCCACGCGGGCAACCACACGGTGACGCAGTCGACCTTCGACCAGCCGTGCCAGCCCATCAACCAGCACAACTCGAGCATCGCCGGCTTCCACTCGGGCTTCTTGCCCGCCGCTGCCAGTGCCGCCCAGGGCATGATCCCGACCTACACCATCCAGGTCAACAACACCCAGCCGCTGTGGCTGTACTGTGCCCAGGGGAAGCACTGCGAGAATGGCATGGTGATGGTTATCAATGAGCCGTGAGTCCCTCCCTACCTTACTGTCCTAAAACATTCACACAAACTAGAATACTGACACCTTGTTCTCCTCAGCGCCGCGAACAAATCCCGCACCCTCGAGTCCTTCAAGGCCCTCGCAGCCGGCGCCTCAACCGTCGTACCGGGCGGCGCGGCCGGCGCCGGTGGTACCACCGGCACTGGCACGACGGATGGGACCAACCCGTCTGGCACGGGCGCCCCGGCCAGCGCGTCGTCACCTGGTGCTGCCGGCGTGGTTGGTGTGCCGGGTGGTATGGCGCTTGCTGCGGCGGGTATGGCGGCTGTGCTGTTTTTGTAGGGGAGTGGGAGTGAATAGGGTTGAGTGGAAGAGGGGTAATGGGGAGTGGAGGTGGTTGTGAAGGGTTGTAGATACCTGGTGTGGCGGTGGTGATGTTGGCCTGCATTTTTTTCTTGTTATAAGCTCACAGTATCTGTACATGTGCCTTTGTTACAATTTGCGTTCGACTTTGGGTGTGCCAACCCTGGCAATCTGTGGTGTTTTGTCTTAGTGACTTTATTTCCATATGTGAAGCGCAAAAATATCCAAACCATCCCACAACCAGTCCACCGTCTATTCGAACCCTCGTCCTGCTAAACTGCCTATTGCTTCTCCTTAGGCACAACCCTCTTCTTCCGGCCCTTCGCCGCCTGGTCACACAACTGCCTCACCGGCTCCGACTCCGGCCAGCCCTCCGGCCGCTTCACATACCCAACAAAGTCATACTTGGGACTATTCTTAAAAAAATTGACCCAATGCGACAAATTATCATGCACCTTCTTCTCCGCCTTAGCGCGCTCCTCCTTCTTCAATTCCGCCAACTCCGCCGCCGTCCAATGCCTATCCACAACCGGGTCGTCGATCGGCAGGTACATCTCCTCGACGCCGCGCATGTCGGGCGTGCGGTCCTCGGCGAAACAGCCCGTTACGTAGGCGCGCGCGGCATCGACGCCGGAAAAGTATTGGTAGGAGCCGCCCGGGCCGTAGGTGCGTGCGTTGGAGGACACGTCGTAGATGGTGCCGTTGATGGCGAGGTAGAGCGGCTTGGAGGGGTCGCTGCCGTTGTAGGTGGCGAGTTCGGAGGGGGTGAGGTACAGCGGACCACGCTGTGGGCGGGGCGGGAAACGGTCAGTGAGGTGGCTTGACTTTGTCGAAGTGGGAAAGGGAGTGAGTGAGTGAATGGGACTTACCAATTGCTTCAACCACCAGTCCGTTTTGAGGTATCGGGGTGCGGTGGGGAAGCCCCAGGAGTAGGTGTCGCCGCTGGACACGAGGTAGCTGAGGCCGATGTAGGCGAGGACCAGGAAGGTGAGAACGCGGAAGGCATCGAGGACGTGCGAGCTGTAGGACTCGCTATCCTTGACTTTTTGTTTCGTGGATTTCTGCTTCGGCTTCTCCGGGGAACTCGCATCTTGCGATTCAACGGGCTCAGGCTTGCGCCGGCGGGCAGAAGCTTCTTCGGCCATGTTGGGGATCGGATTCGAGCTGCGTGTCAAGCACCAAAGAGGCCAATTGGGTGGATATTTCGTTGGAATCGACGGTGATATCGAGGAGGGGAACTGGCAACGAACAGGAAGAGAGAGAAAACAAGAGAAAACGGCTTGCTTCAAAAGGACGTATAACACAGCCCCAAACGGACAAAATTCAATGCTCCGCACCCAAAGTTGCCAGATCGCCGACGGCTTGGCCGGATAAGCGAGGCTGAAGTGGGATGAGGATGGACTCCAACTCCATCGGGACAGCAATCCGCTCTGTGCCAATTGCGTCGGCCTGTTTGGGGAAAACGCATGCGAGGCTGCGGACTCCACCCACTTCCTTTCCCGGAATTCTGTCGCCCATGGCAACCTCAGCACGACCCCCTTATCGAAAAAACGGACAGCCATTGGCGCAATCCGGGGAACTGGGCCCAGTAAATATTTCCAGCAAATTAAACCGTTGCCCGCCAAATCAACGGGCAGTTCCACACACAAATCCACGCACGGTCACGCGCAGTACGTTAAACTAACAACCAGGACAACATCCAGGAAGAATCCGATTTTGAAGGTATTGTGCTCGCACCACAATAGTTATCGGGCTTCTCAATTGCATCTTGCATCATCAACCCACAACAGCCAGGCATAAGGTTCTTCAGCTTTTCTCCCCGGTAAAATCGATCGATTGCCCGCAATTTCTCGGTCAGTCGCGGCATCCGTCGCATCCGAATTATTCAACACGCGTCAAATCAACACAATTCACTTCACAACACAACGACAACATCCTGCAACGGCTTGCATGAGACACCAATAACACAATTCCCAAACCCCAGCACTCGACGATGTCTGATCCGTCGAGTCCTGGAAACGGCGGCGGTCAGCCACTACAACCCGTGTCTCTCAACACACCGCGCGACTCGCACCTTTTCTCACCTAACCAACAGGAGCGCATGATGATGAAGCTGGGCGAGAGCGCACCAGCCCGCGACAGCTCGGTGCACGAGAGAGTCCACCAATACAATGCTATGGAGCAGCAGAAGAGGGCGCTTGAGCGCAAGGCAGCTGATGCAGCGATGCAGCGTGCGGCACTGCAGCGCGCCATACTGGGTCGCGAGGAGGCCGAGGCGGAGATGCGCCGGTATCAGGATGAGGCGAACGGTCTTAAGGGGCAATTGAAAGAGAGTAAGGAGCGGGAGACGGAGGTTACGAAGAGGTTTAAGGAGTTGAAGGTACGTTTTCTGCACGTTTTCTTTTTGGCGGGTTGAGGGAGTGAGTGCTGACAATAGCAACAACAGGAAAACTACGACCGCTTTAAAGAAATGCACCTACACGCCGAAGACAATTGGAAACAACAGGGCCGCCGCGCCCATAAAGAGAGATGCAAGGAGCAGAGTGCGCTGGTAGGGGCGCAGAGCGCGCTGGCCAAGGCGCAGGAAGAGTTGAAAAATAGCCTGGCAGCTCAGAACGCCGCTGAGGAACAGCTTTGCGCTGAGCGTGACCGTGCCGACGTCCGTGAACAGGAGGCGTTTGACGCGCAGTCCAACATGATCGCACTGCAGGAGAAGCTGGATCGGGCGCTGGGCCGCGCCAAGATGCTAGAGCAGGAGCTGGAGACCATCAGGGTGCTGTCAAGGGAGGAGCGCAAGGTTACGCGTGCTGCATCGGAGAGCGAGCAGGAAAACTCAGACAAGCCCCGGAAACGCGCCCGGCGGTCGTCGGTCTCAGAGTTTGCGAGCGGGGATCCGGAGATCGAAACCATGACGATGTTGTGGGAGTGGGAGAAGCAGCGCGCAAACCGGGCGCTCGAGCAGGTGGACTTCCTCCAGGCCGAGTGCGAGCTCAAGATGTGTGCCGCCAGCAAGGATCTGCGTAGGATGTCAGTGCAGCGGTCCAGCACGCGCAAGCGGAACAGCATGCTTATCTCGGACGCTGGAGACACGATGATTCTTAGCGAGAGTCGTCCCACTTCGGCGAGCGAGAGTCGTCCTGCTTCGTCTGAGGGCAAACCCGGTTACTCCAGGCGGACCAAGACGGAACTATACCGGAAAGCGAAGAAGGAGAAGGAGAAGGCGTCCCGGCGGAGCACCATCTTCCTACCAGAGGAGGGCATCTTCCGCACCGTCTCGGAGGCGGAAGCCGAGGCCATGCTTGCTGCCAGGTCGATTGCTTCGTCAGGTGTTACGGTTACTGACTCCAGCTCAGGCCAGCCCATCACACCTACTGACAGTGATCCGCTATACCGCCGCTCGCCGTCCGTCGAGCCCCCCGATTTTGCCGTGGGGAACAACAAGGAGCGGACGTCGCTGTTGTCTCTGCTTAACGCGCCCCACCGACAGGAGCCCACACCGGTGTTTAACATCCCGACCACGCCAGGCCCTGTTGCAGAGGAGCAACATGCCCACCACCAGCAAGACGAACAAGCGGACGAAGCTGAGGAGAAGGCATCAACCCTCCTAGCCACAACCTCCCATTACCCCGCGGAGCACCTCATCACCATCCCAGAGCCAACCTCCTCCCTCTCCGGCCCACTCACCGACCCTCTCCCGTCAACCCGTACCTCAGTCCAACAACCCGCCCGCCCCCACACCACCACAGCACACTACCCAACCACAACAACCACCACCAAAGTCCCTCTCCGCTCCGAGCCCACCGCTGACGACCCGCCCACACTCGCCCAGCGTCTCCTCAAGGCCCAGCGCACACCCTCGCGCCAAACCGGCCGCATCGGCGAGGAAGCCACTGAGGGTGACTTAGAACAACAAGGCGAAGCCGTCGACCCGGACAGGCCGAGCTTCGACGCGTCCAACCCAGCCATGACGCCCACCATGACTCGTGAGGAGGCTCTCGCCCAGATCCGAGAGCGTAGGGGTCGGACGAGGAGTGTGGGGCGTGTAGGTAGCGGGGGGAGTGCCACTGCTCCTCCTACTGCCTCTACAACGAATACCACCACAGCCGAGGCTAAGAGCTCCGTGGCAGAGGTGAAACGGGCCGGAAGTACCCGTGACCGTACAAATGCCAGCGACGTCCGACGCACAGGTAGCTCAGCCGAGATCCGTCGTGCTGAAAGCCGCGCTGCTGGCGATCTCCGTAGAACCGAGAGCCGTACCGCCGGCCGTGAAACCCATCGCCGCACAGAAAGCAGAGCCACTGGAGAACTCCGCCGTACCGAGAGCAGGACTGCGGGCCATACTGCTGGTGGTGGAGAAAACGTCCGTCGGAAGGTCTCAGCGGGGACCAGCCAAGGGAGTGCTGCTGCTGAGGGTGTGAGGAGGAAAGTGAGCAGCGGGGAATTGAGGGGACGGGATCGCGATGTGAGACGGGAGGTTAGCGCGCCGAGTGCTACGGGGCATACGGCTGCTACCGCTGCACGGGCGGCTGCTGGGGTGGGTGGGGGAAGACGGATTCGTTCGTGAGAGGGGACTTGATGCTTGTGATGGGATGGAGGGGGTGAGGCGAGGTGAGGGATTAATGATGGCTGGGTGGGCTGTGTTATGCTGTTGGTTCTATTCGGGGATTGGGTTGGATTAGGCTGGCTGCTCGATCTTTGGGCGAGGCTGATTCCGGGTTGGGGTTGGGGCTGTTTTGTTTTTGTTGTTGTTTTTATCGTGTCTGTTTGTCTTAATGACACACCCACTCGTGAGCCAAACGCGGCTCACTTCCATTTGTCGTCAGGGTATGTTTGGGCCGGAGTTGCCTGGGCCGTTTTGGCGTAGGTCACCGTTTTTTCGGATTCATGATGAACGGAGCAAGGCAGGACAAGGCAAGGCAAGGCATACATACACACTGGCGTTGGTTGGTTGGGTTTTTAATCGGTTGGGGCGCTCTCTGGAATGAATACCCATCTCTCTTTTAGGTCGTCTGGGCTGTTCTCCAGCCTTTGTTTTTGCTGTTCTCTCCTCATTTCTGGGAGGAAGGGTTCCGGTTGATTCAAGGCCTCTGGGTTGGCCTGCTTGTCTGCTGTGTTATCACCATGTTTTGCATTGGACAGCGAGGGGCGTCGTCAATCGGGATTTTTTTTCTATCATGGTTATCATGGTTAGGGGTGTTAATTTATTCTTGATTGTTCATGATTTGGCGTATCTGCTATGCTGTGTGTTGGTTTTTAACCTTGCTTGCCTCCGAATATGTGCCTGGTGTGAAAATGTAATTGAAAGGAAAAACAAAAAAGTTGCTTCTAACAGGAATCGAACCCAAAAAGAACTGAGCTGTGGTCAGACAGGGGGCCGGTCAGTGTTTCGTCCTGGGACAGTATCCAACTAGGTACACAGCTGGACCACTACACCACGCACAATTTTTTGCTTGTGGTGTATTGGTGACTGAGTGGACTGCACTGGGGGGTTATATAGTGCTTGTTTGTTGTTGATCTGTTTCTTCTCCCACAAGTCACCAAAACAAAGTTCCGTGAATTGTTTTCTTATTTCTTATGCTTATTGTTTATTACATATTTTTGGTATGCTGCTTCCTTGATGGGTATTTCGACGCTATTTTCCAGTTTCGATTTCTTGACCTCATCTATTTCTTCTCAATGCTCTCCCACCTTCGGTGGTGCCTACTCACATGCCAAACTTCAAAATATTTCGCACCTTCCTTTCCTCCCAACCAACAAAAATGATATCGGGTTACCTATTTTAATTCTTACAAAGACTAAACCAAAACATGAAGTCAAAGTACACTAGCAACAAATAACCACACGATATTTCACCTCATAAGTCATTACTCATTACAGACAGTCTCAACACATCCAACCAAGCACCTCAACTCACTCCTGCTCACCCCCAGCCAAACCCCTCCCAATCTTCCTCTTCACCCGCCTTTCGACCCTGCCCCTTGCCCATTGACTAAAAAACCCACCTCCTTCTTCCCATTCCCAGTCCCACCACCACCACCACCACTAGCACTCACCACACTACTCGCACTCCCACCACTCACCACACTCGACCGTCTCCTCTTCCCTGATCCTGACCCCGTCCCCGCCCCAGCCCCTCTTTCCACCTCCCTCAACTCCCGATGCAAATACCCTCCTCCTCCCCCTCCAGCCCCCGCACCACCCGACCTCACAAAAGAACCAGTAGGCGACACCGGCCCAGCTGCAGCCGCAGACGCAGCAGCGGCAGCGAGTTCCTTCTCAGCGTCGGATATGACAGATGCGGGGAGGATGTACCCCGCTGCGAGGGTCGGATCGTCGTCATCGTCTTCGGGGTCGACGGAGAGGTTGATGAAGGCTGGCCAGACGGCTGTGCCGGTGAGGAGGTCGATGGGGGTTTCGTCTGCGGGGGTTGGAGGGGGGGAGGAGGGGGGGTTGTTGGGGCGTTGTTTTCCGGTGCTTTTGGTTGGGGTAGGTGTAGCGAAGGATTGCCAGCGATATCTGCGCTTGGCAGCACGGCTGGACCCGAGGTTTGGTACGACGAGGATGTCCCATGTTTGGATATCTCGCCATGTTTCTAGGGCTTGCTGGCAAAGCTTGTGGACGTCGATTTCGAAGCTGCTCCGCTTGGATGTCTCGACCACTGGGCTGAGCAGCGTGATGATGGCTTTAGCCGCGGCCTTGGGGTTGCCTTGCGGGCGGCACATGGCTTGGGTAGTTTTCAGGAGCACCGAGCGGAGATGGCACTCTTGGTATGGGTCTATCCCAGCAAGGTCGGTCGACAGTTTGTTCACGCCGGGGTACTCGTTGAGGTATGTTGGCTGGAAGATGTGTTGGCACAGCTCGAATCCGAGGACGGAGATGACAAGGGCTGTACGGGTTTGCTTGGCGAGGAGTGAGTTGGCCAGGAGCAAAGGGATGGGCGAGTCTTTCGAATGGTGCTCGCTGATCTTGGTCCAGTCGCCGGACTGGGCGAGGACCTCGGTGGGGAGGTGGTAGCCGAAGAAGGTGCTTGCAAGATCACGGGCTGCAACACGGAGGCTCTTGAATATGTCGCCCCTGATATCAAAGATGGTTAGGTTACATGGGTTGTAAGAAGTGGAATCCGCGGCAAACTGACAGTGATTCAGGACCGGGCGTCACGTTGAGGTCCAAGAAGCAGGTCCTTAGTCTGTCTAACTCGGACGTCTTCCTTTTGAGGTCCTTCTCCATTTTTCTGCGGCCTTCTTCATGTTGAGCCTCGAGGGCGACTATCTGCTGTATGCTCTTGTCAAGGCTCTTGGACTTGTCCGCGAGCTTAGCGTCCGCCGCTTGCTTTTCTTTCCGAAGGTTCTCAAGCTCGTCTGTCGTGGAATCAAGCTCCCTCTTTGCTTGCTCTGCCTCGTGCATGAATCGTTTGCACAGATCGGGGAACGTCTTATTCTCTTCCGTAAGCTTCTTGTTGGCATCCCTTAGTTGCGCGTTGTCCTGTGCGATCCGGGCAATACGTTGAGCCGAGGGTCGTTCGGTGAGAACCCGAATGGCCGTTTCGAGGTCGTTGTAACCGTCACTCTCCGCGGATGAAGACATCTTGTTTCGTGGATTCGGCGTATTGTTAAAGGCTTGGATTAGAAACAAAGAAAAACGACAACGACGATAGGCTCGGGCTCAAGTCAAACAATGGAGAGCTGCCGAGGTCCCGTTTTATAAGAATGGCCCGGGATCTGGTAACCCTTTTGGCCACTTGTTTGCTTTTCATTACCTTTTCCTGTCTTTTTCTTTTCCTAACTTACCTTTCCCGCCATCACGCGACCCTGGCCGGCTGCCTTGCGCGAGGCCATTTTTACTACACGAGATTGACAACCAACAATGGCTTTGTGCACTCCCAACTGCAAGGCAGACAGCCGGCCGGCTCGGCGCGTTGGCCCACTCCCCCGGGCCTCGGCCGATGTGGGTGTGTGGGAGGGTGTGGTGAGTTCAGCCTGCAAGAGGCCTCTGCGCATTGTTGTTCCAGTCAGAGGCAAAGTTTGAGATGTGATTGGAATTTGGAGTCACTCGAAAGGCGAGGCTGCGGGCAGCATGGGCAAGAAATTGGCCATTAGTTTCCTGAGGGAGGGTGGTCGCCCCGCGGCCGGCCTATCGGGCGCTTGTTTTGACCAACAAATCCCCGTTCTGCATTGGGACTGAGATCCCTCGCGACGGCCGGGTGTGTTTTCCGTTTGCGCTTTGGAGGGGTGCATGGATGGCTTCGTGATTCTTCGTTTGTCGACTTGTGACTGCAAGTCGTGATGTAACTGGGTTCCCAGGTCTTTGGCTGCCAATCAGACACTGCTACGTCGTTGCATGGTAGGCCTCTCCCGTCCTGTCCTGCCGCGGCAAACGGATTCGTCAACGGTGTTTCGAATCTTGAAATGGTGTGTTAGGTGGCCTGCCGCTCACGTCAAACAATTTGATTGATCATGGATTCAAGAACTTTCTAAGAACTTCAAGGGCAATTCCTAGGAAGTTCCAGGAATGGACACCTTCCAAGGTGATCACCTAAAAAGTGAAAAGTGACATGTATGTTGGCGGGGTTGCTTGTGCTGCGCAGGGTTGGTGATTTACGGATATCTGAGTGCAAGTTCTGCCTTGGGGGGTTGCCTCGTGGTTGTTTCTGTGTTGATGTTAATCAGCGCGTTCCCGGAACGTTGCGGTTGCTCGTTGAGGGTTGTGTTCCATGGTTCAAGTTGCAATGAGGTTGGGGTCTTGTTGTCCTGCTTTTGCGTTGATAAATGTCTGGGCTGATGGTTTTTGACAACGTTCTAAGCGCGATTAGTTCAGTGGTTAGAATTCTCGCTTCCCATCTCATCTTGGACCAGCGAGTGACCCGAGTTCGAATCTCGGATCGCGCAGCGTTGAGCTTCTTTTTGCTAATCCCCACTTTTTGGGGTCACCTTCATAAACACAAACTAAGGTGTTCCCACATTTTAACAACATACCTTTCCCGTGGGAAGATACACTCCAAAACCCCAAGAGACTGAAGAACCGTTGTTGAAAAGACCCTGCACTGAAAGAGATCTCGCGTTAATCCCAACCTTCACTGGGTTAGTCGCCATGTAAGCTGAGAGCCGCCCAGAAGGGAAGGAGCGGCCCCCTGGGCGACTTCCCGGCTGTCACGCGGCGCAGCACGGCCAGGAGCAGGAGGCAAGAACGGACCTCAACTGAATTCATTAACTAGGTCTGTTCAACTTGTTAGCTTTTTCCCTGGAACACCAAACTCCAAAATGCATACAAGATGATCTCCATTTTTGCGTTGGCCGTCACCATCGCCCGGCAGGCCCGGCGCTTGGTCCGCCGCCATCGCCTCCTTTTCCAGGGTCTCACTCTGGCCCTCCTATTCTGTGCCCTCGAAGCACTGATACACGTGTACAGGCATAGCATTCCGCGTCCATCGCACGATCTCGACGCACCGTTTGCGACACAATGCCGTGACCCGCGCCTCGAGGCCGTCAGCCCTCGTGAGAATGCCGCCTTGGTCATGCTCGCCCGCAACTCCGAGAGAGATGAGGCGCGTGAAACCATGCGGAACGTCGAGGCCCAGTTTAACCAGTGGTTTAACTACCCTGTGGTTTTTCTGAACGACGAGCCCTGGGACGAGGATTTCGTCCGCGAACTTGAGGAGACAGTCAGCGGCGACGCCATCTTTGAGGTCATCCCCAGTGCGGACTGGACGTACCCCGCGTGGGTTGATCAGGAGCGCGCTCGCCAGTCCATGGCTCAACAGGACCGAGCCCGTGTCTGGAACGGCGGAAAGGAGTCGTACCACCACATGTGCCGCTTCTACTCGGGCGCTTTCTACAAACACCCTGTTTTGGCCCCCTTTAAGTGGTACTGGCGCATCGAACCTGGCGTTCGCTTCACCTGCGCCCTTACGTATGACCCGTTCGCAGCCATGGCCCGCAACAACAAGGTCTACGGCTACACCATTGCGCTCTGGGAAGAGCCCAACACGTGCCCGTCTCTCTTCCGCGAGGTCGATAACTTCCGCGCCGCCCACGACATCCCGAAAACCCCGAGTTGGAACGCCATGCTTGACACGCCAGCGCCGTGGTATCTGCAGTTGTACCCAGTTCGGCTACTTCTTGGCCTGCTTAGTGCAGCGCACACGTCGTGGGCCGGCGATCGCTGGAACCTGTGCCACTACTGGAGCAACTTCGAGATTGCCTCCCTCGATTTCTTCCGCAGCGACTCGTATCAGGCCCTGTTTGATCATCTTGACCGCAGCGGTGGTTTCTATCATGAGCGCTGGGGCGACGCTCCCGTGCACTCGTTGGCTGTGCACCTGCTGCTTAAGCCCCATGAGCTGCACCATTTCTCTGATATTGGCTACCACCATGAGCCTTTCTTCCAATGTCCCGGTAACGCTCCGGGCGATGCCCAGCTACCGGGGAACGAGGCGCTGGCCGCCGCTGCCGTAGGTTCTGCTGGGTGGAGTCCTGAGACGGACGGGGCCATCGGCTGTCGATGTCAGTGCCTAGATCGTCGGAAGAGAAATAACCGGGCAATTTGTCTGGAGAAGATGGGTAGGCCAGCGGCATACCATCGGCCGGGGTGGTGGGATCGATGGAAAGGGCGGTTGCCTTATGCCATCGGTGTGGCGGGGTGATGTGATGGAAAGATAGGTATACCTTTTGGATATGTGAGCGGGATAGTCCAGATACCCAGATACCCAGACATATTGATTCGGTTATGGACTCAGCCATCAGCTTCTTGCATGTGTATTGGACCATGTGTTATTGAACTGAATTCCCGTTGAGGGCAGACTCCAGATTTACTTCCAGGTAAGCCCCATGTTGACATCCTACCGCTCAACACTACAGCTTGCTAACACACCCCGGTTCAATAGCCTCCAGTTCCTTCGCGATGACCTCCCAAGTGTGCTTTTGCTCCTCAAAGTCACTCTTAACCCAGTCAGGAAGGTCCGGCCTGTTCATCTTCCGTTAGCTCACAGTTTCATCCACGCGTGTACTTATCCGGAATTCCTGAGAACTTACTCTCCGTCCACGCAAGAATGCAACAGATGGCCATGGCTTTCCGGCCCAGCCACGGCCGCGTGAAGCAGCGTGCGGCTACCATCCTCGGCCGTCCGGCCGAAGTTCTTGTGCAGGTTCCGCAGCCTCTCGGCGTGCTCGGGCGAGGCATTGCGACCGAGGGTAGTAATGCAGAGGCCGGGGCAGACGAGGTTGATGATGACGCCGCTGCCGTTCTGGTCGAGGGGGGCGATGACGCGAGCGAGATGCCGGGTTGCGAAGGTGGTGGCTAGTTTCGAAAGGGGGTAACTGGGTTGTGTTAATATGCCGGAGATGCAGGGAGAGAGGCATAAAACTCACGTCGCGACGGGGAACATATCCTCCGCATCCATCCCCTTAATCGGATCCTCCCTAATCTTCTCCCACATCCCCTTGGTATTATCATCAAACGCGCCCCGGCTCGTGACAATCACCAGCCTCTGCACGCCATCCTCAAAGTTCCCCTCCTCCCAATTCGCCTTCAACTTGGCCGCCTTCGCCCGCATCACCGGCACCAACAACACCGCCAGCAACAACGTCCCCAGCACATTCACCGTCACCGCCTTCACATGCGCCGCCACCCCTTCCCCATTCACCGTCACCACCTCCCGCACCGAAGGCGCCAATGCCGCATTCTCAATCACCGCGTCAATCCTCTCCAATTCCGCCTCCGCTTTCTTCACAAACGCCTTCACACTGTCATAACTCTCCAAATCCAACTGCCACACCGACACCACGCCGGTACCGCCAGCTTTACCCTGAAGCCCGCCCTCAATCTCCGCCTTGGCCGCCTCCCCCTTAGTAACGTCCCGCACGGCGAGGATGACACGGCCCGCGCCGAGGGAGGCGAGGTGTTTGGCGGCTTCGAGGCCGAGACCGACGTTGGCGCCGGTGACGATGAAGGTTTTGTTCGCGCAGTGGGAGGGGGTGGCGAGGAGGGGGAGGTTGTGCGCTTGGGTGGCGACTTGGGTTTGCATGGTGTTTTGGGTTAGGCGGAGCATTGTGGCGGTTGTCAATGGATTTATTTCTGTGTGGGTGTATGCGTGGGTGGGTGTGTACTTTCTCCTGTCAAGAGGTTTGTTTTTATTATTGGTCTTGTATCTTGTTGGTAGTTGGGAGGTTGGGACTATCTCCAGGTGGTTAAAGCCAGATCTCGAAAGGATAAAACAACTGACAAATGATCAAGGAATTAAAGGCAGATACAAGACTATTACTATTTTTTAGACCTAAACCTTCAAAACACCCGCTGCAGTGTCACCGTTCCAACCGCTTCCCACCTCACGGCCCGTTACCGGTCCAGCCAACTAACTGCATAGACATTGGTAGTACTACCCAGGTTTTGACATGTCTTTGTTAAGCCGCTGCTAGATCTCGCCAACTACGCGAGCCGTCTCTCGTAATGTTCTTAGAAGACCCGGTGCGCCAGCTGATCCTTCGCCCCGCTCTGCTACGACCTGGCCCGTGACGACGCGGGTATTCTGTACAGTGTAAACTGTGTTTTATGCTGTCTTTTACGTTTCGAGATTGACGGGAACGGGTTAATAGCCGGAGTTTGCGGGCTTAGTGAGTAGCTCCGTATGCTGTTAGGGTGCATTGTTTGGGGGTTTGGTGTAACCAGCAGAAAACGTGGGCAAGCCTGAAGAGGGAAGACGGAGGCAGGGCGGATGAGTTTAAATAGAGTTCAAGCTAAGTTACTGTTCCGGGGATAGCCCGGGGATGTTGAGCTCGGTTTCTTAGCATCAGTGAGAAGGGAGTTCACGGGACGTCACCCAGACAGGGACTGTGGTTTAATTTTACTTTTCTTGTCATTGTGTCATTGTGTTTCTGCTAATCGTTGGGACTTCTCCTATAAACCCCACCCTTTAAACATAGTAGTAAACCTTCTCGCAGCTATGGTAGTTGTAGCTGGGACCGGCAGTATGGTCATCCTTGTGGCCAGCAAAGCTCCGGTAGCCGTTCGAGCCAGATCTATACAAGAGAGTAGTGTCAGCACACACATCAGAAGACTATCTAACCCCCACAAGCACAGGAGTCGGGGCTGAAAGGAGAACGTACCCGACAGAAGAGTAGTTAGGCTGCGACTGGGCGTTGGACGGGATGTTCCAGCTGAACGTCACGCCGGTAGGGAAAGTGCACGACTGGCTGCTGCCCTCCCAGATGTGGTAGACCTCGGAGCTCGAGGAAGTGCCCTTGACGCAGACGTTGTCCGACGGCGGGCTGTAGCTCAGGTTGCTGCAGTCGGAGTCGTTGGCGCAGTACTAACGATGGAGTTGCGAAGTCAGTGTCTTGAGGCCATCACTAGGGTGGGTTATTCGTTCGGGGAGGGCATATTTACCACGACGATGGAGAGCCAGGTCTGGGGAACACCGGCACCGCCAAAGGGACGGCAGTTGAACAGGTGAATGCCCTCACCGCGGGTGGCAAGAGCTGGGGAGGCGAGCGCGCTCTGGGCCAGGAGAGCCGCCGAGGCGAAGAACTTCATGAGGCCGACCATTGTCTGTGTTGGGAATCGCTGTTGAGATGTTGTGTTGATGGGATGAGAAGATAGTTCGATGGACCCTGGTATTTCTGCTGTTGCTGAATAAAACTCAACACCACGACGAGGGCGCAACGCCGTCTTTATGTACAACTTCCCCAGCGGCGGACCATCCAACCCATGGTTAGACCTCTTGCCTCCCTCCTCACATTACCTCTCTCCCATCGTGGTCTATTTTGGTGTTTACCCTCCGCATCCGGACAGGCTCCCAATTGCCAACCCTCTCCAACGCCAGCGCGGCGGTTGCTGAGTCTGCTCACGCATCTCACCCCAGCATCGTGAGAAACAGGTCCACGCCAAGTTACATTGTCCACAGGCAGCAAGATGGAAAGCAGCCTGCCTACACAGTGATAGCCAGAGCTGGGCCTAACTGAGGCGATGAGCCCTCAGGCCAACACGCTATAGGGAAAGCATGGTGAGAGAACAGCGTTGAGGCCTTGGCGGCGAGCTCCGGAACAAGATCTTACTCAGATGCGTGGGCCAATAGAGCTGTTGGATTGGACGGCTGCTTACTCACGCCCGTTCAGGTACTCGACGACGCGGGGAATAAAATTGGACGTGAATTGGGGAAAATGGTAACCACAAGGCTGCTCAATGGTGGTTGCAGGGTCTATGGGTGCATTCGATAGTGCTGACAGTGGCGCTGTCGGGCCGTGGTTTATTGCAGGACGGGAGACAACACAACGATCGAGTTGTGCATAAATTATGGTTGAAGTTGCCATTTAAGGTTCTGGAGGAGAAAAATGATTAGTTCAAGCCCGGGAACCGAGTAATTGGATAACTAATCGTTAGGAAATTGTAATCAATACGAGAAACCCGCTTGGGTACGGAACCTCAATTCCGCATTTAGATGTAAAGAGAGTTGCGAGTTAAAGAAGCTTGAACTGACAGGCGAGACCACGAATAGGTAGCCTTGGCTCAGGGGCGAGGTTGACCCTAACCCTGATATAGCGTTGAGATTTGTCGACTTAAAAGAGAAGACAATCACGGTTACATGTACTTGATTTGTTAGGTGACTTGCATGAACTTCATCGGTTTGCCCACGCAATCCAGTTGTAGCAAGATTGAGTTTTTAACAGCAAGATCAATGTATTATCATACAGCTCTGACGCTAACCGCTACCCTTCAGCCCTGAACCGAGCAAGCCGGTTTTAGCTTAGAGAAACCCGAACGAACTCAACGCATAAACAATCGTTTTGGTCATGGACACATCAATAATAACACACAGCGCTGTACCCACAACCCCCCCACCCAGTCAGCACTGAATCAAGCCTTCTGCCCCTCCAACCCCTCCGACGAGACCGAATAGGGCTTCTAGCTCCCGATATCGGTATCCGCCAGGCCGGAGTCGATGCCCAACTCAGCCTTTAGCAGGTCGCCTAGTGTCGACCCGTCCCGCAAATACACCCAGTCGCCCCGAGCCGTGTCCTGTTTTTCGTGCTGGCCCTCACCGAAGACGACGTAGTCGTAGCGCTTGGGGCCTGTCTTGGGCGATGACAGCCAGATTTGCTTGTTAGGCGGTTGCTTGTTGATCACGTAGGTGCCGATCTCGGGGCCGAGGTTGAGTGTGAGGACGCCGGCCTGGGGGGGCTGGGTGTTAGTGTAGTTCCGAGTGAGGTATAACCTAATAGATAAGATGGGCCGGCTGTAAATGGGGTTTTTAAATGTGGGTGCGTACGGAGAACTCAACATCAACCTCCTCCTGCTCATCCTGCAGCTGCTCCAGCCGCAAGAGCAATTTGTCGAGGTACTCATCCGCCACACTGTGGTACTCTCCATCGCTGATATCTGCTGGCGTCTTGGTCACGGGCGTGGCCTCGGCATTCTTGGGCGCCTTGGCATCTGGGGTAATGCTCTGGAAGTGGTGGGGAGTAGTTGATACGGAACGGCGAGCTGTGAAGACGGATGCGGGAGCGGCCGAGGGTGCATACTGGACCGCAACGGGCGAAGCCGCAAGGCTGGTGCGCGCAATGCGCGTGCTCTGCAGGCCGCGGTGGGCAACACGTGCGAGCTTGGAAGCACTTGAGCGCGCCATGGTTGAGGCTTTAGGTGGGATCGAGGCTGGGCCCGGAGGCTGGATAGTTCTAAACAATTGAAAACCTGGGTTGGCTGTCGAGATTGAGTCAAACTATACGACCGGATTAGATAGATCGTTCGGTTGAACGGTCGTAATTTCGCGGGGAAGTGGTGTTGCGTGAGCCGAGTTCTGGAAGCTTTCGGATATCGAGCTCAAGGACCCACTCGATCGACCGCTGCCGGTAGGGGTATTAAGGAAATTGGACCAATAAGCGAGCATAGTTCCTTGGTGCACGGACCATGACCCCTCCAAGATCCCTTCCTCGTTGCTGTGCACGTCATCCCCCGCGACTGCCTCCGTCAGGAACAGATTCCAGGTGCAACCAAACCTGTCAGCTTTGAACGCGGCTTCAGATCAAATCAACAAACGCATCTCGGCCGCAAATCGTTATGACCACGCATCCATAGCCCTCACAACTCCTTTCGGTCTTAGTTTATTCCAAGGTTGTAACCATGATCAACGCGTTCCTCGTCTTTAATGGCCAGGGCCAACCGCGGCTCACCAAGTTTTATACCCAACTCGTGTGTCCCCATCCCTCGCTCTTACCCTTATAGCCATTCCACCTCTCCTTCCTTCCCAGCATCTAACCACCCCACCACACCACAGGACACCTCCATCCAACAGCGCCTAATCTCCGAGATCTTCACCCTCGTCTCCAACCGACCCTCCGGCTCCTGCAACTTCCTCCCACTACCCCCTCTCCTCGCCGCCTCCTCAACGAGCAACACCTCCTCGTCCGCCCAAGAACAAAACGACGTACCTTCCCTCGTCACCTACCGCAACTACGCGACGCTCTACTTCATCGTCATCTCGACCTCGACCGAGTCCCCGCTGGCGCTGATCGATCTGATTCAGGTGTATGTGGAAGCGCTCGATCGGCTGTTTGAGAATGTGTGCGAGCTGGATTTGATCTTTAACTATGAGACGCTGCATGCGACGTTGGGGGAGATGATTGTGGGCGGGGTGGTGATTGAGACGAATATGGAGCGGATTGTGGCGGGTGTTAGGGCTCAGGGGACGGTTGCGAAGAGGCCGGTGAATGAGGGGAGGACGGGTGGTGGGTTAGGGGGAACGCTGGGGGCGGGACTGGGGATGGGTGGGATGGTTTGGCATGGGAGGTGAGATTAAAGGAATGAGAGGGCGTCATATGCTATGAACATGGAAGGGATTGAAGCAACATGCGCACTTCCTTTTCAGCAGGATACAGCAAGTTTGTTTGGTCACAATGGATAGAGGGAGGAGAGAAGAACCCGAGTTGGCTGGAGAACCCAGCCGGCCCGCTGGTATATTCCGCGAGCCGGTCATGGCTAAATGCAGGGTTAAGGGTCCCAAGCAGGGTATCCAACGCCAAACGCCAAGTGGTGAGAACAGATATGGTACATGAGAGAAGAAGACGAGTCTCGGCTACGCTGAAGGACGGTTGTTCGTCTTTAACTTGCTTGGGTCGTCGCTGAGGGAGCGGAAGAAGCCAAAGAAAGCCTCGCGGAACTTGGCCCAGGGTCGGGTTAGCAAGGAAGAAACTGGGTACGAGAAACGAGGAAGGATCCATCTCACCGGACCAAACGGATGGGGCAGGGTTCCATAATCTAGAAAAAGAGTGCCCCAGGTGAGGAAAACTGAGAAGCAAGTCAATAAATCAAGGTTCAGCTCTACACAAGGACAACCAAACATACCAGCTGTTATGACGACTTGGAATAACCTTAGAGCCATGTCGAACCTTGGGGTGGCCCTAGCGTCTGTAATCCGCCTCTTGAACTTCTTCTCAAACCTGAATTGCTGCTGCGGCGACATGGTAGAAAAGTCCGGCGGCCACTTCTTTCGGAGTCTATATACTGGGTGTGCTGGGGCCGCGGGAGACGCAGTCGCAGTCGTCGGAACTTCGGCGGCTGACTCGACGGCTTGTGCAAGCCGTCGTGTAAGTGCTAGCCGCCGTGAAAGGGTGGGAAACATGTCAGGCGGTGGCTGGTGTTGTGAGTTGTGAGGACCAGAGTGAGTGAGAGTTGGGTAGAGGACTCAAGGAAAAGAATGCGTGAAGATGAAAAGTTGACCTTGGCGGGCCGTCCAGGCTTCGGCGGCCTGCTTGGATGCTCGGGCTTGGCACCAGGGGGTGTGTGGCTTGATCTTGTTTTGTGTGGCGGGTGTGGTCAAGTTTTGCTGGGCGCAAGCCACATTCTACCCCACATTCAAAGATGCCGGCCGAAAGACCCCGCGTTGCCCCTCCATGCGTGCGAGTCCACAGTGAAGCCCGCCCAAGCCAGCGGAGTCACCCAAAATAAAAATTCCTTGTCTGGCTTGACTCGGCTGACAACCACGCGACATCGGTCTGATTTGCACTTCAAGGAGTTGGAGGAGCGATTCTCGGGACCAATTCGACCGTTTACGGGCCGCACACGATCAAATTCGATTTCTCCGACCAAAAGAGACAAGGGGGAAAACAAAAGGGGAAAAGATAAAACATGGCCGACACGGCACTTCCCAAGGCCATGGCCGACCTTGCCGTTTCCAAGACAAAGGAGCTCAAGGGTACCGAGAAGCGTGATAGCCTTGTCGAGATCGAGAAGAAGTACCAGGCCAAGTGGCAGGAGGATGGAGTCTTCCAGGCCGAGGCCCCCTCGATCGACGAGTACCCCCTCGACTCCATCAGTGCGGAGGATCTACGCGAGAAGATCCCCAAATTCTTCGGCACCATCGCCTATCCTTACATGAACGGCCGTCTCCACGCGGGCCACGCCTTCAGCTTCAGCAAGATCGAGTTCCATGCTGGGTTTGCCCGCATGCAGGGGAAGCGAACCTTGTTCCCCCTGGGTTACCACTGCACCGGTCTGCCCATCAAGGCCTCTGCCGACAAGCTGGTCAAGGAGGTCGAGCTCTTCGGAAAGAACTTCGAGCGCTACAAGGAGGAAGAGGAAGTTGCTGAGCCGGCTCCCGCGGCCCCGGCGGCCAAGGGCCCTAAGGAAGATCTGACCAAGTTCAACGCCAAGAAGGGCAAGGCCGCCGCGAAGACGGTCAAGGCCAAGTACCAATGGCAGATCTTGAACTCGGTCGGCATCCCCCTCGAGGAGATTCACCAATTCGCCGACCCGCAGTACTGGCTCAAGTACTTCCCCCCGGAGTGCAAGAAGGACCTGACCAACTTTGGTGCCCGCATTGATTGGCGCCGTCAGTTCGTCACCACCGACGCGAATCCGTACTACGATGCCTTTGTACGCTGGCAAATGAACAGACTGAAGGAGTTGGAGAAGATTAAGTTTGGCAAGCGGTATACGATCTACTCTATCAAGGATGGCCAGCCCTGCATGGACCACGACCGCAGTGAGGGTGAGGGTGTCTTGCCCCAAGAGTACACAGCTTTGAAGCTCAAGGTTATCGAGTGGGCACCACAAGCAGCCGAGGCGATCAAGGGCAAGGTCCCCGAGGGCGCGTCTGTGTATCTCTGCCCGGCAACTCTGCGGCCGGAGACGATGTACGGTCAGGTGTGCTGCTTTGTTGGGCCAAGCCTGACGTATGGTGTGTTCCGGGCCTCCGAAAACGAGTACTTTGTCATCACCGACCGGGCAGCGAGGAATATGGCTTACCAGGGCATCTTTGAGAAGGATGGTGTGCCGGAAAAGGCGGCGGATATCCAGGGTTCCGACCTCATCGGCACTCTCGTCAACGCCCCTCTCAGCTTCCATCCCCAGGTCCGCGTGCTCCCCATGGAGTCTGTCCTGGCTACCAAGGGCACTGGTGTTGTCACATCTGTCCCCTCTGACTCCCCTGATGACTTCGCTATGGTGACTGAGCTCGCCAAGAAGGCCGACTTTTACGGCATCAAGAAGGAGTGGGCCGAGTTGGAGATCCACCCTATCATTCAAACACCAACGTCCGACCTCTTGGCTCCTTATCTCGTCAAGAAGCTCAAAATTGCCTCGCCAAAGGATGCCAAGCAGCTCCTGGAGGCTAAGGAACTTGCGTACAAGGAGGGCTTCTACCAGGGTGTCATGAAGGTCGGCGAGTTCAAGGGTGAAAAGGTCGAGGTTGCCAAGCCCAAGGTCCGGGAGCAGCTTATCCAGAAGGGAGAGGCGTTTGCCTACTCTGAGCCCGAGAACAAGGTTGTGTCGCGGTCTGGCGATGAGTGGTAAGTTGCGTTTTTGTGCTGGGAACATTGTGGAGTTGCTGACATGGCTTTTAGCACCGTCGCTCTCCTCGATCAGTGGTACCTCGACTATGGCGAGGAGAAATGGCGTCATATCGCTTTCGACTACGTCGAGAATAAGGACGGTAAGGGTCTGGAGACTTACTCGCCGGATACCCAACACGCGTTCAAGGGAGTGCTCGACTGGCTCAGGCAATGGGCCTGCGCGCGGACATACGGTCTCGGCTCCAAGCTCCCGTGGGATCACAGCTTCCTAGTCGAGAGTCTGAGTGATTCGACAATCTACATGGCCTACTACACCCTCGTGCCATGGCTCCACACTGACTTATTCGGTCGGGAAAAGGGCAAGGGCAACATCGGGCCCGAGCAGCTGATTGACGAGGTGTGGGACTACATCTTCTGCAGGGAGAACTTCTCGGATGAGCTGGTGTCTAAGTCGGGTATCCCTAAGGAGACCCTCGAGGGCATGAGGAGAGACTTCCAGTACTTCTACCCGCTGGATATTCGTGTCAGCGGCAAGGATCTGATCCCTAACCATCTGTCTTTCTGCCTGTACAACCACATCGGTATGTTGCCCCTGGAAAGGATCAAAGTGAAATGACGCTTGGGCTAACGAGTTGCAGCTCTCTTCCCCCGCGAGTACTGGCCACGGTCGATCCGTGCCAACGGCCATCTGCAGCTGAACGGCGAGAAGATGAGCAAGTCGACGGGCAACTTCATGACCCTAGACGATGTTGTCAAGAAGTACGGTGCCGACGCCGCGCGCGTGGCCCTTGCCGATGCCGGTGACGGAATTTCAGACTCCAACTTCGTCGAGGACGTAGCCGACAACACTATTCTCCGTTTCTACACAAACAAGGAGTGGATCGAGGAGAACATCAAGGACGACAAGCTCCGCACCGGCCCGCTCAACGACTTCCAAGACATCCTCTTCGACAACGAGATGAACGCTCTCGTCCACGAAGCGAGGAAACACTACGAAGAAACCTCGTACAAGCTCGCCCTCAAGGCCGCGCACTACGACTTCCTCAACGCCCGTGATACCTACCGCGAGGCCTGCAACGCAGCCGGCATCCCGCTGCACAACGACCTCGTACAAAAGTACATCCGCCTGCAGGCCCTGATCCTCACACCCATCGCGCCGCACTGGGCCGAGCACGTCTGGCTCGAGATCCTCCACGAGCCCAAGTCCATCCAATTCGCCGCTTGGCCCACCGTCCCACCCGCCGACCCAGCCCTGACCGCAGCGCGCGAATACGTCCGCCAGACCTCATCCAACATCAACTCCGCCGAGGCCGCACAGCTCAAGAAAATGGCCAAGGGCCGGCAGAGCGACTTCGACCCCAAGAAGCCCAAGAAGCTGACGGTGTTCACGACAGCTGATTTCCCGACCTGGCAGGCCAAGTACATCGAGCTGCTCAAGGAGGTCTGGGACGCCGATGCCAACACGCAGCGGGTCGACGACAAGACGCTGAACGGCCGGATTGCCAAGATGGGCGAGATGAAGAAGGCTATGCCGTTTGTGCAGGCGCTGAAGAAGCGGCTGCGGGATGGTGAACCGGCGGCTGCTGTGCTGGAGCGCAAGTTGGCGTTTAATGAGGCTAAGACGCTTTTGGTATGTTCCCTCCCCCCTCTCAAATTCTGCAACAACCAAATAAAGTTAATACCGTACTAACTCACCATAGGCCATGGTCCCCGGCCTGAAGCGCGCAGCTGGGCTAGAGTCGGTACAGATTCTTGCCGTCGAGGAGGGCAGCAAGCAAGGCAAGGACCTGACGAATAATGGTGCCGAGGTGGAGATCAAGGCGCCTGTTGCCGAGTCTGCGCTGCCGGGGCAGCCAAGTTTCTTCTTTGAGAATGTGTAGGTGTGTCTACCGTACCTAGTAGTTAGGGACGGTGTTGTGGGTGACATGTGGAGCGAGAAACGGATGTGAGTTTAGTAAAAGACTAAAACCGATGATTTTGTGAGAAATACAATAGAAAGTCAAATGCAATATCGGCTCGTTTGAACCGACCTGTGGTCGAAGTTGGTAATTCGGCACGTGCGAATAGTAGTTGTGTAATAAGTATTGATGTCAACATAGGTTCCATTCAGGGATAGCCGCAGGTAAGTGAGGGGTTGTAGAACGGGCTTCGCATTTGGGCGTAGGACGTTTAGCACATGTTAGCCAAGTTTCTCCCTTTCGTCCCATCTCAGAACACGCACTTAGAGTCGAACACATCACATCCCTGTACTCTCGGAGCAGGACACCGCAAGCTAACAAATTATACGAGGCGTGCTTGGACCTGTATCTGACTCGGTGTCTTGTCTGACCACCTGCTTAAGCTTGGATTTCTGGCAGTCGGTATACTCCGGACGAGGCTTCATCGTGACGGCATCACCTCGTTTCTATGGAGACCATCCGGTAGCTACGAATCGGTCTAGGCCAGTTTATAACCTAGACTTCAATCCTCTGCAAACCCACCCCTTTCCTCTCCCGTCCGCTTTTCTATCGCTTCACTCCTGTTGTCTCTGGCCTTGATATCAAATCATCACCCTAAAACAACAACCATACTAGGTCCCATACCACCACCACCACCACCAAAATGCGCTTCGTCCTCGCCATCTCCTCTCTCTTCTTCGCGGGACTTGTGACAGCCCAAGACACCACGACAGTCACCGCCGAGACCGTGACACCAACTGACTCAGTTGTCGTCGAGACCGTCACGGCCACCTCAACGCCGACAGAGGCAACGGACCAGACGCCTACTGCGAGTATGTATCCTTCCCTTCCTGGTGTTATGTACAACCGGCCTGCCTGCTTGCCTTGATAGTTGGCTGGCTGGTCGGTTGTTTGACCGTTCCATCCAACAACCAATACCTTGACCCTGCGTCGCTTGCTCACCTACTAACACCTTCCCGCACAGCCTCCACGGAGACAGCCACAGCGACCGTGGTCCCTGTCAACGCGGCCGACACGCGATACATCGACAAGTCGATCGTTGCCTTGTCGTTTGTGTGTGTGGCTGGCGTTGCGTTCTTTTGAGGCGCGGAGGAACACGGCAACGGGTGGATAGTCTTGCGGGTGGTTTGAGGGGGAGTTTGTAGATAGATGGTCGGTACAAAGGTGTTGTAATGGAGGAGGGATTGGTGCCGGTGCGGTAGCTGGTGGTGATATGGGTTCGTGACTGGCTGTGTAGGATTCCGCTGCCATTTGGGGTACTTCGGCAGTAGGTGATCCATCTAGCTGAATCGCAGTTACTTTAGCCCCAGTTCGCTTCGTTTGTTGTGTTCCCGTGGTGTTTATTGTTCTCGGTCATGGCCATGTGATGCATGTACCTCCCCGGTCGGCGTGGTGTACTCGGCGTGATTCCTCCTCCGGCTCCTACTACGGCAAACCCACTCTCCTTTTCAGTTCGCCATCTAAGCAGTAACAGCAACCTGCTCACCGCCCCCTTGGCCCGGAGGTTTCGGCAAGTTATCCTGACACAAACAACTAGTAAGCACCCGCACCCGACAGAACAAACGCATCAAACAACACAGCGCAAGCGTGAAACTCACCACCTCAAAAATAACCCGAATCATCAGACTACAGCTCGGACACACACCAATGTCCTCGCCGTCCATCAGGTCGCACAGCGCAATCTCGAAGCGGTCGCCACAGGGACACGGGTAGTGGTACAGCTGGCGGGTTTCGTCGTAGGTCATATCCTCGATCTCGACTTCGTCGTAGATGGCGAGGTCGTCGTCGGACATTTTGACGTTTCCTTTTTGTCGGGGTTGTTTTGTTTTGTTGAGTGTGGTGATCAGGCGGAAGCGGTTGACTAGATCGAAGGCGATACGATGATTCGACAAAGGTTGAAAGATGTGATGTGGTAAACTTAAGGTGCAGTGAGAAAAATAATTTTGGCGGGGCAAATCCGCCCATCGGAGCGCGGGGTTCACGCTTAACAGCGGCCCCACTCTCCCCACACAGGACGCTGGAGGCTTGGCGGCCTTCCGTGCCAACGACCGCACTTACATGACATCGAATTCAAGGTGCCATACGCACCGCCCACATCCATTACAGCAGCCACATCACGCTGCAAGAACCTGCCCCAACCACAATAACGACATACGTACTCTTACCCCTAACTTTGGTCCATCACCGGTATCCAATACACACAACTACTCTTCACATCCCTATTTCAATACGACAACAACAAACACAACACAGCCACGACTGACTCCCTACTTACCCCCTTTGCCACCTTACTACTGTAGGAAGCAGGGCTCAAGAACAACACAACGCAACACAAACAGCAAAACAACTATTAAGATTAACGAACGGATGCTGGGTAGGTAGGTAAGGGAAGGCTAGCAGAGACAACAAAACAGAGATAGAGGGAAAAAAAGGGAAACCCTTGACTGGCTCTCCCCCTCAACAAGGATAACTAAGAAACGCAAGGAAACAAAGGAAACTGTGAGAACCAAAACGGCGGTAAGAAATAGACTGTAGACTGTAGTAGATTGTAGACAAGACGGTGGTGTGGGAAAGAAAAGGGGAGTAAGGGAAAAGAAACTATTGACATGAAATAGTTTTGGGAGAGGGGAAGAGGGTGTTAAAAGAGAAAAGGTATCACTCATCGACTCGACTCGACTCAACACAACACGGCCGACACAACCCACGCTCACCACCTGTCCACCTATTCCACCCAACATATCATCCTCGTACTTGACCCCAGTCCGTAGGTACGAGCACCATTTCTCTCCGCCCACAGCTTCAACCCCATCCAACACTCATCCACTTGAATAATCCCTCCCACTCTCATCCCACTTCCCATTCCCACGCAACATCCAGCCCACCCCCCGATTCAACCACTCATTTCATCCCAATCGTACCGTTCCACCCCCTCTTTCGTTCCATCCCATCACCCCAACCCCGAACAGACCCCCTAGATAACCCCAGGATAAGCTTAACAGATCCAAGGCCCAGGTCCAGGCCTAGCCTGCCCAGTCCAAGTCGACCCTAGCCCGACCCAACTGGCGATAGAATGACGACCTAAGATTGACTGGCCAGATAATTGGCTGCCTACAATTTCAAAAGAAACGAACAAAGAAGAACCGTTAGTCATCCATCTCCTCACATAAGGGAACCAACCCAGGCAAGGGACAATCGCATCGGATAGGGAAGGGAAAAGGAGGAAAGGCAGGAGAAAAGGATAGGCAAGGTCAGAAAGGCAAATCTCATCTCCACTTCACACTTCACTCATCTCCTCCACTCCGTATAAGACCCCTGACCACCACCAAAAACACCACCACCACCACCACCACCACCACCACCACCAGAAGAAAAATGAACAGGAGGGAAACCAGAAACAGCAGAAACAGAAGCAAATCCAGCAACACCAGGAGTACCACTCACCCTCTCCAGATTATAATCATATTTCTCCAGCGCAGCCAGCGCCTCCTTCCTTGAGTACCCCATACCCGTGAGATTCTTCAAGATCGGGTCGTCGTGCTCGCCTTCCTCCGTCAGTGCCCTACCGGGCGCGTTCGGTCTACTCTCACCACCGGCTGTTTCACCACCGTCTGCTGCGGTTGTGGCGGATGTCGTGGTTGCTGCTCCAGTAGTGGTGGCGGTACCGATGGCTGCGCCGGTGGCTTGGTCGTTGTCTAGGCTGGTGGCGAGGGTTTGGGAAGAGGCGGTCGGGGTGGTGGCTGAGTCGAGGCCGGCGAAGAGGGCGTCCCAGTCGTGGGAGGTGGACGGTGACGAGGCTGACTCGGCGGGGCCAGTGGCAGCCTTTGTTTGGTTCACAGCAGGAGCACCAGTACCAGAAGGTCCAGCAGCAGCAGCAGTCGACGCCGAGGCAGCAGCAGGCGTGGCACTCGCACCAGCCGTGCTGCCGGCCGCCGAGGTACCCGACAGTGAGCCAAAATCAAAGCTGCTCTCCGTGCCGAACGAGGTGGTGTTGGTTCCACCGCCGAGGCCGGCACCCGGATGCGTGGCATCGCTCTTCGCCTGGCTCGGCGGCGGCGAGCTGTCGAAGACGGGGTTAAAGTCATCGAGGCCCGAGCGGGAGATGGTGGCGAAGTCGTCGTCGGCGGAACCCTCTTTGGCGTCTTCAAGGCCCTCGAAGTCGTCGTCGAGATCGTCGAAGGGGGCGGGGGATTTGGCAGTTGCTGGGGCGGCCGTGGGTGCAGCAGCGGCCGAGGAGGAACCAAAGATGTCGTTGATGTTGGACGAGCTGAGGTTGTTGAGATGCGAGGGGGAGGTGGCCGGTTTGTCGCTGCGGATGTTAGTGCATGTTTTCGTGAAAAAATAAGATAAACAAGAAAAGGAAAAAATGAAATCAAGGCAAGAGCAGAACAGGGACCAACAAATCAAATCAGGCTGATCCGTACCTCACGGCCGGCTCAGGCGAAGCTGCCGCCGCATCAGGCAGGGTCTTGGGCACCACAGGAGACGCCGACCGCGAGCCGATGCTCTTCTCGACGACGTGCTTCGGTGGCGGGGAAGCCGGGGCGAAGTCGTCGTCAAACCCGCCACGCTCGCTCTCGCTGTCCGACTCGTCGCGTTCCAGCTCCGAAATAGGGGGGAACTCCGAGCTGAAGGTCGAGAATGCCTTTGCTGTGTCGTTAGAGGACGTCGCCGCCGTGGGCCCGGCGCGAGCCTGTTTGAAGCTGGCAAAGGCTGACTCGAAATCCTCCTTGGCCTTGTCCTGGTCCACCGCAAACGGGTCGGCCTCCTTGCCACCGGACGATGCAGCAGCAGCAGCAGCAGCAGAAGCCGGAACAGCTGCGGCAGACGGCTTGCCTGTCTCCTCCGAGATGGAACCAAACGCAGGTCGGCCCTCAGTTGCCGACGCAGGGGATGCCGGCCGGGAGCCAGATCCCGACGCTGCCAGACTATGGCCAGTTTGGGCTGGCTCCAAAGGAGACGCAGCCAATGTCTCCTGGTTCGCCGTCTCAGTCCTGCTCAGCGCAGGCGATACTTGGCGCGATGTGCTCAGCGACTCAGCGGCGTCAACAAAGTGCGGGAATCCCGAGTTGCTGCGTCCGGCCTCGGCCAGCGTAGTGGGCTGCTGCTGTTGCTGTTGGTCTCCCGCGACGGTCGGCTGGCGGCTCGCGTTAGGGCTCGTTGAGGCCGGGGTCGCAAACGAGGCGGCACTGCCGGTCGACGCGCCCGTGTTTTGCTTGAAGATGGCAGCTGCTGCAGCTGGAGGAGGAGTGCCACGACCGCCGTTACCACTAGCATTACCACCAGCACCAGCCGGCCCCGGGCCAAACACATCGTCAAAGGCCCGGTCCGTGAACGACCGGATGGGTGGTGAGAAGGTCGAGGTGATGTCGGTGCTGCCCGTGCGGCGGAAGAAAGGGTTATTAGCACTTGCCGTCGACAGCGCCGGGCTGGCCACCTGAGCCGGCGGCGGCGGCGGCGGGGAGTTGGTTGCGCTGATGCTGACCTGGCTAGCCTGGCGCGCGAGCTCCTCGTTGCTGCGCGTCAGGTCCTCGACCTCGCCCTTCAGCTTGTCGCGTTCGCCCTCGTTAGTGGCCAGCTGCTTCCTATTAATCGCCACGAGCCCCTTTTGCTGGCGCGCGTCTGACTTAAGCTTCTCAATCTGCGGCTTGAGCTGCGCGACCTCGGCGTTGGCCGCCCGGATCTTTTCCTTGAGGGCCGCGTTCTCCTGCTGGTCCGCCTGCAACGCCCCCAGCAGCTGACGGTGCTGGTTCTGCAGCTCCTGGTAGCTAGCGTCAACCATGGCGAACTCTCCCTGCAGCTTCTTGGTCTCGTTCTTGGACGTCGTCAGCTGCGTCTCCAGCGCCCGCACATCCTGCGCCTCCTTCTCGTACATGGCCCGCAGCTGCGTCAGCCGCTGCTCAAAGTTCTTCTTCTGCGCGCTCGACTGCGTCAGCTCGTTCTGGATCCCCGTGCGCTGGCCCTGCACGTCCTGCACCTGCTTGGTCAGCGACCCGATCTGGTTCGACAGGTTCGCCAGCTCCGTCGTCTCGCTCGTCAGCTTCTTGCTCACTTCCGGCTCCGCGTCGCCTAGCAGGTCATCCTCAATCGCTGCAGGCTTAGCCGAGGCCGAGGTATTAGACCCGCCCGTCGCTTGCGTGGTCAGGCCGCGCCCAAACGACGACGACGGCACGAACGGCCGGAAGGTGGATGCCGACGGCGAGGGCCTAGCAGGCGACGACGGCGCCTTCGGACTGAGGCTCAGGCTCGACGCGAATGGGTCGCCGGGGGCCGAACCACCGGTGCGCACGGGTACCTGAGCCGGCGCAGGCGGGTGGATGTCGTCCAGGCCGAACAGGTCATCCATCGCCGACGGCTTTTGCTGCGGCGGTGGCGGCCGCGCGGCCGGCGGAGGGTCGAACGCCGAAGCAGAGTTGGCCGTCCGCGGGCGAGCTTGTTGCTGCTGCTGTTGGGACTGCTGTTGCTGCTGCGGAGTGCGCAGGCTCGGCGGAATCAAGTTGGCCGGCAGTGTCGTGGGAAGTGCCGACCCATCACGCTTTGTCCTCTGCTGTCGGATCAGGTACATGGCGACGGCAAATTCATCCCTTGTCAGGCGGCCCTCCGAGTGGACGTCCGCGAGATCCCAGATCTGCGCCAGCGCGTCCTCTGACAGGTTCGACTGGCTGAAGAAAGGCACCGCCTCCTCGCCCGTAATGAAACCCTTCTTGGTCTTGTCCAGTTCGTCGTACAGCTGGTCGAACCGTCCCTTGTCCGCCGGCGTGACGAGCCAGTCACCCGTAGTCTGCGACGAAAGGGGCGGGCGGCCGAGCGGGCTCCCCGTGCGCATCTGCGGGATCTGACCCTGGCCCGTCAGCTGCCTCGGGACCGCTGAGATGGGCGGCGTAGTGCCCGCCGTCGTGGGCGAGCCTTGTCGTGGAATCCCAGCCCCGGCGTTCGAGCCACGGCGCGTAGCCGCCTCGTACAGCGCAGCGGGGAGGATGTTGGGAAGGGCTCGCAGCGCACCCGTCTTGACGGACGTAAGCAGATGCATGGCGATGACAAACTCGGTCTGTACCAGAGCGCCACGCTGCTCCGTGTCGGCCAGCATCCAGATACGGCCCAACACATCGTTCGGAAGACCCGACTTTTCAAAGATCTGCTTGGCCGCCTCACCTGGCAGCATGTTGCCATTCTGCAGCGCCTGCCGCTCAAACAAGCCCGTGTACTGCGACACCTTCTCCGCGGTCAGAGGCGGGATGCGGATCGGCCCGGGCGCGCCCGTCGCTTGCGACTGCAGGGGAGCCTGCGGGGGCGGCGGTGGTGCGGGCGTTATGCTGATGCCATCGAACGTCGGGAGCGGCCCGCCGGGCTGGAGCGCCAGCTCGGCCGTCGGCTCACGGCCGCCTTGCGCATGCCCAATAAGCCGCAGGACGATGCCGAAGCCGGCCGGCGTGAGGAAGCCCCGGTTCTCCTTATCCGCAATCTGCCAGATCTGTGTTCCCCCATCCCCGGTCAGCGTCCTTTTTCTTTCTCGTGTGTTTACCCCTCTTCCGGCCCTGTAACACTCACCTCTCCCAGTACCCGCGAATCCAATCTCGTCTTCTCAAAAAACTTGACGGCAACCTCGCCTGTCACAACCCCCACACCATCGGTATCGGCCTGTCGAAAGAGTTGTCCGTATACGCGCTTCTCTTCGGGCGTGAGGTTCAGGTTTGGCGCCCCTGGAGATCGTCATCTGGATTAGCCCCCGGCCTCCCACTGCTGCTCAAACACAAAAGGCGCAATTACAAACGCAAACGCAAACGCAAGCCAAACACTAGTCGCGACCACACCAGCACGTTTAGCGTAAGAAGCGTAAAAGAAACAGAAACCTACCCGCCTCAACCGGTGTTTCCGAAGCCATGACCAGCGCAAAGCCTCAGCGGCCCGTGTTCGTCAGCCTCACGTCGTTCCCGGCCGTCGTCGCGGCTCCCTTGCGTCAAGGCTCCCTGCGTCGGTGGGTGCGTGCAACAGATGGGAAATTAAACCCCGTTAATAAACGAGAAGCCGACGATCGCAAGCTGCGTTGGGTTGTTTTCGTTGTTGTTACTGTTGTGAGCTCCCCCCTGAGCTGAGTTGAGTGTTGCGTTGCGTTCGTTGGGTTGGGTTGATTTTACCCGCCCGCAGTGGGAAAGCCAAGCCAAGCCAAAAAGGTCGAATTGAGCGACTCCAGCCGCGCGGTCGCTTAACTCCCTCACTCCACAACAACCTGGGATTGGACCGAGCTCCAAACAAGTCAACCAAACCAGAGAGAGAAGGAACGAGTGAGCCCCAGGGAAAGGCAAGAAAAGAGGGGTAAACGGTAGTCTCGTTCCTCCGTGGCGTCTGCAATCGTGCAATTCGACCGAAAGGAACGAATCACATGTATTTCTTACGCCGTTGCGTTGTTGATTCGATGGAAGTCGGGTTCAGATCAGGTTCAAACGGGGAGCTCGCAGCGGTTCACAGCAGCACTTTGAGTGGGGTTGGGGAAAGAAGCTGTGGAGAAGCTCGACGCCAAGCAATTTCCATTGGCAGACCACAAAGCTGTGAACAGCGGAAAAGTCTTGGCAAACAGCGTATTTGGATTTCGTCCCAACTTTGTCAAGGCAAGCAACTCAATTCGAACTTTCAACATACATACCCAGGACTATTGCTCTGATGATAGATGCGGAACTGAGAGGCTCCGTCAGACTGATTCTGTTAAGGACTAAACGAGAGACACGTCTGGCAGTCTTCAAAGAAAACTTTATTAGTTTAATTCCAATATTACAAATTAGTATCCATTTTCCTCGAAACAACACTTTGCTAATTTATCATGTTTTGGTACTAATTTAGGAATCGGGCATGGCAAGCCATTTTGCAAGAAGTTTGAGGTTAGCGGCTTCCGGGAGCCATGAGGAATGTCCCATTGCCGTCAACCTATAAAACGAACTAATTTCAAGAAATATTTAGCCCACGGCGTCGGAATAACGTAACTGGAGGTACGGATACAACTTATGGGAAAATCGGGTACGCCTAGAGTGGTATGTCAAAACGGCGGCTTCTCTAACCGAACTAAGAAGTCATCACGAGAAGACAAGGGTAGAAACCCTCAAAGCACACCCCTTGCCCCTGACACGACCACCGCCTGAGGCTCTATCGGGTTTGCCATCAATGGGTCCAACCCAACCCGAACCCAAAAAACGGGGTTCTACCCATAACCCATATGATTTGGGTATTACCCTACCCACCCATGGGTACCCATAGGTGTATTATTCACTCGTCTAGATCATATCATCGGAAGTCGATCACATAAAGCTGAGCAATAATTATATTAATGAAGTAACTACCCCAATTCAAATACAGACAATAGTATCTCCCGAAGATCAATTCCCTTCCCGTTCCCCACGCCCTCTTTATCCAAGATACACAACCCTCGATAAAGCCTCAACCCCCCCAGCACCCTCTTCTGCAAAACCCCCTCGGATCACACCTCTTACTAGCCGCCTGCAACTCCCCATCACATCCCCTCCCCAACTCTCATACACCCCTGCGACTTATCCGCATAATTAGCATACACAAAATCAATCAACTTACCCTCCCGCTTCAACACCGCCCGCAGCGCATCCAGCATAGCCATCACGGCAACACAGACCCGCTCATCATCGGCCGCGTTGGTGTAAGACACCGTCATGAGCATCATGGCGTAGCCGGTGCGACCGGCCTCGAGGTTTGTGAATAGCTTGGGTCTTCTCGAATGGTGCCACTGCCACGGACACGCGTAAGCTATGAATATCCCCGCGGATTGAACAGGTGGGCGATGATATCCTAGGTCGCTGCGGAAAGACATCGAGAGATCGACGTGTGTGGACAGTGGGCATCGCTGAGAGATGCTTGCTCGTTAGGATCCCCAAGGCTCAAACCTAGCGGTTGTTGAAGCCAAGCTGGCTAGTCGCCGCTAACCCGTCCATCTTGGGGGATTACTGCCGGCCGATCGACCAAGAGGTGGGCGTTCAGGGGTTTAGGGGCCGATGCCGGTGGCACGATCGGGCTCGGCGGGTGTGGTGGACTTCAGGCCCGCGATCGGCTCAGGACGGTCGTGCTGACCTGTGCTTCCCTGGCTCCAAAGTAGTGTACAAGAGAACATGTGAGAGAGAAGTCAAGCTAAGCTTTGCTTGGCAAACCCAAACCAACCTTGCCCTGGTTCAGCCGCGGGCTAAGCCAAGGGAACCCAAGAGGCTGGTTCTTGTCCGTCTGAACTTTGGTCCGTATGACAGTATGACTACGGAGAAAGTCCTCAAGAGGATATGGAGATCCGAGAACGCCGATAGTCCCGAGGCCGTGTGCCGGAGCCGAGCGGCCCGGAATGCGCCAGGGACGGGGTCGAGGCATGAATACGGGGAAATATTTTCTTCTGACTCATTAGCAGGAAGACGCTAAAAGTCGAGAATTACATGCTGTGTTCTGTCCGCGGCCTCACCGGGCGGTCTCGCGCCGCCGTGGTGCATAAGAGTCACATCGCTCGGAGAACCGAGCGTTCGGCCGAGTGTACATACACAGCATGTATTCTGCGATATGTACATTGGAATCCATCAACGGGGTTCTCTCTAGCGCGATCGAGAAAGGCTCTAGCGAGGAATGTGGTGGGGAAGCAGGCGGGGAGGGCCTCGTTTCCGCTGCACTAGCGAAGTTCCAGAGCTGGGAAATATCCGCTCCTATGTGCCTGCCAACCGTTCATTCACAGTTTAACAAGATGAGCGGCTGCGTTGGTGTGAACGGTTCCCAAGGCGAGGGGTTGCATGGTCCACAAAGTTGGGGTCCACAGCTGCCCGGCGCTAGCCTATACTTAGGCACATAGGATTTCATGCTTAACCGTTTGTTGGGACTGTTGGTGCAAGAGCAACCCGCCCGCGGTCAATAATCAATCCGCCGATTAGCCAGACCACCAAGAACCTCCCATATTTGCGCGATGCAAGGGAAGGCACGGAATGCGTTTATTTTGCCATTTACGCAGCTGAGCGGAATGGAAGGGAGCTAACAAGATGGAACATGGAGCACGATGGAGCATGCCAGGCAGCAAACGGGAGGATGCAAATGCTTGTATTGATGCATTCCCGTCTAATCTTCGCCGCGTTCTTTAAAGATTTTGATGGTTGATTGAAATACATCACCGAGTCCTTCTTACGAACGCTGAGCTATTCGTTGTTTCGTCTCTCATACACACCTGTAATCTCATCCCCTCATCCTCATATCTGTAGCCCAGACACCACCACCACCAACAACACCAATAACCACACACAAATCCCAAACGGACCCACCATGGCCGGCCCCCAGCCCTCCTACACCAAGATAACGCACACCACCACCCACGCCTCCATCACACCAACCCTCCCCGCGCTCTCCACCGCCGGCCGCGTCGTCCTCATCACCGGCGCCACAGGCGGCATCGGCCGGGCCACAGCCCTCTCCTTCGCCGCCTCCGGCCCCAAAGCCCTCATTCTCCTCGGCCGCCGCGAGGCCGCCCTGCACCAGACCGCCGACCTCGTCCGTGAGCGCCACACCACCGCCACCGTCGGCACGCATGTTGTCGACCTGCTCGAGAGCGATAAGCTCCGCCAGATATTTGCCGATGTCGCGGCTGCCCATGGGGGCGTCGATGTCGTGATCCACGCGGCGGGGGTGTTGGCGCCTGTGGTGCCGCTTGTTGATGCGGACCCGGTGACTTTCCTGGACGGGTACAAGACGACTGTTGTTGGGACGCTGACGCTGGCGCAGGCGCTGGTAAAGGCTAATGGTGGGAAGGAGGCTACGTTGGTTAATTTGACGACTGCTGGGATCATGTTCCCGCCGTTTCCTGGTATGGGCGCCTATGTTAGCTCCAAGACGGCTGCTGTCAAGTTGCTGCAGGCGTTTGGGGCCGAGAACCCGCATGTGCGCATTCACCATGTGCACCCGGGTTTTCTGGACACTGCTATGTCGACGCAGCTGGCCAAGACTACTAAGTTGCCGTTTGCCTTTGATGATAGTAAGTCTCGTCTCCTCGTCATGTTCTATTCCCTTTTAGCGTTGCACGTAATTATTAACAACCTTGCAGTCTCCCTCCCCGCGGACTTCCTCGTCTGGGTCGCCTCGCCCGAGGCCAAATTCCTCAACGGCAAGCTTGTCTTTGCCGCCTGGGATGTGGATGAGCTCAAGAGCCGCGCGAAGGAGATTGTCGGTAACTCGCCCTTCACCGGCGAGCTGTGGCTCAGCTTCTCGGGCTTCCCCCGGTACGTCGGCGGCCACGCTCTGCTTGGACAGTAATGGATGCCATCGGATACATGGAGGGGTTGTTGGATGTTCACGGATTTAAGTTTGGTAGCAAATGCGACTTAAAAGTTGTTGAAAATGAGACAGTGTCCTTTCCATCTGCGTTGCCTTTCTATTTTATGAGATATGTGAATATAAAGGTATGGAATAGCCAGATCGGCGCCCCGTAAATGAGCTGACATTTGACTGACATAGTAACACAAGTCACGTTAATGTTAATGCAAAGGGCACAACCTGCCTGTGGCGTGGGTGAGCCCGTACCAAACCCTAACCCTGAGAAAGCGGTGCTGAAAAGGGGGGATTGCTTGATGATTCATCCATAATGGAGTAGTTAAGGGCATTGGGGCAAATAATTCAAGAAAAGAAAATCAACCGTAGAATACTTTGCTCATGACGGATCGAATTGACCGTAGTCTATTTACACATATTACATCTGGAAGTTGGGTCACTTGCTCTCTGCACCAGCCCATCCTTCTAGTGACGAGTGTTTAACCTCTTTTCCCCTTAATTATTCACGATCTAGGGGGTACATGATAATATCCTCCGTATCTTCGTCATAATAATCATAATAATAACCACCATCATCACCAACCCCCTCAACACAACCACCCGTGACCCTCCCATCCTGGAAATCCCCAACAACGGCAACTCAACCCCATGTACCTCAAGAAACTTCCTACATTTTCTAGTCCCTCACAAAACCTATCTCCCTGTCGCCTCCTCCTCCGCAACAACCCTCAACTTCAACCTCAACAACACCGCAACAAGCCCCACCAACGCTTGTGTCACCGCTATCCGCCCCCTTCCTCATCCCCATTACCCCCTCCTGCTTGGGTGGAGGATTTCCGGCGGAAGCTCGTCTAGCTTGAGGTACATCATTGTGTTTGGCAACAAAAGCCAGCCAATATGGCGAGTCTTCCAGGATCCTTTGCTTCAACAAAAGAGTTATTGATGGTGTGGTTAGGCGAGTTTGTGGAGTTGGGTACGGACGTATCTGTAACGTTAACTTCGTTGACTCAGTCATATCCCCAAAGAAGTAATGTTCCCTCACGAGGAGCCGGAATTGTAGCCGGATAATGAAACCACCCTAGAGGCTCATCACAGGAGAAACAACACCAAGAAAGGTTATGCAGAGGCGAAGCTCTGCCCTTCATGATTTTCCACTCTTTGCTCTTTGCTTCGTTCCTAGACTCAACTGGGCTAGGTGAGTGAGTAGTAGACACCGAGGGTGACGCGTCAGACCTCGCATAATTCCAACGTATTACCAACCCTTAGAACCTACCACCCACCCACCATCTCCCAACAGTTAGGCCGACATGATGCTCATTCCCGCGTGCCTAGAGGGCGTATAACTGCTACTGACAAAACCGGACCAGGCATCTCGTGCTTCTGTCTTACCTCTTGACTGGTTTCTATCCTGTGGTATGTCCATGCCCTAGCACAAGGGCCTAACTAATTATACGCTCATTTCATGTTCACAGTCCCCCACTTCGGTTGCAATGCCAACCTCTTATCCTTGATGTAGTAGAGTCGGCCTCTCTATTAGACTAGGGAGTGTATATTACAGGCCTGTTAATATCCTTTGCATCATGCTTTCCTTGCGCTACCCGCCTATTAAGCACAATATAGACTATAACCTGTAAAGCTGCGGAGACTATGCCTAGAGATACTAGGATGACCATCGTCCGAAGTCCAGTTTGATAGCTAGAGGGGGGCATCAGCATTGCTCGGCTATAGCTAACCAGTAGCACTTACAAAGGTGTATCATCTGCACGGAAGTATTGAGTCCCTGCCATCAAGCCTGAAATAGCAGACATCACCCACATGCTATTAAGACACGATTAGCTTACGAGTAGTCTCTTACACATCATCAGCCCATACTCACGCAATGGCAATACTCCGCTCCCCTGCTTCTTGGCAATTTAGCTGTACCCACGAGTTGTGTATCGGGTGGTACCCAATAGCAAAGCTATTAACAGCAGTCCAGAGTCCCCAGCGTGACCATTTTCCGACGTGTGGGTGGACTTGTCGAGCCACAATCAAGGTAATCAGGTAACACAATTGCGCTGCGATGACTGTGCCTCCGCGACGGTTGGTGCGGTCGCTAAGGTAGGCGAAGCCGAATACGACCGCTAGGGCGATGAAGCCACCCACTGCGGCGAGCGCGTTGGCTGCAGTGCGGTCAAACCCTAGAGAGCTGTTCCTTCCATTAGCCAGATGTGCCCAAGGCAGGTAATAAGATAAGTAGGCTCTCTTAGTGGGGCTTTGGGGTAACCCAAGCGGGTTGGATGGATAAACTGACACCATGATGGACGGGGTATAAGTCGTCAGAGGCGACCATGTTGAAAACACGGCAAACGTAGACACGTAGTGTGGCCACCTTCGCCAGTTTGAGACTGTTCTCCAGACAAGGTTCCAGTCAATGGGAACCCCCTGAACACCTGGCCGTTTGCCAAGATGATCATCGTTCTCAAGCCGTGCCTGAAGCGCGAGCTGGTCGTTGCGTGAGAAGCGAATAATGCCTGGTCCAAGAAGCGGCTTCGGTATATCCGGACTACCAGGGAGGAAGAAAAGAAGTAAAAAAGAGACGACCACGGTAAAAAGACCCTCAACTATGCAGCCGTTAGAATGTTGACCAATATTAAACCATGGCATTCGTGATGTGTGTTCTTACGCATAAAGAGCCATTGCCATCCGTGGATGCCTTGGACCCGGCCGAGTTTAAGGATGCCGGATGAGAGAAGAGGACTGATAGCATTACCGCCGAACATGCCAAAGAAGAGCACAGCAACCCGCTTAGCCAGTTCTCGCTTGGTATACCATGTTGAGAGAGTATATACCGCTCCGGGGATATACCCAGCTTCAGCAAAGCCAAGGACGAGACGTGTGGCTATAAATCCTCCTCGATTTGTAATAAGCACCTGAAGTGTAGCAACTAAGCCAAAGATGAACACCTGAGCAGAAATCCATTTGCGAGGACCAATCTATTATACTATTAGTTGGTCGTCTGTAGCTGTAGCGATCTAGCAAGACTCACACGCTGAAGCGCCATATTACATGGAATCTCCAGCACCACGATGCCCATGAACATGAGCTGGTTACCGAGGTTTATAGTCTCTTGGTTGACGCCAATATCAGTAGCAAATCCGTCGGTTAATGCGCTGGCGAGATTCATGCGGTCAAGCTGAAAGACAAGCAGCCCAAGGAACAGGAGAGGCAAGACAGATCCATCAACCCTACAGGTCGGTCAGTTTTAGGATCGGCGCGTATCGTCCTGCAATGGTGGAGAGACTTACTTCTTAAGGGCTTTCGACTCGATGTCTTGCCCGCCGCTATTGTCGTAATTTATTTGGGAGAGAGACCGCTCGGATCTTGTCGGATCACTTGTCATATGGTTTGAGGGAGTGACATTCCTAGAAGTCGCCATGTTTGCAGTATGCTAGTAAATTGGAAACACTCTTCTCTTCGGGAGTCGGACCTGCTTTCATGAACGACAGGACAGAAAAGTACATGTTACGAGGAACCTCCAAAACAGTCCACAGGCGTGGCAAGTAACTTTCTCAATAGCCCCATGGGCTCAGGTAGTCAGCGAAGCTTAGACATACCGAGTTGTCACAAAAACTACTTCTGATTGCGGGTCTTACTGGTAGAATTGCGCCATTGATGGTTGAAATGTCATCAATTCTCCATACGACCTGACCAAGTAGTGTACCAGCCTACCTAAGTTAAGGGAAGTACTGCAACGTGCAGGTGCGAAGCTAACTAGTGTACCAGGCAAAAGCCATCAGAGTGGGCCGGATACTGACCAGGTCCCCTGTCAAATTCTCTAAAAGTCACGATTTTCAACGCGCGCACCGCTAAATTCAGTACATGCTCTCAGCAACAATTAATTACATCTTCACATCGCTCCTTCATACTATTTCCCAGACCTCGTAGATGCGTTTTCTAAATTCTATGCTTGAAAGCTTCCAAGCTTCGTAGGCAAACCAACCCGCTTTGCAATCTGGATGGACGACTGGCGGAGAATTTAGTCCCAACTTCGGGGAGATCGCCCCGTTTTGAGTCAATAGATCCCTGGATCTGAGAATGGCGTGATGAGACTCCTCGAACCGAGTCTTCACATGGTACCAAGCACAATTGGCTGAAGCTGTCGACGCACCCCGGATTGTCGGGTCCGAATATTTTGGGCTAGCGTCTTGAAACTTGGTTGTTCGAGCCGACCTCGCTCCGCAGTGCTTAAATGCCCCAACAACCCAGTTTCTAGCAGTGATACGGACCAGAGATGCTCGCCATGCCCGGTCCTGTGGTTAAACGCGTGGCAATCATCGGAGCTGGCCCCGCGGGGGCCATCACGATAGATGCCCTTGCTCAAGAAAAGACGTTCGACCTCATCCGCGTCTTCGAGCGTCGCGAAGGTCCTGGGGGGTGCTGGTAGGTATACATTCGACACCGCTTGGCTGTCGTTCCACTGACCACAGGGCCACCCGTAGGATCGGAGACCGTGAGCGCCCTCCAGCATTGTCCGATTTCGACAGTCTCGCCGATCGAACAGCCGATGCGCCGATTCCTGTTCCCAACAATCTGCCCGCCCTGACGGCTAAATTTGCCCAGCCACGATTCGCCGAGTCTTCCGTCTACCCCTACTTGGAGACTAACATTGAAGACGTCCCCATGGAGTTCTCGCAGGAACCGATCCCAGCCGAGCGTAGCCTGCGCTCCATCGAGCTGCACGGCCCCAACACGCCGTTCCGGCACTGGGACGTCATGCGGCGGTACATCAAAGGACTCGTGGAGCGACGAGGGTACGAGGACCTTGTGTCGTACAACACGACCGTCGAGCGCGTAGAGAAAATCGGCGCCGAGTGGAAAGTCTCGCTACGCAAGGAGGGTAGGAAACAGGACTACTGGTGGGCAGAGTGGTTCGACGCCGTGGTTGTCGCCAGTGGGCACTATTCGGTGCCATACATCCCCGCGATTAAAGGCATTGCAGAATTGGAGAAGTCTCGTCCAGGCAGTGTTATACACAGCAAGCATTTCCGTGGGGGGGATCTGTATGGTGGCAAGGTGAGTTACTACTCGGCTGGTCTTACTGCATAGGTTTTGACACTAAAAAAATAATAGCGAGTGGTGGTTGTCGGGGCCTCTGTCTCGGGGGCGGACATTGCTTTCGACCTTGTCGACACAGCGCAGACACCAGTTCACGCAATCACCATCGGTCATAGGGCCAACGGCTACTTTGGCGATGAAGCCTTCAACAACCCGGGTATCCAAAGGCATCCCTCTATCTCCCACGTATCGGGCAGGAATGTTCACCTAGTAGACGGGAATGTCATTTCGGAGGTTGACCATATCGTATTCGCCACCGGGTACTCGTGGACACTACCCTTCCTCCCGGCCGTCCCAGTCCGCAACAACCGCGTGCCGAATCTATACCAACACGTGGTCTGGCAGCATGACCCAACGCTCCTCTTCGTCGGAGCGGTGCAGGCAGGCCTGACTTTCAAAATCTATGAATGGCAGGCCGTCTACGCCGCGCGCCTACTTGCCGGAAGGGCTTCTCTGCCACCTCTTGACGAAATGCGCAGCTGGGAGTCGGAGCGCATTAAGTTGCGCGGCGATGGGCCTGCCTTCGCCCTCATCTTCCCAGACTTTGAAGATTACTTCGAGACGCTGAGAAGACTAGCGGGAGCGGGTGAGGAGGGTGTCGGGAGGACTCTACCCAAGTTTAAGCGAGAGTGGTTTCGCGCTTTTCACGAGGGGCATGAGCGGCGTAAATCAATGTGGAAGCGAATAAACGCCGCGGCAGCGGAGAAACTAGCTGTAACTCGATCCCGTCTATAAAACATCAATTACTTGCATTGCCTTGGGTGGTATCAGCCTCCGACAACTTGCTTAGTGATGACCACTCGCAATACTGTGACCCGCTAAAGAAAAAATATCTATCCCGATTTCAGACAAAATCTTGAGATTAGATGAACTCAACTGATAAGACTATGCGATGGTCCTTAGACGCAGCGGTGCCCAGGCTGCGCATAGCTCCGAGGGTATAGCTGTGCAGAGCCCTCAACCTCCTCCTCTGTGTGGAATAACACATTGTTTGAGGCTTAGAACAGCCAAGCAAGCGTAGAAGGAAGCTCATTTAGATGAAGTTAAGAATAACCTCTAGTAAATAGACACATCAAACGAGCTAAGGCACGGTATTCAAGAACTGTTGGGCGCTGGGCAACCCGGTGGCCCGGTGGCCCAGGCTTTCCAGCCCAGCTCCTGTATTTAGCCTTGCTCACTCTCTGGGCCTTACAACAGGGGCTTGAACCACGTTTCCCTCCCGATAAGTACTTTACTTCGGGCCTCTATAGTAGGTGGACGAAACTAAGAAGGGGTTGAATCTTTAGTCAAGTCACGGAGTGTTAAGTCATCTCTTGGTGCCCGTTTCCGATGGCGAACCAAAGCGGTGTCTGCCCGTCATCGTCCTTAGAGTCGGCAACAACCCTCTCGAAGCCGAGCAAGAGTTTTACCACGCCCGTCTGCCCTGCTTTGGCGGCCAGCGAGAGTGCTGACCGGCCATAATTATCGACTGGGTCGGGTTGATTCCGTCAATCGAAAGCAGTCGGTTTACAACGCCTTGGTCCCCATAAATGAGGAAAGCGACAAGGGCGTTCGGCCGTGATCATCGCGCTCGTTCGGGTCGACTCCGTCGGCCGCGAGCAGCAGCTCTACCATTAACTCGTGGCCCGATTTCGCTGCCAACAACAGTGGACGGCGACCATCAACCCCTCGGGGACTAGGAACGATTTCACGGGCAGCAAGAGCGTTCTTTGCGATTTGAACTTTGCCATTGCCACAGGCCCACAGCAGTGCGGTTGGCTTCGCACCATGGGCATCTTGGCGATAATGAATTGGCTCAAAAACCTGAAGAGACTTTCGACTGGCGGAGAGCAAAGCAACTCTGTCTCTACCAGGGATGTACCCGGCGATGGTGTCGAGGAGTTTTCCGGGGAAGTCCAGGAGCGTTACTGGCGATGGGAAATCCATAATTAACATGTCGTTGTACTATGGTCGATCCAGGGGATGCGAAACACGGTAGTATCTGGGAGCACTGTTTATGGCGAGACGAATTGCTACCCACCTGGATAATTGATGGTTGTGCAGTTGGAGTAGTGAACCGGTCTTCCGTCATGCGAGAAACACCGGACATGGATCGGCCGATCATTCGGCCGTCTTAGACTGGGAGCGAAGCGTGTTGGGTGATGATACGCCTATGTCTTTCAATTAACGGCGTTGAGATATTGGTAGGAGAAAAAGAAACAATTTAGATTGTGTAAAGAAATGCGCTTGTAGCACGATCTACTTAGAAATAATGCTTTGTCGTCCCCCGTGCACGTGTTGACTGTCTTCTCAAGAGTGAAGTCTAGGTCCACACGGTCTATAGCGAAGGAACTCCGCCTGTGTGAAGACTGGTCTGTTGTAAATAATGATCCTGACGGCGCAGAAACAGCCAAGCCAGATCTGAATTTTTTACCATGTCTATGCCTGCCTCGGTACCTAGGCTAGGTCGGTAGCTATAGAGTTCGGCCAACTACGGTTCACCTGACCGGTTAACCCTTATTTGTGGCTCCAAATCCAAAAAGAAGGAAAAGGAACAAGACTTTGATAAACTCGGATCGGTCCTTCCAGAGAGCTGGAATATATCAGAAACGGTACACAACCGGAACAATGAGAATAGAACTGGCGCAATGCCTATCGTTAGTGGAGAAGCCTAACACGGCCATGATGATAACAACAATACCGCCAATTACAGCGGCAAAGTAGGTATATATTTGTTCACTCGGATGATTCTTCTCCCTATCTCTTCTCAGGCCCAGATAAGTTGTTAAACGTGCTTACAGTCAGTTTGGGGAAGGGGGGCTCCAACCAAAAATACCTGTCACCCATACAACAACATCCTTTCCTCGGCATGACTCGGGAGAAGGCTACACAAGCCTCGAGAGCAAAAGGCTTAACCAACCGGGATTCAAAATGGTAGGGCAATTTCTGCTTCGGTATACCAAAATAGAGATCCTGTTCTTCACTTTCGGACACATCAGAAGCACGCCAGTCTTGTTGTGATGACGAACGGGCAGGTCAACGAGCCAACCCCGCATAACCCCGCACAAATCCTTGCACCCCACACGTCAACACCACACTGCGATACCAACCCCTGTACTCCGTGCTCCGTAATCTGCATAATAATTCGGCGATGGAGAGAGCTGAGAGGGGAAGTCGAAGGACGTGTTGTGTGTGGTAACGATCGACCGCGGGTTAAAGTGAGGAGAGAAATATGTTTCTATCAGGGATTTACCACGCCGCGCTAAATCGGAGATCTCTAATTTAAGAAGGGGTCAATTGATCGATCCTGTGATTCTTAACGGTTTCCGTCTTTTTGGTCCTAATCTTGCTTGTCCTCTCAAAGGCTCCCCATTTTGTCGCTGTTCTATCCCGACCGTTTACAACAACCCAAATGTCCGGTACTAAAGAAGAGAAGAACTATGTGGAGCTCACCCCAAGGGACCCAATTGTCGGGGAGATTCTCCACCGTAAAGTCGACGCCGATGAGGCTTTACAGGTTGTCACCGGCGATAATGCCGACGCAATCCATCTCGATGCGGAGACGGAACGTCATCTGCTACGGAAGATCGACTGGAACCTCATGCCGGTATGTTTGCTGTCCACACTCATCTGATATTTTCCCCAAAAGCTTACACGGAAGCTTCTTAGTTGATGTGTCTCATTTACTGTCTCAACTATCTTGACAGTAAGGAATCTGAGCCTCGACTCTCATGGAGAGAAGATTGCTTACACTTCGCAGAAACCACCATCTCCTACGCTAGCATCATGGGTCTGAAGGAGGACCTCAATCTCGTCGGGGACAATTATCAATGGCTGGGAAGCTTGTTCTACTTTGGTGAGCATTTGTTTCGACACCAGCACCCCGTTTCACTGCTCCTTCTGCTGACCGTCCTCTCAATTAGGATATCTCGGCTGGGAATTTCCAACCAACCGCCTTATGCAGCGATTTCCCCTCGCCAAGTACTCGGCCTTCAATGTCATCATGTGGGGGCTTGTTCTCGCTCTATTTGCTGTGACAGAGAACTTCGCAGGCGCCGTTGTCATTCGCCTCTTCCTAGGGATTTTCGAGGCCGCTGTCACTCCTGGCTTTGCGCTGTTCACATCACAGGTACGCTTCCGGGATCAGTATACTATACCACCAGGGCCCCTCCGATATTAATATATGACAAGTGGTATACAAAATCAGAGCAAGGTTTCCGCACCAGCATTTGGTTCTGCTTCAATGGCTTTGTGAGTGCCGCAATCTGGTTTTAACCGACCTGGCATGACTGACAGAATATAGGCGCAGATATTTGGCGGTTTGGTAGCATATGGATTTGCCCACGGTGCTTCTGTTTATGGTTTCTCAATCGCACCTTGGAAAGCCATCTTCGTTTTTACCGGTTTGCTAACGATCGCTGCCGGCATCATATTCCTCTTTGTTATGCCCGACAACCAGCTCAACGCCCGGTTTCTCACCCCAGAGGAGCGGGTACTGGCCGTCCACAGAATCAAGGTTAACGCTCAGGGTATCGGCAACAAGCACTTTAAGTGGTACCAAATGAAGGAGGCTTTCCTGGATCCCATGGTCTGGGCCTTCGCTTTCTACGCACTGGTGGCTGATATTCCCAATGGAGGCCTCACCAACTTTTTCAGTCAGCTTATCGTTTCTTTTGGCTATACTCCGCAGCAGAGCCTTCTGTATGGGACTCCTGGAGGGGCTGTCGAGATCATCGCCTTACTGATTTGCGGGTATGTTGGCGACCGCCTCGGGAGTCGGTTGTTGGTATCTATGTCCGGCCTTCTATTTGCTATCTTCGGTGTGATCTTAATTGTTGCGATTCCCCTCGACAAGCCAGCCGGGCGGTTGGTGGGGTACTACTTCACACAGGTGAGTCTGATGCTGGCATTCCGAGAATCCGCGGGAGGCTAACCGAATCAGGCGAGTCCGACACCGTTTGTCGCGCTCCTATCACTCATCTCCACAAATATCGCAGGTATGTACTTCCTCAAAGCTTCGCAGCAGCGCTTAACAGGTTGAAAGGCTGGACAAAGAAGACTATGGTAGCGGCTATATATCTTGTCACATACTGCGTGGGGAACATAATCGGTAAGGATGTCTTGTCAAGAGAGATTTGAGTCGCAAGAACGCTAATATCCCCAAGGCCCACAAACTTTCCGACCGCAGGATGCGCCCGATTACAGGCCAGCCCAGATTATAATCCTCGTGTGCTGGTCCGCTTGTCTGGGAGACATACTCTTCATCTGGTGGTATTATCGCCGGCAGAACAAGAAGAAGGCGCTGATCCGGGCTCAGCCGTCCTACACCAAACTTGAGAATCAAGAATTCCTTGATTTGACAGATAGAGAGAACACTGAGTTTGTTTACACTCTATGAAGGACTAGCAAAATTCTGAAGACTTGGTATTCCAGTGCGAATATAAACTAGGGTTACCACTCACATCGCACATCAGACCTACTAGCTATGATACCCTCTTTGACTTGCTCCATTCTGAAGCCCAATATTCGCGCATCCGGAGCGTTGGAAAGTCCAATTCTGGGACAGTGGTCATAAAATAACTAGATCGTGGCAGGCGACGACATTGGCAACCTGCCGCATAATCGTAGAGCACAGTTATGTACCTGGAGATGTGAGAAGCACCTTTTAATATCCTCTGTATAATCGTTGCACTCTAGTTAGAGCGTATTGCAGGCGCATCAAATCCATGTACCAATTTAATATCCAGCCGCTTCAGATAACGTTACCGGATCCGTTATTCCGCGGATGTCGAACTCGGGAATTCAAGGACCCTTCTGGTTTTACGTTACACCAAGCACGTCTCTCTCATACCTCATGCTCCCTTCGTCCATTCGTTCAATCTTCAGAGTACTTAGGTCAATATTGTCGAGCACTCGAACATTAACAGGCGCAAGGTCGAGATCTTTTAGTGTAAAGGAAATGTTGAAGAGGCAAGTGCAACCCCCGCCACCCACCCTCAGTGAATGAAGAACACTTAAGCATCGACTAACCCGATTTCGAAACAACATTCACCACTTGTATTAAATTAGCTGAATAGAGCAGTCTGTATTGTCGATTAAAAGGGACTACGTCCGGCTAACAGATCACGGGCGCTTGCCAATACCCATACGCAGAGGTCCGTTGCCAAACGGGAGTCCCGGTCAAAAATTTAATAAAGACACCAGAGTCAAGGCCTCAACAGGCTACTACCACGCACATCTCCTCCTCGCTAGTACTCGACCTCCTAGTACTCGGCCTCCAGCTCCTCGCCCTCCAGCGAGTCGGCAGCCACCTCCTCGTAGTCGCGCTCCAGAGCCGCAAGATCCTCGCGGGCCTCCGAGAACTCGCCTTCCTCCATACCCTCGCCCACGTACCAGTGCACGAACGCACGCTTCGAGTACATGAGGTCGAACTTCTCGGACAGGGCGGACCACGCCTCGGCGATCGCAGTGGTGTTGGACAGCATGCACCTACAACTCGTTAGCAATCAATAAAAGATAAAAACAACATAAAAACTTGGACAGAACATACACAGCGCGGTTGACCTTGGCAAGGTCGCCGTTGGGCACCTGGTGAGGTGGCTGGTAGCAGATACCGAGCTTGAAACCAGTCGGGCACCAGTCGACGAACTGGATCGTGCGCTTGGTCTTGAGGGTCGCCACAGCAGCGTGCGCGTCGTTGGGCACAACGTCACCACGGTACAGCAGGCAGGTGGCCATGTACTTGCCCTTGCGGGGGTCGCACTTGACCATCTGGTTGTTGGGCTCAAAGCACGACATGGTCATCTCCTGCACCGAGTTGGCCTCGTGGGCGGCCTTGGCCGCCGAGATGACCGGCGCATACGCGACGAGCGGGAAGTGGATACGCGGGTACGGCACCAGGTTGGTCTGGAACTCGTTCAGGTCGACGTTAAGCGAGCCGTCGAACCGGAGCGACGCAGTGATGGAGGAGACAACTAATTAACGGGTCAGCCAGGCTGCTCATCTTACGAGCATCATGCGGCATAAACATACCCTGCGCAATCAGGCGGTTCAGGTTCTCGTAGCTGGGCCGCTCAAGGCCCAGGTTGCGCCGGCAAATGTCGTAAATGGCATCGTTGTCCACCATGAACGAGCAGTCGGCGTGCTCGAGGGTGGTGTGGGTCGTCAGGATCGAGTTGTACGGCTCAACCACCGAGGTGGCCGTCTGGGGCGACGGGTACACGCAGAACTCAAGCTTGCTCTTCTTGCCATAGTCGACCGACAGACGCTCCATGAGCAGCGCGCCGAAACCAGACCCGGTGCCACCACCGAAGGAGTGGAACACCAAGAAACCCTGGAGACCACTGCAGTTGTCGGCGACGCGGCGAACCTTGTCGAGGACCTGGTCGATCAGCTCCTTGCCGACCGTGTAGTGGCCACGGGCATAGTTGTTGGACGCATCCTCCTTGCCGCTAATCAGGTGCTCGGGGTGGAACAGGCCGCGGTAGGCGCCAGTGCGAACCTCGTCGACGACGTTGGGCTCGAGATCGCAGTAGATCGTTCGGGGCACGTACTTGCCGCTACCAGTCTCAGAGAAGAAGGTGCTGAAGCCCTGGTCGGGGTCGGACTTCTTGCGCTCCTCGGTCAGGAGACCATCGGGCTAACAAAGGAGCGGTCAGCTAACATCGTGGCAAGAACACACAAATATTGAGGAAGCAACATACCTGGATGCCGTGCTCAAGGCAGTACAGCTATGGAAATGTCAGTATCGTCACCATTTCAACCCGACTATCAGGTTGACCAAGGCTTCCCATCATATTGCAGGGTTCGCCCGGCGAGACTGAGGGGTCCGCGTACCTCCCAACACGAGTTGGCGATCTGGCAACCGGCCTGGCCGACTACACGCGATGAATGTCAGTATGATATTTTCTCGATAGCAAGCATAGAAGATCAAATGAAGTTGTCAAGTCGAGGCAGGTGCAGCTATCCCGCCGGTGCCGCTCCAGCATCCCCGGATGCGGTGTGGTCCCCAAGCGGAGTCGCGTGTCGGACGAGGGGAAAAGCACAGAAAAAAAGAACTGCAGCGGGCTGCATGCTCCTCCAAACATACCGTTCAAGCTGATAATTTCACGCATCTTGATAGCGATGTCGAGAAAGGTGTGCAAATTCGTGGAGAAAACCTGGGATGGTCGGAAAGTTGGGTGTTTGGGCCTAGGAGAAGGCGACTTGCGGACTGGCGGAGTGGAAAATTGAGCTTAAGCGGGAAGCCTGAAGGTCGTTTTGGGTCAACACCTGGTGGGGAAATTTGATTGTTGACAAGCTGCTCTCCCCCAATCTGGGCAAGCGCGTCTCTCCACTGTGCTTTATCAGCCAGTCGCGACGTCGCTGCAGGGCCCTGCAGGGGTGCTCGCGTCGAGAGATGATCCGTGCACGCCAATCACGCCGGCCCCACCACAAGTGCCGTCGTCTTCTCGCACCAGACCGCTGGGAGATTCATGGGAACAAGGAGTTGATTGCACGGCTGGGAACCTAGGAGGGAGTGCTATCTCGTGCATCAACAAAGGCTTGGATTTCTGAGGCGCTCAAGAGGATTCTCGCCGTTCAACGATCCACCGTTGAGCGTTGGAAAATTCGGGCCCCTATCACAAAAAGCAACTCAGGAAAATGCTCCCTAGCCGGGGTTGATTCGCCAGTAAAATTGGGCCGATCAGCACATTGGGATTGGAAGAGAGCCGAGGAAATCACCGCAGTGTTGGTTCACTGAGAAACCAGCAAAACTAAGAGAGAGAGCGTCTTGATATGAAATGTTTGCATGAGAGTTAGTTATACACTCCGCAGACCACAATATCAAGTAACCTCTTATCCAGACCCGTTCCGCATACAATCAAATCAACCTTTTCACTACCTATTCAACTACCCCCCCAAAAACGACCTCCGCCCATTCCTCGCCCGCTCCGAACTGTACGCATCCAACTTAACAGCCACCAAACAACACTCCAACGGCGACTTCCCATGCCTCAGCCCCTGAATCCTCAACCGCCACTGCCCCGTCTTGATAATCCATTCCTCCTCCTCCTCCCGGTCCCCACCCTGCTCATCCACCCGCCTCCGTTTCCTCGAATCCGTCGCATTCCCCGTCATCCAAGCCAACCGGTCGTCCTCATCCTCAACCGCCCCAGCCGACGACGCCGACGACGGCGCCCATGGCTTCCCGTCCAACGTCACACTCGAGTCGGCATCAAGAACCACTTTGACCAGGTCCTCACTCAGCGGCGTATCCCCCGGCGCCGGCGCGTTCGATGCATGCCCCCGCCCCGTAGCCGTCAACTGACCCAGCTGTGCCGTAGGCGGCAAACTGAGCTTAGTGGCAATAAGCTCCAGGAGCTTCGTCACACGCGTGCGCATCTCTCCAAAGAACTCAGCGCGCGCCTCTCCCGTGGTTGTCGCCCCGGGCGCGAACTGCAACCGGGTGCTTTCATCGCCGACCTCGAGCACTAGCTCGGCAGGCTTGTCGTCGGTGTACGGCCGGGCATAGTTCACCCACCCGGCGAACGGGTCGGCGGCGGTGGGCTCGCAGACGACCGAGATACCGCTCTTGAGGATATCCCGCAGTCGGAGCACGATCTCATCGCGGCCCCGGGCGAGGTTGAAGGAAGTGGCACACGGGATTACTTTCTGTTCTAACCCCTTGAAGTTGAAGTAGCGGCAATCGCGTAGTAGCTCGGCGCGATGCGTCTCGTTGCGGATGTGGATGGGGTAGCCTCGCAGAAGGTGGATGAGCTGGGCGAAGATTTCGGGGCTGCGACCTTCCACGGAGGGTGGGACGATAGACGGCGGGCGGAGCAAGCCTTCGCGATCGAGTCCTGGGAAGACGTCGCCCCCGGGGTGCGAGAAGAAGGCGGAGAAGCCGAGAGTGAAGAAATTTGGGGAGTTGCCTGGGTCGGCGAAGAGGTCTCGTGGGATGCGGAACTCCACGCTGCCGATGCTGGTGAAAATAGACTCTTCGTAGAGCTGGGAGACTAGCTTGGGCACTGTAGAAGACATAACGGTAAGGTCGATGAAGTTCACATGGCGAGTGTGGTGGGTAGGGAGGTGGGCATCTCACGGTGATAGAACTGGGCGTCGGCGAACAGGCGCACGAAATGTGTCGCGTCACGCGGTTGCACATGGTACCCTTGGAGATGGAGCGAGATATCTCTAAAGGTTACTGGGTCTCGATCGATGTAGAGAGTGCGGATGGCAGATCCAATATCCTGGCCAGCTGCGTGGGCCCGTTCGATCTGGCACTTGAAGTACTGTGAGAAGTATGATGGTGCTAAGATGGTGTGAGCTGAGTTGGTCGTCTTTCATGATAACTGGCCACTTCCAGTCAGGTATCGGAGAGGAGAAACGCACCGTCCGATGATATGGACGCCCCAGAAAGCTTGAACAACTCTGATCCAAGTTGGACTGGAAATACACGTTCGTGCGGTAAGATGTTGGGGATATGGTGAGTGGCGAGCCGCATGGAATCGTCAAAAAACAGATCGTCGCCATCGAGCGTCGACTGGTGGGTGCTGGGGGTCTCGCCTTGGGTCGTCATGGTGCAAGTATTTTAATGACTCTAACAACTGTAATCACCAATTCCCCTTACCAAGAGCTCACCGGCGTCAACTTGCCTGTTAAGCCCCAGGGAAGGGGGAGTATTGATGAGAGTCGCGGGAGTTAGTAAGCGGTCTGCGTGCCAGGACATCAATTGGCCCGTGCTCCAAGCGAGAGCGTTTGCGCTCGGGCCACATCTCCCCGAAAGCGTCGTGGGGCTTCCAAAATAGGCAATCCGTAGCTCAAACCAACACCTTTGCCCGACATTAGTCTTTCTTTGTGAAACCTCTTATCACTTGATTAAGGACAGGCAGTCAATATGAAGACCTTTCCATGACAAACGATTCTATTTGTTACATGACTCAGTCTTAACTTTGAGGGAAAAGTCCAGATTTTCAAGAGTTATAGCCTCTTCGTGAGTTGATATCTTGTCTCGGACTCTCATCCCGAAGACACCTCATAGTCTCATAGTCGCTCTCCTCCAGGTCGCCCTTTTATTCTCTCACCAAGCAATAAGGGTGATAGGAGCCATAATCCTGACCTGTTTATACCAGGAGTGGCTCTACTCGAACCCCAACCACGGTGAAATGTGACCCCGTCGTCTCGAATCTAACCCTAACCCTTACTACCGAGATGCCAACTGGATGGGTTTACAACGTTATGGAGAAGCACGCCGTGGCGCTAGAAATGCACCTTCACGGGCCTAACTACGTACCTAGCTGCCAAATACTCAATCTGAAGCTTCCAGGTCAAAGAGCCAGAAAAAGGTGCTCGTAAAGGAAAGTACAGTACGTTGTATCTTGGGAGTACCGTTGTGTGGGGACAGCCGTTTGTTAAAAGTGGGGAGCCACCCCAAACAACCCCAAGCATTCATTCCCTAAATAGCTTGAGCTTCTCCCAAGACCCGAACGATTGAGCTCCCTCAGCCGACACGGTAACTCTCGAGAGGACGAACACCCACAGCGACTCAACAGCCAAGCTGACACCAATCCCCACCATGAGCGGCCTATTAACAAACAGGCAGGCCGAGGAACTGTACGTCATGGCGGGGTCGCACGCGCCCGACGGTTGAAGCTGGCTGTTTGACACGGTCTCGGTAGGCACAAGTCGATCATTGCGTACTTGACCGGCAATAACTTGCCCACGACGGCCGCGACGCTCAGGGGGGAGCTTGGAGTGGGAGAAGATGTCCTCGACGCCGAAAAGACGGCAAAATACCAGTCGCTGCTGGAGAAGAAATGGACCAGCGTAGTGCGTCTGCAGAAGAAGGTATGGACTCTCGTCCCTCTAGCTCTAATTTAGCTAGCTTACCCTCTTTCTTCTCTCATAAATTTGTGTCAGCGGCTGCTAACCAACTCTTTGTTCAGGCAATGGACCTCGAAGCCCGAAACAATGCGTTACAATCCGAGCTAGAGAGCACGTCACACGCAGCCCGCGCCAAGCGCAACCAAGATCCGACCGACTGGCTCCCACGAGCCCCTACCCGGCACACACTCGAGTCCCACCAAGCCATCGTCAACTGCCTCGCCTTCCACCCGACGTTCTCCGTCCTGGCTTCGGGGTCCGACGACTCCACCATCAAGATCTGGGATTGGGAGCTGGGCGAGCTAGAGAGAACACTCAAGGGACACACAAGAGCCGTGTTGGATGTGGACTACGGCGGGCCCCAAGGCGGTACCCTCCTCGCTTCGTGCAGCTCGGACTCGGCCATCAAGCTCTGGGACCCGGCGGATGACTACAAGAACACCCGGACGTTGACAGGCCATGAACACAGCGTCAGCGCAGTTCGGTTCATACCCGGGCCAGGGCCGACGAACCTCCTCGTCAGCACAAGCGGAGACAAGACGCTACGGCTCTGGGACATCTCCACGGGACATTGTGTTCGGACCCTCCAGGGCCACACTGGCTGGGTTCGAGACGTGTGTCCTTCACCTGACGGACGATACCTCATATCGGCCGGGACGGACCAAACGGCCCGGCTGTGGGATATTTCCGCCGGAGCACCACCAGAAAGCAAGGTAGTCATGACCGGCCACGATAACGGCATCCGGTGCTGTGCCTTTGCCCCGGCCGCGTCCTACGCGCATCTCGCCAAGATGGCCGGGCTCAAAAAGCCCCCCTCAGCGACTAGCACAGCCGAGTTCATGGCCACTGGCTCCCGGGACAAAACTATCAAGCTGTGGGACGCCCGGGGTATCTGTTTCAAAACGCTCATTGGGCACGACAACTGGATAAGCGGACTAGTCTTCCACCCGGGCGGGAAGTACCTGCTGTCCGTCGCCGACGACAAGACGCTGCGGTGTTGGGATTTGAGCCAGGACGGGAAATGCGTGAAGGTGCTGGCGGACGCGCATGGTCAGTTTATCACTTGTGTGCGGTGGGCCCCGGGAGTGGTGACGAAGACGGGGCCGGAGCAGGGTGGTGAAGGGGGAGGGTCGGTGTTGGATAAGAGCAAGGCTGGTGGTGTGTCGGATGTGCAGATTCGTCGGCTGATTGCTACGGGGAGTGTGGATAAGTTGGTGAGGATTTTTGCTAATTAGTATGTATCTGAATCGGTTTTGCTGTGTCATAAGATGCCTGAGGCGGTGCTCAGGATAATATATAGTGTGACACGGGATTAAAGCATAAGACGGCTCGGTATCACCCTCAGGTATCAAGCAGAACTCCGGAGATCAAAACATCAATTCATAGGACAAATTGTTTTCCGACTTGAGAAGCTCTGCTTTCTGGTTGTAAACCGCCTGAATTCCGTGTTTTTACTTTCTCAGTTTCATTTTTCCGCTTTCTCGCTCTCTTTAAGCCCCTATTTTCTTCAACAAATTTCATTTCCTTTCCTTTTTCTTCAGCTGTTTCTGACCCTAGCAGAGAGACGGTCTACATCCAGGGAGAGCATTAGCCACGACCACTTCATTGTAAACGACTAATGCATAGTGTACATTTCCCAATATTTTCTTTATCTATATCGTGACAACCTCACAACTTTGGTCCTGGCGTCTGAACTTCACGATATAGATAATGCACCCCTCATCCGTAACCCACACGGGCTGTCTAAATGACAATACTCCTCCAGGACACCATCCTCCTCCCACACCCATCCTCACAGAATCGTAATAGCCTCCACAACACCCGCCACCCCAACAACCGCATCCGAAACCCCACCCACCAACCCCAGCACCCCATCCGTAACCCCCTGCACCACCATAAACGCCAACGACCCCCCCTCCTCATCGTCCCCATCACCCCCTTCCCCTTTTGTGACAGGCACAACCCCAAACATCTCATTCAAAAACACCCCCGCCTCTTCCACCTCCACATCGACATTCACATCCCCGTCTATCAGTTCGCTGCTGGCGGCTGCTTGGCGGAGGGTGGTGCGCCAGTCGGAGATGTGGTGCAGGGGGGTGTGGAGGAGGGCGTGGCTGAGGAGGGTGTCGGGGTGGTCCTCGTCATCCGGGAGGGCGAAGTCGTGGTGGGCGAGGCCGGTGAGGGTGGCGGATTGGATGAGGGCGTGGCGGAGGGTTAGGTGGGTTTGGAACTGGGGTGATTAATTAGTGTTGGGAGGTAGGGTACTAGGGAGGGCTGGTGAAGGGACAGGGGGGAAAGGGAAGAACGTACATTATCAGGCAAGTTATATCGCGACACGTCCGGCCGTTCCCGCGGATCGTCCTCGGTCGGCCGCGTGGAAAAAGTAAACTGCGGCGTTTGGCCAAAGATCCACTCGGGGGATGCCAGTTCCCGCACACCGGCGACTACCGAGGGGATGGCGAGTGCTTCTTTCTCGGTGACGATCATTACTTCTCCCCCTTCCCCTTCCCCTTGTCCGCTAGCAGTTTCGGCACCAGAGTACATCTCCTTGAACTCAGCAACAACAGCATCGACAAAATCGGTTTCGGCAACCCCCACGTTGCGAATCGGACTACGCACACTCTCGACCCCGCGCGCCTTGATGAACCCCTCTGCCGGGGACCGCAGCAGGGCAGACACCTGTGCGAGATTGGGAGACTGCAAGAGACAAGTACCGTGGTGCAGCGAGCGGGTGCGGGTCAGTTTGTATGCTGAGCCGGAGATTTTGAAGGTTTTGACCTCCTTATTCCCTCCATCCCCATTCGCCTGTGAGTCGTCGATATCAACAACGATATCATGCCGTTCGTTCACCCGGACCCTTTTGATCCCTAACCCCTTACCACTGCTGCTGTTGGTGTGGTATCCCAGGGCACGTGCAACCATCTCGGCATGGCGGTCGCGGTCGAATACCCGTGGCGGACAGATCACGGAGTAGTTGGTGTTGCCTTCGTCGTGGAAAACTGTTCCGCCTCCGCTTCTGCGGCGGACGAGGGCGATTGGTCGCCGTTTCTTCTCCTTTTCCTTGTCACTCTCATTTTCACTCTTCGCACTCCCGGTCCCGGCATCTTTACCAGATGATGATGCTGATGGTGAGGATGATACTGGAGAAAGACCCCTCCGCAACGCCCTTAGATTCACCTCCAGCCAGGGATTCTGATTCCGCCCGATGACGATACACGGGCGGTTGGTGTAGATGAAGAGGATGGTTGAGTCCGGGTGAGAGTTCTGTAGGAGGTGGTGTTCGAGGGAGAGGTTGATGTAAGGGTCGGAAGAGGTTGACCGGTAGATTTGCACTGGGCGGGCGAGGTGTTCTTGGGTGTAGAACCTGGACTTGCAGAAGCTGGATTGACGATATATTGGTATTATCCGGGAGGTGGTCACGAGTCGGGAGAATGATGACGCGGAGTGGGTGAGGACCCTGAGGCGGGATGAGGAGGCCATGGGGTTGCTGGAGTGTGGTGTTATAACATGGAGGCGGGATGGGGTGGAATCAATTCTTTTTTATTTAATTACCGGATTTATCCTCGTCGAATTGCCGACTTGTTTTGTTCCTGTCTGTTAATCCATGAATTGGTCGACACCGAGTAAATTACTGTAACAGCCTATTGAGTGCAGACAGCCCGGGGCTCAGCGGGACAGCCCGAAATGCCCCACCTGCAGCTGTCAAGCCAACGAGTGTAACTGACAATCACCCCACGCCCCCTGTCAGCGGCTGTCCGGTGACGGCGCATGGAGGGGTCCAGGGTCCCGGGTATGAACTTTTCCAGCCCTTCCAGGCTCTTACCCAAACGGAGACTTCTGGGTTTAAATAAACTTCCACGACCTGTGCCGCCGTGCCCCGCTGACTCACGGAGAATATTATCTCGGTCTCTCCTGCGCCGCCGTTGGACTGGATTCTGGATTAAAAGAAAACCAATCCCTCGATCTGAGCATCTTATTTTCCGTTATTGTTACCAATTACCCCTCCAAAATGTCGACTTTTGGCGATCACTTCCGCGTTACCACGTAAGTCCTTCCCACGCCCCGCATTGAAGCACTGGAGAGCCCAAAACAAGAAAACAAAACAAAACAAAATAAAAACTAATGAACCCAGCTATGGCGAGTCGCACTGCCGCTCCGTCGGCTGCATCGTCGACGGCTGCCCGCCGGGGATGGAGCTCACCGAAGACGACATCCAACCGCAGATGACCCGCCGGCGTCCCGGCCAGAGCGCCATCACGACCCCGCGCAACGAAAAGGACCGCGTGCTGATTCAGAGCGGCACCGAGTTTGGCGTCACCTTGGGCACGCCCATTGGCATGATGGTGTTGAACGAGGACCAGCGGCCGAAGGGTAGGCACCCTACATTCCTCGAGAGAGAGGAAGGAAGAGACGGGGACATAAATAACTGAGATAAATACAGACTACGGCAACAAGACAATGGACATCTACCCCCGCCCCAGCCACGCCGACTGGACCTACCTCGAGAAATACGGCGTCAAAGCCAGCAGCGGCGGCGGCCGCAGCAGCGCACGCGAGACCATCGGCCGCGTAGCCGCCGGCGCCATCGCCGAAAAGTACCTCAAACTCGCCTACGGCGTCGAGATCGTAGCCTTCACCAGCTCCGTCGGCAACGTCCACCTCTTCCCGCCAACCCCCGAACACCCCAGCGCCAGCACCAACCCCGCCTACCTCTCCCTCCTCCAATCCATCGACCGGCCCGCCGTCGACTCCTTCCTGCCCGTGCGCTGCCCCGACCGCCAGACCTCCGACCGCATGGAATCCCTCATCGCCGACTTCCGCGACCGTTCCGACAGCATCGGCGGCACCGTCACCTGCGTGATCCGCAATGCCCCCAGCGGCCTGGGCGAGCCCTGCTTCGACAAGCTCGAGGCCAAGCTCGCCCACGCCATGCTCAGCATCCCGGCCACCAAGGGCTTCGAGATCGGCTCCGGCTTCGGCGGGTGCGAGGTGCCCGGGTCGACGCACAACGACCCCTTTGTCTCGGCCGCCGACGTGGCGCTACCGTCGAGCGTGGCCGAGAGCGGGGCGGTGAAGTCTGGTGCGTCCCGGCCGAAGTTGACGACCAAGACGAATTACTCGGGCGGGATCCAGGGGGGAATTTCGAACGGGGCGCCGATTTATTTCCGCGTGGCGTTCAAGCCGCCGGCGACGATTGGGCAGGAGCAGACGACGGCGAATTATGATGGCACGTCGGAGGGGGTGTTGGCTGCGAAGGGCCGGCACGATCCGTGTGTGGTGCCGCGGGCTGTGCCGATTGTCGAGGCCATGGCGGCGTTGGTGTTGATGGATGCTGTGTTGGCGCAGCAGGCGCGGCATACGGCGAAGAGCTTGCTTCCGCCGTTGAGGCAGACGGTCAACTCGGGGAAGCCGGCGGGGAATGGAGTGACAGAGGCGGAGAGTAAATAATTTGTGTAGATATGTTGGATTTGAATGGATAAATACCCGGGTTTAAATCTCTGATCTCTCAGACCCGCAAGAAAAGCCTAGACATCGAAAACTAAAAATCACTCGCCATGTCCCCATCTTCCCACTGGAGCCCCCGATATATCGTCTCCTTCGTTGCCAGTAACTCAGCTTCACCACCTCTGCTCATCCCCGATGAGCACCAGCCCAAGGATCAAGATGAGCCGGCTCAACCCTCGGACCACCACCCACAGCTCCATACGAGCCCTCCCTCTGCGTCTCACCCCTTTCCTCCCGGCCGCTTGTCTGTCTTCCGTTCTCCATATCACCATCCTCGTCATCATCATCCACCTCATGATATCCCCTCTGCGCTTCCTCATCCCTTTGACCCCCTTCTCCCTCAGGACCAGCCAACAACGGCCTCCTGCTACCACTCCCCCCCGCCCTCTCCTCATATCCCCCCCCATTCACACCCCAACCATCCTCTCCCCCGCCAAACACCCGCTCCAAAACTTCCCCGACCCACCCCCATCTCCTACCTCCGCCCCTCCCCGACGCCGCACCCGACGTAGAACCAGAACCAAACCCAAAGCCACCAAGCCTCTTCTTCCCCCTCGCCATAATAACAACCCCCAAAACCTGCAGCAACCCCACACAAACCACCACCCCAACCTCCCCCCCCCCACCCCCCCCCCCCCGCCCCCCCCCCCCCCTCCTGACAAGCCCTATCCCTCCCAAACTGCTCCTCACACACCTCCCACTTCCCGGGATTCGACCCCCGCGGAAAAGGCCACGCCCGATCCCGCGTGCTGCGGAAGCCACAACAGTTCAACGTGTCTTGGATGGCGCGGATGGCGGGTTCGTTTTTGGACGAGTAGAGGGATTGCCATTGTGTTGAGAGGGTGCAGGTTGTGAAAGCGGGACCTGTGGTCAGAGGGGAGGTGAAGAGGGTGGCGAGGGCTGTGAGGAGGAGGAGGAGGGTTGTGTTGGCTAGGAGGGGGGGAAGGAGTTTAGATCTGGAAAGGGGGCCAAGGGGGCGGGTGAGGGATTTGGAAGGGGTGGTGTGGTTGTTGTTGTTGGGGGAGGTGGTGTTACCCGGGGTGCTGGTGAGGGCGCGGTTGGAAGGGAGTAAGCGCGTGGTGAGCAGGGTGGTGAAGGTTGAGAGGATGGGGAGGAGGACGGTGAGGATTGTGAGGGCCGGAGAGATGGGGAGGGAGAGGTTGGAGAGGGTGATGTGTTCGTAGCTAGGTGAGGTTAGTTATGGATGAGAAGGAGGGAGACGGGGAGGTTACATTGCGATGCCCGTGAGACCAAGGATGAGCTAGGAAATGTTAGTGTTTTTTATGTATTTTAATTTAAAATGCCGAGACAAGACATACCAGGCCGTAGAGCAGCAAGAGCACCGCCATATTTGCCATTGCACTTGTCGCCTTGTTACTGATAATCTTCAACTATGATGGTAGGTATGGTGAAGGTGCGAAGGAAAGGGAACTGGGACCTGATGCGTAGAAGAACTTTTCGTTGTCTGTTAATATAATTAGAGGGAGAAAGTTTGCCGGGTGGCCACATGTGGTTGGCAACCCCGCTGAGGCCTACCGCGACATGTTGGCCGCACCTTCCAGCCTTGCCCAAACGCACCAATGGATATGTTGGAGGAATATTACTGGTCGAAATCATTGTTTGTCATTGTTTGCAAACGCATTCCGTTTATTCGTTCGAAGTGTTCACGCCTGTTGCTGTGGAACAACGGCTTTACATAACAAGTATACTGTATGAGTTTGGCTCGACACAGTACAATGTAAATAAATTCTTCGCGGCTTTCTATTTCTTAACGTTTTTAATGTCTCGACTTCAGTTTACAGATGTTTTATGCGTAAAATATCGGGAGAATAGGTCCAACAGTATCATTTTCTTTTCTGCGGCGTTTTTAATAATTACAACGCGGCTGCAATGTCATCATTTTTCTCGATTCTACTCGGTCCCAACGCCAACCGTCAGTTTAGGCCTTTACTTACAATCTTGGCCATAGCGGATGATTAAAAAGGGCAAGCTAAAAAGGCACGATGTACTTTGTATTCTAGAACCACGCTCATATCCCTGAGGACGTGAGTGGCCTGTGGTGTCATAGCTTCTTAACTAGGTATCAACGCTGCAACTGAAACGACACCGGTTAATTCAGCTTATAACAGCGGAACACTCCACGGGCGACACAACTAATGCTCTCAACACCAAGACCTAATAAAACCAATGGCTCGCAAAAGTGATCAGCCTCAACATGGTTCATCCGCCTAAAATCTATCGATCAGCAAGCTGCGAGCACGCCGCATCGAGTACTCTTAGGTTTAATTATCAAGAGTTCCCCGATTTATTTCACCATACCGGGTTTGACAACTGCCCAAATACTGCACCTGCTGTTAATGGGTTTATCAAATTTCTAGTGTAGACGGGGCAAGCCAGCTTTCTGACGGGGCATTGATTGGGGCATAGTCATCGCCAAAGTACACTGCAAGATCACTGAGCCCTTACTCCCACTAACCTAGGTAACCAGCAGAGAGTCCGACAAACCTTTTATCACTCTGACACTCCACGACTGAGTTGAAACGGGGGAGAGTACACAGTAGGTTGGGAGAACAAGGAAAAAGATTATATACTAGAATGGGGAGGTCAAACCCCCCTCTGTCAAACTTTATGTACAGCACCAAAAATATTTACTCCCAACACATTTTCCCGTCACTTTTTAACGAACAACCCCCTCCTTTTCCATCTTCAACCCCCTTCATATCTTCGTCCAACCCTCCACCGAAAAGCAACCTCAAGCCAGAAAAAGAAATCTAGCACTTAACAGGCAGCGCAGCCCCCGACCCCGAAGTCTTCGCAAGCGCGAGCTCATTCTTGCGACGAGTGACGAGGCCAGGCAGCACAACACCGCCGCCGTGGACCCACTTGGGGAGCTCGTCAGCCAGCACGGTGTTGACCGTCTCGCCGGCGTTGAGACGCTTGATGAGCTGGGAACCCTCGGCCGCGCCGCAGCCGACGTTGAAGGACCAGCTGACCAGGGCGCCGTATTGGTTGAGGTTGAGGACGGCTTTGGAGTTGAGCATGTTGGTGATGCAGGTTTCGAATTTCTGTTTGGGGGTGTTTTTGTTAGAGATTGGGGGGTTTCGAAAAGGGGAGGTTTATCTGGGGAACTCACCCGCATGTCGGAAGCGAGCAGCTTCTTGCCGTTGGCGGTGGAGAGGGGGATGCTGTAGGGCACCTCGGCGCACTTGGACTTGGTGCACAGGTGGCCGTAGCCGACGGTGGCGTGGCCGGTGGCATCGGTGTCTGTGGGCGAACTGATTAGAAGGGGTTCTTAAATGATAACAAGTATTTCAAGGTCCCTTGGGAAGATGATTCAACATACAGATGCTAGCGCGGAAGCCCTCCGACTTAGCAATCAGATCAACAGTCGCCGAGTTGGACGCCGGCGCAGCGCATGAGCCGCTGCCGTCGCACTTGTCGGTCACATAGCCGTTGACGCCGGTGCGGACGTAGTAGTCGGCGACATAGCAGCCGTCCTGGGTCTTGTCCCAGATGTTGTTGCCGCTGACGGAGGTGCCGGCAGCCTGGCAGGAGATCTTGACGTCGTCGTTGAGGCTGTAGCTCTTCTTGACGGCGTAGGAGGTGCCCGGGCCGGAGCGGCAGTTGACGGTGGTGCCGGTGATGGGGTAGGCGCTGACGACGGCCAGGGAGGAGGCGAGGGCGGCGATGGTGAACTTCATTTTGGCGGTGTTGGATTATTTCGAGACGAGAAAATCGAAAGAAATAAGAGATATAGATAGATGCTGAGATTATTATGGAGCAAGGAAAGAGATCCAAGGAAACTTGAAGGTTGAAATGGTAGAATGAATGAATGTGTGTGTTTGGAGATATCGAAAGGTTAGATGTTGTGAAGCCGTAGTTTCTGGCGTCTATATACAAGTTTCTCGAGGCTAAGCATTCCAAGACCCAAGGTGTTGATTGTGCGGAATTTGTTCCACCCTCGGCCTCACGCCAGCCCGTCTTACCTGCTCGCATTGACTGGTGATGTTTATTTCTGGAGTTCTGTTTTCTATCCCCTATCTCGGCGCAACTCCATGGTCCATGCGCATGGTTATCCCCGTCGCCCGACGAACCGAACTCCCAAATTCTCTGTTATTTTCGGGCCAGGGCAGTCTTCGTCGGGTTATGGAACTGCTGATCCGAGCTGATGAGATCTTGGAAGTTCCATTCTCTTGTTTCCATTGCTGTTTCTATTCTGTTCTGTTTCCAGGAATAGCAGAAAAACGAACAAGGGGAAATGGGCAGTGACTGGGATCTTGGAGAGATCGGCCTGGATCATTGCCCAACCCTGACCTAAAGACGACAAGCGGCGAGTGCCGACGGTTACATGTTACATGCCTCGGCTGGCCGGACGAACGCGCTGTGGCCGTGGACCCTGAATCTTCTTGGCGACTGCAAAAGCCGTCCCAGCTTTGGTGTGAAGAGCGTTGCGAGAGGGCCACTTGAGGGCCACTGTGAGGGCCGCCAATGCTCGGCTTTCCAGATCTGCACGAACCAGCACGAACCAGGGCTACGAGATGAAGGAGCGGTGCGTGCTGCAGAAGAGACTGGATGTCTTCGATCGGTTGTTCTTCCTTGCTGCGCCACTTTGTGGGGGAGAAACAAAATCAGACGGGACTGGGGATGTGCTGGAAATAGAAATGCAAATGGGCCCCTCTTTTTCCCGTTTTGCAGCCAATCACCGTGGGTTTGACGAGTTGGGTGAGGCTCCTGCCCAAACCAGACACCGGGCTGCCCCTGCCTTTTGACTTTCAAGTCAAAACTCACAGAAGAGAATGCGACGCTGATGCTGCGCGACGCTCAACGGAAGGCACGTTTGGGCTTCTTGCGAGAATCCGAAGAACGAAGAGACGAGGAGGACATCTCGGTTTCCTCGCTCTTGAAGTCGCCCTCGCAAAGACTCAACGTCGACAAACGTTGAAGCGACCTAGGCGAGAAGAAGTGCCGGAATTAACTCTCGTATAAGTTTCAATCCAACCCGGTGTTGATCTTTGAACTCTTCGCCGTCCTTGGCGTCTTTGATTCTGCAGAAACTCCAACATCCGCGACTCTGCGAGCGCTGAAGGGTGACTCTGTGTTCGCCCTCGGCCGGCAGCTTGTCGCGACGCGGGGAATCCTGGACCTGGATGTCTCTGATAACGTTAAACCTGTGTCGCCATGGATGATGGCGCAGATGTTTCACTCTGCACCTTGCTATCTCCGCCGACGATTGGTCCTGTCAACCAACCGAAGACATCCAACGCAGCTGCATCGCACATCTCACACATCAACATGTGAGTGATGTCGAGAATAGGGAGGTGTTTCTGTACGTGGGGGTGTATCTGGCTATTGACCTGCTCAAGTTGAGGATAATGAGACAACAGACAGCAACAGACAGGCTCGGATAAGGGGAAGTATTGATTTTCGCTGCAGGCCTGTTGCATTTTCGCAGCGGAACGGGGTCTCTCTCGAATTCATCACCGAAGTCCGGTCTGGGGCATTGTCGATAGTCTCAACAAGTCCGTCTCGGACGCTTGGCTGACATTTCGACCGGATCCTGCGGCAGACGACGATGGTTGTTGCCGGACACATTGTGGTGGTGTCCCTGTTGGAAGGGGACTGCTGTGGGCTGAAAAGGGTGGGCTGACGATCTCGCCCTGACGATGCAGCTAAAATTAAGCGCGCCAAATCCAGCCCGGGTCAGCCACTCAGCCCACTCGGGAGGGTCACATCACGGCCGTACCCGCAAGATGCGCCAAACGCGGGCCAGCCTTTGCCCGTTCATGACGGGGACTTCTCGCCTGTCAAGCCACGGCTGCTACACGTGCAATTTCGCGCCGCAGACCAGGCGAGCCCACAGTGGTTACCCACACTGACGAAAATTGGCCCGTCTTACTGTCGGGCTTGAACATTCGCCAAAAAAGCTCCGTCAGGGGGAACTGCTCAGGATCAACGTCGGCCAACGCGTGGGACCGTGGTTCCAAAATCGGAACATTTTCGTCGTCAAGGGTCGAAGCTGAGATCGGGCACGATCTAATTCCGTACACAACAGCAATTCCGCACCCAGGAAAGACATCGCGCACGGAGTATAAAGATCTAGACGCGCCCGCCGATCACAACTTCTCATGTCCTTGGAGATATCAGCCCTCAGACATCAATCATCCTTACAGTCTCTTCCGCTTTTTTCCACAGCACTGATAACAACACTTACCGACACTCATTCACCATGAAGTTCCTTGTCTTCGCCGCCCTTTTCGAGGCCCTGGCCGTCTCGGTTACTTCGGCCTACCCTATCACCGGCAGCGTCGTCAACTGCCGCACTGGCCCTGGCACCTCCTACGCCGTCAAGAAGTCCTACAAGCTCAACGACGACGTTAAGATCAGCTGCCAGACCTCGGGCACCTCCGTGAGCGGCAACAACATCTGGGACAAGACCCAGGATGGCTGCTACGTCGCCGACTACTATGTCCGTACCGGCGTGAACGACTACGTCACCGGCAAGTGCTCGACCGGCGGCGGCGGCAGCACCATCCCGGGCCCGCGCACGGACGACTACCCGTACAAGTCCAGCTGCGGCGGTGTCGACAAGTGGAACTACTACAAGTGCCGTATGTCTTTTTTATTTTCCCGCCTTCCAATCCCCCCTCCCTGCTGCGCGTTAACATGCTAACCCCCGTCCAGAGTGCACCTCCTTCGTGGCGTGGCGCATCAACTCCCGCCTCGGCATCAACTTCCACAACCAGTACAAGGGTACCAACTGGGGCAACGCCAACACCTGGGATGAGGCCGCCAAGCGCACCGGCGTGACCGTCAACAGCACCCCCAAGCCCGGTTCCATCGCCCAGAGCAACGCCGGCGGCTACGGCCACGTCGCCTGGGTCACCGCCGTCGGCACTGACACCGTCACCGTCGAGGAGTACAACTACGGCAAGCGTGAGGCCTACGGCACCCGCACTGTTGCCAAGAGTTCTTTCAACTACATCCACATCAAGGTTTAAGCGCCTTGTTGGGTTCCTACTCTTAAATGAGGGACGCCTTCCATGGTCTGCTGTGCTGTGGATCGGTGACGGTATGGGGTTGTGGTGAGGGGTGGAGGGGTCGGAGAGGTTCATTTCATGTGTATAAAGGTTGGGCATCGGCGGAGGAACTGCAGATATTTTCTCTCTTAGATTATTGTACATACATCCTCTGTGTATATTTCAACTTAGACACGACTTTCACTGTCAATCATAGTTCTTGATATTTCCCCCCTTGACATCCCATCCAACCTCATTCCTCTTTTCCTACCTGGCCATTGCGGAGGTTGATGCTAAGAGTAAAGAACCTAAAAGGGGTGTTGGTGTGAATTTCGTTGCTAAAGTGCAGTGGTGAGGTTGTGATTGGGAAAAGTTCTCATGAAGAGGTGTTATAACTGAGCATTATAGGAGAGAGATGTACACACTAATTACATCAACGAATCGGGCACCATCGTACAGGACCCAATCATGTCCAAGCCATCAAACACTATCACAACAAACGACATCAAACCCTCACCAACTCAACGCCAAGGTATACCTACCCTTCCTCGAGTCTGGTCACTAAAAGTATACGTGTGTTTTTATTTAGTATTTTCCTACCTTTACATTCCGAGATATTCGTCTTCTACTGAGCAATGTGACGGTAAACTTGTGGAGGCAAGCCAGTTGTGTACCAGAGTGTGGATTAATGTGGCAGGGTTGAGAGCAGAAAGTTCTGAGGAAGAAGGAATCCAGGAAAGGGGGCAAGAAAAGGTGGAGGTAAAAAGGAAAGAAAAAAGAGAACGACCGTCTTTGTCCCTAAGCAAATATCTTACCAGTGTGTCATTGTAAGCAACGCTTACTATCAGAGGATGGGGGGCCTGGGAAATTCCGATATCAAGTCCAACTAGAATCCCATTAACGACAACTACGCCGTCTCTTTCGAGGTCGGCTGCGGCTTGCACTCTTTGTTGTGACCCCACTAGACGGATGGCATTTATGACCGGGGACACGCGCGTACGTTGACTTGACTTGATGGATAGATAAAAAGAATTATTTATTTCCCTATCGTAATCCCAGCTTCCCGCATTGACACCCAACCTCCTACAAATAAGCCCCTTATATATTATCCACCCCCCCAGCACTCATCACCCCCCGTCCAAACCACTCCGACACTGTCTTAAACCGATCCTCACTCCTCTCCAAAACATCCACAAACAACTCATGCCGTTCCGCATTCTCCTCCTGACTCCTCTTCAGCGTCCTGATCGTCGCATTCTCCCTTGCACACACCGGACATTCTTCCCCTTCCACTTCTACCGTCCCCCCTCCTCCTGCTCCTCCTATCCCAGTGCTATCTGGGATGGTACTAGCCCCACCCCCCCGTAAACACCGCTGATGAAAAGAGTGTTTACACAAGAAGTGCACCACGGGTAATTCCAACCCCCCCATGCACTGCGCGCAGCGGGTGGCTTGGAAGACAGCTGGGCGAGTGCCGAGCTCGGAAATCTCGCGACGGTGGGCGGCTGTGCCTTCGCGGAATTGGGCGGCTACGCGTTTGTTTTCGGCGATTTCTTTGCGTTCGCGCTCGATGCGGCGGGCGAGGTAGGGTTTGAGGAGACCCATTGTTGCTACGCCGCCGGTGGTACTTCCTTCTGTGGTTCCGGTGTTGCTGTTCGTGCCGTTTGTTCCGTTGGTAGTCCCATTGGCGTTGGGTGGTAGTCGTGATAGTGTTTGGACAACCTGCAACGGGGCCAACAGCCCATCTGCATCGATCAGGTCCAAAATAGCCGCCACCTCGTCCGCCCCGGCCTCTTCGAGGATCTTCGCGTCCGAGGTGAGATAGGACAGCGCCGCGGGATACAGCTGCGGTTCCTCAGGCCCATACTTGCGCAATGCGCGGATGGCGCCCCGCGTGTCTTTGGCTGAGGTGTAGGAGCGGAAAATGTCAAATAGCAGGCCGGACTGTTCCTTGACTAAGGTTGTGCCGTCGCGGAAGTTGGAGAGATGGGAGAGCAGGAGGACGTTGGAGTTCTCGATGGGCGGCGGGGGGCCCTTGAGATTCAACTCGGGCTTGTTGTTGATGAGTGTCTTGGCGCGCTGTTCCCATGTTTCGCGGTGTTGATCGTCGCCCTTCTTTTCGTTGGATTTGTGGAGGTACATCTCGAAGAGCGTAGTCGAGAGGTCCGTCCGGTCGGTTTCGGAGAGACTGTCTGCCTGGAGACAGGCTTCGAGGAAGACGATGAACTCGTCTGGGTGGTCGATGAACGAGGAGAAGGCTGTCCGGGGTTTGGGCGGGGTGTATTCGGGCGGTGGTATCTCCAGTCTTGCCGCGAGGTCACCTGCTGTGGGCCGGGCAGGCAATGCCGGAGCAGCATTCGCGTTTCGGTACGGTAACGGTATTAAATGGGTGAGATTCTGCACGGCATTGGCGGCTCCCACGACGAACCCGCCATTGGCCGCTGGTTGCGCGTCGGGGGCTACTGGCACCTCGACTTTGGGCACGAAGCGGCCCGTGTAGTAGTCGATAAATAGCTGCGTCGCATCTTCCGCGCAGTTCTCGATCAGCACGCGGGCGTACTTTTGGAGACACGAGTAGGCCTAGGCAGGTCAGTATATGGGCTTCTAGCAACGTTCTCGACTCAACATACCGTCTCAGGATCCAGGTGCCAAATGTAATCCAGCGCTTCAGCATACGCCTTAGAGTCCTCAATCAGGATATCCACCACAAGGTCGTGTTCCCCATGCTTCGTCGCTAGATACGCTGCCTGCTCGAAGTACCCGCCCTGTCGGCACATCGTGATGGCCGTGTCCAAGTCAAACTTGAGATCCCCCGGCGACTTGATGAACTTCTCCAGCTTGTCAATATCCTTCAGCTTGGCGTAGCAGTTCAGTAGCAGCGTGGTGTGATCAGACGTGGCCTTGTGGTGGTCGTGAAGTTCCTCCAGGTACTCAATGAGGTTGTGTATCCTCTGGGTATCGAGGAACTTGCGAATCACCTGCGACGGCTCGGTGCTGTCGATGGCCTTGATGTACTGCGTCATGGCTCCGTCGTAGTCGCCCTTTTGGTACAGGTGGTCGCCGTATTTGCGGTAGATAATGTTCTGCTGCTGCGCACTCAACCCGGACTTTTGCGCCAGCTCCACCGCGAGCGTGTACAGGTTCCGCTGATACATCATTTCCAGCCGCTGGCTTAGCGGTTTCTCGTGGTATCGGAAAACCTGACCTTGTTAGTTACCCTGCACACTCACGGAACAACCAAAACAAACACCAACCTTGCCGTCTTGCGTGAGCATGTACAAATCCCCCCACAGCTGAAAAATATGCTTCACATCCGACAACACCGTCTCGTTGTGCGCAATAATCCTCAGTCCCGGGTGAATCAGCGTGAACGTATAGATACTGTCAGCCGTCGCCCCCCAAAAACGCCGCCGTATCGTATCCGCATCCCCACTCGGCGTCGGCGGCGACACAAGCGCCACATAGTCCTGATACACCGAAATCAGCTTCTTCGGCGCTTCATAGGCCGTCGGCGGGCCCCTCCCATCCAGGGTATAATGATACACCGCATCGTCCCGCCCCACCACGATATCCCCCGTCTTCTTATCGACAGCCATGCACCCGACGCCACAGCCCGTATCCTCGACCGTCTTGGGCGGCTGGCCGTGTCCGCGCCCGACGACCACCAGCTTCAGGATCCGCGAGGTGGTCGCGACAAACAGCGTAGTCAGCCCAGCGTCGACGTGCAGTTCCACGCCGGTGATGGGCTCGTCCGACTCGTGGATGATGCGCTGCTTCGAGCCGAGGTCGTTGATCAGGTCGCCGCGGATGACGATGACCGCGCCGTTTGCAAATCCCACGGCAACCTGCGTCAGGTCCTCGGTCGCGGCGAATGCCGAGATCTAACCTGTTAGCTTGTCCCCCGAACCCCTTTCTGCTAAAGCAAAGAAACCTACCGGAAACGGCTTCTTCCCATTATTAATCACCACCGAGCTCAAACATGTCGGAATCCCCGTCTTCCTCACCGGCTTATCCAACGCCCACACCTTCAACACCGGCTGGCTTTCACCCCCGGCTTCCTGTTTACCATCAGCAACTGTCCAACCCCCCCCAAAACTCCTTAAAGACCTACCGCAACAGTAACCAAATAACTCGTCCCCTCCACCTGTCTCATAAACGTAATACTCGGAGCCCTCGCCCCCGCCGTACCCCCCGCCCCCGTCGAAACCACTGTCGTACCACCTCCCTCATAAGCCCGAAACGACCTAACCACTTTCCAACTGGACCCCACAATCCTCACCACCCCATCATAGGTCCCGAGAAAGAGGGACTCTGACCCGGAGCAAACGGCGGAGATGTCGTTGCTTTCGAAGAAAGTGCGGGTGCTGAGGGAGGAGGACGATGGCGATGATGATGGTGGGCTGGGGTTGTTGGTGTTGTGGGGTTGGGGTTGTGCTTGTTGGTCGGTGGTGGTGGAGGCGTTGATGTTATCGTCGTCGGGGAGCTTGATTTGGGTTGCGTTGAAGAAGTCGAAGGACCGCCACTGGAAAGAGAAGGGGGTTGTTAGTTGGGTTCAGTGGTTGGTGGGGGAGGAAGTGAGAGAACTGGTAATCAGGGGATTGGGGAAGTGGACGTGGGGGACGAACTGTTAGCGCCATGGTGGCATCTTTGTTGCCGAATTGGCGGACAATCTGGGCGGTGTTGCGGAAGAGCCTGGCGCCGTGTGAGGAGCGTGATATGGCGAGAACGGTGCCGGTGATGGGTGACGTTGCGATGGTTGGGGACCTTGTTGGTTGGAGCTTGAGCTCCCCTGTCCGCGACATGCAGTGGGTCCGTGCACCGCTGCAGGTTGAGGATAACCCTAACCCTCATATCACAAGCTCAACATCATCCATTGCATCGACACAAAAGAGTAAGAAAGACATCATGTTTGTTCACATGTATCAAATGGTTTAAATGGTTACTTCAAGAATAAGCCGGAATCATCCCCTATCTGCCCTTCTCCTCTTCCACTCCTTCAAAGCCCCCACCAATTCCCCCTCCCTTCCCTGATCCACCCCTCTAGCCTGCGCAACTTGCCCCTCGTCCCCAAGATGAACCAACGGCACCATCGACGGCCGACCATGAGCACACTGAAACGGAAACGCACAACCCGCCAGCCCCCGTACAAGCTCCACACACTGCTCCCGCGTCAAGGGATCATTGAACATGATTGCGCCTGCACCTATGTTAGCCAACTAAAAATCGCAATTATCAAGGCAAGACTAGAGAGCAGAAGGGGGGTAGCTTACTCCTGCACGCCCTGGAGTGAATCATCTCCAAAATCCCCTTGGGACAATCATGAAACCTCTTTACCCACTCCCCATCTCTCCCCGCCACCGTCCGTACCGGCCGCGGCGCCGTATTCCGCCTCGCGCCCTGTGATGGCCTCCAGATCTCTTTCCGCAGCAGGTCAATCAACAACCGTGGCTCGAGCCGGCACCGCTCTGCAATACTCACTGGGAGGCTGCGAACTTCGGCTGTCGCACCCCGGTTGGTGGAGGGTTCGGGGAGGATGTCGTAGGATATGCCCCAGTGAGCGAAATAGGTTTTGGACTGGACGATAAGACGTCCGTCTTGTTCGGAGAGTTGGAATCGAAGGGGTTTGTCCAGGATTTGGGTTTGTGCCACTAGGTGAGTGTCGTCCGAGAGAGATGGGATGAAGTAGGACTGGAGGAGGGCTTCAACTTTGCATCGCTCGTCTGCGGCGTGTTGGTCAACGAGGACAAGCAAGGGCTCTTGGTTGGTGCGTCCGGGGGTTGGGCCCGAGGTTTGGTTGGTGTACACTTTGATCAGGATGAATTTTTGATCCACCTGGGCTACTACCTCTGCGTCATGTAGAGCAGTCTTGGAGATTCGTCCCTCGAGGGTGGACAGCATAGGACCGTTTGATGTTTCTGCAGCCAACGCCTCAAAATTGTGGGCCGGTCCGACTTGCTCGCAGCAAAGTTCCCAGGATGTTCGGGGAATAGGTGGCTCCACGGGTTGGAAAACCGTAGTCTGCGGTATTGTAGGTCTTGGTAGTCGTAGTAGATCTCTCCTGGGCTTTCGGCTTACTACTGCGGGACTGGCCCTTCTATTTGTACTGGGGCTCGCGCGGATAGCAAATCCGGTGCGCGGGTCGATGAGAGATTTGAGCTTGGTGGTTGGGTCCGTCCACACGATGGTCTCCCTTTCGCTTCTCGTTTCGGAACCAGGTAGAATCTCTATTTCTGGGGGTTTCCGGACCTTTCCAGTGACAATAGATGAGACGTCTGAATCCTCGAAGGGCTTCCGCACGAGTTTGCCAGAGCCATCAAACAACGGGTTCGCCAATAGCTCGGACCGCGATACGGTTGGAAGGCTCGGCTGTTTACCGGCAGGCGATGGTAAGGCACTGGGAACACTCGATTTGGCGGTCTTTGGGGCACCGGACTTCGTTTGTGGCCATGCCGAGAAAGGAGAGGCGGACCTTTCCGAAAGGCGATCCCTCGAACGTTGAATCGTAGAGTTCCGCCGGAAACCGGTCCCCGATCGTATTTGTTTGACAGTTGAGGCTTGAACCGAGGCTTGAACCCGTTTCCGGGTCGTAGATGGGGGAACCATCACCGGAGACGCTGCCCTCTTTGGCCGTTTTAATCGCTCGACTGCAGCGATGGACCGTGGTCGGAAATGGTGCTTCTTGAGAAATTCGTAGACCATAACCTGAAGGAGGTCCGTGATCAGGGCCACACTGAAACGTTTACCATCCAAAACATCGTCCACGTCGACGGCTCGCTCCACATCCAAAATGATCTGAAGGAAGAACATGGGCCACCTGTCGACGCCCTTCTTGGGCTTGAGTTCCTTGCCGGTAAACCCGTCAGTTTTAACTAAGCACCCATGCTCGTCGACGGCTGCCTCTTCAACTATGCCAAAACTCGATTCTTCAAAAACGCGGTTGATGTCGTCGTAGAATAGGTTTGACTGAAGCTCGTTCATCAAAGGTTGAACACCGAGGGCAATGAACTGTACCCGCTTGCTAGCAACGGGCTGCAATGAGGCACACCCTCTCACGGAAACTCCAGAAGCCGTAGCCCCGATCGGGACCCACGATTCGGAGCGTCCGTCCGCTAACGAAGCCTGTTCAAGGAGCTCCGTAGTGCGGCTGACGATACTCGGGGCCGTGCGATAACCTCGACCCCATTCTAACACGCTCGCCGTCGTTAAAGTCACAGTCCTTCGCGCATACACATCCTGAACCAAAACGGCCACCTTCCCTGGCCAGCAAAGGAGGAACGCAACAATGCTAGAGACGAGCTGGTCAAATTCCTTAAAGGTGCCGGCTCGCTCCACTTCCACTGCCCGTTGCTTGACACGGACGGGCATGGAACCAAAAAGATCGCGGACGGTGACACGGGTGCCGCTCGCAAATGCGAGCACTCGCTCCTCTTGCGGGGCTGGCAGATGGCGGGAGATCACGCGGGAGTTGTGGATAGCTAGCGAATTGTGCGTCCGGTAATCCCGATGGTGAGAACTGATGGAGAGCAGAGAGAGCGAGGCCAGGGCGGCAAGGAACTCCCCGCGCTTCCCATGAGAGTCGGGCCGTGGGGGGTATTTCGACGTATCTATGAAGTCAATAAATTATCAACCAGGTACTCCGGACCATGATTCAAGCACGTACAGTGAAGTTTACCAAGTCCCCCGTCATCCCGAAAACAAGCCGGCGGGATCCCAAGACCGTTGTCTTCCGAAGAGCAGTTCCCGCGACTGTAGTCAACCGAGATGTTGATCTTCGATGCACCTGCATCAAGCGAATTCTGCAGCAGGCCAAGCACGGCACCATTCAGGGAGATAATAGCCGACGAGGACTTGATCTGTGCGGCAACGTCCGCGGGCAGCGGCTGGATCGACATGGTGGCTGGGAGTGCGACATGGCAAAAAGGCGTGAGGCTGCCACTTGGATCGGAGTACGTGGTGTGGTTGATGTGCTGCCAAGGAAAGCTTGATGAGGGTTTGTTGTTGCTGCTGCAACTGCAAGTGCGTCACCGCATCACTGGGGCAACTGCGCTGGGTAATTTGGGGCAAAATAGAGAAGAGAAGTTCAAACAGAACAGCATACGTTTCTGTGCAAAGAATGAAAAGTCTTGAAGAAAAAAAATAAACCTGAAATCAGCCAGAGTAAACCTCGAGAGTTTCCAGATGTTACGATGGGTGAAGCTTTACGGATAACATCGGTGTGGTTTGTTTAGTGGTGAAAGTGGCAGTGGGGCAAGCTTTGCCGAAGGTCAGGCCGCCGGCCGGGATCGACAAAAGTGGGGCATCTGACCCACATTTCAACGCACGTGAAGCTCACACCCCAGCTGGCACAGCTGAAGCAGCCGTCCAGCCAACCCCGAAGCCCCAGGCTTGCCACGACCCTGGAGCGGCAAAGCTGGAAGTTGCATGGACCCGTTTCACCCCATCAACGTGCAGCGTCGGGGACAAACCATCATCAAACATTCTCTCGTTGGTTTCTTTCTTCTGTGGCCGCGCCGGACAGACTCTTTGTGTTGGCCACCTTCTTTTCCGTGCGGATGCGCCTCAAAACGAACCTAATCCCACTCAACACCACCAATTTCGAACCCGACCACAGCCTGCAATCGCCGTTGCTGCGCATTCAACATAACCGACGTTGATTCCCGTTCCCGAAGATTTTAAGGGTCTCCGTGGTGGATTAATTGCCGCGCGCTCGTATACATTGCTCGGTCTCAGAGCCCCGACCATACCCCAACTACGCCATTTTGCTTATCGTCGCATGACGTTTTCGCCTCGAACCCAATCTATTCTCTCGTGCGCGGTCTTGCATTGCGGCCCGCCCTCATGGCAATGACAGAGGCGGCGACCCAACAACATGGTACGCAAAACTACATAAACCGCGCCTGGTCCCTCCTTGAACTCCTCTCCTCTCAGTCTTGGGATTCACAACATGGCAACGCGGTGGCTGCACCTCAATCTTGCAATTTCACACACTGTTCCCCGCACCTAAGACGAACATGTGTCTCTTCTCCAGCAGGAATGCTAACAAAGCCGCACTAGACCAGCCCGGCCGGTTAGGCCGTCGAGGGCCTTTCTCCGCCTTGATGAAGAAACTCGCGAACCTAAAAACCGCCTCGTCTAGTGATGGGAGCCGTCACTCTGCTTCGAAAAGAGGCGGCGCGAAGAAACCTCCCAACAACCCATACCCACAGTCTGGCCGTATCGTCGTGAGCAGTTCCCCACGAGTCAGTCACTACTCAGTGTCCTCGGGGCCGAGTCAACAACTGGCAAGCGTATCCTCGCTCAACCACTCCGGCTCGTTGCGGCGATCCAGCGACGAACAACCCCCACCGACAATGGGCGGCCATTCGATAGCCCCGACCGTCTCAACCGACCAGGGCACCTACCGATCCACAATCACATACTCACGCCGCGACTCGTCGCTCGCTGGGACAAGCCGAACCGCAACCGACCGGAGAGGCGGTAACAGCACCTTCTCCTCGCCGGCACCGTCCGTCCGGTCGCTCACGACGACCCTAACAACAATACAAACCGTAAATCCAATCCCCGGCGGTGGAGGAGGGGGTGGCGTGGGCACCCAACAGACAACGAACCACCACTCCCACAACTCCAACTCCCAAATCATCCACTTCCACCAGCCCTTCCCGACGAATTCCCCGGCCTCCGCCATCCCGGCCCACATGGCCACCGCAAGTGGCAGCACCTCCAGCGCTTTCCAGCACAACACCTACACCACGGCGACCGCCAACAACCTCCTCACCGACAACGCCTCGATCCTAACGCTCGCGTCCTCCTCCAAGCGCCGACGCCGCCGCTCCTTCGACACCGACGCCTCGGTCCGCGCGCTCGCACCGTCATCCCTCTGGGGCGGCTCCCGCGAGTCTCTACCACTAAGCGTACTCTCGGCCACCATGGACGGCGGGCCGACCACACCCGGCCTACACCGTGGCGCGGCGGAGCGCACGAGCATTTACTCGGCCACGGGGATCCTGGGGACCGCGGCGGGGAGTGACCGGAATAGCTTTTATGCGAAGCAGGGGTTTACGGGGGGAGTGAGTGGTGGTGGAGACGGCGCGAGTGTGAGGAGTGGGTTGTTGGGACATGGTAGGGCGGATAGTGTCGCGGGCAGTATTGGTGGGGGGTTGATTGTGCCGTCTGGGACGAGTCCGTTGTCGAGTCCGAGGGAGGAGGAGAAGGAGGCGGAGGCGGAGGGGGTGGATGAGACGATGGAGAAGATTTGAAGTTGAAGGTCCGAACTGACAGTTGCATTCATGGTGGGGGGTTTTATGTGGGTTCGGACGGTTGGTTGGTTGGGGTTGTCATACTTATCTATGGAATTGGGCTGGATCAGAAGCAATGGATGGATAATGGCTTGGATGGGTCATGATCGGATCAGGCTGGGTTTCGGTAACCTACCCAGGTCGGTCGGCTGGGTGCTACGCGGAGTTTCGGATTATTATCTCGGTATCATGGGTTTACTGGCATGTCATGTCCTGGAAGGAGGTGGTCTGTCTTGTGCGTTTTGCTTTTGCGCTTTTCTCTTGCGCTACTTTTAAGAGAGGGCAACATTGAACAACACTGTTCAGTACTATATACCAATATACGGGGTGTACCTTGTTGACTTATTTGCAATATGTTCTGTCTCGGGCCGGCAATCTTTGCCCATATATTTTCAACTCCGTTCTGTGCCAGTGATTTGATCCCCAAGCTCTGAGCGCATACCTGCCTGCAGCTACCTCAGAACATATGAACCCCCAACAAGTGTCTCGACCTAAACCTAACATAATTTCACACTAACACCCCCCATTCACCAACCAATGGCAATCTACTCGCCCCCTCAACTCAACCTTAACTTACTCAACCTCAGTTCACTGGACATTCAACTCACCCAACCCCACTCGCATCATCACGCCACTTACTCACTCAATAAGACCACTCCCTCAATAAGGCAAAGCCTCCATCCTCAACCCAGCAACCTCCAACCGAAACGAGTCATTCCGCGAGTAACTTCCCCCCGTGTCCAAGTCCAACCGGCCCCGCACACAATCGTCAAAGTCGACATCAGCATAGATCAGACTGTCCGGTGACGGGTCGTCCCATTGTGGGCCGGCGAGAACGGAACCGAAGGGTGAGGTTATGGAGGAGCCGCCGCGGGAGAGGAATTCGGGTTGTTGTTTTGTTTGGGGTTGTTTTGGGGGGTGGGTCGGGGCTTGGGTATGGTGTTTGGAGGTGGATGGTGGGTTGAATGGGTTGGTAGTGGTAGTGGTAGTGGAGGTGGCAGTATCTGATTCTGTGGCGCAGAGAACGATCTCATTGCCGTCCTCGTCGAAAACGGATTGTCGTCGGGCCCGTGGCTTCGGGGGCGAGGTCTGTGGGGACGGCATAGAGTCCGGGAGCACAATCTCATTGCCATCTTCGTCGATAACCGACGATCTTCGGCCGCGGTGGTGTGGCCCATCGACAGCAATATTGCCGTGTTCCTTGGGTACGGGGATTGTGTGCCCGTTCGTTTCTGGCAACGGCTTGCGGACACACATGTTGGAGCTCACCACAAAACACCGGCCCTCGATTCCAATCGTCCGAAGCAAGGGGAGCCAGGTATCCCGCCCGTCCGCCGTGGGCGCCAAGTAGAGGTTGATGTTCTGCGCGTAGAGCGACTGCCGGACCAGCGGCATGTAGTTCTCCCAGCAGATAGCCGCGGCTAGGTTGATGCGCACGCCCCGGATGACGGTGCTCACTGCTTGGAGGGTTGCTGGCGAGCCTTGAGCCCAGACGAGTCTCTCGGTTCCAGTCTGAGTTGTCAGTATGATGCACAGAATTAGGGTGTGTGACTTAGAACAACGTACAGGCATAACCTTCCGCCGCTTCCCAATAATCCCCAGCTTCGGACACACATACACCACCGAGCAATACATACTCCCACCCGCCTTCTCAATCAACCCCGTCACAACAAACACGCCCGTCTCCCTCGCAATCCGCTCCAACTCCTCCCGCGTCCCATCCCCGCGTTTATTACCCACCACATCCCCCGTCTCACTCCCAGTTACCCCATCCCCGGCTAACTCCCTCCGTACCCATGCCTGCCCGGCCCCGGCCCCATCCCCGACGGTATCACCCAGATCGACCGCACTCCGAAAATACTGCAGATACTCTTCGCGTCCAGCATCGGTCCGAGCGCCGATGACACTGCCGAAGTGAGTGCCACGCGGGTAGCCGCCGAGGTAGGCCTCGGGCAGAAGGAGGAGGTCGATGTGTTGGGCTGCGGCGCGGCGGGCGATGTGCTCGAGCTGGGTTAGGGTTGCGGCTGTGGTGGGTTGGGTGCTGGGGGAGGCGGTGCCGAGGCGGATTGTTTGGGGGGGCATGGTGCTTTGTGTTTTTGTTAAGGAGTTACGGTTTTTTTAGTGAGAATACGGCCTTTTGGTGAGATACGGTAGGTTTCAGGTAGGTACATGTATTATAAAGTATGAGATGGGTGTGAGTTGATGCCAGTCTCACGATCCTCTCACTGGGCTCATGTCATGCGGGAGGTCTGGCGGGGTTGATGTTGGGTTAACCGTGGAAATGACGTAATGTCTCGCTTGTTTTGGCGAGCAAAACATCGCCAGTGTCCATGAGCTTGAGCTCGGTTTGAGCTTCACTCACTATCCATTTTAAGTACTGGCCCGCCACTGACTCTCCATTTCAACTTAATACCCCGCAGTATGAGGGGCCTGAGCGGCATGATTTATTACTTGTACTCAAAATATCAATTGAATTTCGAGAGGAAAGAACCACCCGCATTGGGGTGAATTGAGTGAGACGCAATTTCGGAAAGATGAACCCAGCTTAGTCATCTGACCCCGGATTCCATGGGACCCGCCGTGAAACGCGTCCCACACCAAACCTTCGTTCAACCACACTCCAAACGATCTCGACTTGAGGTCTCGCGAAACCATCTCGACCGAATCGGCGCCCTTGCAGTCCACAGTTTTCTTATCTGTCACGCGACGATGGCGCCTCTTAGTCCAGTCAAAGATAGCCTCCGATGTCGCACCCGGACCTCCGACGTCGTCAGAGCGGGGCTCTTCCATTGGCTTGCAGCGTCGGAGTTACCGCGATAGAGAACAGTGCCAACATTGACTCAACACCACGAAGTTACATTGATCGGACGGAATTAACACGAACAATTGTAGCTTTTGACCCGGTATGCATACTAACTAAAATTAACAAAATTAAGAGGTCCCCATTCCAACTCCAGCGCTGACTCCAGAGGTATATCCCAGTAAGGTGCTGCAAACATCAAAAGCACATATCGAACACCGCCCGCTTAAGACGAAGAACTCGAGTCTTGCAAGGTCGGTGAGACTTCATCGGCCAGACGGTTCATCTTCCCCATGGCGGTTCTCAGCCGGGCCTTCACGTCACCGACGTCACGTTGTCCTCGAAGCAGCCGCTCCGTTACATCCCCCGGGGTGTTGAGGTATCTCTCAAGGGAGTAAGACATGTTGTCCGACGGTTTTCTAGACCTGGTGTTAGTGGATACTGGTCTGGGGTTGGGTGGGAAGTTTGACCAACCCTTCACCGGAGAGCTTGAGGGTGTTGCCCGCGTCCATGTCGTGCGACGTTACGATTGTCTTCACGTGTTCTCGTTGGTTCGATTGTTGCCCGCAAGTATGTTTCGACTTCTCGATCTGATACTGATGACTTTGTGTAGAAGATGGTGATATGGATTCTCTTCTTGGTCCATCATGGCGGGCGGTGTGCCAGCACACCCTCATTTATCTTCTCCCAGTTGCCAGGCACATCTCTTCTTGTGTGGGAGTCATGGAACAAAGACGCTGGAGTCCGCAGTTGAGCATTTCGTAACACAGCATGGCTTGGACGAGGGTGTGGTTCCGAAATACGGATCTAGGGTGTGTTCTCACGGAACACCGTTCACACACTGGGTCGTTTCAGGGGCATTTTGGGATCCCAAAACGAAACCCATTTTCGCGATTGGGCTATTGCGAACCTCTTACCTTGGGTAACGGCCCGTTCGGTCAAGGATTTCAGATCTAACTAAAGGCCCAGATCTCTGTGACGCCGAGTGTGCCTTGTCCCAGCCCATTGGGTGATTGGCCCTCGCTCCGGCCGGTTCCACGGCCGAGGTTGACGAAACCCTTCGCCATTTCTGAAGAACCGCGCACAGGCAGTTGCCTTAAAACCTGGGGCTCGGGATGTCATCACATCTGGTCCGCGAACCACCAATTTACCAAACAGGGTGGGGGTGGCACATGTGCTGACACGCAATGCAAGTCACCCCGCGTTGCAGGGCAGAAAACAACAACAAAAAATTCGCCGCAATCCGTCGCCTCTTGTTTCTGGGCGAATAGGAACCCCACCCCCGCCCTCATTTTCCCCGCTCGGCCAGCCTTATCTGCGGGACGGGGCCGAGGCGATCCCTGTTCCCGCAATTGAGCACTTGTCTCTCACACGGCATGGCATCCTGCCGAGCCTGCGCAATGGAACCACGGCAGCTGCATTTGCGAGCAGGATGCGTGCGCGCTATCCACTGAGGAGCGTTCCCGTCACAGTTAGTCCGGGCGGTGTCGTGCTTCTCTGCGCTGCTCCGGCCTGCTCTGCGAGTCATCGACCGCTTGAGGCCAACCAATGGACCCCTTCTTCCTTGTTGTTCTCATTCCCGCATGCTCGGCCAGGAGCCGAAGTGTGCGCCCCAGCGGGGTGGGATGATGCAGAGAGTGCTCGCTCATTGGAGAATGGCAGTGGTCATTCGGAATTGAGAGAGCGCGCGAAATGTTTCAGCAGAGTACCGAAGGTGTGGGCTGACTTGGATTTCCGCGTTTGCGCAAACTCGCGATGGGGTATAAGTATACCTCGTGACAGAGTGGTTGATGGGGGAATTGGTCTTTTCCTTGATCAAGTCTTCTTGAGATCTCTTGCACGATCAATCTCGAGCCTCCTCCTCTCTCTATATAACCTTCTGTTGCAAAAGCCATCTCGTTATATCTCATCCTTTCCGCCACACCAACACTCGTACACCTCTACACACCCGGCCTGGTTTGCCCCGCTCTGAGAATTACCCGTCAATACCAATACATCAACACCCAACTTCAAGCACCACCCGCCCTCACACACTCTTCAACCTGCATCCCATGTCTTGGGATCCAGGTTCCCCACTGTAACTAAGCCGACCCTCCGTGCTCAGTTCCAGTTCACCTTCTTCACTCCCCCCTTTCACCCCCTAGATTAGCCTAGTCGGTCCATGGCATCCCGCAGCGCCGACACCACTCCGCCACCGTCACACCTACCGCATTCTGCCGCCAGTACCGTTACCACTACTACTACAGCATCGATTACCACGGGACCGAAGAAGACGCCCCCTCCTCCGAAGCAGCAGCAGCAGCACGAGGGGAAGAGCTTCAGCTGCTCCGACTTCTTGCGTCGCAAAGAAAAGGAAATTGTGGACAGATCTATGGCTTACTTCGAACTGTCTCTGGATCGATGTCTTGAATCTTCAATCTCCTCTTCGGTCCACGCCACTGTCGCTGCCGATGCCGGTGCTACTACCGCTGGTGCTAAGCGCTCCGGAACAACCCGTTCTGGTGCCAGGAAGCACAGCGGGGCTACTGCGGCTGCGGCGGCGGTGGTGATGGAGAAGAGGAGGGTTAAACGTGGCCGGGAGGAGGATGGTGATGAGGGTATCGGCGGTGACGGTGATGGTGTTGACGCCGTTGTTGCGGTTGAGAAGATCGAGGGCGGAAAGGTTGCGACAGGCAAGGCGAAGAAGAAGAAGGTCAACCCCAAGGAGAGCCCCGACGACAGGAGTCGGTTTGCCTGTCCGTTTGCAAAGCACGACCCGGCCAAGCATCGGCATGTCAAGACCTGCTGCGGGCCGGGCTGGGAGGACGCCCACCGGGTCAAGTACGTCCCCCCCCCCTCCCCCCTCTGTCTTGCTAGAGTAATACAAGCTAATAACTGACACCGCCAGGGAACATGTTTACCGCGCTCACTCCCTCAAAAACGTTTGCCCCCGCTGCTTCAGCCGGTTCGAAAAGTCGGAATCGCTGCAGGCACACCAGCGGGCAGACACACCGTGCGGGCTGCGTGCGAAAACGTGGGAGTCCATTGGCGAGGAGCAGGAAAAGCAGCTGCATGCGCGGGCCAAGGCGCACTCGTCCGAGGAAGACAAGTGGCGGGACATGTACCGGGTGATTTTTCCGGGGGAGAAGGTCCCTTCGCCATGTATGCCTCTTTTCTTTCTCTCCTTTTCGGCCCCTCTCCTTTTCGGCCCCTCTCCTTTTTATCTCTTCTCTGTCGCGATGTGAGTGAATACAGGCTGACAGAACAGACTACGAAAACGACGACTCCGTCTCCGACTCGGCAGCCACCCGTCAGGAACACATGCTGCAGCAGTTCGATTTCATCCGGCAGCAACTCCCGCGGGTGGTACGCAGTCACATGGAGGTCTACGTTCATCAGATGTTCGAGGAGTTCCAGAACAAGGCCAACCAAAAGGTCGTTGAGATCATCCAGTTCGTCGAAGCCAGCATGGTTCGAACATTCCAGTTCGGACTCGATCACTCAACCCCCGTCACGGCCAATCTCTACCCACCCAACAACAACAACAACAACAAGAGCACCCCTTCATCCCCCATCTCAGCGACCCTCCTCCCCTACGAGTCGCCGGCCCTCACCCATTCCACCCCCGCCACCACAACCACCGACACATACACCGGGCCCCCCACAGCCTCCTTCCCGCGCATCACCGACATCATCGGCCAGCTGCACAACGACCCGAGTTACCAGGACATGTGCGCCATTACCCACCGCGACATCATCGGCGACATGATGGCCGGGCAACTGGGCGGTGGTAGTGACCTGCTAGAAGGGGCATGTGAAGGGCTGAGCGAGAACGACTCGGCGTATTTTAGTAATAGCTCGAGCAACGCTGGGACGTACCCCAGCACCGAGGGGTATGCCGGGTCGACGGCGTCGTCTATGGGGGTGGGCTTTGAGGGGTTTTGAGGTTTGATGGGACGTTGCAGGAGCGGACACTGTAGGATTTGGATGTTTTTGTAGAGGGTTTGGGTAACTTTTCTCGTTAGGTCACTCGTTTTATTGTCGGCCTTTGTTTCGGGTGTACCTCGGAAGATGTGGTTCTTATCCGGGGTTATCTCGGTCGGCCCGATGTGGGGCCTCCGTGCTGGACGGACGTTTCGCGGGCGGACTACGGAGAGCGAACGGGCTGACTTTCCTATCTTTGTTCCAATTCAGTTTGTTTTCCCCGTCCTTACGAAGTACCGTTTTTTTCTTCCTTTTCAGGTACTCTTCCTAAACCCCTGTAAACCATAACCGAATCCAGCAACACCTCCCGTATACCCCCACCCTACTTCGTACAGCAAAAGTCTTAATGAGTCCCTTGACCTTTTGTTACACCTAGGTATGTCCACACCTACACGGACTCCCCGCTGCACACGCCTTTTTACACCACCACATCCGGCCAGAACCTACATAACCGTCTGCACACTCCCCCCTCGCCGGTCTCAACGCCCCCACCGGTGTACTATCCGTAATACAATATCGACCCATAACTATCACATTGTCTGTCGTCATACGTCCTCAATCCAACCCCACCTCGAAGAAATCGGTCAAAGGCCGACGTGCAACTGGCTAGATCTGCCGTGTGGTGGAGTTTTGACTTATTTTGGGGTTGCAATGCGATGCAGCGGACGCACCCTGCAGGTAGGCAGACAAGGCGTTGTGCGGTTTGGTATGCCTAGGCCACGTGGGATTGTACTGTTTCCGGAGCAAAGTCCGCGCGTTTGGTGGTTGAGGTTGAGGATGGTGGGCCTCGTGTCGTGTCGTACTCTGCCTTACCTAGTAATTACTGTGGACACGATAGTGGGGGTGGGTGGTGGCTTAATTCTGCGGCTCATGCGATGGGCTACGCGAGGTGCCGGAGGTGGTTGTGGTTAGCTGAAGATGGTGTGCCTGTGGTCCTTTGTTCATGTCGTGCTCTGCGATACGCGAGGGTGTCATGCAGTTGATCGAGATGGCGAGGTGGTGGTTTGGTTGCAAAGTGTGGTTCGCACGGTAGTTCATGCGAGGTGTTGCAGCTGAAAATAAATTACGATAGATTAAGATCCTGTGGGATGTTCCGATGTTCGCGCATTTGCGTGCGCACTGCGCAGTTGTTTACTCAACAGCCATAGCAACAATAAGATACCCTTCGCATGCTGGTGAGAGTTCGGACTACTCCGTACTACGGTGTATCCCGACCTAAACAAGACACGCACCAAAAAAAGGGGAAACCAAAAAATCACCACGAACCCCCCGTATGTCCCCCCCCCTCAGTCTCCTCATCCCAATCCCGTTCCAGCCTCCACGCATCCCCCGTCCTCACCCCCATCTTCTCCACATCACAACCCCGATGTCCCCATTTCTCCGCAAACACCTTCCTCCCCAAATCAATCTGCATCTGCACGCCGGTCTCAAACCCGTCCGCGTCCCGGTAAAAGGGCTCGCCCTGTCCGCCGCGCTGCTTGACTTGCCAGGTGTTGCGGTGGTGGTTCCCCCGGGCGTATTTGGTGTGTTGCATGTGCGTGGCCAGGGCGAGCAGGCGGTCGTAGGACTCGGTGTAGAGGGATTCGTGGGTTGAGGCGTCTTTGTAGCCGCCGGGGAGGCTTTTTACTCTGTACTTCTTCCCCTTGTTGCTGTTGCCACCCTTCGTCTTTTTCCTATTGCTGTTCGCCTTTCCTGTTCTCGTCCGCGTCTTACCACCCTTCCCCTTCCCCCTCTTCCACGACCCTTCACCATCCTCCTCCTCATCATCCTCCCCATCAAACCCCTCAACCCACCCCCTGACCCCCGGAATCCTCAACAAAGCCCCCACATCCCCCAACACACTCCCCACATCCAAAATCCTCCCCGCCGCACTGTAGCTCTCCGTCTGCTCCAGCCCCGCCCAGCGCAATCGCAAATACGTGTCACAATCCGAGGAATAAAACGGGATATGAGTATCCCACCCTCCCTGAGACAACACCGCGTCTCGGTTGACAAGCGCGAGGTGGTCGTAGGCGAAGAAGTGGTGGGCCCAGGCGGGCGGGGATTTGTAGCCTGGTGATGGGGTGGTTAGGTAGCGGAGGGTGAGGACGGCGTTGGTGTAGAGGGTTGGGGGGGAGAGGTTGGTGGGAGGGGGGAGGATCGGGTGTTTGGAGGGGTGTTTGGGTTGGGATTTGAATTTGGGGTTGGTGAAAAAGGGGGTTAGGGGGGAGGCGGCGGTGGCGTTTTCGTTGGAAAAGACTATGACGTCTTGGTGAGACCAGAAGTAATGGGGGTAGTTGCGGGTGAGGGCAGTCCTGGGTTGTTATATCAGTAGGTCGAGATAACACATCGAGAGAATCGAGAGAAATGTAGAAATAAAGGGAAAGACTCACCACAGATAGAAATTCTGCAACTGCGCAAACGTCAATAGCGTCGGCGTCTATCCCGTCCGTCAGTCAGTCAGCCCTCTTCATCTCCTAAACAAGGCAACGAGTAACATACCATAATAACCCTCACGCCCAACATCCCCAGCTGCGTATGATTCAAATAAAACGGATTCTGCAACGTCAACCTCCCCCTCGCATTCGCATCCATCGCCCCCGTATTCTCCACCACCCAAATATCCTCCGCCGGCCACCCGGCCGCCACATAGCTCACCACGCACTGCAGCAGCTGCGGCCAGTTGCGCGTGAACCCAATAAACAGCGGCGTCTGCTCTGGCACATGGACTTTGGGCGGCCGGTTAGCCCGCGGCGGCTGGAGAAGGTCTCGTGAGGGGGGTGGGTTTTGCGAGAGTAAGGGGAAGGGGTCGGGGATGGGCAGGACGGGGTCAGCGGGCGGTTTGTAGGCTTTGGCGCGCAGGTTGATTTGGGGGATATCCCAGGCAGAGGGAGACCATTCGTAGATTTCGAGGGGTTCGTCGGGGATGGAGGGGGGGGTTTTAGTGTCTCCCGTGGATGTGATGGGGGCTGGGCCATGGTTGGAAGTATCGTGGATGGCGTGCCAGGGTGTAAAGCTGGCGACGGTGCGCGTGGGGAGTGAGAGGCCGAGGTAGAGGATACAGCCGAGGAGAGCACCGGTGATGACCACGCGGGCGCGGTGCCGCATCCAGGAGACGAGCTGTCGGTCCATGTTAATTAGCTTGATTCTCACCTTGGCGGATTCGTGATGATGGCTGTGAAGGGGAAATGGGAATGACTGAATTCATACCGGCACAGGAGCCTTCTCAACTTGCCCGCTCTCGAGACACGGACTCTGCTCTTTGGCCGTGGCTGCGTCTGGGTGCTGTGTCTGCGCACAGGCTGTTGGGGGGATGCAGAGCTCTCGGATGCGTCAGAGGGCATCACGGCTATTTTATCAGCAGCAACACTCCTGATCTTAAGTAGGAGAATCAAAATCCCAATCCACCAGTTCCAAGTATAGCCGCTTGACATTCCTATTCAGACCGGGATGTAGTAGTGATGGACTTACTTCGCCAAGGACGCCGTATTAGTGGCTGCCATTGTCTTGCAGAGTGCGTCATTGACTGTGGAGATCATGCATGTTTGACAAACAACCGTGTGCTAGAGGGCAGCCTTGGGACTTTGGGACTGACAAGAGCGATCGACAGACTACGGTCCGATTTAGGTGAAAAATCATGAAAGAGGGTGTACACGGAAACAGGTTCTATGATACGGGATTGGTGGCCTTGTTAGTCGGAGAAGACGAAGGGATCAGGTCCTGGGGTGGTGGTTGAACCTGGCCAACTAATCACATGCAGATGCGGTCCATGGACAATTTCAACTCCCGGTGACCTCCTTATCCTGGTCCTCTCATAAAATCTCCTCTCCACACCTCGAGGATAGGATACCCGTGAGGTGCTATCAACTTTGCACTTTCATAAATCTCCCCACCCAACGAAAGATCAAAAACTTCTAGTTACTCTATTGTGTTACTAGATGATCAGTAGGTTAGACATGATGATGGACGAGATGAAATCGGTTGAACTCACCATGTTAGCGATTCAAGAGGTGCCCCTACGTGCTTTTGCTAAGCTACCGGAGAACATACAGCTCATGGGGCACAGAACACCCCGTAGTCTGTGGGGGAGAGAGATGACATCAACCTGCACTCTGACATTCTTATGACGATTTATCTCTCTCGAAACTCAAATGCCACAAATCTTATAAGTATCGCAATTCCCTAGCTCTCAAATCGTTATTCCTCAGCCACGATCCTGCACACGAACCGAAGCCCGACATTCCGCAAAGAAGAAGAGCAACACAGGCCAACACATTATCAACGGACAATATGGATACCTTTGCCATTGATTTGCTGAGAAGCATTCTAGGTCCGATGGCGTGGAAGAGAAGGAGTGTTCAAAAGAAAGAAACTAAATCACCGCAAAAGAAAGAAACTAAACCACCGAGAGAAGAGGAATATACGAAAGATGAATGGATCCTGGTCTGATGGAAAAACAACGGAGGCAACTCACGACGAGGGAGCGTTTTGGGATACAGTGCTTGAAACTGTAACAGAGTGCAGCATGCACAGTATCGAGCAAGCCGCCAACACAAAACTCGCCAACATGGCAGCAACAGAAACCATGTATCACATTCATCACGAGGCGGACAAACAGCTTGCTTTCATAAACCGATATTGATTGATTCAGCAATGGCCGACGCCGTCCGGTTGAGCGCGGAGGATTCGCAAAGGATATACGAGCGGAGCTTCAAAACATGGGTTGCACTTTACCACTCGGCGATCGACCGGCCACGCCTTCCCCAAGCATACCTAGATGCTCAACGCGCGTTGGGCCGAGACCATGCGTGGGAGCGTCTCCTTTGTTTATACGACCAGCAAGGCCGAGGTCTCTCGCCTGAACCCGCCAACACCCCCTCAACCAGACAAACCCGGCCTAGAAGTGGACATCAGCGACGTTGGTCCAGACGAAGCCCGATGGTGGGCAGCTGTACTCGCCCCGGGCCAGGGCTGGCTGGCGACTATGTTGTTGGACGAAGACACTACCTTCGTTGCGCCTTGGTCAGTACAACTTCACTCAGACAACCGCTTTCTGTTATCATCAAAGGACTCGCTCTCCCTTGGTGAAGAGGTAACCTGTCCATCCTTTTCCGAGGCCCTCCGTTTCCTCGAAACTTTCTGTGTGCGCCGAAATATCGTGGACCAGAGTCAGGCCGCCCTGGCCGCCGTTCTGCTTTTCCCGACCATGGGTACTCGCCGCGGGCTGCAGCTGCCAGAGTTCACAACCAACCGCTTAGACCGCCCAACCGGAGTCGACCCTGTCATTCCGCAGCATCAGGGCCAAGATCTCAACTTCGAGTCACGAGATAGCGGGATTTACCAGGACGATGTGCTCGATAGGCTTATCACGGTCAGTTGCCACATCAAAGGAATCGAACCTATGTTGTTAAGTGGCTTTTTCGACCCTTCCTTGGAATGCAACGCTGCTTCTCCTTGGCTCCAGGGCGCACGAGCGGCCATCGATGCCGTGGCTGAAGGTAATCCTCTTGTCATCGGACGCATGATAATGGACCGACAACCGATGGTGGCGCCTCTTTGGGTAGGCGCTACAATCCTCGGGCTTCAAAAGGATCTCTTGAGACCCGCTACTTATGGGATGGCCCTCATTGACCTCCCCTCTGCCGTATGGTCTGGGGCGATACAGTCCTTCATCCAGCAACCGGTTTCGGACCTCCTCGTGCGAGACGGCCGGGTAACCAGCGCGGATCAGTGCCGGTTACTCTTCCTCTCTCAGTCAAGATTACATAGTCGAGTACCAATCTGCCAATGGAGGCCGTTTGGCGGGACACCGCTTGAACACACCGATATGGAAGTGCAGGCTCATGCCAATTGCAAGGGGCATGGGCTCCGATACGACGGGTTTATATGGGACCGTGTCGACGGAAAGACAACATACCACCTGGCCGACAAGGAGAATACCCACACATGTCGCAACCCCCCACCCATAGAACATACCACAGGCTCATACCACGTCTCTGTTGACTGTGGGAAATTCGATAACGAGAAAGAGATTGCATCGGAGAACTCGACGCGGAGCATCTTCGGTTGGTTGCGTTTTGACGGGTATGCACCGGATGAAAAGGAGATATGGACACATGAGTGGTTAGAGCCGTATGAGTGTGACGAAGAAGATGAGGAACAGTGCGAGGAGAGTCCTGAAAACACGCATAAATCTTCACATGTGGAAACCTGGATCTCTGGCTTAGAGTACCAAGAGTCTTTAATCTCTGCAGGGCCATAGATTCTGCTGGTTGGGAATGCAGTGAAACCGGGACGAGAAGCAGCCCCGATGGTCACAGCCGACGATTCCGAGACAAATTAACGTGGCGCTGGGGTGTCTTGCAGAATGGAACCTCTCTGTCTCCTCCCTCTCTCCTCCCGTGAGAGCTTTAATTATCGAGAATGGTGAGTTGATAGTGTGCCTGGTTTCTCCCAGCTGGCTGGATATCTGGCCAGGCGCTCGGACCGTTCGACGATCGATGTTCCAATTTGGGAAAACATCCTCCAATAACGCGTACACAGCGCACGATACGACCCGTCAAAACTCCAACGAATAGACGAGTGCGGAAAACATCAAGTGGAGTTTAAAACATAGCCGCCCAACGCGTCTATTTTCGGGAACTTTTGGGACAGCAGCAGTGTGCATCGAAGAGAAACATGTTTCGCGGCGCTGATGTCGTTGAATCTGAACCACGGGTCTAACCTATCTCGGTTAAAGCCAACAACAAGGGTGACCCAAAGTTTTTGATCTGGGACTGCCGATAACCGACTCTCACTCCAGCATCCGCAATAAATAATACAGAGACGTCTTCCAAATTGTTGACATTTCGATCCTCTCTTACTGCATTGAGTCAGAAATAATAGGACTGACTTTCTGGTATCAACGACGTTGTACAACACGTCTGTGTGCGTTGGGCTTCCAGTGGGGTCCGGTGTGAGTGGTGGGCAAGTCTCCGCCAAGCCTAACGACAGGGGTCCGTCCCCCTAGCAACGCATTGTTTACTCAAGGCACAATTGGCCAGTCGGTTTCCTTGTCACAGCCCAAAGCCGCCCGTCACCGCCTATCGTGCTGGTCCTTGTCACCGCCCGCAGGGCAACACCCGGCTCTCGCTTCAGCACCTCTGACGACTGCCAGCTCATCACTGCTTCACAATCCCCACAGTGCCGGCATTCCGATTGGCAATCCGACCCCGTTGCCCCGAGATATCAGGGGTCCAGCCCAAAGAGCCACAACGCAGCCCATCATCCTTGTGTTGGGCAAAGAATTGCTGGGTTGTCGTATAAACATTCAAGGGGTCGATCGGGCGATCTGGTCTGACTTTTTGTTCTCCTCCCTCCTTCCCCCCTCCCTTCCCGGCCAAGAATTATGCCACGCAAAACGCCAGAACTGGACCAGGACTTCAACATTTATGTCGACCCTTCTTCGTGTGTGAGAGAAGCCATGGATGAAGACACCCCCGCCACCAATATTCCGCCTGTGGCGGACGAGGTGCTGGAGTCGGTTGCACCAGAGGACTCGGCTCAAGACGTTGCGGCCGAAGTCGCAGGGGAGGACGAACAGGACTTGACCGAGGAGCCTGATGTCACACCCGCGGACGAGGATGTAGTTGAGACTGAAGAAGTGCTCGACACTACGGAAGTCGACATCCCGAAGAACGAAGCCGAGGTTGCCGGCGAGGATATCGAGGATGAAGAACAAGTCGACCCGACGCCCAACGACGACTTGATCGAAGACGAACCTGTTGTGGAACAAGACGATGCAGCAGAGCCGACGACGGAGGACAATACCCTAGCTACCGAACATGTCGACGAAGAGTCTGTTGTGGAGAATGAAATGGAGGAGCACTCACAGCTTGAGGATATGCCGGAGCAGGCCGGTGCCGACCAGACCGAGGCGGAAGAAGTGTTGGAAAGCGAAAGCACAGAGGAGGCTCTTGAGGAGGCCGCGAGCGGCGAACTCGACGAACCTGGCAATGTCGACGCAGCAGACACTTTCTCAGAGACTGCAGACGAGGACAAGGAGGAAGTGTATGACAACAAAGACGCAGAGGTGGACGACGTGCACACAGACGAACAAGAAGCGTCCGACGTGGACCAGGAACAGGAACAAGACCGGGGCCCGCAGCGATTGGGAGAGCGAAAAACCTCGCTTCGCACGGAAGCGCTCATCCAAGCAGCAGCACGAGCCGTGGTCGCCAAGATTGAAAAGCGAAAGAGCGGTGAGCTGCCGGAGCCCGAGGACGAGTTCGACCAGTCCATGGTCAGCACCGATTCCCAAGACACCGAGACGAGGGGCCGGGACGACTACGACGACGACGCCTTCAACGCTGCTAGGGACCTGCTGGTGAACAGCCTCAACGACCAGCACCACAACCGATCACAGTCGGCTGGGTCATCGGTCCGACACAACGCATCGCATTCGATTTCCAGCGACGACGCCAACGACAGCAGCTCGCAGCACGAGCGTGAAGACGACGTGTTCAGCGACCGCAGTGCTCGGAGCTCGCTCGGCTCTCTCGACCCGGTGAGCGACCCGGAGCACTACGAGGGGGGCACAATCCGTGGGAGCAGTCTCAACAGCATCAAGACCCCCCACGCCAAAGACGCCTTTGCCTTTTCCGAGCGCCGTGACTCCTTCACATCGTCCACCACCAGCAGCCAAGACCACCACCAACCCTCACACTCCTCTTCCCACTCGCACACCATTTCACCCGCACGCACGGTGTCCAACTTTTCAACCATCTCAGGGCTGTCGGCCTACGACGACTCCAAACAGGGCGGTTTCGTGCCCACACACCGCGAGACCCGGTTGCCGTTCCGCACGCCGTCCGAGATCCGCGCGATGCAGATGGCGTCGCCCAGCCCGTCGGTGTTCAACGGCAGTTCCCCGTCATCGCGGCCGGGCACGGGGGCTAGCAAGCGGTACAATGGAGCTACTAACAACAACAACAACGGGTTCAGCAGTCCGACGGCATCGGCACAGTACTCCCCCAAGGGCCGGTCGACGCCAACACGACTGAAGTCGGCGCGCAAAGAGGCGCCGTTGGTGCTGTTGCATGTCACGCTGCTGCCGCTGCAGTGGGCGTGGGGGGATGTCTTGAACGGTATGGATGCGCTTGTTGTTAGTAACAGCGATTCCCTGGGTAAGACAGACCTAGCTACTCCTAGTGAGTCCGTCGTCACTCCCCCGCCCAGCGACCAGCTCAAGACCCTCCGCGACGCATGGCGCGAGCTGCAAAGCCGGGTGGGCGAAACCGTCCTCGATCGCGGCATCCTCCTCCCGCACCCACAAAACGATTACGAGGTTCTCGAGGAACGCCTGCTTGAGGCGCTGGAACTACCCCTGCGCCGCCGGGCGCGCATTCTCGAATGTGGCCACTACGTCGGCCCCGCCAATGTCCCCGACGAGTACGACGAAGACATCAGCGACGACGAAGGCGGCCGCCTCAGTCGGGAAGACAAGCGGCAATGGTGCGCAACATGCGAGACAGAGATCCGTGTCGAAGACCTCGGCGTCGGCAAGGTGTTCCGGGTGAAAGTGTACGCCAGTAATGGGCTGATGCGTGCAGGCGCCTGGGAGGCTTGCTGGAAGGAGATGGAAAGGGTCGATGTGGAGGTTGAGCCGATTGTGGACGCCACGCTGCAGAGCGAGTTGGAACGGCTGGCGCTGTTGCAGGATGAGTTAGAGGAGCAGCGGAGACGGGAGGTGGTGGAGTTGGAACGGGCTGCCGAGCTGGCTGCTGAGGCGGAGGCCAAGGCGATGGTTGAGGGCTTGCGGGCGTCGAGTCGTCAGCAAAAGGAGCAGCAGCCGGATGCTCTCGATGCGCAGAGGTCGATGATGCCTTCGCCTGCGCCCTCGGGCATGCAATTGGCTATGCGAACCGCTACGCCGCAGCCTTCAGCCGCGAATACGCTTGTCCGCGCGGGGACGCCCAGCGCGTACCCCGTTGATACCTCTGAGGAGCGCCGGATGCGTGACGAGGAGCGTATGCGTGAGATTTACGGGGATTCTCCCACACCCCCTAGCAATGCACCAACACCCGACCATCAACAGCAGCCACAACATCACCAACACCAACCATCCCAACCACAACACCAACAGCACTACCCCCCACAGACTCAAACCCAACTCCCACCAACCCTCCCCCTCCTCACCGACGGCCGGCAAGAGCACGCCCATCAACAACCCCGCCAGTCCCGCCCATTACCACTAGACGAAAACTCGGGTTTTGTCGAAGTGTTAATGGAAGCCTTCAAGGTGCTGCTACGCGACCCGAAGAATGTCGCTATCATCGTGCTGTGTGTGTTTGTCGTGTTTATGATCAAGAGGCCTGGTCTTGAGGCTCAGCAGGCTCAGCAGGGGCTTGTACCGGCGCCGCAGGTTCCGGTGGTTCATGTGTCTTCGCAGGTTCCGCAGGCGCAGGTGCAAGTCCCGGAGGTGCAGGTCGGGCAGGGGCAGGTTGGCCAGGGGCAGATTCCTCAGGGGCAGATTCAGGGTGTGAAGCAGGTGCCGCAAGTGGAGGGGGTTCAGGGCCTGGGGAATGGGGATGTTGCGGGGTATGAGATTGGGATGATGGGTGAGGTGCAGGCGGGAGGTCGGAAGGGGGCTGTGAGGGAGGTGCCGATGGTGGAGGGTGGTGCTGCGGAAGAGGTTGTGGAAAACGTGGTGAAGGCGCTTCCAGCCAGTGAGGAAGTGGTCGTTGAGCACTCCACTGAGCAGACTGTCGAGGTGGAAGTCACCGAGACAGAGTCACAGACGGAGGCAGAGGCAGAGCCCGAGGCCCTTGTGGAGCAGACCGACGCTGCCATCGACACGCGCGCTGCTGTCTTCATCCTCCCCGACGACATGTGCGCCCCCCACGGCCCCGCCTACCCCGTCACTCCGATCGACGAGCTCCCTCTGCTCACCCCCGAAGTCGACAACAGCGAAAACTCCGACGACGACCTCCCAGCAAACTGTAACCCCCCCTCGACGACCTCATCAGCCCTCGGCCCCCTCGTAACCCAACGCCGTACCGTCCGCCTCTTCGAAACCGTCACCGAGACCGTACGTGTCAGCGTCGTCACCCAGACCGAGACTGTCTCGACCGTTGTGACTGCTATCCCGCAGACGGTGGAGGAGACGGTGTATGAGACGGAGACGGTGAGGATTACCGTTTCTGTGCCTGTTGAGGGGCAGAAGGCGGTGGAGAAAAAGGAGGAAAAGGAGGGGTGTGAGGGGAAGGGGAAGAAGGGGTGGTTTTAGGTGGATGTGGGATGGATGGATGGGATGAGTGGGGGATGGATGATATCGTGGATGGGTGATGGACGGTGATATGATGGATGTTTAATGATTTGGGAGGACTGGAATGGATTCGTTAGCTAAGGGATGGTAAGCTAGGAAGGGGGGTCTTCTTTGTTGATTTCTTTTGTGGTATGAAGCGATGCATAGCGATAGTTAGATGTGTGATGAGATAGGAATATACGTAGTTGGTATGTACAGTGTGTGTTTTGCAGTATGTTGAACTTGGCAGTGTGCTTGTTAGGCTGGGCCTATGAGTTAGAGATCGTTAAATGGAGGATTAGTTAACGTCAAGCTGGGATCGTTACTTTGAGATGTATCTTGCTGTTTTCGAGACTAGGTTGTTTGCACTAGTTTCCTTTTTCTTCACGTCGCTTGCTCCCTAGTGTTTTGTTCCATGTCAAATACTTCCACAACTAACCAAACGATCAATCTCGGACTGTTGTCACTCCATTTTCCCCTTGTCCGAGTACCTGATACTGGAAGATCTCCACTCCATAATCTATTCCCCAACAGCCTAATTGATGTACTCTGTTGGTGAACATAATATTCAGAGCCTGATAACTAGCATTTTTTCATAATTTCATGGATAATTAACTAATTATCCAACAAGACAACACCAATGATGTTTCACAACGACAACACAGGGTGACAAGCCTGGTGTTATTGTCGGTTCGCTTGCTTCAACCAATGTTGTCTCCTTCCCTCCTTTTATCTAGTGTTTTTGCTGTGTCCTCATTCTGGTTTTGGAGGCACAAACCTACCAAACTGCAGGAGCCATTTTTCATCCTGGCAAAAAAAAGTGACACGAACAGGAATCAAAAAAGAGAGCTGTGGTCAGCCACACTGCCCAAGGGACCCATTTCACCCTGGGGGGGGGGGGAGGGGCGACAAGGTACACAGCTTAACCACTACACTACCAACAGGTGTGATCCTCGTGATTTTCTTGGGTTGTTGGGAACTGGGACCGTGGACCTTCCCTATATACCGTGCTCTTGCCTTGATTTCTGACGCCCTCTACAACACGGGAGATGCGAGCTGCCTCAATATTTTTCTTCAACATCACAGCGCAGCGGTCCTTCCAACACTGCAAGTACTTGTATCTTGCTTGATTTGTTGTGCGGCGTTGCCATACTTGACACCAACCTCCCCAGAAAAGTGCGATGGAACGAGATGTTTTGTTTAACTGCAGCACATTCTATTGGCGGTGCGGTATCGTGATTTGTTATCATGGTTAACAAGTCGCATTTTCCGTGACTCCCACACTTGACCTTTTTGCACAATAATGACGATTTAATACAGTTCTTCTCAGAGGAGTGCGGTTGTTGTTCGAAGGAACCCTTGTCCTACAAATGCCGGCCCACCACAGCCCTAAATCACGACCTAACCTCACACTTCTTTGTTTCGTTCTTTCGACCTTTTCTTTTGCATCTGATCAGCTATTGTGCTACGACAAACGGTGCCAGGCTGAAACGGATCCACGGTCCTGAATAGGTGGGAAACCGTTGCTAAGTGAGACTTGATTTGGCATGTGCAAACGCTGTGCGGGTGCCGTGCAAGTGCTGTCGAATGCTGTGCAAACCGGATTGTTGGGTACGTTGTTGGATGACAATGGTGTTGGAGTGTGTGTGCATTGGATTGAGTGGCTGTTATGCCACAGGAAGAGGGTGTCATAATACTTGGGTTAAGTGACTGTGAATTTCCGAAGTAGTGTACTCAGTTTCAAAAGGTGCACTCCCATCAATTATGTTAAGGTTAAACACCGATTGGGAAATCCATCCGGGTCACACTCCCTATTCCCGATCAGGAATCAGCGCAAACAACTTCACAACTAGAAGTCTTCTGGAAACTCGGCGTGCCTTCCGACGCCCAACACGCTGGGCGCACCTGGCTTGGTTGAACCATTGAAGTCCAACAGTGTCATCCATCCGGGTTCCTGGACTTGGGGATCGGACATGTTAAGGAAACTCCCGAGACAATCCATGCATTGGAGCGGGCACCTCCGAAGCGAATGTCGATTACCCCTGAATTAGGATCCAAATCGGGATTCGAGTCGGAAAAATGCAAACGGTCGACAAACTGTTGGCAGGAAGCCACCGGGTTGAGGATGAACGCTGCGTTTGTTTTTTGTATCTCATGCATTTGTGTGGAAGATACGGAATAAATTTTACACCATAAACTATGCGTTCGTTATGTTAGAAAGGCCGTTCCTTCCTCAGACGATCTAGGAACGCGTTCAGGGGATGCGATGAACTGATAGATTGATTGCCAGAATTGGAGAAGCGCGACGGGGTCTGTGCACCACCCGCTCCTCGATCGTTGCGGTTTTTGGTTCCCGCGGCTTGCAGAATCCCCACTGCACCACGGCAATGCTTGTGCTCTCCACCATCCCCGTTCTCATCCACGACTTTTTGCTGCGGCAACGCCTTGCGATTGTTGACAACTAGACTGGCAGTATACTGCTACTCTAGTTGTGCCGTTCGCTACCTACCTACCCTCATTTTCTGCTTCTTTTTACCGGCAATTTCTGGCCCTTTTCACGCTGCTGGGATTTCCGGCATTATTTTGTGCTTGGCGTGAACAACACGACACCCGCTTGAAATCCGGGCGACCAGCCTACACCAACCCCGATTGTGAAATTACAGCTTTGTCGGCACCAAGTACACTCCCTGCACGGCGCTGTTTCATACGTTGGGATCCGTCAACCCGGTTCCGACAGATGAGATCGTGAATTTCATGCACCTTGCTTTCCTGGATCGCCGCCCCTGACGAGCCCGACATCCGTCGATTGCAATATCGAGACAAGTTCTTCCGGCCACATTGCCCACATCGACCGGCCGACCGAACGACCGACCGACCGCCGAACGGACGACTGCACGAGCTAAACAAACAAGCTCGACAACGGGACCACTCCTTCACCGCCGACCTCCACAAACATAGATGCTGCCGACCCATCGCCGACAATGCCTTGGCAACCGCTGCCTCGCATCGCGTTCGCCGTAGCGACATTCCCCTTTTCGGCGTCGCACCCGGCCGACCTGCCGCTGGAACTGGGCGATGAATTGTACATCATTGAGGAGACCCCCGATGGCAATTGGCTGCGTGGATATCTGGTAGCCCCGCCGAGCCTGCTGGCCGGCCTGACCAGTGTCAAGGGCCAAACGCTCGAGGCACGTGTGTTTAGCGGTATTTTCCCGCGCAGCTGTGTGGAGGTGCGCGAGGTGCTAGGCGAAGGGGATGAGACCGAGGACGACGACAATGAGGACGATGTCGACGTTGAAGGGGACAACCAGAATACGGCGGATGTCACGGCCGCGACAAGTACAGCAGCACAGATCGAAGAGGGCGACTCGGCCAAAAGCGGGATAGAAGGGGCGCAAGCCGAGCGGAAGAGGAGGAAAGCCCGGATCAAGGCATCGCACACGCGCGGCTGGAAAGACCCCGGGACACCCGGCCCGTTGTCGGTCCCCGTCCCGCGCGACCCCGACGCGCCACGACCCCCCGCGCCGGTGCCGATGCTGAAGATTGGCGACGAGACGCCGACATCCACCTCAGAACCTCTGATCGACGAGATCGCGTCGTGCCTGCGGGAGTGGCACTCGACGAACCTGCACGAGCTGCTGCTGTCGCGGCAGTACGGCAAACTCGACACCCTCTCGCAACTGATCGGGCGGCTCAACTTTGCGCGACAGCAGTTCCTGCACGATGTTCTGACAACGGCGGAATACGAGCAGCTGCGGGAGAGGACAGTGTGGGACCTGGTGCGAGTCAACAAGCTATGCGGGGGCGAAGTCATCGTGCGCGACCCGCACCCGCAGGCGCGCGGGCGGGTGCTGACGGGAGACGACTCGGTGGTGGAGATCACGAAGCTGCAGTCGATCATGAGCTTACTAGACGAGACGCCGACGGCGACGACCGAGCTGACGGCGCTGCACCACCTGCTAGTGGATATCAAGGGGCTCGCGGGGGCATCGACCGAGGCGACCACGCTAGTACTATACCTAGCGGCCAAGACCGCGGGCGGCAAGCTGACGGCGCTGTCGGAGAATTACATTGTGGAGATGCCAGCCGGAGGCCAGATGGTGCATCTCGCGCGCAGCAACAACATGCAAATGCGCACGCTGTTTACAGACCTGACGGCCGCCGAGATTGGCGACGTGTCATCAGTCGACTCGGAGCTGTACCTGGTAGTCAAGATCCGGGCCTCACAACCAGTGTCGTCGCCGTCGGGATCGAACAAACCCAGCTCGCGGTCGGGCAGCCTGTCGTCGAACGGCTTCGGCAGCGGGAAGGACCACGCCAAGCCGCCCCTGTCGTCGGGCAACAAATCAGTGCGTAGGAGCCTGATGTGGGCCGGCAAGAACACGCGGACGGCGTTTGCGCGCGGGGGTAACTTGCGGCTAGACTCGCTGTCTGAACAGCCGGAGGATATTGGAGGAGGTTCGTCGTCTACCACGGCCGTCGGGCCTGAGAGCCGGGATGGTGCCCCGCCGAGCACGGCGAATTCCAAGGCCGGGCGGGCGTCGGTGGACGGTGTTGGGGTCGGGATGCAGACGGCTGAGCGGACGGTTGGCGTGGGCGTGCTCAAGCTGAACGGTGTCATGAAGCAGGTGCAGGCCGAAGAGGTGGAGCATATTGTCAGCATCTGGGCACCGTCAGCCGGTCGACCGCAGCAACCGCAGGACGCTGAAGAGGAGTGGGACTCGGTGCTGCGGGAGATCATGGAGAGCAGCTCGGGCGGCTACGAGAAGTCGCGGCGGGCGGAGCGGTTACAGGTGCATTTGCGGGCGTTCCAGGACGCCGACGCCGACGCGCTGATCAAGGCGACCCCAACGGTGCTATCGGGGATCTGCAAGACCAACAAGATGGGCTTCTCCGGGGCGCCGACCAAGCCACGGTCGGACATCTACCTGACGCTCGACGCTGCTATGCTTGGCCGCCACACGATGCTATCACGCTTTGGGGGCAGTCCCGTGTCTCTGCCCAGTTATCTACACAACAACACCAATGGCAACGGCAACAACCTGCAAATCACCCTCGAAGTCCGACGGTCCAACAACGAGCGCGTCGAGCACTGCATCCACGCGTCATCCAACGGCGAACCCCTCAGCTCGTGGAAAACCACCGCCGTCGGCACGGAGCCCGGCAGCCAGGCGTGGCGACAAACGGTCAAGCTGGTGCTGGCGCCGCAGGACGTGCACCAGGGCCATGTGGTCATGTTCCTAGCGGACGCGCCGAACGCGCCGTTTGCCGTGGCGCACATGCCGCTGTGGGACCACCAGGCGTTTATCCGGGACTCGACGCACGGGCTGTTGCTGTACCGGCTGGATGAGAATACCGTGAATGCGCAGGGGGTCGGGGCGCAACCGGGACAACAGGGCAAAGGGGGGTATTTGAGTTTGCCCTTTTCTGTTCCGGGGAGTGGGAACGGCAAAGACGACTCGGACGTGGCTGGCTCGCTTGCGGCGGTCCGTGTGGAAACCTACCTATGCAGCACGCGGTTCTCGCAGGACCGGGTGGTTCTTGGACTGCTAGCGTGGAAGGACTCGTCGCGGGAGGGCATTCCCGTGCTGCTGAAGCAGTTCATCTTCGTGGCTGAGATCGAGGTGGTCAAGCTGCTCAACGACGTGCTGGACGCGCTGTTTGGCATCCTGTGCGAGTACTCGGGCAACGACGACTACGAGGACCTCGTGTTCTCGGCGCTGGTCCGGGTGCTGGATATTGTGCACGACAGGCGGTTCAACCTGAGTCCGCTGGTTGATCAGTACGCCGAGAGCCGGTTCCATTATCCCTTTGCGACGCCGTGCCTGGTGCGGTCGTTTACCCGGCTGTTATCCAAACCAACGGAGCCGGAGACCGCAAGAAAACTGAGAGCGACGTTCAAAGTGGCCCGACACATCCTCAAGTTCATCACGCACGCGCGCGGCCAGCAAAAGGCCAAGGAGGCCAACATCGGCATCACAAGCAACAACCCGGGCTTCACGCGACATTTGCGGGTCATCTTCAAGGCGCTGGATGCCATGATGCGCAGCTCGGCGCCGGTGTTAGTCGGCAGTCAGACGCTGGCCGTGCAGCACTTCCACACGTGGCTGCCGGAGCTGGCGGGGCTGTTGACGACGGAGGAGATTCTGCACATTGCCATTGACTTTATGGACTCGTGTGCGGGTGTAAAGGGGAAACTGGTGCTGTTCAAGCTGGTGCTGATTGTGAATTATGCAAAGCTGGATATCTTTGCGCACCCGGAGCAGCGGTCGGCGCTTAGTGCGAATACTGTACGGTGGATTGCGCCACACTGGGGGGCCATCGACGCGGATATTGCCAGTGCAGAGACGTCGGGGCTCTGGAGAGACCAAGTCCGTCTGTGCTGCTCGGTGCTGGCCAGCCAGATCGACCACCTGGGCCCGGAGATCCCGGACTACATTCCCAAGATTATCCAGTCGTTCCTCGTGCTGCAGGCCAGGGCAGCGGCCAACAAAACAGCCCGAAAAGACCGGCTATCGCTGCTCTTCCCGACAACATACCCCTTCCCGACGCGGGCTCTCGCCGAGGAAGCCCAGGGCCCGGGGTTCGACGAAGCGCTGATCGAGCTTGCCGCCGTGCTCTCGGCGCTGTCCAACTCTCCCGCGGGCATGCAGCTCGAACTAGCCGAAGACGACTTGCATGTCGTCGTGGAGAACTGCCTGCGCGTGCACAATACCATGCTACAGCCCGCGGCTACCTTCCCTGCCGACTGGCTATCGGTGCACATCTTCCACCACAAATCCGCCATGCGAGCCCTGCAGTACTTAGCCGGTCTGCTGCTCGAATCTTTCTTGCCACATCCAGACGACGCCGAGAGTTTCCCGACGGAACTGTGGAAGCTCTTCTTCACCACCTTACTTGCGCTCGTCGGTAGCCCATCGCTGGCCTTGGAAACCTTCCCCGAGCAGAAACGCCGCGCGGTGTGGAAGATCGCGGGCGATGTCCGCGAGTTGGGTGCTGACCTGCTGCGCCGCACTTGGGAGGCCATCGGGTGGGAGACGACGGTTGAGGAACGCGCGCGGTATGGGCTAGCGACTATGGGCGGGTACCAGGTGCAGTATGTGCCGACGCTGGTGGCGCCTATTGTTGAGTTGTGTTTGAGCGTGCATGAAGGGCTTAGGAGGATGGCGGTTGAGGTGTTGCAGACGATGATTGTCAGCGAGTGGACGCTTAGCGAGGACTTGTCGGTTATTCAGACCGAGATGATTGATTGTCTGGATGGGTACTTTAAGACGAAGCCGTTGACGGAGAGTATCCTGCAGAAGCTGTTTTTGGGGGAGCTGCGGGCGTTGTTTGAGGAGGGGTTGGTGCGTGACGAGGGGCTGTTGGCTGCTCTGAATGAGCTCACGAACACGGTGGATGTTTTCCTGGATTTGTTGGTGGCCGTCCACAGCAGCGACGGCGGGAACGACAGCGGCTCCGGGGCTGGTGAAGCTTCCCACTTGATCCACCGGCTGCGGCTGATGGAGTTCCTCCGCGACATGCACAAGGAAGACATCTTCATCCGCTATGTCCACCAGCTCGCCACACTCCAAGCCGACGCCCGCCACCACGCCGAGGCCGGCCTCGCTCTGCGCTTACACGCCGACATCTACGACTGGGACCCCCTACGAACCACCCCAGCCCTGCACGACCCAGACTTCCCGGCACAGAGCCACTTCGAGCGCAAGGAACGACTCTACTTCGCCATGATCAAGCACTTCGAAGAGGGCGCCGCCTGGAACTGTGCCCTGGCGGCCTACAAGGAACTGCAGACTCAATACGAGACCAACACCTTCGACTTCGCCAAACTCGCCCGCACCGAGCGCGCCATCGCCTCCATCTACGAAACTATCGCCTCCGGCACCCGCCCCCTCGTGCCCAAGTACTTCCGCGTCGTCTTCAAGGGCCTCGGCTTCCCGGCCGCCGTGCGCGACAAGGCCTATGTTTTCGAAGGCTCCTCCTCCCCCGGCGAACGCACCGCCAGTTTCACTGACCGCATGCAAGCACTATACCCGGCCGCGCACATTGTTTTGGTCAACACCGCCACCGCCGACGCAGAGCAACAGCAGCTCGATGATGTCGTCGAGGGGCAGTTCCTCGTCATCTCCCCGCTCAGTCCACACCGCGATTTGAGTCATACCGTCTACCAGCGCGCGCGTGTCGCCCCGGCGATTCGGGAGTACCTCGTCAGCGCTGCCGAGCCGCGGTCGTTTTCTGTCACCACCAAGCGGTGCACGGCTGCGGGTACCCCCGTGGAGGAGCACTACACGGAGAAAACGATCTACACGACTGCCGAGTCGTTCCCGACTATCCTACGGCGGAGTGAGATTGTGCGTGCGCAGCAAGGCGTGCGGTTATCTGCGAAGGAGACCGCGCTAGAACGGACGGTGCGTAAGACGGGGGAGATGGGTGCTTTGGAAAGGAAGGTGGCTGAGGGAGAAGGTGGAGATGAGAGTGCGCAGTTGTTGGTGGATGCGGTGAGTATTAGTGTGAATCCGAATTCGGAGAATGGGGTGGTGATGTACAGGGGGTTGATCCCGGGGATGGCTTCTCTGGAAAAGAGTGAGGATGGGGAAGAAGAGGGGGAAAGTGACGAGGAGGATGAGGAAGATGAGGAGCCGGTGCTGGATGCGCAGGAGACGGCGTTGAAGATGGCGTTGGTGGATCATGCGATTATGTTGAAGAGGTGTTTGGGGACGTTTGGGAAGAGCGGGAATGAGATTCTCACGAGGCATGTGGAGGATTTGCAGCGGTGTAAGTCCCCCTTTTCTCTACCCTCCAGGACGAATTCTGTGGGTTATAGTTGCTGCACTGCAACGAGACACTAACGGATACCAAAACAGTCTTCGAGTCAACCTACGCTCCCGAAATCGCCCTCTTCACACCCGCCGCACCCGCCCAACCCATCCGCGAGACAACCCCCCGCTCCCCGCTATCTGCCCCGGTTGTCCGCGGTCACGCCCACTCCCGATCGACCGCCACCGTCCCGAATGCTGTGACCGAAGAGGCTACCCTGGTGCAGCCTGTGCGATCCGCCCGCGGACCACGGTTGAGCTTCCTCGGGGGGCGGAAGAAGGACGGGAAGGATGTCAATGGTGTGAATGGCGTGAACGGGGAGAGACACGCAGAGAGACAGCACTCGATCCAGGAGGAACCAGATCACCCGCCTCCACCCCCGCCTGCTAAGAACGGCTATCCCTATACCAACGGGTACTCGTCAAGTGTGGGGGGTGATACCGTCCCGCCGTCGACAGCGACGTCCTCTACCGCAACAGCTACCGGGCTTACAACCGCCCACACCACCACTTCAACCACCACCCCCGCGACAACCGCTACCTCAGCGTCCACAATCACTGCCGTACCCCCCTCCTCCTCAACAACCCTCCCAGCCACAACAACCAACCCAACCTCCACCACAACCCCAACCTCCAAAAATCAACCCCCCAACCGCCGCTCCTTCTTCCGCACCATGCCCAACATCTCCCCCGACCCCTCGGCCGCAGCCTCATCCTCCTCCCTACGCAACGGCGCCGGTCTCCCCAACGGCGGCCTGCAAAGAGTAGGAACAGGCGGAACAGAATTCTCCCTGCCGTCTCGGTCACAGTCGAATTTATCCAGTCTCATGGAAGGTTATGAAGGGAATGGCACCGGAACTGGACATGCCCTTGGGGATGGGGCATTTGGCGGGTCGACGCCTAGTTTACCTGTGCTTGGGCAGTTGGGGCAGATGGGGTATGCTACTGGTGGTTTCACTGGCGGGAGCGCCGCGCAGGGCGGGCAGAATGGACAGCATAAGGTTGGGAATGGAATTGGGCCGGGGATTGGGAATACACCTGGGGCGGGAGGAGGACATGGCGGACAGAATATTGTTAGTCAGGGGGTAGGGAGTGTGAGGAAGCGGTTGAGTATACTCAGGTTGGGGAAGAAGAGTAGTCGGGAGAGAGGGGTGGGACAGACGGGGGCGTTGGGGGGTTTGGATGAGGAGTAGCCATGGGGACGTATGGTATGGTTTGTCGTTTGTGCGTGTTGTCCGGTCTGGGCGGTGATGGGATTGATCTAGGCTTGGACTAGACAGGCCGGCGAGATGAAGCCTGGTCTCTAGACAGGAGATCTTATGTGTGGTACTAGGTGGACTGGTTCTTCGATTCATTCTCTTCTGTTTTCTTTGTATTGCTTTTCTACTTCTTTTTTTTTATGTCTTGTCCTGACTTACAGAGCCTTCCTTTCGTCATTTTCTTCCTCTTCTTCCGAAACTCTTTTTCTACTACTTGTTTTCACTTGTTTTATTTGTCTATTTGTCTTGTATGTGCTTGTCTAATACGCTGTTGTTGCGGCTGGGTTTTATAGGAAATGTTGAGTATTGTGGAAAGTGTGTACCGTTCTGGTGTTATATACATTCTTACATTTGGGTGGGATGTTAAAGGGTTGGAGGGACTCGGTATGGGTGGGGAGATACATACTTCAACAATACATGGACTGGTGGGATGGGTGTACGTACACGTGCTGATAGCCAGCGAAATTATTTTATTTATTAGTTAATGGGCTTGGTTGTGATTCGCTGTGAATGTGCCGTGCTAAAAAGTTATTTACAAGGAAATTGGTGATAATTATACCCCGGGAAGGGTGATCGATCACGGAAACGCGAAGCATTTAACGGTTGCACTTTTTGTCGCCTAATTAAACCACAGTTTTGCAACCCCTCAGTTTTCCAGATTCAGACCATAATAGATGATAGCCCACAGGGCAGTGGTAATCCTTCTCATCTTCATCAGCATCATCTTAAAATTTACCCTTTACGTGGTTCATTTGTGTAGTGTGCTGGTTACATTTTTTATTTTTAAGACAGCACATGCTTTAATTACAAAGTATCACCGGGACGTTGGGTTGACCGAGGTTAATATCCACCGTCTTGCCACTTGTCAGGATCAGGATGAAGAAGGTAATTAGACACCACGCTCGAGGCGAGAGTGAATTGCTACTTAAACCCCATTCAAGGCTTCAGATAGGAAAAAGCAGGCATAAAACATCAAGTAACCTCTAAGATCCCCGAGTCGGCCGGGGTCCGCTGAGGTTCGCCGGGCCGATGCGGTCCGATACGGTCTGCTATTTGACGGTGACGGGCTGAACCGGGCCGTCAAAAGCCGCAGCCGGGCAGCGAACCCAGCCGTTGGCTGTCTGAAGGATTGCCAGAGCAGAACACTAACACTGCTCGCCTGGTGGCATTAACCGCCTGTCCATCTCTACTCGTGGCAAGGAATTAACTCATGGCGTTCAACTTGGGTAAACAATCGTTCAGCCAGGGGTATGTTCAGATATGGCAGCGGTACAAACAGATTTAAACTATGACGTCACAGCACTTTGCAGGCAGGCACAGAAGCAGTGAGCTAAACTATATTGTTCTTTCTAGTCCACAACAAAACCCAACTTGGCACCAAACCAATCCGCTGTAAAGAGGAGAGTAGGGTGGGATAGGAGTAGTAACGACGGGCACCGCCAGCTGCGGTGCTTCGAGGCCGGCAATCGCAGTAGTGGGGGTAAATAAAACGACATAAGAAAAAAAGGTATAAAGGGCTATACAGAAGAATCAGAAGAGTGTTTCGCTATGCACAGCCGCCCAAGTCCCATCCCAAGCAAACAAGCCAACAACGCCATCTTATCAGCAGCAAAAATATTCAGCCACGATGTTCCCATATCACAGTGGGGCCACTCCACGGTTTCATTCATCTTTCTTTGTTTTTACCAAGCCTCGCCCCGCACTCAAGACGCCAGCCAGCTGACTGCCCGCGTGGGGTTTAAGCATGGCCCGACATCATGTGCAGGCGGAAGTGCTCCTGGTACTGCAGATGTTGCTGGTCCGCAAGATGCGGGTTGGCGTCCTTATCGGCCCGCAGGCGAGCCTGCAACTCAGCCTCCTGGCGGGCTTGCAACTGCGCCTGTTGAGCGGCTTGGGGCTCACCGTCGGAGTGGAGGCTGGCAAGCTTCTGGGGGTTGGAGCTGAGGTCGGCGAGCATCTCGCGGAACTGGTCCGAGGTCAGGAGCATCTTGGTGAGGCTGGTGAGACGAGCATTCTCCTCAATGAGCGCGTGGTTCTGAGCCCGCAGGAGACCGGCATCGTTGGTGCGGTCTGTGAGTTGACCCTCGAGCCATCCAATGTATTCTGTAAAGGCGGGGAGTTAGCAATTGAGAAATCTTCAATATGTGATAATGGGGTTTGGGACTTACCCTTTCTCCGCCCACGGAATGCACGTGCGGAAACCTTGTTCCGAAGCTGCCGGCGCTCTTGGCTGCTGAGCTTCTTGCCCTCCTCGCTGGCCAGGAACTTTTCGTCCTCGTCCATCTCCTCCTCGGACTTTTGCTTCTTGGCAAAAGTCTGCTGCGGTAGACTCTTGACGGGAGTGTATTGTACTGGCTCCGCCCGCATCGAGTTGAGGATATGTTGCACGTTCTGGTCGGCAATGGAGCTGCTGGTTTGGGGCGACCTTGACTTCTGAGGCTGCTTGGCCTGCTGAGCCCGTTGCCTTTGCACCTGTTGTTGTTGCAACTGCAGCTGCTGTTGCTTTTGCTGTTGCTGCGCCCTGGCGATCGCCGCCTGCTGCTGGTGCATGCCTGGCCAAACGCGACCTGGGGTGGTTGATACGGCGGGTGTGGTTGGTAGGGGAGAGGTGAGGGCGTCAGGCTCTTGGCCGCCGATGGCGCTAGGGTTGATCGTTGAGTTCAAGTAAAGCCCAGAGTCGGGCGACGAGGTCTGGAAGTTCAGGTCCAGATCCAGCGCCGAGGTATCCATCTCACTACCGATGGGGGCGCTGAAGTCGAACAGATCGTCCGTCTCTGCCAAGCCAGAGAGGATGTCGTTTTGCTGCATTTCAAGGAACTCGTGGTGGTAGCCTTGGGGCTGGTTCATAGACAGCGTTGTGCTAAGCGCACCAGGGACGAGGCCAGTTTGTTGCTTGTAGAGGTTGTACTGATGGCTTGGTGCGCTGAAACCCTGGTTCGCCGGGAACAGCGATGGCGCATCGGAAGGCTCGGACTTGAGTGAGATCGAGGTTGAGGGTGACAGCGTCGACGTCTGGTAGTTGAGGGTGTTGTTGTTGCTGCTGGTCGCGTTGTTGTCGTACTGGGAAAAGTCCATGAAGTCGAGGGGATCAAACCCGCCAGTCTGTTGCTGGGACCCAGCCATGCCTCTGCCCGAACAACTTCGTTGTCTAGAGGTGACTAATCGAGTGCTGGAGGAGCGAGGAGATCGGAAGATATGGCTACCGATTCCGCGCTGGTTTGTTGTTTTTCTTTTTTATGTTGGGGTTTGGATTTTCGAAAACCGATGGCTTTGACGTGGTTGTTGATGGGCGTATTCGGGTGCGAAACATGTAAAGAGGAGAAGCTGGCGGGCGGGAAGCAGGGCGTGGGAGTTTTCAAGAAGCAGACGCAAAGGCGGGCGGGTCGGTGCAGCAAGGCGGTGCCTGGGGCAGGGATATCTGTTGCTTTGGGAGAAGGACGCGTAAGCCAATGCGAAGAACACGGATCGGCCAATTCGGGGCGTGCGGCCCCACAAAACACCGGGTCTTAGAACCAATCACGAGGGGGCTCGGGGAAACAGGCTGTTCAACGGCCGCACGGCGCAATGGTTGGATGTTCCTAACTCCTCCGAGAGTCCGCGAGGAGGTACTTGGCTTTGGCTGCGCAGGGCTGCGCTCTTGAAAGTCACCGCTGTGCCCAGCGTCTCGGCCGAGCCCCCAAAGCCGTTGACTTACGCAGCTGCCTGCCTTTCAAGTTTTCTCACTAGTTACTCCCCCAAGCGAGGAAATGCCGCCAACGACGGGCAGCCTGAGGAAAATTGTTGCCTTGATTGCGGGCGCAAGGTGAGTTTGTTTGCCGGGCGGGTTGGTTGTCCTCTTTGCAACGCACAACTGGGCAGAACAAAACGGCCGCAACGAGCAACGTGCGGGTGGGCAGCGGTCTGGAATCAATGTGGACGAAGTGCCGCCACGTTTTGGGCGGTGCTTGTGCCAAAGAAACGGAGAGAATCGGTTGGCTCCTTGGTGCTTGCACTGCCTCACTCGGCGTTTGTGGTTTGGGATGAGACGAAAAGGGGATGAAACCCGGACCCCTGGCAACTCCTCTCTTCCTCCACTGAGCACTTGGTCCTCGCCTGGCGTCACCAAGCGCTGTGGAGGCACACACCAACTTGTCTTGCTTGTGCTAATCTCCTCAATCGCTTTGCCCACACAGCACATGCGAAGCATTTCAACCTTGCTGACATGAAAGCTGCCCGATGAGAAGGCTTAAACATGTCGTCTTGCGAAAACAACGCGAAAATATATTTAGGGCGGGCTGTGAGTTGAATCCGCCTTCTAACCCCGGGCCGTTGTCTTAAAGGCACAGCCGAGCGCTCAGCAGGGCATCGAGGCCGCGCAGTGTTGCCCGCAGTTTTGCGGGCGAAATTTGCGGGGCCACTGCTGACTCAGCGCACCTCAATGTTTTGCCGGATATTATCCGATTTCGGTCCCCAAACAATCACCACTTCCACAAGTCGCGTACGAAGTATGTAAACGGCGGCGGCGGCAAGGCCCGGAAGGCGTCTGTTATTCTGCTTCCTTCATACCGTCTAGTCTTGTGCCTCCAAATAGTTTGTATCTTTTCGCGGTGAAAGTTGAATTGGCCTTTACATCCCACACCACGGCAGCGGCTCGCCGCTGCTCCGTCATTCTGTACCGGGCTGAGAATGCAAGTGCTGTTTGGAGGCTGCGTGTTGTTTTAGACCGTTGAGATATGAGACCTCAAGCCACCTGGGTTCCAATACCGATTATGCAGCCCTGCGTCCTGGGGGACGCATTCAGAAGCTCAGACTTAGTCTCTTAGAGTCTCAGAGCTAGGAAGAAAAGTGTTGCACGGAGTATTCTATACCTCCTACCTTGTGAGCCGCGTAGTAGGCATAGAAACTCGACGTTTTGCGGTCCGTAGATATCCGGCGAGTAGACCCGGACGTCAAGGCCGGCGCGGGGAAATCTAATTACAAGGGACCCGGCCGTCGCACAGGGAATCATCACTAATCGGAACACAATCTACCTAGTACAGCGCGTGCACTTTTTGCCATTCCAGCCGGCGAGTTTGATGGTAATTATGGACTGGGCCAATCTCCGAGACATCGTTGCGGCCGTTTGGGCCCCGACCCGCCGGCGCACCGACGTCAACGCGCGGAACCAAACTCGGGCAAGACGGCGCTCGGGGGTAACAAAATCCCGGCGACTGTTTGAATGACCCCAGCCTTGTCCGGATGGCTTATAATTTGTGGGCAGTATGTTCGGTGGACATGAAAATACGTGGCCCGAATGGCGAATGAAGTCAGAATACCTACGTGACTGGACGGCGTGGGTGGCCAGAGTACAAGAGATTAACGCCCAAGATACCAAAACCTGAAAGAGTGGTTGATAGCTGATGAGTAGATCGCCGAGGGAAAAACAGTGTTTCGTTATTGATTTAAAATGTTAGTGATTATGTATACAGACGTAATGATCACACTAGTTATCTGGTAGCTTACAACCTCCAATATTGCATCCCTCTTGGCCAGAGATTGACCAGGACCCAGCCATTACGGGCGCTTCTACTTCGTGTCCTCCGCAGTCGGCGAGCTGTTTCGGATCTCTCTTCATCGGGCTACTTGACACATTGAACCTACTTGATGAGAAGATTAACGTCCATGCCGTCAAATTCGTTTTCGTGGCTCGTCGTAGCCAAAAAACAGCGACAAACCCAGTCTCTGGCTAACTTACCTACTCTTTTACAAAAGTGAAAAAAGACAAAGGGGAATAAATCAGGGGGATTAGACGCAGAATGGCAAAATGCTACATATAAGTCCTCAAATTGTACCCAATAGACCGCGCCCAGCTTCAGGAGGAGTAGATTTCCTCAGGGGGCAGCTAGCGGATACATCGTCGACGATGTCTTCGTGGCTTGTCTCGTCGACAGGAAATATCTCGCTTGAGGTCCAAAGTGTGGTAGTTTCTGCTGCGCATGCACGCGTGCATTCAACCCTGTTCCGCCCTGCTCGGCATTGTGGCACAACCGCAAATCAAGCTTCTAATTTAAGCTTTCCCTTCCCGTGCTTGCCAAGATCGTGCTTGAAGCTTGGCTCCCTACCTCACCTTGACTACTCGAAACCGATGAAGAAACCCCCCTCGGCCTTCCAATACGTCAACTTGGGCGTAAATACACCCTGGAGACTCCAATTCTGGCGTGAGATGACATGGAGCGGGAGGAGGCGCATATTTTTCGCTGTCTGGGCAATGAATCCCAACGGTCTTGAAGAGTCGCAAGGTCAAGTTCGATCACACAGTACCTCAACCAACTTCGTTAAGCTCCTGCCGACTTCACAAAGCCGCCTATCTTTGTCCCTTAATCCATGAAGATGGATCATCTACTCCTTCCACAGCCAAATCTCATCAGAATCCTTCTGCAACTTCGCCTTCAGCTCCCCCTTCTTCCACAACCAGACTTCATCCGAATCCTTCGTCAACTGATCCTTCTTCCAGAGCCAAACCGCGTCCCCATCCTTAGCCAGCCGGTCCTTCTTCCACAGCCAGATTTCATCGGCGTCCTTTTGGAGTTCGCCTTTCTTGGCTGTGTTGTTCCCATATTGTGAGCAAGGGTGATGGAGGTTGAGAGGCGTAATTAGGTGGTTATCTTACCAATCTCACCGGCAGGCGCAGGAGCGGCGCTAGCAAAGGTGAGGAGCAAAGGGGCGACGAGGGCGAGCTGTTTGAACTGCATTTTGGATAGGGTTGAACTTGGGTAGTGTGGGATGGGCTGTGATGGTAGTGGGAATGGCGGACTTCCTAGATAATAACCGCGGGGGGGTGGGCCAAGTGCATTCTTTTTCCCCCAGAGACCTTTCATCATTATATGATCCGATGCGCGGCGGCGACAGTACCCCTCGTTCTACCTTACCTTCCTGTTACGGGAACCCGGATTCCAGTAATCCGGTCGAGTAAGAGTAATTACACGCAGCTCACACAAGTTCCACGACGCATCATAGTGGATATTCAGCGTGAAACGCCACGCACACCTCGATATCCAATCTGAAGTGGTCGTCGGCGCGGGGTAGTTAAGGTAGCGTGATGCTGTCGTTCTTTTAGGAAGGAAGTCGTGATCCTTCGGGTATTTCGGCGTGTTAAAGCTCGCGTGCCTTGCGGGGTTAGACCGGGATCGCCGTGTCGGTTGCTGACTACACCATGGTGTTCTGAATCCTTCACTACCTCCTTCCATATCATTCGCTCGTTCACGCCCGGGAATCGTCGGCGAGTTTTGAGACGGATTGTGAGAGGCCGTGCCGTATCAGTGGTTGACATCATTGATAATCTGGTGACATTTATGGAAGGGGGAGAGCTGGGAAGCTAATTGTGTTCTTAATTAGGTACTCCTTTTCGATTTTGCTCTCCCCAATTCTTTCCCTTACCTGCAATAGAACGTCAATGATATCATCACCATGGGTTTCTTGGACAAGAAAAACGAGCCGGTCTATTCACCGGTCCCCGATGACCGCTCATCCAACTCCTCCGACAGTTTACTCTACAATGGCGATGAGCCTAGGTTGGGTTCCGCAAGGTCGCAAAGATTGGTCAAGAAGAAACTGTTGATCGGTGTCGGCGGTTTCCTGGCCATTCTGGCGTATTCTTCTCTTCTTATCGCTGTCACATCGATGTGGTGGAGGAAGGAAAGACTGCACGGAGCCAACGTCATTGACTGTATGTCCCTCCCCTGAGATCCCCGTTATATGTATTTGAACCGGAACTAGACGACTGACTCGAGTCACAATATTTAGCCCCAATCCGAAAATACATCCAATATGAGCCCAAGACCTTCCACATGACCGAAACGTCCAAAGACTACGACCTTGTCGGACAGCCGAGTGACGAGCTCGACCAACGATGGTCCAATCTCATGCAATATTTCTACGCCCAAGTTCCGGGCTCATACATGAAGAAACTCGGGCGGGAAAAGACGGGAATCAAGCTGGAAAACGGAAACTACCTTGCCAACTTTGCCTGGGTCCACCAGTTGCATTGCATTGTAAGCCTTCTCTTGTCCGGACTTTGGTTACTTGTTTCCCTGCTGACCAGACCTCCAGAAACGGCTTCACCAGGCACACTTCCCCGACCGGTATTATCCCAACATGACCGACTTTGAGCGGGAACTGCAAACAGAGCACAGCTGTAAGTCCCTTCAGCCCCGCGACCTCACCATCGTTATTATGCAAATATTGACTCAAACACCCTGCAGTGCATTGCCTCCAAATGCTCGTCGAAGCCATCATGTGCAAGGCCGACGAGACGCCCTTGACTATGATCTGGTTCGACAACAGCATCCTGCCCGGGGGCAACCGGACCGTCGCACACGAATGCGTGAACTTTGACCGCCTGATCGAGGGCATGGAGGAGATCAAGGTCGATCCGTTCGAGCCGGGTGTGCTGGTCCATCCCAAGTTTGGCCCTGTGTTGCCGGATGGTCGCAACACGACGCTGGATAATAGGATTGGGTATATTTTTGATCCAGTGCCGTTGGATCGGGATCAGTATCCTTGAACTCACTGTAAATATTGAGAGTTTACATTGAATCGATTGGAGAATATTACAATCAGATATAAATACGCTAGTCTAAGAATAATAGGAGCTGACAATGTGAACGCCATGTAGTGTGAGTAAAAGTCTAAGAGATGCATCCTATCCAACAGAAGTATCTTGATGAATTACCTAAGGTAGGAGGGTAGGTCCCGCTAGGTACCTAGGTAACCATGGTGGTGACAAATTGGGGTTGGTGTTATGCAAAACAACCATCCGGTGCCACGATGCCCCCTAAAGCGTGAGAATATTGGTCAGTTTATACAACTCGAGTTAGCCTCCGGATGTTCTCCTCATAAACTTCCGTCGCCAGGCAATGGCAGCCTACCTTGGATAGAAAGTCCCTATCGGAATCGGTGCGCCTGACTTGTGCAAAAGCACGCAGTCGCCGCGCCGTAGCCGGGCCAGAAATGAGGAGGTTGATCATAATCGTCACCTACATCATGACTTAGCTTTTGATGGAGAGAACACTAAAGCGTTCGCGCCCACTTGCTGGCACAAAGATCCCCTCGCTGGGAACAGGATGGTTATTTAACCACCTTCCTAGCTTTCAATGTTGCCCAAAATAGGGGGATGAACGTGATGGATGACTTTAGGTAAGGTACTCGAAAAGGTCCACCCTCATGTACACCGTTTTAAAGACGGAACCGCGATTAATTTGGCTTATCTTGGCCTACTTCATCGACATAGCCATCAGGGTACTTCTCTGTCAGTCGCCGGATTTCATCGATGACCCTAGACCCGGATGTGTTAATATCGCAAGTCAAAGGAGGGAGGGTACTGTACCAGACATATTATCTTACATCTGGAGGTAATTCTTGTCTTGTGTAAAGAGCGTCGCTGCATTTAAGTTGAACCTCCTGGACATTGACTGGTCAGTTTATGAGAATAGCCTTGGTTGCTTGAAGAGAATGCGTACAATGCATAGAGGGCATTCCGATCGTCAAAGTCGGCTTCAGGCTCGGCCTTGGGGATGATGGACTGGTATGCCTCGAAGTATCTACGAGTGAATTTATTCCGCACGGGCCGCCAGTTCCCAAGCTCGTCTGGATTCAGATTCGTTAACCGAGTCAAGTCCGGGAGAATGGGGGAGCAGAATGGCTCACATTCGTTATGGGCCCAGAAACTGGATGGGTCGAAAATAATGCCCTCCTCGGTCTCATCGTCGATGATAGCCGCATTCCCACACCAGAGATTACCGTGTACCAGGGTCGGTTCGATTGACCTCCCGTTGCTCTCGAGGGGGCGCAGAAGTCTGGGGATGACTTTGTCAAAAAGCCCAGGGAGCAACTCATCAAGTTCTGCGTCTGGGCCAGCCCGCGCCTCGCGAATATTTAGGACGTGGCGCAGGCCATTGGCAAAGAAGAGCTCCCAGCTGTCAGACCAGGTGTTGTCCTGGGGAATATTACCGTTGTACGTCGTGCAGTGGAACCCGAATTTGCCTTCGGGCGATGTGTGGCTCGAGTGCAGCATGGCCAGCTTCTCACAGAAACTTTCGGGCTCAGGAACTCCTTCGAAGAACTCATAGTACTTGCGCAGATAGAAATGGGTGTCGGGTGCCGTCTCCAGGGTGCCCCAGGCGATGGGTTTGGGACAGAAGTCAGGCGTTATGGCGTAGATCGCGGCCGTTGCTTCGTACTCTCCTTTGAGCGACTCGAGACCCTGAGAACCAAAAGCTACCTGCGTCATCGTTAGCACTGTGACTTCTTTAAGCCACCCGGGGGCCATGATTTCACGAGCTCGTCTGACCTTCATAAAGTAGCTTTCCTCCTCACCATTTTGGTGGCGGACAGCGATCCGGAGGGCATGGGCCCAAGCGGACTTGTTGCCGCTGTCAACGCTGATGACCTCTTCGACACTGGGCAATGCTAGGGTACAGTAATTAAATGTTACTCAGGTTTTCACACTTCACAAATCTCAATCGAAGTTCGCGGAAAAACGGGAGCTTACCCGCAAGGACGTTTGGGTCAACTTGCCCGTTCAGGAATTCGGTGGCGTAGTTACTAGAATGGCCCCCCATCATGAGATTATTTTACTTGCGATGCCGGACGGTGGATGAGACAACACTGTCTTGTTCGTTTGATCTGGCAGGTTTGACGGTAGCAAATAGCAACGCACGGTGTCTTAAGCAAGATCAAGACGCGGCAAGTTGTCCTTTATGCCCGTCCTTGCGGGGCTTTGACGCACCTTGCCGCTGAGTTGCGTTATAAGTTCCAAAATGTGCAGTTTCCTGCATGGCAGGTAACCACTCGGAACTCATCGTTTAGCTCGGGGAGCCAAGGACCTGCCTCATTTGCCGCCCGCGTTCCCCTCCATACCTACCCTGGTGCGGGGAACCGCACGAAACCAAGAATCTGACAACTCACAACTCAGCCTGCTCCCCAATCGTTGCTGCGTGCTGCAAGCCAGGACTTTGCTCATCAACAACGGACTCGCAATTTTCAGCGACATTGGGACGCCATTCAGGACATATCGGGGTATCCGCACTCGCCTTCGTAACTCGAGGACATACCACGTTAAAATGGACCTTCCGACAAGCTTCACGCTCAACAACGGGGTGAAGGTGCCTGCCGTTGGCTTGGGAACGTTTCAGGGCGACAGCGGCAACTCTAAGGTCAAGGATGCAGTGAAGCTCGCTTTGAAGCTGGGTTACAGGCATATTGACGGAGCCAATGCGTACGGCAACGAGAAGGAGATTGGCCAGGCAATCAAAGAAAGCGATGTCCCGAGAGAAGAAATTTTTGTCACTTCCAAGTTGTAAGTTGGCGAACATTGAATAGGGGGTGAGAAGCATGAGTAACTAACTTTGGGTCGAAATTGAAGGGCTCAGACATGGCACGAACCCGAGGATGTAGAAGCGGCACTCGCCGTTTCGCTGAAAGACCTTCAGTTGGATTACGGTAATGTTTTCCTCGTGAGAGCCCACGTAGGCGGCCGAACGCGGTGAACTGACTTGTATGAGCTAGTCGATCTATATCTCATGCATTGTAGGTTGTCTCGTGAACTTCTCGTCTTTGCAACGCTGACCTAGAGAAGTTCCGCATGCCTACAAGGCAGGCGAGAACAATGCTACCATTCGCCATCCGAGCGGCAATGGAAAGGTGAGGCATCGAGGATCTCCACATTGGCCACTGCCTTGGAAGAGTTGCTTACCTGCTGTGACCATAGCCTGTGATCGATTACGACTTGTCGAGACGATACCCTGAAACATGGCAAGCCATGGAAAAGCTTGTCGACTCGGGCAAGGCGCGTGCCATCGGCCTCTCCAATTTCAACGTCCTGAAGACAAAGCGAATCCTCGAGGTCGCTCGGATCATTCCGGCTGTCAACCAGGTTGAACTTCACCCGTAGGTGAGTCCCACGTCCTGATTAGACCCAACAGGCTCGTTAACACATGACCTTCCAGCTTCTTCCCGCAGCGAGAGCTATTTGAGTATTCGGCCAAGCATGGCATCCTCCTCATGGCCCACCAGCCCCTCGGAGGGCGACCGGTCGGGGTTGTTCGCGCACACCCGGATGAACCATTCCCGACTGATGATCCCACGGTATGTCACCGGTAGAGCGCTCCACTCGGCAGCCGGAACATAGGATATACTGACTGTAACCCGCAGGTCGTTGAGGTTGCTCAAAAGTGCAATATATCTCCAGCTCAGGTGGGTGCATAAACCTTTGGGAACGAACTTAGTGCATCGGCTAACCGAATTTTGGATTAGGTGTGCCTTGCCTGGGCGATTCAGCGAGGGATACCGGTGGTCCCGAAGTCGGTGCAGGAAGTCCATATGACGCAGAATCTTCAGGTGAGGAAGCTGCCCGAGGATAGTTTTGATGCAATCGAGAGCATCTCAACGCGCCGGGGATTGATTCGATTCCTCAACCCCGGTCCGCATCTGGGTTTCGATATCTTCGACGAGGAGAACGACCAGCCAGTTGCTAACAGCGCCCCCTGGGACTAAATGGCACTCTCGGGTTCCAATTAGCGGTTAATCAGGTACCTAGCCTGTGTAGCCTCCCTAAGCCTGTGCAACGAGCGAGCCGGGGCCGCTGTGTTCTCCGGCTTACAAGGGGACGTAGCGGGGATGGGGATCAATAATTACCACAGAGACATCTTGTTCCTTGACATGAAAGCTACCTGATTACCAAGGGTTCACGTCGATGTAGTTCTCATTCGTATTCGTCCTGGGTCTCTACCCTCCCTTGTGCCTTACTCCTGCGTGCCCGGGTCCCGCGAGGACGCCCGCGTGGCCACCTGTGTGTGGTCGTGCCCCGAGTGTAGAGGCCTGGGGGAAATCGTCGCCGTTGTCAAGACTGCAGCCGGGAACCTATAAGTCGGAAGGGTGGAAACCGACGGTATTTAGTTGTGTGTAGGTCGGGTGAAAGCGTTGAACTGGTGCAGTGTGGGGCATGTCGCTGTTTGGGTGGTCGCTTCTAGGGTTGGGTACGGAGGCTTGGTAGGTGAACTGGCTCAAATCGCTTATCGCCCCACCACACTCGCGTTAAAATCATTTTTCGCACCAACCGAATTGAATTAGGCACACATTTTCTCAAACCGAATGTATCGATACTCGGCCTTCTGGCCGAAACAACATTACATGACCAACCCTAACCCTGAAACCCGTAAATAAAATTAAATAAGGATTTAAAATCCACTATAAAAGGGAGATTTTTAAGATTAATTTAACTTAACCCTAACCCTAACCCTACTATCCTAGCTGGTTTGATAGTTGGCTGAAAAAAAACTTGGCCCCGCTGTAAAAAGTGGGCTGGCTCAATGGTTGGCCGTTGGATTTGAAGGATTTGAATGGAGGTTTTAACGAGAGTTAAGGTCGTTAAAAAAAGGTATTAAATCTTCTTTTTAAAGAGGATTTTAAATGACGGTTTGGTTAAAAATAGGGTTGGGGTTGGTTGTGTGATACTTTTTAGGCCTCCCGATGTAATTTGCAGTGGTGGTTAAGAGTAGAGATACAATCGGCTTGGAACATATTTACGAAAGATGCATTGCACGTGAGTTGTGGTGGGGCGATAAGGGATTTGAGCCAGTTCATCCATCTACCAAACCTCCGTAGTTGGGTTCATGGGAGGTCTGGGTTTCGTTCATTCCTTTCCGTCCGGACGGGAGCTAAGTTCAGGTCTTTCGGCGGTCGCTCACTAACTCCACAGCATTTTCTATGAGCATCATTTCACTCGCAACTAAATCAAGGAGCTCGTGTTGTCGGTGATGCACGCGCTTAAACGCGCGAAGAGGCCGACTTTATTTGTTGTGGGGGGGTTTGCCTGCGAGTCGACATCCACGACATTAGTGTACCCGTTCGGGGCCGGGGGTGTCTGCATGTTTGCCTCCGTTGTTGCGGCCCGTGTGACGGCCCGCGACTGTGGGGTTTCGGACTGCTTCCTCGCCAATCAAGGGTTCACATAGTTGAACATCACGCCAACCCCTGTGTCAAACACATCGTAGGAAAGGGCTACAGAATATTGTATAGTAGTTCAAAATACGACATTTATTTATATTTTTGTCTTAGATACAACATGAGTTTCTATGAGGTCACGTTCATCCGCAACCTGATGATTTGTTTGGCGGATCCCACTTCGCTCAGCGACAAAGAGGCCCCCGATTGGCTCGCGGGCAGACCAGAAAGCCCCCAAAACCCACCTGCTGTCACATTGGTGCCGGCAAGGGATTTGTGGAAGGCTCGTCTGCCAGGCCCTGGGGCCCGAAGGGCTGCAGGCGGGGAGGGGGGTGTCGCGCATGCCATGTCGCATCTCCAGAGCGGCAGGACTGGACGAGGCTCCTCTTTCTCTCGTCACCTTCCAGTACCCCATTAGCAGTCGCTCCTACTGTCAAATAACGACCTATGGAACTAGGAGTATCATTACGGAGCAGATGGACCAGGTAAGTGTTTCGCCCTCGTTCCAAGCCGTGGAGATGCCTCTAGGCGGACCCAGGCGGTGGGGTTTCTCACACGCAGCTCCGTACAATTGGCGGTTCTTCAGGCGCTCTTTCGTCGCAAGCAGGGGGATGCTGACTACTTCACGCGTCGTCTCAGCTCGCAGAAAGACCATATTTCCGGATTCCTTCCTCGTACTGGAACCGGCAACGACAGACCGTCGAGATCCTTACAGAACGGCTTTCGGACCAACACTGTGCCCGAGCCCATCCCTGTTTCGCTTGACACTCTTGATATCTCGGGCGACGAGAAAGGACACCTTGGTCTAGTAACCCTTCACAATCCACAGCCGCCAATCGTACCGGTCACCGACATCGTTTTCATTCACGGCCTTGGAGGGGGCAGCCGGAAATCATGGTCCTATTCAACCGACCCCCGTCACTTCTGGCCGCGTTCCTGGCTGCCGGCCGACGATGATTTTCGCGATGTCCGGGTTCACACATTTGGTTACAAGGCCGACTGGGGCGAGCGACGTCACAGCGTGCTAGATATCCACGGCTTCGCTCAGTCGCTTCTCGGCGCGTTGCGGAACCATCCAGGCATTCGTCGAACAAATACCCGTATCGTCCTTGTCGGCCATAGCATGGGCGGTTGCGTCGCGAAGAAGACCTACATTCTCGCACGCCAGGATCCTACCGCTGCAGACTTCGCGGGGCGGGTGCATTCGATGTTCTTCCTCGCGACTCCGCATCATGGATCGAATCTCGCCACCATTCTAGAGAATATGTTGAGCGTGGCGTGGGGGAAGAAACCGTTTGTGACAGACCTGATGCCCAACTCGGCAGCGCTTACGGCTATCAACGATACGTTCCGCCATCTTGCGCCCGAGCTGCGCCTATGGTCGTTTTACGAGACCCTTCCTATGCGCGGCGCCGGGGCGATGAACCGGATTGTGGTTGACATGGTCTCCGCGACTCTGGGGTATCATAATGAGGAAATTGCTGCGATGGATGCCGACCATCGCCAGGTTTGCAAGTTTGACACCCCGGCAGATCCAAACTATAGGATGCTCCGGAATGCCCTCCTTACTGCTGTGGATCTAATCCGGAAAGCCAAAGTGGCAGGCATGGATCCTGTACGCCCAGATGACGCGGGGCTCAGCCATTTAGTAGCACCCACCAACCCGTCAATCTCACCGGCCGAGGCCACATCGCTTCTGCGCTCCTTTCTCGGCATCCAAGAGTCACCAGAAGGCGATCTTGCGACGCTCCAGGTGCTCAAGCAACCAGGATCATGCGAGTGGTTTACAGAAAGGCCGGCCTTCTCCTCCTGGAAAGAGGGGACCGCACCGGGAATTCTTTGGCTGGTTGGACGACCTGCAACTGGGAAGTCGGTTCTCGCCAGCCATATCATCGAACAGTTGCAAACCCCGCACGCTTACTGCAGCTACTTCATCTTCAAACATGCCAAGGCCGGCGACTCGATGTTGGGCGATTGTTTTCGCTCCTTGGCGTATCAGATGGCAATGCAGGATGGTATCATTAAGGACGCACTTCTGCAGCTCGTGCAGGACGGTTTAACCTGGGGCCAGACTGATGATGCCAGCGTTTGGCGACGTCTCTTCACTGGCTGCATATTCAAACTACCGAGCCTCGCGCGGCACTTCTGGGTTATGGACGGCGTGGATGAGTGTGCCAATTCTAATGCGCTGTTCACGAAAAGGTTACTGGCTACGCTCCCGGAAAATCTTCGACTCTTTGCGACCAGTCGTGACCTGGAGGAGATCGAACGCGGGGTCACATCGCTTGGGCCCAGGCGTGCCAGCATGCAAGTTCTGTCGGATACTGATACCGCTGAGGATATGCGACTGTTCCTTATCACGGGGCTTACTGAGCTGGGCCGACCGGAAACCCCTGAAAGCCGCGAACTCATGTGCAATAGCATTCTTGAGAGGTCTTCCGGCTCCTTCCTTTGGGCCCGGCTCGTGTTGCAAGAGTTCCAAGATGCGTGGACGGAGGAAGCCATGGAAACTGTATTAAGCGAAGTGCCCGCTGACCTCCATCAAATGTATCTCCGGATGGTGCAGTCGATCGAGCAAGACCGGCGTAAGCTGCTGCTCGCCAAGTCTATCTTGACCTGGGTTGTTCTGGCCTCCCGCCCCTTGACGACCGGCGAACTGAGGTGCGCCGTTAAACTCGACACTAAGCAAACTCTGCATAACCCGGCCAAGGCCATACCAGATTTATGCGGCCAGCTCGTCTTCATCGACAAACAAGATAAGGTTCTGATGATACACGAAACTGCCCGAGAATTCCTCCTGGACGACACCCTTGATTTGGTGCTCTCGATTCACAAACAGGATGACCACACACGACTGGCTTTGTTGTCTCTAGAGTATCTCATCAGCGGCGCTCTCAAGACTACGCAGGACAAGCCGCAGCAAAGCAACGTCCGCTCAAAAGGGTTCGCAAAGTCTGGGACTACTGCCTCAACGGCCGTCGATGTTTCTCTGCTAGACTACACGTCCAGGTTCTTCTCGGAGCACCTATACCGAGCTACCTCGTCTAATCACGATTTGATGGCTAGCCTATCGAATCTCCTTAGTACTAACAATGTTCTTGCATGGATTGAACATGTCGCTAAGGGCGGGGACCTCGCACCACTTCCGCAGACGGCCATGAACCTGCGTGAATACCTTGGACGGAGAATGAAGTACGTACCGCCAACTGACAGATCGGCCCAACTTGTGGATGGATGGGTAACAGACCTCATCCGCGTGGCTGCTAAGTTCCGTGCGGAACTCTTGGCCTGTCCATCATCCATCCACTCCCTGATCCCATCCTTATGCCCATCCGAATCGAGGATTGCGCGGACCTTTGGGCTAGGTGCTCGGCAGTCACCCGCATCATTTGGATTCGCGGTCAACGGCCTCCCACCGGGCTCCTGGGATGATTGCCTGATCCGGATGGACTTTCAGAAAGGCCAGACCACAACTGTCAGTCACGGCGAGGGTTTCTTCGCCATTGGGCTGTCTACCGGCCAAATATCGCTCTATGATCCCGACTCCTTACAAGTTATACGCCAATTTAAGCACCCTGAACGTGTCCGACTTCTAGCTTTCAGCCAGGAAGATTTCTTCTTAGCTTCTTGCGGTGCCAAAAACCTAGTAGTATGGGATCCGAAGGCCGGCACTGCGCTCCATTCGTTTCCTCTCCGGTCCACGGCATTGGCTATCACGTTTCTGGGGCTGGATGAGATCTTGGGTGCCTTCCAGTCAAGTGAACTGACAAAGTGGTATGTGAGATGGGGATCCTTGATGACCATTAAACGAGAAACGTTAAATATCTGGGACTAACCAACGTCTGTACATCTTACAGGGACCTAGCAACTGGCGAACACCAATCGATTTCGTGGAAGGATGGGGTATCCCAGGGCTACCCGCCCGCACAGAGCATCGTGCCCAAACATCCCCCAAGTCATGCCGCGTTCCTTGCCATGAGTCCCGACGAGGTTCTTCTAGCGGTCGGATACCGCGCCCACCCTGTGCTGATTTGGAACGCTCTGGAGCTCCAGCTGCTAGGCACATGTGAGCCTGATATCACAAACAACGGACTCAACGGGATTGTCTTTGGCCCGAATCCAGAGGTTCCGGCGCTTGTGGTATCATACCAGGAAGGCAGTCTCTGCGTTTTTGATTACATGAACATGGAGATGCAGACCCGGCGCCCAGATGTTTACGCCACTAGCGTCTCGTGCTCCTCGGACGGCCGAACTATCATTACCGGCAGCGGCCAGGGTGGGATCGAGATTTTCGAACTCGAGGAGTCGGATCACGGGCCTAGCGTCACGCTGAAGCTCATATACCGTTCCAACCACCCCCTAGATGATTCGATCCGGGGCGTCGCATTTAGCCATGACGCGCTGCGCTTCATTGATGTGCGCGGCCGGCAAGGAAGGGTCTGGGCGCCGGCCGCGTTGGTGAGAAAAAGCACAAGCGAGCTCGATAGTTCGATAGGATCGTCTGGGGCGGACGCCGCGTTGCTTCTGGTGCCGAAGGCTTCTAACGGGATGTTGGAAACACGTGGCAGCCCCAAGATTACGAGCGCCCTGGTATCGTCCGCGGATGGCAAATTCGTGATTGCTGGGAAGTCCAATGGGGATGTGGTAGTATTTTCTACGGCGGATGCCAAACAGGTGAGGGTCCTTTGCCAACATGCGCGGGGGACATCCATTATCGCGCTGGCGCTCGTGGAGTCTCGAAACCTTGTCGTCTCTGCCGATGATGCTGGGCGGGTTCTTGTTTCCGAGCTGCAAGTCTCTCTATCCAAGCTCGGAACGTTCCCGGGCCCGATAGCTTCCATTATCCTGGACCAACGCTTCGGAGGTGCTGTTGTCTCTGTGCTCGCCAATGCGGCCGGGGACAGAGTTTTCGTGCACGGCCGGTCCGAAGACCAAGTTTGGGCGATTTCGTCTGGGGAAGCTGTCCTGTTTGGAGACCCCCCTGACACAGCAAATTCCTCCGACCCTGCGCAGTTCAGTTCAAAACTAAATGCACAGGACAAGGCTACTGCGGCGGGCACCTGCCTGCGGTCCGTCTTCCAGCACCCCACCAACCCAGGGTGGTTCGTCATCGTCACGCGAGATCTCGCCCGGATATATTCCTGGGCCGATATCGCGGAACTCACGCCGCCGGGCGGCATCCAACTCATCCGAGAATCCACCTCAACCGGTGCTTCTGTAACATCCCCGGTATCCTCAGCGTCCCCAGCGTCCCCACAATCCCCTCCGAGCATCTCCTGGGAAACCGCAACATCCACTTACCACACCGGCCCCAACTTCGTGATCGAGCTCTTCCGGCCCACGCCAACTTCATCTGCGCGCTTGTACCTCTGGCCGGCCGCCGAGCTGGACCCTAACTCCGTTACCAGCAGCACCACCGGCCAAGCCCGGCCAGCGAGCGAACGCAACCTCGACGCCATCGGCTCCGCCGTATCATCCATCCTGCGCGTTGTCGGGCCCTCAACCATCTACTTCCTGGACGTCAGACTCTGGATCTGCAGCGTCGAGCTGCAATCCGTCGTCAGCCCTCCCGGTGCAGCCCGGACCACCGGGGGAGTTGGCTTTGGCGCGGTAAGCCCAACACTGTCCGCCGTCTCGCCCCCTTCCTCCGCTTCCCTCGTGTCGCCATCGCCGTCGTCGTTGTCGTTGTCGTCGTTGGCACCTTCTTCCTCTTTCCGGAATCTCTCGGGGCGCACTGCGCGCCCGACTCCCACAGCTTTAACGTCGGCCCGCCCTCATCATCATGCCCGCCGGCATTTCTTTGCGCTCAGCGAGTGGCGCACCTGGGGTGGCGGGGGTGATTTGCGATGTGTGATGGCGGCTGAACCGGTGATGACGACAACCACGCCGGGGCGGGTAATGGGTGTGACAGCGGCAGGGGCCGGAGGATCAGGAGGGGGTAAGGATGTGGTGGTGTTTGCTGCTGGGTCTGGGGTGGTAGTTGTTCAGGGAGGGCTGGAGTTTGTGGAGAATGTTGTTGCGGCCGGGGCGGGGGCGGAGACTGGGGATTTAGCGGATGGGGTGGTTGAACAGAGGGCTGATGCTAGCATGGGTTGTTCTCTTGTTGGGTTGACTCCTTGGAGGGTGGTGTCGGGGAGTATGCACCGTCGGGGTTCAGGGTGGTGAGGATATACCATGAAGATGATGAAGCGGCGAATTTCATTTTTTGGGTTCACGTATTTACGGTTTTGGGTAGGTAAAACACTCCAGGTTAGACTTTATGAGGCGGGGTTCCTTAGACCTTGGATGGTAACGTGGTCTATGGATGAGCGTGCAATATTCGTTGCATGACCTGGGGGTTACATTCATTCAGGTAATTACCGGCAATCGGTGGGACTAGGGGCGTTCAATTGCAATTTGAGACAAAGCATCATTATCCGCCTTTCCTTTGGGTTCTAGAACCCCTGATGGGAACGTACATGTCCACCGTATCTTTACCCAGCCGTCCTTGTGTTTAGTCTCCGCCAGCTGACCCCGCTATTTGCCAGGTCATATGGCTACCTACCTGGGAGACCACGTTGGGTTCGGGTGACTCCCTGAAATATGTTAGTCAACTGTCTTAGAAAACTAGAATGCGGCTGAAACCTACCATCAGGCAACGTGATACGCAACGCGACCGTGTCATGCGACTTGACATCCACGCTGTAGCTGTCCGTAAACTCCCCAAGATCCTCCCCGGTCCACATGTCATGCACCAGGTACGTGGCACCTGCCTCAAGCTCCTTCAACGCCGGGATCTCAGCGAAGTTGGCGACCTTGTTCTCCGTCCCGCCCTGCGTGTTCAGCATAAACACGTGGATGCCCGCAACCGACGACCCGGACCAGAACTCCGCCGGATAGGTCGGGTCGTACGTGAAATCCTCCCGATAACCCCACTTGTACGGCGACGCGGGGAACCCATACACCGGGTCTTGGTTGAACCCGATCAGCTCCTTGTTACTGATGATCTCCAGGATAGAATCCTGGATATTATGCAGCGGCGTGCCGAGAATCAACGGGCTCTTAAAAGCCGCCCAAAGTGCAAAATGACTCCGGTTCTCCTCCAGCGTCAAGTTCCCCCGGCCAACCTCCAGCATATCCCAGTCACCATGGCCCCAGAAATCGGTAGCATTCCAGAAAAACGCAGCTTGGTTCACGATATTGGTAATCCCCCAGCTGTTGTCGAATTCGAAACGCCCCGTCCAGGCGTCGATGATATCGCCGGAAGACCGCCAGCTGTGGCCGGTGTTGTTGCCCCAGAGATCGACGTGGGCTTGGCCCCAGTTGCAGATGGAGTAGAGGATGGTGCGGTTTTGCTCGAGGAGGGCGTCCCGCATGGCGGAGAAGCGGGCTGCGGATTTGGAGGTGCTCCAGTCGTAGTCGGCGGGGGCGTTGGTTTGGATGTTTTCGGGGTCGAAGCTGTATTGGTCGTTGTACTCCGAGGGGACGTAGCAGTTGTCGTATTTGAGGTCTGGTTCTTGATTAGTCGTTTTCGATGCCCTCCCCGTCAAGGGCCGCAAGGTGACTTACAGTCGACTCCCCATTCGGCGAAAGTGCTGGCGTCAATGCTCTCATGCCCTAGAGATGCTGGGTAGTTCAGGCAGGTGCCGGTTCCTATAAGATAGATTAGTGTTTGGGCCGTCACAATAGCAACAAAGGGGCCAAAAGCCAAATGAGAACAACAACATACCCGCATCACTGTAAATCCCCACCTTCAACCCCAACTCATGAATCTGATCCGCCAACCCACTAATCCCGGTCGGAAACTTGGAAGAATCCGGGATGATCTGCTGCGTGTTCGGATCGCGCCCCTTGTTCTTGTCCGACCAGCAATCGTCGACGTTGACGTACACATAGCCGAGGTCTGCAAGACCGGTGGAGATGAGTTTCTCGGCTGTCGTCAGGAAGATCTCCTCGTTGATGTTGCAGCCGTATTCGTTCCAGGAATTCCAGCCCATCGCTGGGAGACGGCCAACTTCGTCCGGGCTCTCCAGGGCGCTGGCCCGCGCTGCCAGGGAGGCGGCCAAGATACTCGAGCGTGTTCTCATGGTGTTTAGCTCTGAGACGGAGGGTGAGAAAATAGGATGTCCAAGGGAAGGTCGGGTAACTCCAGTGAAACTGAAGCAGGAGATAATAATGCCTTGTTCAATTATATGTGGGCCGTGGACCTCATATGTCTTACCGTCCCCTTTCAATCAATCGCCTTGCCCGTTACCAAACTTCAGTCCTCGATGCAATTCATGGATGTCAGTAAGTTTTAGCGGGAGAAAGGCTTCCCCGAGCGCCCAAGCGCACCTATTAAATGCTTGGTCGTAACGGACAACATGCGATGGAGCGTCGCATTTCGGCTATATGCTCTGCGATCGACCTGCTGATCTCCCGATTTGTTTTCCTCGAATGGGCAGTCCTCTCACAAAGTCCGTGAAGACGGGTTTTACTGATGGGAACGTTGACTGTTGGCCATGGTACCATTCGGGGTGCCTTTAATTAGTGATTTGTTATTACCTAGCGTCTTGCAGGTCTTGATACCTGCGATGCAGCATATCGGAACAACATGCACCAACTTCACTCATGATTATAACGCCGCCCGCTGACGGCCCATGAATTGCTGAGAATTTAGCTCTCAGGTCGGGTCCGGTATAAGTACATCAAGTCGAAACCGCTCTTGGAAAGAGGTTCGAAAGAGGAGGGGGATGGTGAGCTTGGCGATTTACTGGGACATGTGAAGGTAATGCAGCACTGGTTTTTGAAAGATGGAAAAGACTGAGCGCGATGCATGTTCGTGACGCATGTTCGGAGTCAATTTTGAGTCATTCGCTGGCCGTACACGGTTTGAGACCTGCACACATTAGCGGCCAACCGGCCGATGCGCACAAAACGTTCACCGGGAAGCTGGACCGACCATAAACACACATAATCACGCACAGGAAACTACAAGTTATATCTAGCCATCTCAAATTCTCCAGCACCTGCGCAGTTGACGGAACCATTTAATGAGCAGTCATTTTTCGAGCCCTTCCCTCACTTAGAGTTTCTCCATATGGCTTCGGATGACGAAGGGTACCGCTGCGACGTCTGGCCCAACATGCCAGACAACACCGAGTACGATGGAAAGGGGTTACTCACCCTGGTACGGGCTGGCAACAGCCCTTTCAAGGATCTGTTCGACGTAAACCTCCTCATCCAGGAGGTAGAAAACAATGTGGGGGCAAAAGTGACCGACATCCAACAATTATGTGAGTATTGACTTACATCCATCGACGTACGCAACCTAATGATGGCTTGTTTGAGACTAATTAAAGACCGTGAGGTAAATCGCAGGGCGTCCAATTGGAAATGTCAAACGGGCAAAACCTCGCAGCACGTCTGGCTCGAGCAGACGTAAATATGCCCACCTATAACTCTCATTGTCATTGAAGGCGTTTTACGAGCATGCCCCATACTTTGAGCGTGATATCTAGGCTGGGAAAGACGCACGTCATCTATGGTTTGCGCTGAAACGGTGGAGAGGCGATGATCCGGAGGAGTATTTCGGCGAGCTGGGCGCCTGGGCAGAACGACCATTGAAGGAGATGGGGCTTCATGATGTTTAACTGGCAGTAGTCGTGAGAGATACTTAATAGATTTCACTAGAGAAGCTTGCATCTGGGGACAGTATACGGTGGTTTCCACAGAAGATTGTGGTGTATTTTTGAACGCTAATTTATAGGGCAAATTTACAACATTTCAATATTTCACTGCTTGATGTTAGTTCTCTGCAAACGTCTTTGTGACACCGGGTAGAAACTCACAATAAGGCCGAACCAGGTCAACGCCTCGGTCTCGTTGGTAGGCACGACATGGCCAAACCCGTGGCCCCAGATGCCCTGCAGGCGGTCGCCATAGATATACTTGGTCAGCTTGGCGCCGGGGTTGTTGTCGATCGTCTGTTCCGCGGTACCCGAGTAGCCAAAGACGCCGGACCACTCCTTGATGGACTCGTTGAAGCTGGCGATGTTGAGGGTCTGGTCGACGTCGCCGTGGAAGATCTGCATCCTGGGATAGGCTCCCGTGTAGCCCGGGTACATGTTGTGCACGATGGACGCCCACTCCTCCGCCGTGTGGTGCAGCTGGCCTCCGGCGCACTGGCTGTTCCAGCCACGGACGGTACCCGTGGCGAAACACCCGGCCGGCTCGCCGCTGAACTCGGACCCGGCCGCGAACAGGTCGGGGTACACGGCCGCCATGACTTGCTGTTCTCAGTTTTAGCATTTGTCACAGTACTATTTTGGGATCAAGTTAATAAGTCAGGACTAACCGTCATCATAGCACCCGACGACTCTCCCGTAACAAACACCTTGCTAGCATCCCCATTGTACTGCTGGAGCGCGTACTTAACCATGCTCGACAGGCCCTTGCTGTCGCCGCCACCGTCGTGCTTGAGCGTCTGGTCAGACGAGACATCCCAGCAGGCGCCGTCGGTGGGAGTTTGGCCGTAGATGAGCACGAAGCCGTGCTGGTCGGCAAACTGGCTGTATTTGGTGGTGCCGAAGAAGGAGCCGGCGGTCCAGGCGCACGCGTGCAGGACCAGCACCACGGGCGGGTTGGGTTGCAGATTGCTCGGCACGTAGATGAACATCTTGATGCCGGACGGGTTGTCGCCAAAGTTTTGCACCTGCGTCAGCGAGGCCCGCTTGACGAGCTGCCCTTGCTCGCTGATGGCGGCCGCGTGCACGCCCGAGAGGGCTGCGAGGCCCGTCGCGAGAGTAGAGAAACGCATCGTGTCTGCTGGGAGGGAGTAGATCGGCTAGGCGCAAGTTACCAAAACTGTAAACAGTCTCTTGGCGAATTCGAGCGACTTCTACGTAGGACAGATACTTGGCCAATGGCAATTTAAATACTGATCAACACGAGGCGTTGTGTTTGGCATCTTGACGCATTCTCTGAAAGTCAGTCAGTCAGTCTCCGGCGGATGGTAGCCCTCCGAGTCAACGGCGGCGGAGAGCATGAATCCGGGATCCTGGGTATGCGCTCCAATGGGTGTTGTTTGCTTCGCCAATGTAACGGTCCGACCCGGGCACCAAACACGGCTTCCACCAATTATACCTCCGCCGAGGTCACAAACCGGGCAGACAGGGGGAGGTGGGGTTCAGCAGGGTCTTGGCTGTACAGTATATGTCATTTTGAACCAGCTAGCACTTCCTATTTGTTGTAATGGTCTTGGCCGCCTCACTGTCGCAAACCCCGGTCCATGCCCCCTTATTGTCCTGTTCATAAACCCGGCGGAGCACCGAGGTAACGGCACATATCCACGGACCACGACCCGAGCCCAAATTTGGCCTGGATTTCATCCCTTACCCGGTATTCATTCCATGGCCTGCAGTCCCAAGGTCCCTTCGCCCGGCAGGCGGACACTAGACAAACAGAGAAAACCCGCTACGTTCCGTCCTCATGTCAGCCTCTTCTGAAGGTCCATCGCGAACTTGGGCATTGGAGCTAATGAGGTTCGTGTCACCTTTTGGCGCTCGGTCTATAAGCATATACCCCGCCCCACTACAGCGAATCCCACTAATCCCAACACACGCACACAACGAGCGCTAGCTGGTCTGTGGTTACTTGGTGCAAGTTGGAGGCTTCTGTCATTGAAAATTCGGCCATCGACCCGCACGTAGGCATCGCGTTATCTCAGGAGCTCAGACCAGTTGTGGGCGGTGTGGTGGTGCTAGTCGCCAAGTATCCCGCGATGGAGACACAACGGAGACGCTAAGGCTACCTAGGTAGGTAGGGAATGCTCGATTTTGTACGTTTTTGAATGTATATGTATTTACCATCCTTGGGTCGCTTGTCTTTAGGGGTGGAACATTTAGATAACATCAAGAACTTTCAAGATTCGGGCAGAAACCATGTCAAGGAGGACGAATCAAAAAGTTCTCGACAAAATGAACTGAACTATAGCCTGTAGAACCGCTAACCCTGGGAAATTCTTGTCCGCCTCTCGTCAAAACAAGCTGATTCTTACAGGCAAGCCAGAACTGGGCCCGGCATCGTGCTCAGCCAATGTGTCATCGCTCGTGGAATACCACAGATGCCGCTGTGTGTCAACCACAACGTTCTCAAGCGGACCCATCAATCACAGAATTGATCCACGCAGCCGGCGTACTAGCATAATCGCCAAAGTAGCTGCCGTGTGCATTCCAGTCTTGGCCGTTTGCGCAAGCCGGGTCGCCAGCTGCGCAGTAGCTGCGCAGCTTATCCGCCCAGAGCTGCTGGGCCGCGAGCTGGTCGCCTTCGCGGGGCCAGACCTGTTAAGTGTCATGAATTAGTGAGTTTCTGATCATAGTCTTGCTTGGAGAGGAGGGGGTGATGACTTACGCCGTCCGTTGCGGCAGCTGTGCCTTCGTTGAAGGTTTGACCGCCGGTGTGGCGGGGGTCACCGTAGACGGCTACGGCGACGACTGTAGATAGGGACAATTTGTTAGTGGGGACCTCCACCAATATGATTGGCAACGAGTAGAGTAGTTGGGTATCAGGTGCAGCGAAAGCTTACCGTTGCTGCCGGGTGACGTCGTCGGGTCCAGCGGTGCTGTGTCCGCTTGCGTACAGCCAGCAGCTACACCCCCTCCCGGGCCACCGCCGCCAGAAATGATGTCGGTGACAATCCAGCCGCCCTGTTGCCATTGTGGGCCGATGATCAGCTCGTGATTCCTCTCCGGTTGCCTGTTTGTAGCCCAGTCCCAAGGCAACTCACCTGTGACCAGCCGGAAAGCACGATTTTTGCGTCGGGGCAGCCGGCCACATAGTCCGTGATGTCCGACACAGCCGTGTTGATGGCGTCGGTGGCTATTTGACAATAGTCGCCACCCGCAGTAGCCGGGTAGTCGATGTTGGAATAGGCGCAGCTCGAGCGGCCGGCACAGACTTGCTCGGCGATGGATTGCTGCCCGCCGGGAAATGTCTCGCCGTGGCCGACAGCAATGAAGATTTGGACCTCATTACATCCCGTTGGGTCTGCGCTCTGAGCAGAGGCTGCGCTGATGGCGCTGAGCACGAGGAACGATGTCTTGGGCTGCATAGTCACAGATTCTGGCGGAGCCTGGTCGAGAGATTTAATAAGGTACCTATGACAGGATATCACATGGCGGTTTACTCACTACCTATTAAATACTTCCCTCGCCTTCGGACTGTGGCCCCTGCTTCGACGCTCCTGGCAAACCGCATGGGGGAAAGATGGCGCGGAGCAAATCAAGAGAAGGGCCTCGGATGATGGATGCAAAGTCCATAGGAGCTTTCGCCCGACCTTATTGGCGGTGCTTCTTCGCGGCTACTGCATTGCTATACCGAGCCGGAAGAACTTAACATCGGCCACAGGGGCTATTCGGCCCCCCGCCGATCACTTTTTACCCCAGACGAACATGTCCCGGGGAAAGCGGAGCCCGGCAGTTGTGACGTCGCATCGGGACGGAGCGTATTCCGGATGTGGCCCCATCCAGATGGGCGCTTGGTCCTGTCGACGCCTCGATGGCTTGCCTGTTCCATGTTCTAAAGCTTTAAACCTCCCTCTATCAGCCAACGGGGTTCACGTTTGAGTCTATTGGCCGGTCATGAAGTGGAATGTTTGCGTAAATGATTCGTGGATTAACAAAGCGTGAATTTTGACTTTATTAAATCCCTTCGCCGCCGATGTGCTGGTCCATTGTTGAGACATTCAACTTACCCGGAACCTATCTCGGTGGTGGACAAACAATACCAGGAAATCTGTAGAGAGAAATCGGGTCAAATTCATTGAATCCTCCGCCAACTATATGGGCATGATCGCTAAGATATCTTGTGAAGCACACTGCATCGTAGCGCTCCAATGGAGAAGGAGCTGGCAGGCTTACAATAATGACGATCAGTTACCCAAGCGGTAATGCAACCTTGAACCTTGGGAAACTGTGACGGCTTCGCTGGTACCGCTCCGGATTATCCTAGCAACTCCGGAATAATAAGTCGGGTAGTTTTCTATGATAGGAGCGATACCCCCTAAAGGCGACATCAGTTCAAACGAACCTCAGGGGAATTATATAGTAAGTCCTAGCAACCTACCTCATCGACAACCACGCTTCTGTGACATCGCGCAGCTCTTTCTTCATTGTCCCTGATATCAACAAACATGCTTTTCTCTGCTCAGCCTCTTGTAGGGCTGGCCCTCCTGGCCAACACCGCCATGGCCGCCCTCAGCTCAGGATGCGGCAAAGCGCCCACCATCGAATCAGGCATCAAGACCATCACAGTGGACGGCACCCAGCGAGAATTCACCATCCGCGTGCCAGAGAACTACCAAAACGACCAAGGCCACAAGCTAATCTACGGCCTCCACTGGGTCGGCGGCCGAATGGACCAAGTCGCCAACGGCGGCGACACCGGTTCCAAGGGATGGAAATACTTCGGCCTGCAGGACGTCGCCAATGAGACCGCCATCTTCGTGGCGCCGCAGGGCCTCAACGGCGGCTGGCCTAACTCAGGCGGCTCCGACCTCGCCTTCATCGACTCCATGAACGCCTACATCGACGAAGGGTTATGTGTCGACCAATCCCAACGCTTCTCCATCGGCTTCTCCTATGGCGCGTCAATGACGTATGCCATTGCTTGCGCGCGGGCCAGCGACTTCCGCGGTGTGGCTGCCATCGCGGCTGGGCAGCTGTCGGGCTGCGACGGCGGGAACGACCCCATCGCGTACTTTGGCATCCACGGCGTGCGCGACGGGACGCTCAGCATCGACGGCGGGCGGACCCTGCGCGACCGGTTTGTGACTAACAACGGCTGCGACTCGATGGCGGGGGCCAAGGAACCGGCGTCTGGCAGCAGGACGCACATCACGACGGCTGCTACAGGTTGTAAGGAGGGGTACCCGGTTCAATGGGCGGCGCACGACGGGGGCCATATCCAAGCTGCTGCTGATGCGCCGTATGCTGAGGAGGAGGGTGATCATTCGTGGGTTGGCCCGGAGGTGTGGGCGTTTTGGACCCTGCCGGAGCTTTCGACGTCTGCGTGATGGGCTGTGGGAGGACGGTGAAGGAAGGTGTCATGTATCGTTTGACGGTGTGGCTTTCGGCTGGGATCAACAGAGCCACGGGTTGCCCGCGCGTGGTTGAACCTTGGTAATTATCTAGTTAGTCATGTTCTATAAGTTACTTAAAACAAGCTGGCGCGCTGGAGCACGAGACTCAAGAGACAAAATCACTCGCCAGTGAATCTTGATGTCTTTGTCAACAGGGGTAATACCGCCACAAGTGCAATGTGTTGTAGTCGCGATGAGGGGCTCGTGAGACCTGGGAGATATAAGCGACATTCCTGGTGCCGCAATTTTTCCCATGATGAGCCATTTTAATTGGTGAATGAGGATGCTTCAAAGAAAGATCGACCGCTGCATCAAGCTGAAGATGGGGCGACATGGTATCTACATACCGTAAAGTAGTAATAGTTTGTTGATTTGAGTAAGAGCAAATTCTCGGCCCAGCTGGGAAATCGCACACCAAAGGAGGGACTCATTTAGTGTCGCATCACCCGGAGCAGGTTCAATCCGGTAATAAATCATCCGAAACGGGGCATCTACACTCGCAGTGCCTGAAATGTCGAGACGTGTTTCCGTTTATAACTAGGCGCCGCAGAGCGTCGCTGGTTTGGGCCAAAGAACACACGGGCGATCAGAAACTCAATCCGTATGGGGCCTTGTGTGATTGGAATTAGCTGCAGCCGCCGCAACTCGGTCTGGCCCTATGAGGATATCTCATGGACAATCTCGACGTCATAACACAATACTCATGCATATCGGGCCAATGTTTTTGCATACATAGGTGGTACAGCATGGTAGCTGAAGTCTAAAATTCTGAACAAAGACTAGCTTCCCCCAGCTCCAGTTGATCATTCTGCGCCTGGACAGATCATTGGCTTTCGGTTTAGGAGACATGCCTTGCCAAAGTCGAAGCAGGGACTGATGCCATTCTTGGTAACTAGCGGGAGGCTTGCGACCCAGATTGGCCTTAGAAATTATGAGTTGTGGTTTCCTGATTAACTCGTTCTCGTCAACTTGCTTCCTCTTGTCTGCTTACTTACCTTATTTCTATTACTGATTTGACTTTCATTTACCACCTCATCTAGCTTCTTTGCCCGTCGAAAGATAAAACCTCAAGACCTCACCACGGAACGACTCAATTTAAATGGCAGACGAGGACGTTGGACTCAATTTGGCGTGGGCACAAACAGTTGGAACCTTTGTTGGTCTTCTTGCCATCGTCTTTGCGGTTGCCGCCGTCCTAACCGAGCGAGTCCGTCGTGTCCAAGCCAGCGACGAGCGCCGATTCACGTCCGAAGAGTCGATTTTGGGCTGTTTCCGTGCCCAAGGCGTTTCGCGATGGAGTTCCCTCTGGGGCGACACAACGGAGACGCTAAGGCTACCAACGGTTGCGGGCCTGATCGAAGCCGGCGATAGAGGCTCTTGGACGAGCAGTGCGCTGGACCTCATGACTGAGAATCACCCAAAAGAAACATGGGTCAAACTGTACGAGTCTGTCATGACCTCTGTCGTGTCCAATGCTAGACTTTTGGGAAGGGACTGGAAACTCGAAGAGGAGCCGGTTCCATCATTCCTTAGTCGCATCGAAGGAGGTCACCACCAGGAGCAACACGTGGCGAGTTTGTGGAAGGTCAGTCAGGACTTGCACCAGTCTCGCAAACTACTGGGTCTACATCGGGGGCTGGAGCGACCTTTCGGCGTGAAAGAGGAACCCACCACCACCGCCGAACCACCGAGCAGTGAGAAAACGGGACTTTCCCGGCTGACGCCAACATTCATCATCCGCGACAAGGCTTGCATAGGTGTAACGCGAGAGGAGCTCGCAGCTCTGATCATCATCATGGGTGTCGCCATCCCCAAACTTGAGACGTTCGCCTACGTTTGGGGAGTTGGTGGTTTCGGATTGTCTGTCGACATCAGCCATACCGATGCTGCCTGGTGCATCAGCATTTTTCAGGGGTTACGGCTTGTACGCCATGCACCATCAATGGGAAGCGGCTACACCACCCTGATGGCCAAACACCTCGCATGCGGGAGTGTTCCCTTCGCAAAGAATCGATCTTGGATCCTTTCGGTATACTTGACGGATCAGGTGCTGGATGCGCTGAAGTCTGGCAGCTGCGTCATCGACAAACGGGCATTTGGCGGGGACTCACTGGAGTTCCTCCGGCGTCTCCCTGGGGACAAGCTTGTTGATGCTTTCTACGGGACTGAGGATGTTGCAGCTTTCGGGACCAAGTTCGAGCCTGGTTCCATCCTGCATTCAACAGGTGAATTGGCAGGAAGGTGGTCTCGTGCCATCACAGAAATCGCTTTCGGTGGGCTGGTGCCACAGGCGAGCCCCAATGTCGTGTCAGCTGTGAAGTTCACCGTTGGAGGATCGAACCTGAATGGGTGTGTTGAGAACCTGGAGCTTCTCGTCGATGAGCTTCACAGGCCCGAGAAGGACAACGCGCTGTTTGGGGAAAATGTGCAGAAGAGATGTCGTGCCACTGGACATTCCTTTGTCAACTACACGTTTCCCTCGGAGAACAGCAACCCAACAGACGCTTCGGCCATCTTCTCCCGATATTCCAACCTGCTGGAGAGAGTGGTGGCCTTGGCGGTAGGGCAGCCCAGAGAGCAAGGGAAGCCTGTCTATCTCGATGCCCAGGGAAGAGAGACGCCTGGCGTCAACGAACGGGACATCTTCGAGGACGCCGCATCAAACATCCAGACCGTTTATGAAGCGGTTCTTGATATCGAGCCAGATACTTCGAACAATTCGATCACCTCGCAGGGTGTCGCGACGGAAGATCTGGGAAAGGCCCTGGAGGGTGTCATCAACAACATCAAGGGTAAAAGGGCTGTCTCGCTCTCTGATTGCACGATTATCATTCGGTGTGTGCTAGCAGCTTGGGCTTTTACGGTTCCATTGGTTGAGGTTAAGCAAGCGGCCGACCCTACAACTGTACGACTGGGTGGGAAGATTCCAAACGAGATTGTGCTGGCAAATCTCCCGCCTGTGTTGGCACTCTGTTAGTGGCGGGCCAAAGTAAAACGGTTGGAATTTGGCTTAATCAATCAATTGGTATAGCGCCCGGTCAGAAAGGGACACCGAATGTCATCATAAAAATTTTATTGAAGCATCACCCAAATATTTCTCGGAACTCGTTACGATTCAAGTTCTAATCATGTAATTAGCATTCGCGCACCTAAGCACGGATAATTAGAGCGCCCTGAAACCTCCAAACACCGCTCAAGACAACCGCAGAAGAAAAAAAAGAAGTAGCCCGTCGCCCCATTCCTGCTTACACGGCGTCTCCTGATCCCCACGCTCTCCTCTCAACATCCAATTCCTTCGAATAATCCCCAAACGCTGCAAAGACTCGGTGAACCATCTTGAGGAACCGGGGCTCCCATCGTAACCCCTCAAATAGCGCCTTGGTGTAGTCCCAATATTCAGGGTAATAACCCGCCGTTTCCCAGTCCACGATCCCAGTTACCCGCCACCCCGTGGTCCCGTCCGGCAGCGGCACCAAATCCACCAGGATGTTCCTCGCGTTGAGGTCAGCATGGGTGAAGACAATCTTGTGTCCGCGACGGGCCGGGTCGTCTGAGAACCGCATCAACTTGCTGAAGGCGCAACGGTAATCCTGTTGGTTGAGACGTTGAGGAGCACATGTATGATAAACACTGTGGTGTTCGGCAGTTTGGGGGGGAGGGAGGGTTTCGGCATCAAGGATGGGCTGTTTGTTTGATCGAATTGGCTCTGATCAAGTCTGTGGTTTTGTTTGGTTGTGTCTTTCTCCTATAGCTTTCGAATTTGGCATGTTTGTTCTTTTCTCTCACGACTTTGTGCCGTTATGGATTACATTCCTGTCGTGTTTCCATTCTCCACGAAGTCCGTACTGGTAACACTCGTCGTTTCCATAGTTAGTCTTGTTTGATTTGACAATATTGGTTGGAATGTAGTCCGTAGTTCGAGCATCTCAACATTGAGCTGGCGGTTAACAGTTCGCGCTGAAGATCACCGCCGCTTACGCGGCTTATCCTTACCACGGACTAGGCCTCCCAATGTAGAACAAAACGCAGAAACGCGAAATTCACGAGGTGGCAGAGTCGTATCATCGGATCAGATTGTCACATGCCCATATGGGAGCAGACGGTTCTTGTGTTCTTCAGCCTGAAGTCGTGCGGCTGTCGCGCTTCTTGAGGGGGCCCTTGTTTGGGAAAGGTGCACGTTGGCCGTGCAAGCCGTGGCCGCCTGCGTTTTTCCAAAAGTTGTGTCCGTGCATGCTCGCTTCCGTCACGTGACGTCACGGGATGGCTGGTTTTGAGATGCTCAACTCGGCCTTCGGCACTGTTAACGCCGCTCCCCGTTCAGGGATTCTTTAATTGACAAAAACATTGGCGGGGGGATAGTGGAAAACCCGTAGGATTGGCATAGACACAGAGAAGTTGCAGCATATCCGGCGGTGCAAGAGTAGTGATCACAAAAATGAATAGTCCTGGCGGGGATTGAACCCGCGACCGTCGCATACCCATGACCCTTGCGAGGGGTATAAGAGCGAAATCTTAACCGCTAGACCACAGGACTATTTTCCAGTGATTGGTGCTGGGGTGTCAAAGCAGGGGTCTAACAATCGCCTTTACCAAACACCGGATTCCGCGACCCGTCTCAGAAACAACCACCTCAACCTCCCCCGACGCCCCCCTTCCCGTTCCAACTGCGATTAGTTACAAAGTATCCACCAACAACCGCTAGGAATTGCGATTTAAGCATCCCCACACAAGAAAAGAGATTGTTGGTTGGACCAAAGAAAACCATGTGGGAATTGAAAACTGTTCCCGCTTGCAGTGTGGACACAAAGATCGCGGAGCCGACCGGGCTTACACTTACGACCCATTCCTTCTCCGCCCACCACTCTTGCTCCTCGCAATATGCGCCCTCATCGACTTGCTGGTCTCGACCAAACTCCGCTTGTTCTTGGCCCTTGCCTTGCCGATGGTCATCATAAAGTTCTTCTTCCGCGCCTTCTCCTTGTTGGTCGTGCTCTTGCCCTCGGCATCCTTCTTAGCACGGCGGATCGCCTGTGTCGACTTGTGCTCCTCACGGCCCGGTTTGCCCTCGCGTGCCAGTGCAACCCTCTCCTCCTTAGTCGTCTTCTTGCCCAGCTGCGCCGGTAGCTCAATGTCATCCGCCGTGACGCCGTCCTCAATGTGCTTGTCAATGAGCTCCTTCTTCCGTTTGGAAGTGCGACCGAGAGCCTTTTCGACCTTGGCTTCGCGCCGGAGCTCTTCCAGCTTGGCGAGATCGGCAGGCGTGAGAATGGAGGTGGTAGCCAACTTGGATATGAGGTCAGCTTCGGCCGAGGCTTCTGGGTGCGCAGATGTGTCGACGAGCTCGGGTGCTTCGTCGTCGGCGTCTCCTTGTTTCCGGCGCTTCTTTTTTGCCGGCTCGTCATCTTCATCACTGCTGACGTCGATCCAGCCACCCGAGGACTCGCTGTCGGTGGAACCCACTTCCCAGTCGTCCGAGTTGAAGCCATCGTCTTCTGAGTCGTCGTCCTTCTTCTCTGCATCCCCATTCTCCAACGCCTCTTCCCGCTTCCTCCTCTTTTGCTCCTCTTTATATTTCTCGAGTAACTCGATGCCTTCGATACCCCCTTGCTCTTCTTCACCAAACTGCCGCTGCTTGACCTCGCCTGTTCGCAAGCCCATGGTTGCCTGCTTGCCGCGGAACTTCTTCTGCAGAAGCTCTGGGTATACCTCACGATAGAGTGACTGTAGACCCTTAGCTGCCATTACAACCCCCTTGTCCTTGCTCTTTTGGTACATGACCAAGTCCTGCAGCAGAGTTTCGGTCATGCACAATGGCTGGCGTAGCGCCACCTCGCGAATGGCGTTGATACCGGCGGAAGCTACCTCAGCTGCGGACGCCTCGGACACGAATTCGTTCGCGATCTTGACCACCAAAGGCTCAAGAACGTCTGGCGGAACCAGGTTGTGTGTTGCCTGAGCTAACGACGCCAGGAATGACGTAACGTTCAGTTGTTTGGGCGTTAGGTAGCGGACGAACCAGGAGTAGAGCGAGATGATGGTGAGCTTGTGCAGACCGACAAGACGGGTGACCAGTTGGAGAATAAGCAGCTTGTTCTCGAGCGTAAACTTATTCTTGTTGTTTTGGAGGTGCTTTTGGAATAGTTGCTCCGCGAACCCCTGAGGGTCGTGGATGAGGTGAAGCGCCGAGAAGTTGAGAGGGTGTGGCGCATGCTTCTTGCGCTCATTCCTTGTCTACGTCAATCTCCGTCAGGGATGAGAGGTGGGATACTGAACTACTAACCTCTTGATCTTGTCAACTGCCTTCTCATACGCCTTTTGCCGCTTCTTGGTCTTCTTATTTATGACCCCTTGGTGCTTGACCTTCTTGATATCAATATCCTCATCGCTTGACTCGTCTTCAAGCTCCTCGCGTTCCTTGTCTCCACCCAAAAAGAACCTCACACCGCCAACGACCACCTTTTCGTTGTCACTGAGGCAAGCCTCCTTCATGACGTCGCAGGGCCGGGCATCTGTCCATATCTGGCGGCGCCAGAGTTCGCGGGTAATCCGCGTTGCCCACATTCCCTTGGTCGATGTGCGGTCCGAGGTGACAAGGTTGTGGAGGACCGTCTGGATGGTCCTATTGAGCCGGTGGTTCGTCGTTTTCGAGTTGGACTCTCTAAGATCACTAATAATCTTGGTGTACAACAACGAGCGCAATGTCTTGCTGGACGTCGATATGAGGATCGGGAAGAGGGTTGTCAAAAGACTCGTTGAGTCAATGACATCCTTCCTCCGCAGGAGCACCAAGCTACCTACAATCTTCTCGCGCAGCTCCTTGTCAAGAGTTGCATGGTGTTGGTTCAAGAGCTCTTTAAGGTGGTCGGGGTACGGGGCGGTCAGCTCGGGGTATAGGTCTGCGACGTGCGCGACAAGGTCGACGAGGTCATGGAATTTCTTGGCATCTTCGCTTGAGACGGTCGCAGGCGATGAGATGAAAATTTGGCGTTGCGCATCGTATGCGAGCCACTGGTCGTGGAATTCCTGGGCGTACGATCTGTGTCGAGGTTAGCCACGATCCCGATGCAAGAGTCGCCGACGGTCCGAACCTGGGATCCCTCCGTATCTTGTACTGTAGGTTTACAAGATCCGCCTCAATCTTTTCGAGCGCGGCAACCTTCCGTTTGACCATTTTTTCGGCTCTCTGTGGGGTGTTTGGTTCGTCAATCGCTGGCTCAATCGAGTTTTTTTTCCCGAGTTCGGTGCAGCGCTTCCCGTTATCGTTATCGCGAATTTTTAGTGGGGCTCGTTCCGAGGGGCGCAACACAACCCCTGTTCCCGCTTCCTTCAGCAGCTCAGAATGGACGCCAAAGGTTAACTATCCTCCAATGAACGTTTTCACCACCAGCTCGTTTTTGATCTGTGTCCTCTTTCGATCACGAGCGGGACTAAGATTGAGGCACGCACGTGGGCTGACGTGGCTATCTTCTTCATTAGCCGAGATCCGACGTTTCTCCTCAATTCCTCGTCTGTGCCCATGGCAATTTCCGGGCTAGTAACTAACTCTCCGTGATTAAAGTTCTAAACCATCAACGACGTCGAAAAGAATCGCAGCTACTTGACATTAGCACAATATTTAGCGTTGTTAGTCCACGTAGCATTGGCTAGTTGAGGAGCTTTACGGAATACTTCATGATGATTTCCGATCCGTCGATGTTTCCCGCGAACATTATAACATCATGTTCCTTAGATACCTACCAGCTACCAAAAAAAAAAAAAAAAAGGAAAAAAAGGCATTCTCACGCCTGACGCTTGTTCCGTGCGGCGCTCGGTGCGATGCCCTCGTGGTGGTTGCGGCCCGAGTTTACGCAACGGTGACCTTGTCCCGTGCTCACTCCCGCTTTGATCAAAAGCAACATGCACAATGTTGTTTTCAGATATAAAATACACGTAGGGTTTGACCGGGCCGTCCCAAGGGACCGTAGATCCCTAGTGGCATCTGAAAGTATCATCATCGTCAATTGCTGCATACTAAGACGAGGCATGAAAAGGCCTATTCTGATAAGCCCAGAATTATCACCGCCGCAGTCTCTTACTTTTGTATATTCTTCAGAGCCCCATACCCAACATGCATCATCGTCTAGCCGCCCTTCTCTCGCTGTTTCCCCTTGTCTCCGCTGCCCCGGGAAAGGAGCCCCACAAACACGACATCAGCTTCTTCCCACGGAAACATCTGCGCCGGCAACAAGCCAAGGGCTGCTCCTCAGTTTTCCCGATCCCTCGCTCCTCTCCCGGGGAAAGCGAAGCGGGATATCCCATACAAATCACCATGAACGCACAGGACCCTAACAGCAGTCCCGATAACAGCGGACAGGACACAGACAGCAGCGGGGAAGACTCAGATCGGGATTCCAGCAACCGCAACAACCAACAAAATACCAGCACTGCGGCCACCCCCACACCAACCAAAACCGTCCAGCGGCGACCCTCGCTCAAAATACACTACCGCACCAATCAACAGGTGCCCCCGTTACCCGTCGAGCTAGCTTTCACTCTCCCTTCCCAATCCTCCTCCTCCTCCTCCGGCGGTCCTTGCACACTCATGCTCGACCTCACCTCCCCCGACGCCAAGGTCCACGGGGCCGCCACCATCAACGTGTATGCGTTAGACGGGCCGTCGGCAGACTCTCTGGTCGGCACGACACACTTTGCACGGGGAGAAAAGACTACCGTGAATAGTTTTGCATGTCGGCAGGATCCAATGTGTTTTCGCTTTGAGGTAGCAGATGACGGGGGCACTGGAAACGGGGTGAGTTTTTTGCAGGGAGGTACGGAGGGGATGGGGTTGAGTATGCGGTATGGATGTTGATCTTGGATAATTAGGTGAGTGTTGCTGTAATTAATGATGATGATTGAGATAGCTTGCTGTGGCCAAGAAAAAGGGGCAGAGTAAAACAGATAGATAGCTTAAGTCCAGTCCATTAACATTCGACCAAATCTTAACAGGTTTTGATTCATTTATTGTTTTTTGCCGTCTTTCCCTTTTTTTTCCTTTATTATTTTTAGTCTTTTTTCACGTTTGTGGAAAAGTAAAGTATCCAGGGACTTGGTCTGCCCCGTTTTTTGGCCACAACGGGGATAGGTACAGGCATATACATTTCATAACATCAATTTTTGCATCATGAATGAGCCCAACGGCCAATCATGGTTATAATTAACTTGCTTTGACTACGTTAAGTATCTCTGCAAACCACTATGACGCCAAACCAGGAGCTCTTGGATTGTGCGAAGGACATTTGTGCCCTTGTACAATCAGTACAATACGGTCGACGAGTCTAACGGTATTGCCGAATATCAGCTGCGCATCGAGTTAGCAACGCCGGTGATGAACACTCGTTACGTCCTCTACCGACTATCGGATGGAATAGCTTTCACTATTTCTAAGTTTAATGTTTTTGCCCCACGTCCGGCGCATATGGATCCTCAATGCTACCGTACCATAGCACTCGAAACTCGCCTGGCGTTGCTTGATGTTGCCTCGTGGTGATAATGAAACCCTCCATTAGCTGCCTGCTTACGATGTGACATTGGACTGCGCGAGCCAATCCCATCTCTTGGCTTTCTTGTTACCAGAGCGGCGATTGCCCAGACTTTTTCCACGGTCGAGTATTCCGGGTGCCGGGGTTGCACCGCAGATTTTATCGGTGTCAGTCATGAGGGTCGGTCGTACAGAAGCCGCCGGATCGAGAATCTAGGGCATCGGATCGTGTGATCGGCTGACTAGGGCTGGGGCTTAGGTGGTACTTGTATCCCCAAGAGAAAGTCGAATATCATCAGGCTAGAAGCTCGTCGGCCGGCATGGAACTTTTCTACTTGCTCTATAGTGTCCATATGCTAGGTAATTAATTAAGCTAATTACTCTCCATTTCGCTAATTACGTCTCACCGCCTGTATCGCCCTCACCGGCATCGCCTGGATTTGGTAGTCATCAACGATAAAAATACGAAACAGGTGGCCAATTCCCGTGACAAACAAGCTCATTCGGTCTTGCTTTCCCCGGAAAAGAAGAACGCCGTGCTGATGAGCTGAAGTTACATTCCGCACCTTGGCATTTCCGATCTTTGCAGAATCGGATCAGGGAATCGTAGGCAATTCTGCGAGGGAAGCCATCATGGACTTGCACAGCGGAGTTTTCAATCCGTGCATAGCACGGCGGCAAAGCCGATTCGGCGGATTCTGAGGAAGGAAACCGGCCATTCATGGCTGACTGAGCGGCCCCCAATAATAGGGTTCTGGCGGCAACGTCTTGTCTGCTGTGCCGTTTTATGGTCCCACTGCCCCGACCACGAACGCCTCCGTGCCACAAAACTGCATATGGCGGCGCAGGAAATAGGGGTACCGCGGGAACCGAAACACCGCAACGTGTCTTTGGAGTGAACCTGCGAGTCGCAAGGTAGGTGGTTTCAGGCCGTGGCTGTCTCCGCGAATGCGGCAGAATTTCTCGTTTGTTGAAGTGTGCCGCAACAACGCGCAACAGCATTGCGATGCATTGCGATGCATTGCGAGGTCCTCCCGTTCGAAACAGCGAGAGACACGAACGACGTTGCACCACTGCTGGTATAGGGCGGCGCTGGACATCTCGAGAGGCCCGGACTTCCCTCAAAGAGGAGCGCCTTTGGAGAAGGCTGTTGCTCGCACGCAAGACTCGATACAAGACGGTTGGAAAGGTATTTGCGACGAGCCTCGTGGATCGTCAACTTGACCTTTAGTTGTTGGTCCCGCCGGGAGCACTAGGAGCCGACTGGAGAATGCTCAGAGGTTGCCATATAAGTGTTGCGCTCTGGGGCTAAAGAACGGTGTTTCTCGTCGCGTTGCTGCATGTGTACCAACAACGCTGGTTGGGTTCGAATTGGAATTGCGTTAGGCACTCCAGCAAAGAAACATATGGGTGGCACGGGAATGCAGACGCGGCTGGCCGGATCTGATATCACGAAACGTGTTGAAGCCAGGCCGGTATGTACAAACACTACAATGAAGTGTTGGCTGGACCTGGAGTATCATGTTCCAGCTTTTTGCAAGTTTCAGCTGCCCCGGTTGGGAGGCTACCAAAGAAAAGAGAGACGTGTTGTACAGGAATCACACGCACAATCTGATGTGCTCGAAATCGACTGATCCGCCTGGCTCAGGTCTCGATGACAACCACCACTGTCAACCTCGCCCCCCCCAGACTTGCATCATGTGTTACATGGGGCAAGTTTGACTGATCTTCCAGTGGTGCTATCAGGGCCCTCACATTCCAAGGAGGGGATAGCACCCCGAAAAGGACGGCTGAGAAGTTGCTGTACACGAGCATAGGGAATTGAATGAAACCAACCGAACTATAGAACTGCAGCATCCTTTTAAACCTCAAGCCAAAGTCTTGATGTCGCGACCCGGTTCCGCGACAAAGAATGGAGAGCGTTGATCCCGAGGGCCGGCCACGGGGAAAGGCACAGCATAATTATAACCATAAACCTTGAAACGGACTGGGTGCGTGACGAGCGGATCTCGGAGTTACCGCGATGTGTCGACGGGAATAGCCCTTCTCCGTTTCTCTGCATTCTATCGTATAACTGCTCACAAGATATGTCACGCTTGCAGATGCAGCACCCCGTGTTCATCAACGTTGCTATGGAACGAGACGGCGCTGGGGCGAAAGAACCAGCACGGGATAGCGTTTGTCCACTTGCACCCGAACGCCCCAATCACGTTGGAATTTGCGGACGGCACAACCAAATACGCCCTTGCTTCGGTACCGATTCCCTGCGTGCCGCGCTGTGTCAACCCCGGAGGAGTGAGCGGAAACAACCCAAAGCGGCACCACAGCATGCCGCGCCGCCTTGGCGCCGCATCGTCGCAACTATCGATTGGCATCGCGGGCTTCGTCTGTACTTACTTCCTTCTTGAAGTGTCCTGCTTGCATCGAGGATCATCCCCACGAGGAGGACGTAGTGAAACATGTCATGATCGTGGTATCAGAATGTGGTCGGGCAGGGGTGGGAGAGAAGCTGTGGTTGGATTTATCTCATCATTAATTCGTCAGTCGAAAACGCAATCCTGGAATTCCATCGCCGTCAGCATTTTCCTAGACGGGAGATATTTTGCATCACGGGCTCTGAGGCATGTGCAACAGAGAGCTTAGTCGGAAGGAGGGCCTGCAGATTCCATCATCCATGTTCTTCTCCCCTCCACTCAAACTGCGGCTTCCCAAAATGCAGAAGCCCTGAGGAACTCGCAGCCTTGCCAAATACACCTGATGTGGCTGACTCTACGTCGGGGAAGATAAGCATGGAAGCCGCGATAGCCCTTGCCGCGCCATCTGATCATGTGCTGTGGGTTGGGGTTGGACCTTCCCGCAGCAATCCCGCCGAGAAATGCCCTTCCTGTATTGTCGGATCGGGTCGCGCCCGCACACTGCCCTGATCCCCCGCTCCCCGCCCGGGCTTCTCAGGCTTCAGTAGGTGCGGGACTCGAGCCAGTTGTTTGCTAGACAGCTTTTGATCTGCTGAACCCCCCGGCTATGACCGAGAATTAACGACTGGTCGTTGAAATCCCGATTTAATGACATTGCCCGGAGCAGCCTGCGGCCATATGAGAGCCCAGAGAACCAACCAGGGCTTGACAACATCATAGTGTAGTCCTCCAGCAAGATGGTTGATTTCATCGCCTCGTGCCACGCCAAACTATCACGTTGCAGTCACGCTGCAGATACCGAGCGGTTGGGAATAGCGCCATTCTCGGCTCTTCCGTTTGCCGGGTTGCAGCTGATTGGTCTTTGGCTTCGGCTTTGGCCGGTTGGCTGCAAAAGGACCAAGGTGCGCTACAGCTGCAAAGTCCCTTCGGTCGTCTGTTATTTGTGATCTGCTCAAGAAAGAAGCAAGAGTTCTGGCCATGCTGTGATGGCCGATCCAGAGCACCACTAGTAATTCCCGAATCATGAATTGCGAGCGCGAAGGGATTTGACGGATTCGCCGAATTGAGGTCGTAGTGGGAGGTTGGTCTGCCTGGTGGGGAACGATGCCGGCCATTCCGCGTCCTGGTTCGTCAACCATCGCCGACTTCCCCAACCTCCCCACGAGGTGCGCAAACAAACCCACGAGAGCCGTCAATCTGCGGCTTTATTCGCTCCCGACCAGAAAGCGCGGTCGTGGCGTATGCATGGAAGCCTTCGAGAAGGAACTGATTCATGCGCGGCCAAGGGTTCCCCGACCCATCTCGTCATGTCCCCTGCTCGGGCTCGTCTGGTCTCGAGATTCTGTGCGGCTTCAATGTCAAGATCTTGGGGGGGAATGGCGCTGCACCGAATGCTCATGGGTTCCTTCCGGCGAAGGAAGAGGGCCGGGATAGGCCACCAGTTCTTAGGTCCCCCACATGCGCCGCTATCAGGGACGGAGAGGCCGCGAATTCCCCTCAGTAACGTCAAATCTTGGAGTAGTTAGCGGCGAACCTAGCATTTAGGACTTCATCTTTCATCTGTTCCTCTCCTCAACCTTCTCTCACAGACTCGAGCTTTACGGAGGTGGCACAACGCCTCCATTGGCTCCAAGATATTTGCACCCACGAACGTTTCACGCGAACGGCAGCCTGATGTGGACTGTGGGGGGAGGGCCAGCACTCGCGTGGCACAGGACCTCTCTGAGGCGTCCGCGCCGCCTTTTGCATGCAGGAGACTTGCATTTTGCGGCTGGCACCCCACCAAGACCGGCTGCATGGAAGCTGCACAGAAGCCTTCCATGCAGATGGTCCTTTTTATACTTATGGGGGTACCTGCGCCGCCCACGTTTCGCTGCGCCAATGCTAAGGTAGCGCGCCATCACTTGGCCGAGTGTTGTATCGGCTGCCCAAGCAGGTTCGCAACGCACGTTTCTCTCCGCCAACAACCCATGTTCATCTTTGGCATGGCCAAGCTAGCCTTAAAGACAAAATGCGGGTTTCTTTTTCGCGTTCTCGGGCCACGCTTTACCCTCGTCATGTGGGACAGGGGTTCAGTTGGTATTCGCTACATATCTCCGGAAGCCCTGCGCATCGGCTGGACCAGTATCATACGGAGTTGCCCGTTGGCAAACACATGAACGACAACTTCTCTTTGATCCGGCCCGGGTGAAAATTATGCCCGCCAACGTTATAACCCGGCTTCGGCCAGGCCAGTCAACAGCCATTTACTTCGACGCAGCGTATGGGCTACCAAGCAGCATGGACGACCTCGACGATATTAGACTGCAGCTCCACTCTCGCCAGTCATCGGTCACAACCGCCTCAACACCTGGCTCAATGGAACTCGGTTCCTCCCCCGCATCCAACACGACTGCCCCGACTGCGGCTTCTGGATCTAGAATAGGGCGGCCGCCGCAGTGGACGGTCTCACGATCTCGAAAGCTTGCCCGACTTTACTTGTTCTCAACGCTCTCGATCGAGAAGATTATTAAAGTCCTAGAGGAGGACGGTTTTAGTCCGAGGTGCGACAGGATGCGAAAGGATGCTTTCGAGGTCTATATCTCTTTGTTGGTTGACCCACTGACACTCCCATAGAAAGAACTCGGCCCAGAAAACGATCCACAAGATGCTGGATAACGACCCTAGATATTTGCGCCCCGAGTCCCGAGCTGAAATGAGCAAACGGTTCAACAGCCTTGCCACGTCCACCACCCGACGTAAGCGGAAAGGAGCTTCGGGACGTGGCCCGAACCATATTCAAGACTCGAAACGTGTAAGTACCACTCGGGAGCCTCCCGCATGCGTTTCTGCTGACTGTTGTTTTTATCGGAAACAGGAAGGAAGCATGTTGTCCAGGTCGGAACTGACCTCACCATCTGGGCAAAGTATCAAGTCAGAAGAAGGGCCATCGTTCGACTTTACCACTTCGCCGGATGTCGCAAGCCTGAACTGCTTTACGTTCCCGAACACCGTGAGCCGAGACACGACCGAGGCTGGCGACGAGGAGTGGCAAGCAGGGATAAGGGGTATCAAACGACGGGTCTCGGATTGCTCGACACACTTTGCCTTCCAACTTTCATCGTTGATCAAGGAGTTTACCATTTCGATTTGCTCCGATAACAAATCTACTGGACGCAGGCCGTCCGCCGCGGGTAGCGAGGACTTGAAGATAGCCGAGGAACCCGAGCCGGAGGTGTCCACCGAACCACACGAAGCCTTCCCCGACCCGGGTTTCGCACTCCCCGGCGATTTCCTCACCGCGCACACCCGGAGTTGTGCGGATTTTCCTGGTCAGCAACATGGAAAGGGTCGTTGCTGGTGCTCGATTACCAAAGATACTTGCTCAGATGGTAACTCATGGTTGCTACCGAATGGGAGGCTGAGTCCGAGGGCACAACGTATTCTTGAACAGCCCCTGCCAGGGGACGTGAACCTCTTCGACAGCTTTGGGAACACACCACTTCATTTATTCGCGGCCTTGGAGGGGTATCAGGATGCTCTCTTAATGATGGTTGCGAATTATGAGGGCAGGGGCCTGGAAACTGTCAACACCGCTGGCCAGACCTTTCTTCATGTTTTGAACCTCGAGTGGTTTACGGATCTTTCCAGCCCATCTCCAAGGATACGGCGACTCCTAGGATACGTCAGCGATATGCGCCCTGATGTGTTGTACAAGGCCGACGTCTACGGTAGGACCTTCTTTCATCGCGCGCATTCCGTTCTCCGGGACCCCTCGACGCTCGCCAGTCTCGTGTCACTGTTTGACCCAACACTCACTTCTTCTCGCGATGCGTTCGGGTTTAACCCCGTTCCTGACGCCGACTCGCGTACCCAAAGCCCTTACATTCCACCACGCCGCGTCGGAAGTGTTTCCCCGCAGGTGGAAGACCTTGCTCGGGGAAACGCCAACGGCAGCCGACCCCAGTCTTCGTCCTCCCAGGGGTCTGTTTTGGCCTACCACGCACGGCTTGTCCAGATCATCCACTCATCTTACACGAACCCAACGGTTGAAGATGCCGATGGCCGGAATGGATTACACTGCCTGGCAGAGGCCATCCTCAACCAGCAAGCCATGGACCGACATGTCCGCTCCTCATCTTCGGCATTAGCGTCGCCCAACAGCCGTCCACACCTCAAGCGTAAGCTTGACTCTAAAGAACCTTCTGCTCCACCCTCGCCAACCCCGGGGAACACTTCTTCCATGGCTGCGCCATCTTCATCGCCGCCGAGCATGTCGTCTACAACAGCAGAAGGTACCCTCCCGGCCCGCCTGCGACACTTGCACTCTCTTCTGCACCCATCAGGAGTCTCGGTCACCCATTACGACACACACGGGCTCACACCGCTCATGGCGTTCGTCGAGCACATACCTGATGATCAAGATGACAAAGCCAAAACGCTGCAGGCCATACTCGAGACGCTAGTGCGTGCTGGCGCGCGGTTGGAGGCGCGCAATCGCCGCGGAGAAACACCACTGCTGATGGCGGCACGCCTGGGTCGCAAGGTGGCGCTGGCGGCGTTGTTGGAGTGCGGTGCGAATGTACATGCGCGGGATGCGGACGGGCGCGGGGTGCTTGAGTTGTTAGATGGAGAAGTGGGTGGGGAGAAGGCGCGGAAGGAAGTCGGGCTTTATGCACGGTTAGAGGCATGTCGGGTTTTGTTGACGGGGCGTAGGGAGTGGGGAGTTGGGTATGTTGGCGGAAACGCCGGGCGCGAAGGGGGGTACAGGGAACCGGCGGTGGTGAGGGAGTGGAGGGTGAGAGACGGGGTTCAAGGGGGAATGGTATAGAGGATTAGACGGCTTGAGGTTATTGTAATGTATAAGGCGCATGGGATACTAGACGGATGGCATACACGCTGCGATGTTGGCTCCGTTATGAAGGGTTGTATGATGTGTGTTATGGTAATGAGAAATATTATTTTGTTTTGGGGATACAACGCTCCCCGTTACATCTCTGCTTCCCTTCAGTGACTTCAGGGGCATTATGATACCTCCGGTAATACGTACACAAGGTACTGGCCTGCAAGCACCCAATCCAACAACTGTCCAAGAAACGGTCTTCCTACATTCTCTTCTTAATGACAGCTACTAACCCGGAACAGCGAAAGAAGTGATTTGACGGGATTATGCGAGGGGATGGGTGTACCCAGAAACGTCCCTACGTGCTCGGTTGGGTACCTATTGGGGACCGGGGTCGTAATACAATACCTGACGACCGTGACTGTTGCTAGGCATCACATCCCTTCTACGGTACCAACACGTACTAAAACAACACCGCGATGCTCTTTAAAAAATTCACATGTTTTACTAAGATTAATTGCAAAGTTCCATGATTTCATGGGCGCTGGGTTAAGTGAGGTAGATGGGGAAAGGGTTTTTAATATTTCATTTTTCTCCCAACACTTCAAGTGCCGTCAAAGCTGCGGGACATCGACCACCAGAAGAACGGCAAACAACTGGCCGGGTGGCCTAATTCCCTCGGAAAACCCCATGGCTGATGCAGATCTTGAACGGCAGGGCTTCGCATCGCGAGCTAAGTGGCCCGTTAGGTAGCAGCAGCCGCTATTTTTTCCACCGCATGGTCTGCAGCCTGTTCTAAGATTTGAGAAACAGAGAAAGGCCATTAACAAATCCGAACCACCAACTGAGGTGCGATGTTTTCTCCCCGGCGATTAAAACGTGTTGTAAAAAGGTATGGAAGTTTCTTTGTCTTACCAGTACCTCCTGCTTAAACACTACATATTGACGGATATGCTTATTATTGCGCAGAATAACTTCTAAACTGCTCCCCTCGGACGACGACGATGGGACGCTCCGAGACTCGCCAGAGCTTTATCGCGAAATCCTGCTTTCCTACCGGCCTTCCGTGGGCCTCTAGTGAGAACGACGGAAAGGGACCTTTTGAGGCGAGTCTCTTCCAGGCCCCGGATTTCACAATTGTACATGGTAAGTCACCTTTTTACACCCTTTCCCGCCCTAGAGGCTCCAAGTCTCAGTGCAATAAGCATTGCCTGTATCAGCAGGCTGCCCTTGGAACCGCGACAGAGTTTTCTTGGCGTGGTCACTGGCAGTGAAGGATGCAGACAGTGGGTGGAGGTACTCGGCGTCTTTATTACTATTGAAAAAGGCCACCAGGTCGTCCGGGCCACAGCTACCGTGGGTAGCACTCGCGTGTTGCGCGAGCGTTGTCTGGGATGGTGTCAACCTGCCCAACGTACGTATCCATCCAGTTTATCACTTTGAGGGCTGAGTAGCTATTTCTCTTGGAACGCCTCCGCTGACTCTTTTATAGTATAGTGACATCCGGGAGACCTGTGGCTTGAAGAATATTCAGTTCTGGAACAGGATGGCTATCAGGGTCGAGTCACACCCACTCTCTCGCCACGTTCATCCATCTGAGGCAAAGCCGTTGAAAGCTTCCACCCAGATGGTAAACTTTGTCACAGCATCGATTCACGAGTTGATCGGGCACGGTAGTGGAAAGCTGTTAAGTGAAACGGCGCCAAACGTTTACAATTTCAACAAGGACCGCCCCCCGACAAACCCCTTGACCGGCCAAGCCGTTGAGTCGTGGTATAAGCCGGGACAAACATGGACTAGCGTGTTCGGTAAACTGGCAATAACGGTTGAAGAGTGCAGAGCAAACCTGATTTCATACTACCTTGCCGACGAGAAGGAAGTCCTTCGCCTCTTTGTCTTGGAAGATGAAGCCAGCATTCCAGACTGTCAGTGCAACACTTCGCCCTCGTGCTCCAATTCTTCCCCACGGTATCCACTAATACTCAATGTTAGTCATCCATTATGTGTACCTGACGATCGGGACCAAGGGCATCGACGCCCTCGCCTCGTTTAAAGTGGACGACCAGTCTTGGGGTGACCAGCACGCCAGGGTAAGTCTCCACTCAGCGACTAAGATGGGGGATTCGACCACTAACAAATCAGACACCAGGGCTCATTCGTTATCTTAAGGCACCTGTTGGAGGACGGTGGTGGCACCATCATCGTTGATGACTCCGATGGAACCTTACGCGTTCGTGTCGATCGCTCCACCCAGACTACATGTGCCGCGGTTTGGACTGCTGTTTTCGGCGGGCGCGAAGCGTCAAGTTTCCGCAGTCTAGGCCGCCCCCATAAAAGTACATCTCGGGCGGGGCACATGTTCCTCTCGGTGTCAACAGTACCCGTGCAGTACTAAACCCCTTGCACACATGCACGCGCCGCACACCTCAACAGGTTGGCGGGAAGTTGAACCCATGGTGGCTCACACTTGCGGCGATGAAGGCCACGAGCCTGGCTTAAAATGCACCCACTGGCATTTTCATTGCTGACATCCTCGACACTGTTTGGACAATTGTTCCCTCATACAATCAGTCACGGCTTTTCGGTAAACTACTTCGATCGAGCCGAGCATTGCTCTGTTAATAGACGATATAGTCTTGTGCACAGTGCGGCTACCAACCAAAATGGACGCCGCAGCCAAACGAGTGTGGGCCCAGCTTGTCGCGCGGCCATCCGCAACCGCGGTGCCGTTGACATTCGTTGGGCTTCACAATAATTACCATCGCGGCAATGAGCAACGCCCGCTGCTACCTGACCGTGCCGATAACACGATAGTCAACCTTGTCATTGCGGAGAAACGATGGCGCAGCTTCTGCGCGTTCTTCCGGGACCCCCAAGGTTGCGGGTGGAAAACCCTTCTCCGAGCACTTTACTGGAAGGAGAAAGGCATTGCCGATGCATATGCTCGCTGGTTCATACGCAGAAAAGGGTCAAGAATCAGAAGCTCGGCGACACCCCGCAGATATCTTCGAGACCTGTCGGCACTGTTACTTCAGGTTCCAAGGCTCCGAGCTCGACGAACGTGTCCGAGGTCACATGCTTCAGACTGCCAAACAAGAGCTCGCCCCCAAATTTGGACTGCGAACTCCATTCCTCGTCGGAGAGCACGGCGCGCTCGCCGGAGGTTTCGTGCGTCAGGCCGGTCGAGGTGAAGGATACAGCTGCGAGGCCGGTGGTGTAGGCGGCTGCGTTGGGGGCGAGTTTCTTCTCGAGGATGGAGGGAGTGCGGGAGGTGGTGGTGCCCGGTGCGGTGGAGGGTTTACAGGTGGAGGTGGCGAGGGATTTGCTGATGCGGTCGATATCGACGCCGCCAGCTTCGCGGGCTTGGCGGGCGCGCTCGACAGCTTCTTTGGCGCGCAGGACCTTGTCGCCGATGCGGCCCAGCGCGTCGACGCTGATGCCGCCCTGCTGGCGCTGCGCCTCTTGGTCCTTTGTAGGCAGGGCGTCCTGGCCGTCCTATAGGTATTTAAACTGGCTGAGGTCGCAGCTGGCGGTATTCTGCGGGTCCTGTAGGGTGATGATATCCTTACGGCCGAACTCGGCATCGTTGACCAGGCCGCGCCACATCTTGGGCTTGATGTTCATGCGCTCGACCGTATCCCAGGCGAATATGTTGGCATAGCTGCTGTAGCGGATGGCTACGATATGGGTATTATCGGTGAATACCTTGACGGTGACGGGGTCGATGAAGTTGCCCTTCCCGTCGGTCGGGATGCCGGTGTGGTCGTGGGTCGCGGCCGTGTTGGCATTGCGCGCGAAGTTGAGCTTGATCAGGTCCTGAGCGGCTTGCCGTTGACGGGGTTGGCTGCGTGCTTGTCCAGCTATGTGCTGATGACCTTGACGTCGAAGATGGTGCCGTCGGCCTTGCACACGGGGTTCTGGGAGGGCTGGAGGCTGGCAGCGCAAAAGTTGAAGGGCAGGCGCTTGAAGCTCGCGTGCGTATTGCCGGAGTTGCGCTGCGCCCGCGCGCCCGTGTTCGCCCCGGCGCTGGCACCATAGGCATCCGAGGACGACCGCTCGGAGTGCGTGGTGTACAGCTTGTCAGTGCCCTTCCCCATGTTGGCACATTGCAGTGCAAGTTATTTTGGAAGACGAGGCAAGTTCAAGCCCGAGCCAGACAAGTGACGAAGTGTTGTTGGGCCTTATCAGCGGATGCTTGTCGCTTGCTGCACACAGCAGCTCAAATCATGATGGCGGCTGGGCGGCTAAAGAGGGTGTGCAGGTGTTCGAACAAACCCACCCCACCTTCCCACCCCCCTCCGGCGGCGCAGAACTCAGTGGGTGTCTGCCTGTCCCCTGCCTCTCTAGCCAGTTTCTCTCTTCCTCGCTTGTATCTTCGCAATACTATCAGCACTCGAAAAGACGTGCTGTCCAAGCCACTCACTCCAAGACCGTTCAGCCAAACCTCTCTGACTTCGCATCCCGCAGACAGTCCATAAGTCCATGCAAAGCGGCCAGGCCTCCTGCAAGTTTCGGCCCTCTTACACGGTCGGCGGTTGTTGAAGGGTGTGAGGTTTGATACATGCAGACTGGGGCGCAATGATTGGCCCAGAGCCCTTGTTGTTGGGTTGTTCACCCGTGCCAATGCTACCCCACTGTGTTCCTCCTCCCATTTCTCTATCGCCCGGTTGGCAATGTGCTTCTGCCTGGGGCTGATCAGGCCGTGCGTAAGTGAATGCTATGGTTAAGCATAAGGTAAGCAGTAATGTAGCCAAGTAGATAGTTAAGCGCCTGCGTCGCCTGTCTTCTTTCTCGTCTTCGTCTTCAGTTCGAAGAGCACAACTGTCCCTCGTGCATTTCCAAAAAGACCAAAAACCTAAGAGCGAAACCACAACCATGGAACCGACTCAGAACAGGAGAAAACTCTTGCCAGTCGACGAGCTCCCTATACGATCGTCGGCTCCCGTGCCCCGTCCGAGGCCGACCGTCCCGGTGGACCGAAAGTTGTCCAGGCCACTCCTCCCAACGGTCACAGGCCAGAACGGGCCCTTGACCGCGAATCCAGGCTTCATCAGATGCGAGCCTCCATACCACTCACGACAGTTTCCTGACGACATCAACATAAAACAGTACCGAGCGTTGTGGACTAGGCTGCATCGGGAGGCTCAGCGGCTCGGAGCAATGGGGTCAACGCCCAAGCCGAAATCATGGAGGGCGGTAAAGGTACAGAGTAAAGGTGACACGCAAAGGGTAGTAATGGACCACGGCCTGGATGACGAAGCGAAAGCTGTCGCTGTCGAAAAGCTCTATCTCGGTGCCCAGATGTTTGTGATGCCTTACTAACTGATTTCACGCCTGACTGACGATCTTCCAATGAACGCGAAGCTGACTTGCCTTGTCATGACAGGTACCTGCAGCCCGGCTGCTTGCGGCCCAGCGCTTGGGTCAATAGCTTTGGGGCGGATTGGAGAGACAATGCTCGTGGGATATATTACCGTCATTACCGCTCCCCTGGGTGGGTATCGGCTGGTCGCACTCTGTGGTTGCCTTCATTGCAAGACGATGTCGGAGAGGATCTCGATTGGAACCACCCGGGCGAGACACGCCGCAGAACCCGAGCTCGGAGATTCGTAAGACACATTGTGGACAATGAGCAATGGAAGAAGGCCGAGTTTGCTTGGGAGGCTGACGCCTGGACCGATGTCTTTGGTCTGATGAGGGATGATCCGTTGTTGGCTGTGTAAGTTCCTATCCTGCAACACCACCGATTCCGTAACTGCGTACTGACATCTCTGTTGTGGAAGCGACAAACACGAGTACAACACCTTGGGGAAAGGTGCACACCCAGCCTCGTGCCTTCTCACCGGCAAGACAACATTCCTTGTGAGGAGGCCAGACGCCACTTTCGGACTCGCAACCTTCCAGCCGAAAGATGATCAGAAAAGCGCTATAGGTCACTGGGACCTCGACCATGACCGCTTAGAGGCACTGCTGCTTCACAAACACTGCGGTCTGATTTCGGACCCGCGGTGGGGCGATGCCAACCTCGTGTTCCCATTTGCCGTCTATGAAGCCAAGGGCTGGGGCGGCGACCCCCGTGAAGCCCGCCGACAAGCATGTTCAGCCGGGGCGGTCTACCTCGACCTGCTAGAAGTACTGACGAAACGACCAGGCAAGCACAAGCCGGGCAAAATCATCGAGGATCAAACACCGGAAAGCCGAAACACTCAAGTCTTTGTCTTCACGTCCTTCGGCGCCCACTGGCACATTCTGGTCGGCTACAAGAGGCTCAGGCTCAAACAGGAATATGCCGGGCATGAGGGCATGAGCAAGTCTGTCTACATTTTCCAGCGGATCTGGAGCGCCAGGGTCGTGACTGAGAAGAAGGCCTGGGAGCTCCTCTCGCTCGTCGACCAGATACATCTCTGGGGCGTGACGGACCACCGGGAGTTTGTCATCCGCCACCTGAAACCGTGGCACAGGTATGCCGAGAGGTGCTACGCCCGCGATGTCGAGCACATGCTGGGGTATGTGGATACGGCGGGCTGGCTAAATCCCAAAACACATGCGCGCCAATGGTCTGTACCTCAAAACTGCATCCGGCTTCCCGAATGGATGCCGCACTTGATCAACAACTCTCAGCAACGATACAAACTCCTGATCTCCAGAGCCGCCTTCCAGATCAAAAAAGCTTTTCTGAGGCATCAGGGCACCGCCAAGGCACGCGCGGGTGCCGGTGAGGACATCGACGCTCCCGTTGACGGTGGCGTTTGCGTGATTGACGACAAAGGTCGCTATGGCACGGGTTTCCGCTCGGTGGACGAAGCCGACAGCGATGACTCAACGCCGATCTCAAAGAATCCCTGGAAACACCGACGAAAGGGGTCGAATTCAGACTCGAGGAGGTCAAAGTCGAGGTGGACAAAGTCAAAGAGGTCGAAGTCAAGGAGTTCGGATCTGTGGAGTTCAGACTCGAGGAATTTCGACTCGAGAAGTTTAAAGTCAAGGAGTTTCGATTCGAGGAGTTTCGACTCGAGGAGTTCAGACTCGAGGAGGTTAAAGTCAAGGAGTTTCAACTCGAGGAGGTTAGACTTAAGGAGTTCAGACTCGAGGAGGTCAGACTAAAGGAGGCTAAAGTCGAGGAGTTTCGACTCGAAAAGTTCAGAATCAAGGAGGTTAAAGTCGAGGAGTTTCAACTCGAGGAGGTCAAAGTCAAGGAGTTTCGATTCGAGGAGTTTCG